CAGCAACTAAAACATGAACAGCACCAGAAACAAGAACAGAACCTAATGAACATTTCTGAACCTAATCAGAAAATGAAGGCTAGGCAACAATCTAAACAAATGGAGCTACCGGGAAAAGAACATAATAAACAAGAAACAAAAAGTCCCAAACAACAATCAAACGAAAGAGCAAAGCAACAAACTGAACAAGCAGTAGTCCCAGCTGAGCAAACGCAATCTCATTCTGTTATTGAAGACCTGTTAAAGATTTTTACAAAAGTTGATAGAAGACATCAAATCGACTGCGGAAAGCGACGCCTGATTAACACGAGAAACACTGAAATGAAAGAAGGTAAAACACCGACACAAAACGTTGAAAAATCCTATCAAAATAAATGTAAAATAAAAGACCGCAGGGAATTAAAACAAGGGACGAAAGCCGCTACCATTCGAATTCTCAACAATGCAAAAAAAGTCGATTCAAAAGAAGGCGTTTTGTTGAAGCAAGATGGATTAAGTGAACTCCCCATGGGGGAAAAGGCTGAAGATATGAAACAGATTCAAAAACAAGACCGACTACAAGAAACACAGGTGCAACAAGCGGTACAGATAGAGAAAGACACTCACAGAGATAAGAAGAATTCCGACAAAAAACCGCCTCATCCTCAAAAAGAAAAACTTCTTCTACTTCAAAAGCAAATAAAACAACAGGCAGAAGCACTTGAACGTTTAGCTCAATGTAAAACAAAACAGGAAAGAAAACAAAAGAATACAAACAGTGAATGTGATAAAATTCAAAAGAAGACGTCCAACGTTCATATGGTTAAAAGTTCCATAACAGATTCAGAGACTCAAAGCAATTCCTTGACAGGGGGAAAAGGAACAGTTTCTCCTAAACCGGCCCTTTCTAAGACCAGATTGGCTCAAAGAATGGAAATCTATGATGATAGTGAAATAAGAGAGAAACGGCCCAGGTTAGAGGCAGATGCATCTTCGTCTAAAGATTCCACAGAGAATGTAGTTTCCGCAGATATGCTATACAACACTGTATCTAGCGTGGTCAACGCGAATTCAACAGTGGCTGTTGAAAATCATACAAAGAGTAAGAATGATTCAAAACTGAAAAGCCTTGAAAGTATGGACCCCACGACATCAACGGAGAAAACAACACAGCCGCAAAGAGCTCAAGCATCAAAAGAGCTTTCATCCGACGAGGGTTCGTCTAATTTATGTTTCTTAATGAATCAACTGAACCTGAAGGATGAACTATCACAAGTGAAAACAACTAATGTGGCAAACCTGGAAGCAACTGCGACAGTAAGAGAGGGACCGAACCAAGGGCCACGTGGCAAAGGGAAAGAAATTGCCGGTGAAACTATTTCTTTTTCTCACGAAAATGAAAAAGTAAAGATTCAAGAACAACTGGGATGTAAATACAAAGAAGCAAAGGACTCGGTTATCGTGAGTCACGAAAACCTGAATGAGCGTCCTACTGTTACACCGAATATCACAATGAATGAGAAAAATAAGTTGCCAAAATTGGGACAGGATAATCCAAAGTCGTTTCCCGTTATTGTAGATTCAAAAACGATGAATGTTTCACCAAATGTCAATATGTTTGAAAGAAATTTCAAAGCTGATTTAACACCAGCATTCCATCAACTTGGTATTATCCGACCTATCCCCAGGCCTCCTTTACAATCTGTTTGTGGTCGTGGCGTGGTACCAGAATTTTCTACACCTTCCCAATTTCATCATCCGCCACCTCAAGTAAATAACATACAGCACTTTCAGGCATTTGCAAATAACCAGTTCCAGTCAATTATGAGAGCAGAGACTGTTATGGGTCGTAAAGTTAACTTTGTGTATTCCCATCCGGTGTTACAACCAATACCCTCGGCACATGTCATGGCACAGAATGATACATTTAGTACAAATACGCATTATGATCCATTGATGGTACCAAATCCTTTAATGATGGGAATTCCAGGTGTGACTGGACATGCATCGCATCATATTGCTCGACCAATACCACATCATATGCCAACACAACCTTGGCAAACCCCACCTATGATGCATCAACCAATACCACGAATGCCACATTTTCCTCAACCCTACGGAGCTCCAGTCCTACCAAACATCGGTGTGAATAGAAACGCTCCTGAATTCATCCCTAAAATGCCAGAACGGTTGCCAAAGATTCACCCAGATCCCACGTTTCACCTGACGCCAAACGGTAACCTAATAAATATGCAAATTAGGTTTGCAGCAAGAAACGACAGGGCGCCTTTACCAGAGTTTAGAGTCTATGGAAATCCTGCTGGCCAGTTCAAAAATGATTTTGCTACAATCAGGCCACCTATCAATAATTTGAATCGGGATATGTATGGGCATAGCGTGGCCAATTCAGCCAACATCAGTGGTAGTGATGCAGCTCATTATATGCACGCAACATCAACTCCGTTGAATGGGAGAAACCCATACATTTCCACAAAAAATGTCAATAATGTATACGAACAGCTGACCAAAGAGCAGGAGAATGCAAATATGAATGAATGCAAAATTAATACAGCGGAATATCTGTGGGATAAGATGGTAAACAATCATCTTGGTGTAAAGCAGCAAGCATTTGAACCAGAAGGGAATTTCAAAAACAACAGGAAGATTCCCACATTCAATCGTACTACCCGCACCGTACGAGAGTTAATCAGTGTTCCATTCACGAGCGATGAAAGTAGATTGTTGTATTTACTGAAGAAGAAACATCAAGGTCATCCTATTGCTCAGGAATGGTTGTTTGTGTGCAATGGCCTACTCACAAGTCATTTCAGAAAACTCTGGGGTCCACCTGGCAAGGAACTACAAAATAACTTCCAAGGGGTTAGTCATAATTCATGAAGTGTTCACTATGAGTTAGGTGAAACTAAATTATTTTATGATGTTCAGTGGTTTCCGCCCGACCGTTCTCTCTTTCCTCTAATACTGGATCTTTAGTGTAATTTTGGCGTAAACACTTTTACCTTTCGGGAGTGGTACGTGCGTGCAGCTATTCTTCGGCTTCTTTCCCCGAGTTGTGCGTTTACATGACCAGCGTCTTACTGAGTTTGGGTTTTGGTCGAGGGTCGAGAGTCGAGGGTAGTAAGTCGAGGGTCGAGAGTGAGGTCGAGGGTGAAGTCGAGGGTAAGTAAAGTCGAGGGTCGATTTTTATCGCATTTTACAATCGGCAATGTCGAGGGTGAAGTCGAGGGTCAATTGTAGAAATTCACAATTTGCCTATACTAATATTATATTGTTAATAATATTAATATTATATTATTAATATTATTATTGTTAATATTTTCTTCTATGCAATATGCGATACAGCGTAATCTATACAAATTACATGTTACAAGTATACATACAGATTACAGTTGCAATTTATGAATCTTTGGGCATTATATTTCACAAGTCAGACTTCCAAAACGGGTTAAACTTATTAATTAATTCTCTTGCATGAACATCTTGCCATCTTGCGGTCTCACTTTTTTGTTTTTTGATTCCTGTGTCTTAATAATATCCGAGTTGTCACCTCGAATTGCCGACATAGTGGTGAGACAATGTGCCTGTGGTGTCTGTTTTCACTTTACTGAACTCTTGGCTTGGTAAATACAGCTTTCTATCCGCTAGCGAATCTTTCTACTCGAATCTTTGTTGGACTAAAGATAAATATCGTGAATACGAAGCAGTTCGATAACTCGAGAGACGGTAATAAAAAAAGTCCTATCCTGAGTCCTAGATATTATACTGTGCCTGCATTGCAGTTTGAAAAACAAGCATCGCAAGTCGTAACGCGTAAATAGCAATGCGAAAATAACAAATATATCACATTCTTCCTATGGCTATTTTACTCTTTCCAGTGAATTCAAAACAACATTGTAACATGCAACTGTTTGCAGAACCGGTGAGCTGCCTGCGTTATTCACATGCAACACTTATAATAGTTTCGGACAATAAGGCGGAAAATATATTACCCTCGACTTCACCCTCGACATTGCCGGTTGTAAAATGCAATAAAATTCGACCCTCGACTTTACCCTCGACTTTACTCTCGACCTCACTCTCGACCCTCGACTTTCTACCCTCGACCCTCGACCCTCGACCAAAACCCAAACTCCGTCTTACTAGTGCTTGAACAGTACGAAAATGTTTATTATAATCATCAATCCATAATGCATTGCTTTGAAACGTTTTCACACCCTGCGTGTGTGACACACTTAATCTTATCTATGTATTTCGTTTAAAGGTAGAAAATGCCAACTGCGTGTGCTCAAGGGCACCAGCCACGTTGAAGTGTTATGGTTGTTCCAAACAGTTCTTTGGACGAGTTCGTTTTCATTGTGAATTTCATCCATATCGCGAATACTCAACAGATTTAATGTTTTGTCCTTACTGTGGAATTGACTTACTTTGGACAGAAAGCCATGGTGAATTGAGATGTAGAGGCTGGTAAATGATATTAGCGTAAAAAAGTATAAAATGATAATTGACTTCACTATAATATAATAACATTAAACATGACTAGCTAACGGTATTATTACTTATTGGTATACTATCTATTGTAATATGACTTAGAAGTCTTATCAGTAATATATTATACATGGTTGTAAACTTGTAATTATTTTCGTAACTATGATGAGGTTTAATAAATTCTATTGTACATTCATTGATGTTATAGAGTACGCGCTGTGCAGATCAACATTCACGACGGTCATATTCGGAATACTATCGTGGGTAAATAAAGCTACAACTCGCAATGCGAATGTACCGTTGTACGAAATCTGCAGGAAAAGTTGTTCAAATTGGTATAGCCGTGCGTTGCGCACTCTCATTGTATTGCATCGTATAACTTGTATAACCGCGTGTTAATTCAATATTACCTTTCCCCGGAAGTCAAAATCTATTCTTCCTGTTATTGTTTTTGGACTTTGTTGCGCATGCTCTCAAGTGTCAGGGTCAAATCAAGTGCAAATTATATTAGTAAATCGCAGTGGAACAGAGATTGAGTAGAAAGGTGGCAGGAAACGATGATTAGAAATATTAAATGCAATAGATGTAATTTTTGCTTACACTTTTCTTTTAAAATGAAAACGTATGCTAGTTCTGCTATCTGACTTTAAATATAAGCTATTAAACGAAAATGAAAGAGACTGCTGTTACTTCAAAATCAAACACGAGTAATGGCATCTCTGACAGCGGTGAAAGATCTAAGCTGGTCTACTTTGGATCGCTCGTTATTGATAACAGATACACATCATGTATGCTTCCTTGGATTGTGGCTGAGATTAAGAGGAAATGCCAAAGACAGACTTTGGACGTTGTTGTAGGGAACACAAAGGTTATTGGAACTGGAAATGATACAATTGTCGAACATGGTTTGGTATCAATATCGAAGTGCATTAAACTTGAAGGAAGAGAAAGCTCAACGTTTGCTTATCTTACCAAAGATACAAAAAATAACTCAACTTGCTCGTGCCATGTATATGAAGCTGAAAACACGTCAAAGGTAATTTTCCTCTGCTGATTTCATGATAGAGACATGTATTAAAATTATAATATTAAAATTTGAAATGTAATTTGCATCTGGAATCACGATAGTGTAAACCGTAAACGTCGTTTGCTTGCTGTGAAATGCAAATACTTTCCCAAATTGGATAACATAAAAAATTTCAAAAAAATGTTTAATATACTCCCTATTAAACATACAAATGCATGATATAATTGTGCTAAAATTTTTCCTTCACATTTGATGCTCTGAGCTGCCATATGATATCATGTTTTTGTTTGAAATATTGAAAAAGTGTCATTGGAGAAGGCAAATATTGTATGCGTTTGACAAGATTGACTGATTATTTTTGACTGTATCAAAATTGAAGAAATTGATTAATTACAATAGGATAGGGTTTCATATTTGAAACTAGTTTCCACAATGTAAAAGTAATTGATAATATAAAATGATATATATTTATACAAAACTATATATATGACATGATTCATGCTCTTGAAATGTTGCAAAAAAATTTAAGAAAGTGTGTAGGTGTTGAGCAACATTTCAAAAGCCTTATTCATGATATAAAAATAAAGCTTATGAATACTGTTTTATGAGAACATTTTTAAAAAATATCATCCAACATTTTCAAATTTATATTTAATTATCTATATATTTCTGAAGATCTCAGTTTTCAAATTTTACATTAAAAGAATGGCACAGCAATGTTGGAAACATTGACCACAACCTGGTTTAACAAATATTGGGGTTTTTTGTCATTACATATGTGATAGCATGTTTTCTTCTATTTTTATTTTCATTGCTATTAAATCAATCTTTTTCTGACTTGTTGGTACATTGTTATTATTGTTTTCTCAGAATGTCTGTAAATTATTGTTTTCTAAATTATGAATATATCAAATTTAAAAAAAATGCCATTCTAAAAGTACTTTTTTTGAACTTAGCAACTTAAAAATGTATCATATATATATATATATATATATATATTTATATATATATATATTGAACTTAGCAACTTAAAAATGTATCATATATTATATATATATATATATATATATAATTATATATATATATATATATATATATATATATATATATATACCGGTACTAGTAATGTCTTTAATATCTAGTAGCCAGGGTTTGGATAGGAATTTCCTTGCTTTTGGTTATTTGCATGTTGTTTCTTGTTTGTTTGCAGGCTGGTCGGTTTCTTGTAGCATTGAAACAAGCATTGGAAGAATGTAAACGTCCACTACCATTGAAAGATATCGTCAAAAAGGATGCAGCATTACAAGATCACCTGCATGGAAAGGAAGACCAACAACATGTGCAATACAGTGTAACATATGTTGGTAGACTGGGTGTATCACACAGGAGAGCACCTGAAACTTTAATTGACAATTCAGTAGAGAGATTTCATCATCATAATCAACAGATATTATTGACATCAAAATTAAACTCTCTGAGAACAGAACAAAATGAAAGTGAAACACCAACAGAGGAACGTCGTGCTGGACGGTCGCCAATTAAAACTATGAGCATTGAAATTGAGGGTGTAAGGCCAGGACAGGAAGATACTGAAGATGTAGTTCGACCACGTTCTGTTAGTGATGGTACACCTTCATTCTTAATGAATCCTACTGCACGTCAAGAATCAAATCCATTTGGAAAGCCAATAAAGTCGAACAGGAAGTTCAGTATCCTCTCAGAAAGTCGCATTCTAGTCATGGATATCTCTGTTTATTCAATCACTTTCAGTTCTTCAGTAACTGGGAAAGTTGTAATGCAAAGAAAAGTGCAAGAGATCTCATTCTGTCAACAGGTACAGTGTATAGTGTGTTTAATAATTGTTATATTAAAGAATGTCCTACATATAAGAATATTCTGGTTTTTACAAGTTTTGTTCACCTTTGTAAGGCAGAGCTGGCATTGGATTTCTAATTATAACTGTACCTCTTGTGTTAGCTTGTTTCATAAGTTTACAAGACAGGAAATTTGTGTTAAAGTGAGAAGATTTGGGAAGTTAGGTTCTACTATAAAATGACATTATTTTAATGGCATAATAGCTCAGTTAACTTAAGAAACCTGGTGTACTCACATGGTGCCCCTCGTTAGTCTTGAGATCACCACAGTCTGCCTTTTTCATACTCTTTCAGTAAGCGGGTGAAGAGAAGTATTAGCTTTTACACAATTTTTATTCTACTTCTTGCAGTGAGCACTGCTTTCTCTGCTTCTACCTTGAAGGAAAAGAAGCTAACCTGACGTGGCTAATATAGCATATATTTCCCTAGGCTCTTTTTGGCCCTTATCTCTAGCGCTAAATGTACTTGAGCACATTTAACTTGATTTCCTTTTAGGGCACCATTGAACCAGAGCATTTTGGCTTCATTTGTCATCATCCTAAGAGTTCCCAATATTACTGTTATGTATTCAGAGCTGAATCAAAGCAAGAGGTTTGTTTTACAAGTACATTAATAAACTGACAAGGCTATATTTTGGTTGCCTATTAATGAAATACTTCATGATTACTAATTTATTATACTCATAAATTGTGCTTATAAGTTATAACACTAACATCCATTCTTAATTTTCACATGTTTGTTGTTTATTTGTCATGAAATGATGTAACAATTCCCTATTAATTTTTAGGTGAATAACATCATGAAATCTTTGAAAAGATCTTTTACTTCTGCCTGGCAAGCTGTAGGTTCTACAGCACCATGTGAAAATTGTCCTTTACACAAGCTACATTGTTTATGCCAATTGTTGGAAGGTACAGTACATATAGTTTACTAATTAAAAAATGTAATTAGTAAAGTGCATCTAAAGATTGTCTACAAGAGACAACATGTATACTGTTACAAAATACAGATTATACCAATTTCTAACTGATCTGCCATTTTGACATTAAAGATAATGCACAAATATTGTGTCAATTTTTTGCCAGATATGCCTTATGACTGCACTGAAGTGTAATGATAAATGACTGAATACACTGAGCTCTTTATTTACACAGGACAGAAACACACTGATCAAGAAACTATTATACGTCAGCATTTAATCAACAACTTTGGTGATTGTGTTCTGGAAGACTTCAAAAAGAAATACCAGGTAAATCAGAGTAAATGTACTCTTGCATTTCTGAATGATACGTGTGTTTGTTTACCTACTGTAGATTTACGCTTTCCAAATTATGGTGACAAGAGAAATCTCATCAAAATTACACCAGTTCGGCGTTGTTAAATAACAATTAACGAGATTCAGAATCGTGTTGAAATTCTTCTATTGTTATTTGCAGGCGGAGTCGAAACGTCGCGATGTAAATGAACAAAATGAAATTATGATGTCATTGATACGTCAACGGTATGAAGAAATGCAGGAGGTTCATAGACACCTACCAAGTGTTCAGGTATGAAGAATGCGTGTTCAGGTATTATACATGTTCCTCAACTTTCAATTCCAGTCAGACTCTTAAAATTGTGTTGGAAAAATCGACAGAATACCTGATAAAATCGTTCCGGTAATGGTATTCTTTCTAGACACAATACACTTGTCTGCTTGACGAAGCTGGTTTCAGAGCTATTAAATGAGAATTCGACAATATAACATCTGGGAGTGAAATGTTCCAATGGGAGCTGTTTATAATGTCTCGTAAAAAATACATAGTCCAACGTTAAGGATCTAAAACTGGCAATTTACCTGGCCTTGGAGTCTACGAATTAACGTTTAGAAGACAGCCTTCATTGAATTAGCAGTTTGATTGTCTACTAACCTTAAGACTGCAAATTCCAAGTGAATATCTCAGGAAACCACGTATTACTCATTAACCTATTGCACTTTATCGTGCATTCTAATAATTTTGTCTTTTTCGTCCGTCCAGGTTCAACGGACTGGCACTGCTGCCAAAGAGAGACCTCCGCAAAACATCATAGCTAAAGCAAAACGTTCTCTGGGCGATATATTTCGGGTATGCTTAGGCGTAATTCTTGTTTATATTCTGTAATTATTCGAGTAGCACTGAACTGGCTTGACAGGTCAAAATATAATTTTTTTTATTAAGTCAAAAACAAGAAGTTGGAGTAGAGTTGATCTTGATGGGGCATCTTCTGCTGACGAAGCTGAGAGTAAGGTGCGGAAGATGGTATTTTATACTAGCTAATTGCGATGATCCGGGAAAATACTGAAGATATATAGCACATGTAGCTTTCGTATGTACCATGGCAATCAGCCTATAGACATTGCTCGAATGCGTCTGGAAACACTGACCTACACTATAAATGAATTGAGCACACGATCTAGGATATTTAATCAGGTGCTCGATGCCGCCATCACTGCTCACTACGAAGCTATGAGGCTACAGTATGAGTCTTTAGTACATGTCATGCTGTGACTTGAACCTGATTGTGAGGTGCTGCTAGATTTAGTACACAGAAGAACACTGATAGTTACTGGATAAAACATCACAGCCGTTTTTAGATGTTCCGAACTTAACAAAGTTGACAGCTACAGTATTTGTGATTGTGCCTGCGTGCAGTGTAGTTATTTCAGTAAATGAATAACATAAGTTATATTTTGGTGCATGTTTGACATTGCTAGACTGGGGGTAGCAGGCATCAATTGCAACATCAGAAACGTGTCAGTGTTCACGAGATGCCCAAAACACCGGGAACCGAAGAGGAGAAAAACGAAGTTCCTGCGAGCAATGAAATACTCAACAAACCTAAACGTACGCACCGCAGATCCTACAGTGACATCAGTCATGGTTTCAAATCACCAACCAAGGTAGTTTAAATTACTTTGTTATATTAAGTCGTACAACTCCTGGCCTGGAACGTTTCGTGCAAAATTGATTCGAATCTTTAAATGTGCACGATAAGGTCATGTGAATTATAAGTCCAAACAGCCACCAACACTTATTTTCTACCCTGTCACAAATATGATGCTTACTGATTTACTGTACTAATTTGAGGGTTAACCTAGTAAATTAGGTTAGTTACAGTACGTTAGTTACAGTTAGTAGCATTTAGATCTAGCTTTTTACCGAAGTTTTGAAATTTGAAATTTCTTTGTGAAAATAACCAAGACGTTGCCCTCCGTTCTTCAAAGCTTACTTAGCAAGCTCCTCAAAACAAAAATTATAAACTATTCTTTCTTGTACACTTTGTTCGTCTATGAATAAGATGAGAGGATTCAAGGGCGTTACTAAGTTAATTGTGTTGCAAGATTGCTCAAAATGTAACAAAAAAGTGCACAGAGTTAAGAATATCTCTTCAAAGATGCCATTGAATACTCTACTACATACAAGGTAAAAATATTTCAAACATGATTTTCACAGGTTGTAAAAGATCCAGATGACAGTCGAGAGCATGTTTCTGATGATGAACATTTTCGTGTTGAGGATCCACATTGTGAAGACTCCAACACAACCAGCAGTCCTAAGAAGTCGCTATCAAAGAAACCGTCTTTTCGCCTTGCAATCTTTGATAGTGTTGCCACACTATCGAAACTACCTAATATGGCTATTGCGGAGGACAGAACAGCTAAGAAATCACGTGAGCAGCTTCGGGCATTATGGAAGAAAGCAATCATGGAACAACGACTTTTGATTCGAATGGAAAAAGAGAATTCGAAATTGCGAGGTAATTTAATGTTAATTGTAAAAAGTTTCGCCGCATGTTTGACAAAGCGTAACGCGAGCTGTGCTATGGCAAGTAATATAACTACAGTATTGGTTGCTGTTGAGTAATTTCAAAAGGAATAAGTCGCTGTGATATGATGAAGAGACACCAATTCGTATTCCTAGTGGCTTCAAACATACTTTGTACTTTGTTAATATTTTTTTTTATCTCTTTGTGGAATATTTACTTTAGCTGGCGAAGGCATAGCCAAAACCAAGCGTCTTAAATTGGAGTATAAAGAAGTTCAATCAAGCAATTTAGCAAATGAAATGTGGAATAAATTGTTAACAAATGAAAATTTGGTCGATCAGGATTCTCTTGTTGATATTGTTAGGTCTGGTATGTTGGAGCTTTCTTATATGAAGTACAAAGTAATCAATTCAAAACAATTCCTGTTCCTATTGATCCGATCCAAAATTCAATTCTTGTGTTCATCTTTTGGCTTCAGTTCTTATTCTTAAATCCTGCAGGTGTACCGAAGACTCGACGTGGGGAAATTTGGCGATTTTTATTAAAGCAAAATTTGTTGAGAAACAAACAAAAGCCCAGATTATCAATGATACAGTCTTACAAAGAATTAAAAGAGAGGAATTCTGTTCATCAACATGCAATACTCATTGACTGCAGTAAGTTAATGTGTTTGGTTGCAACTACAATTTTTTGTAGGTCAGTTGCTGTGTTTACCCCCAAAGCAAATGACACCTTTACATAGTGTACTGTGTTGAACTAAAAGATAATGGTATTCAAAACTTCAGTGATGTCTATCACTGATGAAGTGTGAATGTCTTTTACCATACCAATCTCATTGTGTTTCAGATCGAACATTCCCATCGCACCCTTACTTTAGTCAACATGTGGGTGTTGGTCAGTTTGCTTTATTTAACTTACTAAAAGCATATTCAAATTTGGATCCTGAACTCGGATATTGCCAAGGTTTAAGTTTTGTTGCTGGGATACTTCTCATGCATGTAAGTCTTTTAGCCTTGACATATATGTTTTTCTCAAATTGCTGTCAGAATGACTTAAATACAAAGAATATAATTGAATCAACCTGCAAGCTCTGTTCTCACATATTTCACAAAATTGTTTTCTTGACAGCTCAGCGAAGAAGAAGCTTTTGAAGTTTTGCATCATTTGAATTACTATTATAGACTACGTAATCAATACATGCCTGATATGGGCGGCTTGAGAGTAAGTAAATTACATATTCAACTCTTCGCTAAATATAAAGAATGTGCGGTTTCGTAGAGACATTTCAGGACTTTTCTTTTTTTTATAATTCTCTTAGGTACAGTTTTACCAATATTCTCGTCTTCTTCACGATGCCTGCCCTCGTCTTTATGATCATTTTGAAAACTACGAAGTGACACCGGCCCTTTATACTGCATCATGGTTTCTTACTCTCTTTGCTTCCTTGTTCCCCGTTTCGTTTGCTTGTCGAGCACTAGGTAAGAAGTGATTTTCTTCTTGAATGACATGTTGCCATTCATACTGACAACACACATGTTTTTCTCAAGATTTGCTGTGCCTTGGAGGGTTAGAGACTGTTTTCAAGGTAAGCTTCTAGTATAAATTGTGTATGTATTATGTATATAAATGTTTCTTTTCCGCTCCAGAAGCCTAAATAAGGTTTATCATTCGCTTCCGCCATTTTTGCCGTACGAAAAGTCCTCTTTCTAATTCGGAAAAACAAGTCGAAAAGGTGTAATACCTTCTCAGATTTTACGTTATCTGCTGGCCTTATTTCGTAAATTCGTCATCATATTATGAGCTTTCAAAATGTGACTTTTTTACCTGGCTGACCTCACAATCAACGTATCCACTTTATTGTGTTTCTGAATCACAATATTTTCCGGCAGGTGGCCATAACTCTTGTCAGTCGTTTCCAAGACCAGATCTTGGCTTGTGAAAGTCTTGAAACAATTGTGGAATTTCTGAAGATTGACCTACCACAGTTAGCAGTTGATCAACAAGAAAGTATCATTAAGGATGCTCTTGCTATGGATATTGGAGACAAAATTCTAAGATTTGAAGTTGAATATCAAGTTTTTCAAGAGGAAGAAATAAATCCAGAGCTTCTGAAACCATATATAGAGAAAGCTGAGAAACTAGCTGAGGAAAATGCAAATTTGAAACGTCGTGTGAGTGGTTTGAAGAAGGAAATAAAACGAAACGAGAAAGTTTTTCTAGAAAAGATTAATGAGCTGGTAGCCGAGAACAGCAGGTTGAGATCTCTTGCCAACGTGAATGTAGAAGAAAGTCCGCCATTGAATGATAATCATGCTAATGATCGTGTGATATATAATGATGATGATCGTTCTGGCGACATATCTCCAGGATATGTTGAACTTACTGCTACTGGTCACAGTTTTGATATAAATTCAGGTGACATTACTGGTGATAGTGGTGTGGTGTATGGTGATTATTGTGTGATGAATGATGGTGATAATAGTGCTGGGTATTCACCTAATGAACCAATTAAAAACTCATGTACAAGTCCAACAGATGATAACACAGATAGTTTCGAGCACATTCTGGGTGGAACTGATGATGAGACTGATGCTTTGTCTTGTGATTCACCGCTAACTATTGAAGATTCACTATGTGACCAGTCTATTAGCCCTGAGTCAGAACATAACTCGACAAAACTGTAGGGAAAATATATAATTGTAATTTATCACGCAGAAAGTAAAGGTAATCTTTGAAAAGGTTTTGAAACTAAGGTATCCAGTATGCCTAACGATTTCTCTTCTGTATGATAATACAACGAGAAATAGAAAAGATTCTTTTCAGTTTTACTACTATTTAAATTATAATACAGGCTTGCTTCATGTGAGTATGTGATTAGGTTAAATTCAGGCAATATTCAGGTTTCAGCGAGTTTGGGAAACAAGATAAAAACTTCTATATAATCATGAAAAAAATTATTTTTTTACATATTACGGAAATTGAATTTGTCCGAATACAAATAATATGAAGATAATTTAATAATTGGATTATAGTTTATTTGTAATATATAAGATAATTATAAGAAAACAGAAGAAAAAACTTATTAATATTTGCTACAAATAAATGAATATGCTGCTTTATACCTATTTGTGTTCGTTGTGTTAATATCGACAACAACATGGCCAACTGCAATACTAGCCCGGTAATACGTCTTTCAATAGACCCGGTAATACGTCTTTCAATAGACCCGGTAATACGTCTTTCAATAGACCCGGTAATACGTCTTTCCATAGACCCAGTATTACGTCTTTCCATAGACCTGGTAATACGTCTTTCAATAGACCCGGTAATACGTCTTTCCATAGACCTGGTAATACGTCTTTCAATAGCCCCGGTAATACGTCTTTCAATAGACCCGGTAATACGTCTTTCCATAGACCTGGTAATACGTCTTTCAATAGACCCGGTAATACGTCTTTCAATAGACCTGGTAATACGTCTTTCAATAGACCCGGTAATACGTCTTTCCATAGACCCAGTATTACGTCTTTCAATAGACCCGGTAATACGTCTTTCAATAGACCTGGTAATACGTCACAACTTTAACGCTTTTAATTTATGACTACCTTAATGATATGGATTTCAAGTTTTACTCTCACGAGCTACATGCAAAGATGTGAAACATTCTTTTTTCACATATGCATAAATATTTTTTCATTGAAACTGTATATATAGAAATAGGCCAAACACGAAAACGAGAAGAATTGAGCCATGGTCTGTGTTATAGCTAATTCCACATTTATTCGTTAAAATATTTCATGTATGTGTTGAAGAAGAATGCTTTACTCTTCTTGTACATGGCCAAAACTACGAATGTTTCCAGATCAGTGAAGAGGTCAGGATCGTTTGTCTCGTGATTGTTTTGCTGCATCATCATGCTTTCAGTCGTGATTTTCAATTTTTTTCATCCAGTTACTTTGATCTCTGCTAACGCAAGAGCAACTCTCGGTAAAGTTTCAGAAGTCGTTTATTGACAAGAAAAGAGAGGGCGATGAATAATCCTTGTAGAGAAGCAAACAAAACAAACATGATCGAAAATATTGCTGAATCCAATAAAACGTCAAGGAATCCAAAAACCCAAGTTATTCCAGTGAGAGATGAAAGTTTTAAGTAGATCCACACTATGTTCTGTTTATGACGTTTTCCTCCGGATGTATAAAGTTCTTGGCTTTTGCGTTTTTCGAGTTGAATCTTTATAATTGTATAAAGAAACATAGCTGTATTGAAAAGGACGATAAGGCCGACTGGTAAAATAAAGAGGAATAACTGTGCTTGTCTGTTTGTAATCCAACATGCCGCTCGTTCGTGTTCCGAGCTATAACCAGCATCATAGACGTTGAAAAAATGAAGAAATGTTGTAACTGAGATGAATAGAAGTGGAACACCCCACACAAACTCACTATAGATCATAAAACGTTTCTTATCTTCCATAAACGTAGACGGGCGTCTCAGTTTCTTTGGGGCTAAAATTGTTTTTGTATGAAATGCAATGACCGACATCGCTGTAAATGTCACTAAAAATAGATAATGTTCAATGATACTGACGATTGTACAGAATTGAGGCCATTGTATCTGCGGTACTCCAACTAACCAAAGCAGTTGGGCGAGGAACAGGGAGACAGCAAGATTGAGAAGATTTTTTCCAGGAAGTTTACGCAATTCTGAGAAAACCATATATGTAAGGATTAAAGCGGATAAGCTCAGCAAAGATAATGTAAAAGTGAAAATCGTTAAAATTTCCATTGCCTCTAAAATATAACCAAATTTTTCTCTGGTACGTTCGTGCAAAAGCGTTCTATTGGTGCATAATATAAGTGTGTCGTTGTCCATTCTATAATCACCAATGTTGTAAAGTCCTTGCGTTCTGTTGTAGAAAACACTTAAATTTTGAAATATTATATACTCCTCTTGTTTCAAATATACTTGTACTCCTACACAATTTGAATGAACTATGTCGTCGCAGATTGTGATGCTTGTCCCTTCAGTAAACACCTCGTGTGGTGGGAATGTCTGGTTAGTTGATATGACATGATATCTATTATTTTTCAACCGGGTATATTCCTCTTTCGCGTAGCTTTTTAAACCAATACAGGCCAGTCTTCGAGCTGTCACCTTAAAGATTTTAAATTGATGTGAAGATATTTGTATAATGCATTCATGTGTAAAATGCAAAATATCAGCAATAGACAATGTTTCCTTTAGAATTTCTTTGCGGAGTTTCGTTGACTGAATGAACACAGTTAGACGTTGGATACTTGTTAACGTTACTTCAAACTCAACGATATGATATGTCTTTATTTTGTGGATAGTAACATCTGATATTTGAGTTTCATTCAAGTAAAATTGTTTTGTCAATGCAGTCACAAACTCTGTGGTGTTGATGTTGAAATAGGATTTATTACGATGAAGATTCTGAAGCCATAGTACAACATGGTATTTATCTGTCAAATCTTTCACAGGAGGCATAAGTTTACCACGTTGACATATTTCTAGAAGAGAATCGAAAATCTTTCCTGTTGGACATTTTCGAGATACCGTGGATACTCTCCATGTTTCAGGATCATTCATTATGATTGAAAAAGAAGGTACGACTGGGCGTCTAGAATTGAATGCTGAAACTCCACGAGAAATTCGAAGACCACAAGTCAATACATGAATCGGGATTTCATTGCACTGCGCACACCAAACATTTTTGTAGTTGGCAAATCTTTTGACAACGGCTACTGGGCCATTTCTACATTCCTCGGAGACATTATTGTAAAGACAATCGTCTTTCACTTCATAACTGCAATATCGTCTAGCTTGGTTCTGACCAGGCATCATAAAAATATGGCCATACCCACAATATTTTAGCACAAACAAGATCATGTCTTTGAAATTTGATATGGAAGTAGGAGGTATGATAGAGCAAGTTATATTCAATGAAAAATAGTCAAATGTTTCAATGTAATTACAGCGCGCACAAAATTCGTTCCGATAAACGATGTTATTCATATCTATCACTGGTAAATGTAGGTAAATTGACTCAATTTTAACTACAAAATTTGTAGAAATGTTCTGACATTTAAACAATGTTTCTTCATCCAACCAACCATGAGCACATACGGTGACCATCCAGATAGTTTTACCTTTGCCTACATAACCAGGTAAACATGATACCATACTATGGTCTAAATTTCGGGTCTTATTCATACCATATTGTTGTTTACCGCAATAAACTTCATAGTCATAGCAGCAATCATTGTAAACAAGATAACATTGGTCATCACAATAACAATTATACTCTTGGCTGTCTATTAACTTGTTGTTTTTATCGTTGTTGTTGTTATCACAACGTTCACGACATGTGTCGTACTCCGTGCAGACAATACCAAAGGAACGAATATTTCGGTTAGTATGAACATATTTATTTTTATTATTCCTCATGTAGGCAACAATACGTTCTGTTTCTGTTGTCCTCGTCAGTGACTCAGGCCTTAAAAATTAAATTAAAAACTGAGAAAAACTTTTTTTTGAAAAAGCTGTACGTATGACGAAAATCGCGTCGTGTGTACCTCACTTATACTTTCTTACTGAATAAACCCGCAGTACAATTACAAACATCAGATTTCAAATTTTGCTATCTGCAAATGAGCAAAAATGTGGCATTCAACAATCGACACTCACTAGTTATCGCTTTTCAGACTGAATAACAGTTGTCATGTAGAACTGATCGTGTATCATGCGTGAATGCATATAAGAGAGATCAGAGATCAATGATATAGATTTGAGAAACCTTTAATGCGCGTCACTATTTGACCACATAAGTAAAATTAATTTCAAAAATAAAGGTAAAAGTCATTCCATTTTTCCAATACCTTTTATTTTTCTTTCGTTTACATATTCTACCACTTGACTGATTTTTTGTTCCTTCACTGTTTGTTTCATCTTTCCTGGTTTTGTCCTTCTCGTGGTCATGAAGCAGACGTTCAACAAGCCTGATCTTTGCCACACCATGTTTAGATTTCGTTGGTACTAAAGATCCTGCATCGTCAAATATATTGTAGTATATTACGAGAATAAGAAGAATAGGATAAGTTGTCGACCACAACATTTTTAAGATATTAATCAAGTTTTATCTCAAGGTATAATATATAGCTAGCACTTTACGCTCATGGATTAAAGCAATTAAGTCAAACTGAGAGTGTTGAACAGTAGGAAGGGCAATTTATCTTTATCTTATAAACCTGCATGGCATCAGTTTAATGTGCTAATAAGACATTACAGCTTTTAGGAAACGAAAGCAAATTAAATTACGATTGTGCAATTTTTAGGTATGTCACTTTTAACTCCTGTCCAAATTTGATTAATCCGGCTTTCACAATACAAGGCGTAAAGTTAAAAACAATTATAAAACCAAACAAAAAGTGCTATTCGTGTCATAAAAATGGATTATCTTGTCTTGTATGAAGTGAGGTATGGTTAATTGAGGGGAACGTTGGCATTATACTGTAAAGACAAACATTAATTCGGATTAGCCACTATATGTGCATGCCTGGTTTATATGATGCATAAGTTAATTTTACATTTTTTCTCCTCGCCAAGTTCTGTTTATTTGTCGGTGTTTTTTCAGTAACGTTTTAATAACGGTAACTGACGATTTTAAATTGTTATAAGGTGCAATAATGGTGTTTTAAGAATTGAGATATTTATAGAAATAGGCATTTATTAGCGATTTCACCTTTTTGACAATCTGTTTATATCAACTTTCGTGAATGGAAGGCTTGCTAACAGAAAAACAGGCGCCATACAAACTGATATTGGTATTATCATTGGAAAAAAATGCAAACTTATGCCTCATTTTGTGTCAATGAAAGCTAAGACACAACCTTTCCCCAAAGTTAACTCTGATTGTCTCCGCCCCTAAAACTAAATAAAGCCCTGCAATATTTAAAGAACGTAACTTGCCATAACAAAAAAATAACAGTACATAGATTAGACTACAATGCATTGCAAGTATTAAGAATAAATTACTGAGAAAATAAGGATTAAAAAACTAACGAATTTCAACATAACGGTGAAAATGAACTTCCTTATACTAAAAAAGATTCCTTTTTAGATTTCATAATTTACATCCGTCGTCCTCCTCGTTACAGCCGGCAATTGAAATGATATTTTATATTTAATTCGAGAGGAATACATGAATAAGGATATGTGTGCTGGTGTGTTGCTTCAGGAAATATTTTGTTCGAGATTGCAGTTAACGCTATAGTGTAGCTGTCTGATTCGAAGTTTCAAAGCATCGCTTAATTGGATGCAAAGTTGAAATTTGTTTATACGAAGAAGCATTGATGATTCTTTGCGAAGTGTTGGTTTTGGTGGTATTCTGAATAAATGAGATATTACACAGTTCAAACAAAATCATAATTTCAATTACAGATATTTGTTCTTCCACATGAGTAATCAAACTTATTTCAAATCAATTTTGTTTTATATTTGTCTTTATTCTTGTTAGCAAAAAAGTACTTAAGCAAGAATTTCTCCCATGTTTAAATAAACGCTAAATATATTAAGCATGTTTTATAAGGAACTTTGTGTCATTCCCTTCGTTTATCGTTTTTATTGCGACTAGGGACCTCAGTAATTTCCTGTTTCAAAGTTTTGCGCGATTTTCTACTTTGTGCCAAAATGCATGAAACGTTTTTAACTGGAACTATGGTAATTTAAATTTCTGGGTTCTGATAAACTTAGAATTCCAATATGTTCCCCCTCAAGGAGCCCTATATTCTTCACTTTCTCATCAAGAATTGCTCCGCTGTTCCTGCGCGACCGAATAAGATCAAATGTATGTAAACCAGACTCCAAAGTTTACAATGTCAATGATCACAATTTTTCTTATATTCCATCTTTATCATTAAATAGGCTAATATATACATTTCGATACACTTCCCATTTATCCTAAACTTGGGAAGTTGGGGAGGGGTTTATGTAGCGAAACTCCATTTTGAATTTTTTTTATATAGAATGGAGCGTATTTACCATTCAGTAAATGTTTCATGTTTCACGCAAAATGCTCGTTAAGACATCATCCTATTTCTATACTGTGTTCAACAGGTGTGTTTGTAAATAGAAAATTTTATCCAAACAAGAATTATTTTTTAATTGAACTCATCTAGAACGAGTCAGCTGTTCAACTAAAAGAAGACAGAAATCCAGAAGAATTAAATGACTATAGGTTGAGGTAAAAGACGTGTCGTTTGTGCTTTCATTTTTGAACGCCGCTAAGATGGATTCTCGTCTCCTGCTGTTGAGCGTTTTCTTTTCGCTGTTTTTAAGCTCGTATTGCGATTGGTATAACTCAAACAGACAAAGATTGAATGCTTTTAAAAAGAGTTTTAAAAATAGTGAATCCGATATAATTATTTTCGTCGATGTTTCGGGCAGTGTCAGAAGTTATGGCTTTCGAACAGAAAAATATTTTGTCACCAGTTTGCTGAATGAGTTTAGTGTTGCTTACTATTCAACACGTGTTGCAGTCATCACATTCGGTGAACGGATTAAAACCAATATAAATTATATCAACCTTGAATCAAAAGGCGCTGAAGACACGACAAAATGTGAATTCAAGAAAATATTTGAACATCAAGTGACGTTTCGTAATGGCGGTGCTACAAACATGAAATCTGCGTTTAGAACTGCTAACGACCTATTGGAAGAGGCACAAAGACTTGGGTGGAAAAGAAGAAACGTGAATACAGTGGCCATCATGATAACTGATGGTGCTTGGAATATGGGCCACCCTGGAAATGAAATCAATCGCTTGAAGAATGGTTTTAATGTTGAAATTTTCTCGGTCGGAGTAGGTTATGCTGTTCACTCACAATTACAAACGATCGCCTCCCGTCATGATAATGTTATCTACGCAAATGATTTTTATCAATTTAAAGAACTCGCTAAGTATATTAGAGGAGGTAGGGGGATTGAAACATTTTGCGAATAAGATAATATCTTTAAGTTAGACCAGAAATAAAAATCCTGGATACAATTGGGTTGCATGAAGCACCATGGTACATCATGCAGGCCGCACAGTCGAGAGTCTAAAGGGACATGTTCAACATTTAGGATGAACGTTTTATACCAGTTTCATTTTAAATGAAACATAATTAGCCGTGAAGTAGAAAATAATTTTGCATTCAAAAATAAACCTTCCGTTGCAGTGTGGTTTAATATGACTGTTTAATCTTGTGTAAAATTTACAGATGCACATGAACGTGTTTACTATCGGGTATCGGATGGCAGATGTTCTACACAATGTCATAAAAATGGTTTCTGTTCCTGCGGTACTGTGGGTGGAAGATATGTCTGTGCCTGTAATGCAGGATTTTCTGGAAATGGAATTGACTGTGAACGTGAGTAGTTATCTTTAACCTTTTTATGTCTTTCCACAAAAAATCAGTCACACGTATGGATGGTTATCTCTAATTAGGGACCCTTAACTACTGAAAGGTCTTGGGGCCTGGAAGCAGGGGGGTTGTGGCACCAAAAAGAGAAATAGAAGTTTTCAAAGGAATTATTACCCAGCTGATATGGGCATAGACGGTTTTTTTCACTCCCTGATCCAAAATTTTAAGGTTGTTTTAGGACATATGGTTGGCGTGGAACAGAGCCCTGGGTGAATTTATACTGGGCTCTTATAGTCACAGTTTAAATCAAGAACATTTATATAACGCCAGCAATTAATAAACCATAAAGTACCTTCAATAGCTATAATAGCTATCTTTTCAGTGACGTTATATCGTGAGTTTACTGTTTTCTGCAATTTTAGCCTGCCCACGTGGCTCTTTCAAAGATTTTCCTTCGCCAACGAAGTGCACAGGATGTCCTAAAAATTCAAATACTGCGAACACGGGAAGTATTTCAATCACCGACTGTGTTTGCAAAGAGGGATACGAAGGAAATCCTGGGAGGAAGATTGACTGTACAGGTATCTAAACATTTATAGCAAGGAAAACCACTGATAAAATATGTTTCGTGAAGCACATGTGACTTCTAACGTTACCATTGTATCACTGCCATCACACCGTGGATTAATTGCAAAAATCTTTTAAAATAATTATAAATATCTGCTTTGGACATGGTACCTTTGGACATACTACCTTTGGTATACTTTTTGTAGCCCTCTTTTTGCGGTTTTCTTCCTTTTTATAAAAATATATAAATAACGCTACTGTTTGCATGACATAAAGAACGTTTTTTTCAAAACTGGAAAGAAAAGAGTGATAACAAATTGAGAAATGACATGCATGTGTTAGGATAGTTTTTCATCGTCGTGTATAAGAAGAATGGACTTGAGAATTGAATCGCGTGAACTACATTTTTTTAAATTTCAAATTGCTTATCTTCATTTCAGCCGTGAAATGTCCGCATATAGCTGCTCCACAGAATGGTCAAATGTCTGGAGATAAATGTCATGATTCATACCAAGCAAAATGCTTCTTCACATGCAATACTGGCTTCTTACGTTACGGTCCACCATTTAGAGAATGCTTGTCAAATCGAAAATGGTCGGGTGAAGAAGTTCGCTGCGACGGTAAGAATATGCATGTTGATTACAGGAAGCATAGAATAATAATAAACAAAATGAAATCGTTGCAGAGCTCCAGGCACAAATATTTTGCTTACTACGCTCCACAAAATGTACATGGGAATTTTACACGACCGACGTCTGATTAGAAAACCGATTCTATATATTCAATAGTGTCGTTATCACCTCTGTTTCTAGTTCAGCGTTGCAATGATATTCCCCCACTGCATCATGGTACAGCACGTTGTGACGGAACAGCATTTGGAAATAAATGCACGTTCCAATGTGACCGCGGCTACGAACTTATCGGCAGCAATCAGAAAGTTTGCCAAGCTAACGGTCAATGGACAGGGTCGGATGTTGTCAAATGTGAAGGTATAATCTCAAATAAAGTGCTACGCGTTATTCTTGAAAAAAAACCAAAAGCGATAGTTACGTTATGCTAATGATAATAAGAAATATTAGTTTTATTGGAGTGCGACTGTTACATGTGTTTGTAGAGATTCTGGTAACTACAACTTTTTCTCTTTTCGAAAGCTACGAAATGCCCGGCATTGCGAAAATTATCGTATGGTACAGTTGAACCAGTTGATTGCGTCACACGTACACAAAATTACGGAGCAGCCTGCATATTCCGATGTAGTAGAGGATACACTATGGAGAAGGGTACTGGTAACTTGGTCTGCAGAGTAGATGGCACCTGGTCACATGATATCCCAACTTGTAAAGGTTATTTTAACATTACCTTTCACTTTTCATCTTTTGTAGCCATTATATAGTCTGCTACCAGTGGGGCGTTTAAATCCTATAAGTTCAATCAACCAACTGCAAAAATACTTTGTGGATTTTACTTCATTTTTACAGACACACAACCTCCACTGATAATATGTCCAAAAAGCAGAACAACCGGAACTGATAAAAGCAAACCAACGGCAACCGTTGATTTTGGAGGAGTAGAGTATGGCGACAACTCCCAACTGTTTGGAAATGCTCAAATCAAATTCACGCAAACTCCCGAAGGCATAAAAAGTCCGCACAAATTCCCTCTTGGAAGAACCACAATTTCATATAGAGTTGAAGACCAGGCAGGCAACATCAATAGATGCAGCTTTTCTGTCGACGTTGAAGGTAATCTAGGATGTTCTACGATATTCTACTGCGTGTATTCAAAAGTGAAATGGTGCAAAAAAACTTTGAACAATAATTGTATTTTAGATTGTGAGTTTATCGCGTATTTGGAGCGATTTCAAATATAATTATAGCGTATTTCTTAACGCTTACAGCCTTTTTATAAAAAAAATCTTACAGGAAATATGTAAGATATTATCTTACTAAAGATGTAGCTGTCTTGGACGTATCTCCGTGCATGATTTACTATTTAAGACTTTCAATTTGCAGATAATGAATCACCTCGAGTGATTTCATGTCCCAAAGATAAAATAGTGGCAACTAAAAATGATAAAGCTGTTGTTTCCTGGGAACCAGTTATATTCAAAGATAATGCTGGAGATGATAAACTGACTATTATTGGATCTGATCGAAACAACACTGAGTTCAAATCTGGTGCTACTTATAACATCTTCTACACTGCCACAGATGGAAAAAATCCTCATGCACAGTGTGCATTCACAATCACAGTGACATGTAAGCATTGATACGAGAAGTATGGGAAATAGCTGTTAATACACTTTTTTCTGTCCAAGCCTACATGCTCTTGCTTCTTGCTCCATTAAGTCTTCATTATACTTGCAATCTATTTCAGCAATACCGTGTAAATATTACCCACCACCAGTCAATGGCGGTCTCACCATGATAGATTACCTTGGTGGACCTGTAGCAAGTATAGGCTGTAATAAAGGATATGACTTTGCAACCACGCCTGCTCAAGTGTACCAATGTTTTACTGATGGCAGTTGGCTGTTGTGGCCCCCGAACGCAGCGATGCCATGGCCTGATTGTACAGGTAATGTTCTTATTATTACTTATTAATGATTTTAACTGAAAATTTTTGGTACGTGAATCTGATCAGTTCGTAAATTGTTGTCACAAATATCGGCTTTAATTTCGTGGCACGAAATAAACATTTCTGTGGAACTGAAAACTGATCTCTTCAACAACCTCAGGTGATGTCTATGCACTTACCATGCATTTATTGATTTAGTTATCTACAACGCTGATGCCAGAAAAGGAATGGAATTTCAGTACTACTCTGGGGATTGTACAGATCCCAAAGTTCAGCTAGAGGCGAAAAAAAATTTCTTGAAAACTTTCGACGAATTCCTGCAGACTCAATTTCCTGATTTTTGCGACATTGAACAGAGTTGCACAGTCGAAAATGTTCAGATGCTCTGTGGTCAAAAACAAGCAGTTGGCAACCGGCGTAAGCGAGGAATTCCAGGGGTAAGTAGAGAGACTTTTTTCCCTTTCCAAGTTAGATTCCTTTACACTAAAGTCGTTTGTAAAAATCTTCCTTACCAGAAAACTCTATTTATTGACATTGAAATTAAAATGGCAAATAAGAAGGGAATAAAACCAGAGAAACTAAAGCAAGCTCTTGATAGTGTCTCGGGACAAGTTAAAAACGAACCAAAACTAAAGCAACTTCAAGCTGACAAACAAATGTTAACTTACGAGCAACTTCTGGAGAATCCTGCTGAAATATCGTGTCGAAATGGTAGTATTTTTGGGATGAATAGTTCCCCCTATACAGGAGCAAATGAGAAATGCCGTAAGTACATTTTTTGTGAAAATGTCATTGCAATGGTCGGTAGAAAGTGCATGACGGTTTTTTTGGCAAGAAAAATAGCTCATCTGTGGTAATACGTGGCATTTAGCCACTATGATTTAGCTCTGATCTATATATATATTTGTCACAGACGTCAGATTTTGGCTGAGCTATAATTCACAATGAAGGCAGAAACTATAAATATTCATCTGGATTATTTAACCTCATTATAAAAGCACGTAATATTTGTTGCCTTCTGAATTCATTTATTGCTGAGCTAATATCGAGCTGAGGCATGGCAGCGTATATTAGTGAAATTACCTGCCATTTCAAATCTATATACTTTCATCAATATTAAAACAACTGATCTCGTAGATTCTTGCCATATTAACAAGAGGGTACCACTGAGAATAGAGACTACTACAATAGATTTCTGTATTATTCAAATTAAACAGAAAGTTTCTTGTGTACAGGCCTCGTAAAGTCATCCTGACTCCGCTCTATTATTACAATTTTTTGGCCGGAGACGTAGCAAGCCTAGAATAACACGCATGATGGTGGATTAGATCTCCTTCCCGTGTTTTACTGTATTGTCTATTCTAACCATAGAAAGTTGTCCTCCTGGCACGTATTTTCATCCAAAACAGAAGTCCTGTCAAGATTGCCCCAAAGATACATATCAAGAAGAAAGTGGTCGATTTCATTGCAAGAAATGTCCACAGGGAACTTTAACATCTGGATCTAAATCCAAAAATGCAACAGACTGTCGTGGTATGTATGGTAAAATGTACCTTGTTGATTTACAAATTATTCTTTTAAAATTTAAACTTTTAATAAATGCTTTTGGCTGTTTCATTTGCGATCCTAATTTTATCATAAAAAGGCCCTCCAATAAATAACAGTTCGATTCCCTATTCAGTGACAAGAGTAAACAAGTAGGACAAAATTCAACATTTCAAACTAAATTGATTGGGACTGTCGATTTTCTTCGGTAAACTGTTGCTAAATAAATCGCAAGAAAATGAGAATATTCCTGAACCTCCGTTGCATTTCCCTTAAGCGGGAAAATATCTGTAGCATACAAGGTTGATTTTCACCAAAATTTTACCCGACTATATGGATGGAACCGCTCTGAAATCTTTACACCGGCTTGACACTTTAATATACCTAAACTTTCAGCAAAATGCCCGGCCGGAGAGTATTCAGAAGATGGTCTTGTGAATTGTCTAAGTTGCGGAATTGGTTATTATCAACATAATGAAGGAAGTCAAAGTTGTATCAAGTGTCCTGGTGCTACGGTTACCACAAGTGAAGCTGCAAAGTCCATCAACGAATGTGGCGGTGAGCGTAAAACGCTATACGGTTCTGCCACAAGCAACCCAAAGCAGAATCTGGTAAACGTCATCCAACATATTCCTAATACAGCTCATTTCATTTTCTTCTCTAGTTCCATGTGCTCCAGGATCATTTTCAAATACAGGTGTAGAACCATGCCAGTTATGTCCTGTTGCAAAGTATCAAACCTTGGTTAATCAAAAGGAATGTGTTCCCTGTCCCGAAGGTAAAACTACGCGAGGGATAGGAGCAGTCAGTAGCAGAGAATGTGAATGTAAGTTATAAAATGTGGCATCTTAATCTGTTGAGGTAAGGGTGGGGTGAGGGTGGGGTGAGTTGGGAAGGGTGTGACCACTAAGTGACATCCATGAACCGCTATCATAGTTGACGGGAAGCGTCATGAAATTTTGTTTTAAGATTCTAGATTCTGTCGCAACGTTCTACCATTTTGATTATCAATAAACAAAATTGCTGTTGATTCAATATGAAACAGCGTTGAAATATAAACTTTTTCAAAGCTATATTAACTATATAAGTAAACATTTTCTAGAAATATGTGTATAGTATGAAGCTAAACCATTGTTCATGTATACACAATAATAATCAACAAAATTGTTTTTAGCTAATTGAATTAAGCATCATTATTTATCTTAAAAAGTTATCGCTCTTTTCAACTCTTGCGCTTAATTTTTTAGTCATCAATCCTTGTTTGTTGCAACCCTGTGGTAATGGGGCAAACTGCCTGGCAAAAGGGAACACGTACGAGTGTCAATGTTTACCAGGTTTCCAAGGTGATAATTGTGAGTCTGAAATTGACGAATGTGAATCGAATCCTTGTTACCAGGGAGCATCTTGTCTCGATAAGGTAATAACGTGAAGTTGATAAAATGCAGTAATGACTTTTGTAAAACTTCGTCGTCATCTTCGCCTTCACTGATCATCTCACGGGAACGCTTTAATGACTTTCACTAATGGCGTAGACCGCGTAGTGCTCTTTTTCCTAAAAATAATTTCCACAACAACCTCGCGGGGTAGACAATCTTTCTCACAGTTTTTTGACGCCTGTGCGTCCTTGATAGTTTTCAAAATAAGAAAAATATATGGATTTGATGAGTATGAAAACATGTAACTATCTATTATTACAGAATTTCAGTACTATAGATCTTATTTTTAGGTAAATGGTTATAAGTGTGTTTGTCCTCCGGGACAAACTGGTAAACATTGTGACCAGAAAGTTGGTTCCTTCTGTTCGACCAATCCATGTGTAAAGGGTTCTTGCATTGAAGAACCAGACCGCTTTGTTTGTAACTGTGAGCCCGGATATACAGGCATTTTCTGTGAAAGTCAAATCAATGTAAGTTCTAATTTCTTGCCGAGATTTCTCACAGTCGAGCTAGTTTTCTGAGTTCTACACTTCAGCAGGTACTATTATTTAATGAAATTACCTAATTTTCCATTTTTAGGAATGTGCCTCAGCCCCATGTCAAAATGGTGGGAAATGTACAGATCTAGATACGGGATATAAATGCCAATGTCTGAGTGGTTACACTGGTGTCAATTGTCAGATAGATGAAGACGGTTGTTCAAGCGATCCATGTGAAAACCAAGCAACGTGTCAAAGTCTAGGAAAAGACTTCCAGTGCGCATGCTCGAACGGTTATACTGGTAAACGATGTGAGATAAATATCAACGATTGCGCAAAACTCCCTTGCAGAAACGGTGGAAAATGCGTTGATCACATTGGTGGTTATACTTGCGAATGTACAAGAAATTTTGGCGGGAGAAATTGCGAAATAGGTATGAGCCAATGAATTTATGTGATACAAAAAGATGGACTTTTTTAGTTAACACGATGATTTTACTGCTACACGGGATCATCGTAAAATGTTGAATTATAAATTTGTAATAAGGTTATTATGAGTTCAGTTGTGATCTCATGACGAATATGCAGGTAACCTGGTACTGACGTGTTGTAGTGAAAGTTGCATGATTTCACAAAGCTAACACGTCTCCAAAGTAATATAATGATGCTGTGTTTGTTTGTAGCTATACCTATTTCGAGTGACTATTTAGAACCTTCATTAAGATTTTACAAAGCAATAAATCGAATAATGTTTAATAATATTTTATTGTTTTTAGCTCGATCAATGGACTTTGACTTGCGTTTCGGAGAAGACCTTGGAGTCGGTTCCAGTTCCCTGACTTTAAAGAATGAAATCCGGGCATTTACGGTTGCATTCTGGATGAAGGTTACTGAGATTGATAGTGGTGACCCTGGAACACCCTTATCGTATGCTGTTGAACATCAAGGTCTTCATTTTTTTTTAGTAATTAAGATAACAAAACAAAACCTTTGATTGATCCCCTACGGTTTTTCGGAGATATATAAATTCAAAAAAGCTAATTGATCTAAAAAACAAATCGCTTTGCAACAGTGGTCTATTAAGAGAACAGTCGACTAGAAGAAAGAAGCGCAAGATCTAGATGTAAAGCAAAGACGATTATTCAAATTCCAATTTTTTGTTTTTCAGGAATGCTTTACGACAATGCTTTGACAATTTCTGATTATTCTGGTTTTGATGTGTTTATCAACAACGAAAAATATTCTACAAACATCGATGCAGATGATGGTAAATGGCATCATATTGCAGTTAGTTGGAAAAGCTCATCTGGTAAACTGATAATGTATAAAGATGGAAGTCCTGTCTCACAGGGAACGATTGAGAAAAACAAAGTATGTTACTATCAGTGGGAAGAATATTGGGATACATCCCCAACCCCGGCCGTTTTAGTCGTATTGCACCAAGAGTAGCGTCACTTGAAACAAAAGTATACGCCACATTGCAATGCGCTCTAAGGGAAAGCAGGTCTATCTTTCCTTATACGTACATATCCCGCATTTGCCGGAAAAAAGATCCTCATGAAATAAAATCACCCACACACGTCCATATCTCGTTCGTGGAGACTGTTCTCGTATCGTTTTGTTATACGGCTCATCCATGAAGATTATAACTTTCTTTTCCCGTACTTCTAGGCAATACCTGGTGGGGGGTTGATGGTGCTAGGACAAGAGCAAGATATAGTTGGGGGAAATTTCACAGTTTCTGAAGCATTTTACGGTTATATTAGTCAAGTCAACATGTGGGACTCGATCTTGAGTAGTAATGATATCCAAACACTCGCAAGCTCCTGTGCTTTAGATCGATATGGAAATTTAGTCGCCTGGGGTGATTTCTTGAATGATATAGATGGCAAAGTGGAGACAGTTCAGCCTTCACAAGCGTGTCAAGGTAGATTTGTGAAAATTGAACATTTCTTCTTTGCATCAGTTTTCACATGCAATAAACGTTATAGAAAATCGATGCTGGAGCAACTGGGTAAATAGAGACAGACCAAATTCAGGTCCTGGTGACTCAGAAGTAATAACTGGAATTTGTTCAAATCCGCGTAACGTTGACTGTCAGACTGTTTCTGGTCTGTCGATGCTTAATGTCAATGTCAGTGCCACGTGTTCTTCTCAAGGAATCACGTGCAAAAACGGTGATCAAAATAACCAATGTCCAGACTTCAAAGTCCGAGCTAATTGTCCTTGTAGAGGTAAGCAAAATGCCCGAGTTTCCAAAAAAGTTAATATTTCTTTGTATTTCTGACTTGTATATACTTAGGGGTATGCTTGTATTGATTGAATTGCGATTTTCTAGCGAGTACTTCATGTAGTTCCAATCCATGCCGCAACGGAGGCGGTTGCAACAATCATCTTCGAGGATTTCATTGCACGTGCAAAGACGGTTATGTTGGGAAACAATGTGAAATAGGTAATCTTTTCACTGTTCATTTTTTAAACTGTTCTGGTGGAAAACAGGCTTGACTGATATGGTTTACAAAACCATTTGGACCTAACTATTGATAGCACGGAACTATTATTTGGTGTTCTTCATGACGTTTTCCTCCTGTTCCAAAAGGAAAAGAGTTGTTTGTCCATAAGCATGTTCATTCGTATAAAGTGAGAATATTTCGTTTAGATTATATCCCTTTCTGTGGATCACATATAAGATATTGCCAAAAATAGGTATTTAATTTTAAAAACTTGAGCTAAGAACTGCTAAAAAAGGAATAAACACCGTAATGGACGTCTGTGGCAAAGAACAAAAATTCAGAACTGCCATTTAATGTGAATTACGATATATATAGAGGCTTCTTTTTGTCTTAAAATGATTTAGCAAATGTTCTCTGTGCATTTTCTAGAACTTGGCTGTGCAGATCCACGGCCGTTTGCCTACGGCAACGTTATCGGTACGACGTATACTCCCGGCAGTGTTTTAAGTTTTACCTGTCAAGCAGGTTTCCAACTTGTTGGTAGTATTTCAGTACGCTGCAGTAGAGGTCGGTGGCTTGGTTCATTTCCACGATGTGTAGGTAAGAATAATTGTTTGTGATATTTTTATCCGTGCAATTTTTGCTTTTATTCAAACTGCATGTATAATAATATTCCAACCGAGTGATATCGGCTAACCATGCAGCCTAAGCTTGAAAACCAAAGAACAATTTTTTGAAATCTACAGATTACGACGAATGTCAATCGGGTATGTGTCGTCAACAAGTGTGTAAAAATACTCTTGGTGGACATTTATGTGGTTGTGGTGATGGCTACAAGCAAGGCGTGGGCGGGACCTGTCAGGGTAAGACACAATTTACCACTAACTCACAAAAGGTTGTTCTTTGCAAGTTGACTCTCGAACGCCTTAACGAACTCAAAGAACGAAAAACGCAACGGAACGGAAGTTCCATGTCACCTCAGTATAGGTCTGCATGCCATTTCAAGCTGGCTTTTACCATTTTGGGAGATAGCTAATACCACCTTAAGAGTGCCAGCTATCTAAATTTTGAAAGTGGAAACTTGTTTTCGTAATGCACCTTAAATGACTAAAGTATCAGTAGTAGTTACAGAACTGACAGAATAAACAGAACCATTGATATAGTTAAATAGTCAGAATGGACACCCTCTTCGTTTGTGGGAGGAATAAAAATGAGTCTTTTTTTTAGATATTAATGAATGTTTAAAGGACAATGGTGGATGTCAAGGACAATGTGTTAACACACAGGGAAGTTTCAGGTGCATTTGTCCGCAAGGATCTGGTACACAGCTTACGAAAGATGGATTGAAATGCGAAGGTGGGTGAGGGTCTTCTTACTAGAGATATGATCTAGACGAATAAGTGTGGTAAGTGTGCGGTGCTTCCTCGGTATATGAAAATTTTCCTCTAATCTTAAGCCCTAATCTAACCTCAACAAAGACAAACTAAAAAATTCAAATTCCTTTTAAAGAAGAGTCAAATAGACTGTCTTATTTCAAAAACTGCCTGGCCCAGCGATTACAACTCACAGCTCAATAACGGAATCACCTTTCACAATAAAAATCCATGACTTTACTCTCTTTACATCTCTTTATTGGAACAAACTTTAGCATGCCTCCTCGTTCATAAACTTAAGAATAGCCTCGTTTACACTACAGTCAATTTATTGGCACGCCACGGCTAAAATGGGTACGCGCACCCAATTTTATTAGTGTAACTACACTGTAAGTATATTTCTATTTTCGTAGAGTTTCGTGTTTATCGTATCGTACTATATTTGCAGACATTAACGAATGTGCAAACAACGGTGGTAGAGGTCCATGTGATCATTTCTGTGTTAATTTCTATGGAGGTTACCAGTGCAAATGTCGTGCAGGTTTTACAGCTCGTGGAAACACCTGCCAGGGTAGGTTTCTTTGCATTGAGGTTATTGCAGTTTATTTACGAACGCTTTATTTCAGGTAATACGTTTTCTCTGTGGAGCAATTGCTTTGTATTATGTGGGTCAATGGACTGTTTATTCAACTTCGACCATTGCATGGAAATAAAGCGAAACTAGATTGAAAAAGATCTTGTGGTTTGAGGGACCTTGAATAAAGGATTCGGTCGGAGGATAACTTTTGTTATTTTACTCTTAGCAACCAAATGTGCAGGGATTTCAGCTCCTGCGAACGGTAAAAAAATACCAGCAGGTGACTTACGTGATATTGATGATGTGGTGACCTTCACATGCAATGCCAACTATAAATTGGTTGGATCAAAATCAAGGAAATGCTTAGTTGATGGCAGATGGTCTGGCGTTGAAGGAAAGTGTGAAAGTAAGTATTGATACATGTCAAGTATATCTGATATAACTTAATTTGATCACGAAATATGGCCAGAAGGAATTATTTTAGCGTAAAAAGTAATTTAATATATAATTTTTTTCTTTTATTTGTATGTTTTATTACTTTTATAGTACGTGCTGGTTAACGCTTATTGCCTATTCTCTTCATAAAAACATCTGCCTTAAAGTTCCTTTTCGACCATTTAATAATTTTTAATAATTGTGATAAAAACAGGCATAATTAATTTACCTTTTGTAGTTATGTATTGTCATTCTGCACCTGTCATTCTGAATGGTAAACAATCTAGCACAAATAATCATGCAGGAGCTGTAATAACCTACACATGTAATTCTGGCTATAAACTTGTGGGCAAATCAAAGCTGACCTGTCAAAGTGACCAAAAATGGAGTGATCCCGCACCAAGATGTATTCGTATGTTATTTCATGTCGCTCTTTTTGAAATTGTACATGAATATAGTATCGTGTGTACTTCAGAAAGGTTGAAAATCATCTTAACTATGGTTATAATGCTATACAACTTTGTTTTGCCAGTTTAAAACTGAGGAGCAGTCGTTAATATGCAATGTTATGCGGTTTGAATGTGTTCATGCAAAATATAATAATTAGGAAATATTCCATTAGTGTATTGAATGTTGTTTTTCAAGTTCTCCGTTTTTTTAATCTATATTTAGGAACTGACTGTGCGGAGCCACTTGCACCAAGAAATGGTAAAGTTGTTGGTTCACAGACAACCATTGACAGCACCATACTTTATGAATGTAATCTTGGATACACGTTTGCACCAAACACGGCGCCATATGCTTTATGTCAACCAAATAAACAATGGAGCAAGCCCACCCCAACTTGTCAAGGTGTGTATATAAGCAGTAAAAGAGTAAAAGTAATAATATTAATGTATGCTCCCGAGGGAAATAGTGAGTTTTGTTTTCCCAAGAGTCTGAATGTTTCCCGAGACGAAGTCGAGGGAAACATTGAGACTCGAGGGAAAACAAAACTCACTATTTCCCGAGGTGTAGCGAAAACATACATGTTACACGACAATTTCATTCCAAATAACTTTGTTATGATAATACGCGGGCAACAATTTTTCACTTGTTTCCCTGGCGGGAAACATTGGATTTATTTAAAGTCATGTGACTACGAATGAACCAATCACATTTAAAATACACAGCACCTATATAACAATAACGATTTAATGTCATTTTATAACTTTTTAATTCTAGTTGTGAACTGTGGCGACCCGGGCACGATCAATGATGCTCGAAGGACTGGGAATAGTTTTACATATAACAGCGCGGTGACGTATACATGTAACCCTGGTTATCGTGTCTCGGGCTCAGAAAGAAGAATATGTCAAGGGGATGGTACTTGGAGTGGAGTTTCTCCAAAATGTTCAAGTACGTTTCGAACCAGCGAAATAACTACTTTTACAATTTGTCCGACTCCAAGACATTGATCTATAATCATACATTCATACTTTGACTAGATTAACAGGAAAACGTAAAAAATATTTTCTCTGGTCATTTACTTGACAGTTAGGTCATGTGGTGACCCAGGTACTCCGATCAATGGTGAAAAGGGTGGATTAGACTATACATACGGCAAAGACGTGACTTTCAAATGTAATGCTAACTACAGACTGGTTGGTGACGCGACACGTCAATGCCAGACAAGCGGAATGTGGAGTGGTGTCCAACCTACATGTGAAAGTAAGATTACATTAGGACAAATTACTTTGCGAAACTTATCGGAGATTGGATTGATCAGCATACCGTAGTAAAAATCGTTCAAGGCCGTATTCCCTCATGTTTTCACGTTATAAATCCTTTTACACATCTTAATTTGAACTTAAACTGGGATGAGTCTACAAAGTAAAATGGTTGAGTAGATGACGTCATATCACATAAAGTCCGTGGCTGATCTATCATGAGTACTACGAGAGAACTCTAATACAACTAGGAAAACATTCTAGTCTATATTCTGGGGTACACTATATCCTTCTTTGGTTCTTTTTCCTCTAGTTATAACCTGTGGAGATCCTGGGATACCAGCAAATGGCGAGAGAACCGGAAATACATTTAATGCCGGTAATGAATTAAACTATGAATGCAAACCTGGGTATAAACTGATTGGTGTATCAAAATTAATCTGTCAACAAGACGGAACATGGTCAACATCATCACCGACATGTGCTGGTAAGATTCACAATGATTTTCATCACTCGGATTAAAGTTAAAAGTTAGACGGCAAATGCATTTTAACTTGCATCACATTTACTTTTTAATATCTTACTAGTATCATCTTGTGGAGGTGTACTCCATGGTCCATCTGGTTCATTGAAATCCCCCAACTATCCTAACCTATACGGCAAAGATCACTATTGTCGATGGAAGATTTCTGTACCAGTCAACAAGAAAGTTCTCATCCGTTTCAAGTCACTCGATACAGAATACAAGAATGATTACGTCATGGTTTCAGATGCACAAACGGGGACATTGATCACAGTTTTGTCTGGTATCAACCGTAATGAAATGGTATTTACATCATCTTCTAATGAAATGGAAATTAAATTCATTTCTGACAGTAATCGAGAAAGTATCGGATTTGAAGCAACTTATGAACAAGTCTGTAAGTCATAAGATTTTTCTTGCATATTAGCTGTGAGTTTTTTCACACGCATGAAGTGAACTATCACTACAAATGATAACCCCAATGCAACGTCGTTATTTTTTAAATGATGATATTATTTTGTAGCATGCGGTGGCATTATTACGTCATTGAATGACGTAATTGAGAGCCCTTCCTATCCTAGCAACTACCCGAATGCCATAACCTGCGCATGGCAAGTTCTTATTCCTCGTGAACAAATTTCCTTGGAGTTCGACGAGTTCAAAACGGAAACTTCATTTGATTACTTACAAGTCCACACAAGTGTTAGTCGTTTCAATGGTAAGTTGGTGGTGTGAACTGAGACATACTGTGAGCAGTTCTGCCTAATTCCGGGGGGGGACGTGTGTAAAGCATGACAGTTCAGCCAGTTTACCTTCAGTTTAGTCTGGCTTTGAAATATTATGCTAACGTACTTAAACTTTTCATTTCAGCGCAATCATTTGTGGCACGTTTCTCTGGCTACTGGAAACCAACATCTGTTATTTCAATGGATGGCTACATGCATCTTGTCTTTACTACAAGTCCAAGAGGAAGTAACACAGGGTTTAGAGCAAAGGTGGCCAAGTACAAAATAAGTTTTGGAAAATGAATAAATAGCGTAAGAACTCATAAACTGTGACGAAATGCGTGAAAACTTGCAGTTTCATTAGTAAATAAATTGCGAAATTGCTTTGTGTAGATTATCAATGTGTAGTTTGCTTTAAGTTTTAAACAAAGTCATGTGTCAAGGCTGAGGCGGGGAAGGTTTATTTTATAAGATTTTCGGATGACGTTACGGCAAGACCGGACCTAGACACTTAACTGAGGGGTATCATATAAACAAGCAATAGCGCGCAAAAGAAATCAGTCGGGCATAGGACGAATATGAATAATTATGCACCCCCCTCTCCAATTGCACCCTCCCCCAATTCAGTTTCTAGGTACGTTCCTGCATTACGGCTGTACTACAAGTATTTTCTTGGGAGTAGCGACTTGAACGCTAATGCATGGCAATGTACGGCAATACAAACCCATATGGAGCGATTTTTTGCAAGTCTGTTTGTTGGTCAGCGACTGCATGGTAACGATATAGTTTATATGCAGCTACTCATTTTTCTCAAGACGAATTGTCTCAGGAGATGTTTCACTTGCAGGAAGGTCTCTTCTGACCTGGGACCGACTTCTTAAGCAGAAATATAATAATCCCAACCCGAGGCTAAGCCTAAGGGCTGCTTTCCAGTGTCGCGTTTTTTGCACGTACGTATAAATTGAATATTTTTCAGTGTTGTATACATATAATGGTTCTTGAGATAATGATTTTCGTGCCGAGTTTTAAACCTGACTGCATGTACATTCAATCACAAGGCAATGAAAAATTACCATATGTTTTGTTCGACCTCTAGCGAAAATGCGACAAGCTAAAAAGATCTAAGTTGCTTTATTTCATTCATTAAATGTTCATAAGAATGGCATTTAATGTTTTTTCCATTGCTCAAACTGTTCCGAAGTTATCGCGGTTTAATTGCAATAACCCTCTCTTTGGCTCTACGTTGATTTCGAACCTGAATTGGAGCCAGGAATGTGAAAATAGAGCCATGCAATTAGCTGCGCATCGTCGTAGCTACGCGTACACACACGCAAAGTTTAAAATAATTTAAATCATACTTATAAAATCTGCGATTGAATAGATGCATAGGGTTGGTTTCTGTTGAAAATTTGGTATGTTTTTCTGCAACAAAATTAATTATACAACAACTTAGAAGGTTTTAAACTTTCACGTGCGTGTACGCGTATATATGCGTGCAAAAAACGGGATCATTGAAAGCAACCCTATAACGCTGGTTTCTTACTCGAGTCGAAACGTATTGTAGCGTTCATGCATGCAGCAGCGCATAGTCTGCGCACTCTTCGGTGGAATTTGACCTGCTCAGAAAACTAAGAAACTACACTTTGGTAGGGCATCATGGTTCATATGGGAAATGGGCTTAACTCTTGCATGAGTGGAAACCAGCTCTAAACTGAACTCAATCACGGCGGATTGCCGTTTATTGTTCTTATGCTGCCCGGATATACGTAGATAATGAATGGACCAAGGACGTCAACATGACCACATTTCACACTTTAATTACGTGATTACTTATTGTATTGTATGATTAATCAAGATTGTCTGCTCGAAGGTTCGAAGCCGGATGCACACCGGCGTAACTATAAGTCATGCAATGCATGTACAATGCATGTAGCAAAATGGCGAGTTGCTGATAGCCTAAACAGGCTAAACTTAATACTCTTTAGCAATTGCTGCTCAAAAAAGCCTTTATAGTGGTTTCAAATATACTGTTATGTAATCATACTGTTGTCCACTCCGTGACTCGGCGATGCCGATAAATAACGAAGTGCATGTACCTGGAAGGTGATTAAGAGAGCGTAGGCTGCATGTTGTTCACGTGCTACGGATGAGTGTGTTTCACGTGTACAACACGCATAAGCGTATATAAGACAAAACATTAGATAATCCTCACAAACGAGAGAGCTCTTCAATGAATGTGGATCAAATCATATGAGAGAAATCAAACAATGACAATTCAACTTATTCAAGAACGCAGCAAAAATTCGGTCATAACTGCCATGAACCAGTTCATACATTCTGTAGATGAAATGGACTCGACTGTGCTTGTTCCAAGGCGTCTTATGGATATACCGGCCGTACAGCTACAACGTAGACAACTTGAAGTAGACTTACCGACAGAGCCAGAGGGCAGAGAAATGTTACACGATAACATTGACTTGTTTAAGTTTTATACGATGTTAGTTCAGACGAGAGATGAACTAATATGGGGAGGAGCCAACACTGATGAATCAAACAGTACTTGCCGACAAATTGTTAAACAGTTGCAGCAGTTTTCACGAATTTTTAACGATCTTACAGACATGGCTATTCAACTCAAAGAACGATATGAACATGATGTTAATAATGGGAGTGGAGGGAACTCACTTAGATAAAATACATTGATACAAATCATACAATATATTTCTCATATAGCTACGAGGGTATATATTATTGCCCGCAGGCAGTGACTGTGTGGTTGAGTTGTGTCTCACTGTCGACTCTATATATGGTGAATTAGTTATTAGTGTAAATATATTTATTGTTATTGCACCGGTGTTGGAATATTTGAAAAACTTCTCAATTTGTATATTACAAAAACAATTCCTGAGTATTGATTGACTATATATATACACGAGTTGACCATGCATGCAGTAGTGCAAGCTCCCTCACGAGTAGACTCGCGCCCTGTATCAGTACTTTGTATATAAACGCGTACGTTGCTCTTCATCTTGACCTCAACGAGGCCGTTACGAAACAATCAAGCGTTACGAAATTGCTGTAGAGGACGGGTAATAGCGTGATAGAAACTAACAGTACTCTGTCCCTTGTAGTCTAGTAGCGCGTTGTTATAGCATTCCCGATTACAACAACAAAACGACACTACATATATGCATGGTTACGTTTTATCATGTGATATTCTTTGCCAATGGCAATGAAATTAAAAAGAAAAAACTCACACCGAAAAAACTTACACCGCGTTCATATATAATCCATTTTCAATGGTGCCATTTAATTTTCGCGCTTCTTCCTCCCAACGTAAAGACCGAAATAACATAGTTAATACTTATCTCATTTGGAAAAAGATCACCTGTTAAACGACTGGAACCGGGTTCGTTGTTATCCCGCACTTGGTTTCATTGTCCGCAAAATATTTTATTTTAATAAATTGGTAGCCATATTTCGGCTAATTTGGCAAATGAATTCCGTCATGGGCATGTTTTTAAACATGAAATGTTCCTGTGGCGTTGTGTTTGTGTATTTTTTCTAAACAGAAATAACGTTTATAAATACGTATATTAAAATAATAATCGGAAAACGCTTGACTAGTTTCAATCAGACGAAAATCGTACGCTTGCACAAAGCAATTCTGTAGGCCCTAATGGTTTGAGTTTTTGAGAAGGGGACGAATAAGCGAATTTACTGACGAACGGCTGGGCATCCTCTGTCTCTGATCCTCGGAAATAACTTCTTTAGATTGCACATCTGCTATGATTTGATAGAGGAAACTGACGATTACTATTTATTGGCACGATTTATATACTAGAGTAGAGACGGATCCTTCCCCACCATGCATATTTATACTAACAGTCGCCATAATGTCTTTAATGAGTCAAGACGAACTAATTCTAAATAGGCGAACTATGCGAATAATTTGAGCCTCCTCTGCAGGCATCTCTTGTGTATTTATATTAGGCATTTATATTTGGCTTGCAAGGGTTAGCTGTCTCGGGGAAGGCAAGGAAAAAAAATGGGATAGCACATTCTCCAGCACATTTTTTTTCTTGCTCTCCGACACAACTAACCAAAGCCAAAAATACTGAAATGCCTAATATAAATACATAAGAGATGCCTGCGGAGGAGGCTACGAATTATTCGTATTGACGGATGATCCGTCTGTTTACCCGTGTTTACACACAGACGAACTAGAAGACGAACTATCTTTCGCTTTCCCAAATTCGTCCAGCCGGATGATCCGTCTCTTGCCAGCTGATGATCCGGATGATCTGGGCATTTGTTGCAAGATTATGTAAATGCTCTCTACTGTCCCAATGTGCTTTGCCCGTGCACAATATGGATTATGCACGCTAGCAGCTTATTTGTACCAGGTCGGTGGGGATATACTAGGGCAACCTCGTACCCAGGGTCTTTTACTGACACCTGGGGTAGTGTGAATGGATCGTGAGAGGTCTCTCCAAACAGGATTTATGAGGAAGACACGATTTGTGGATCTCCAGCTGACCAAAGACTAAAAGACAGGGGAAAACAGATATCAATTCAAGGTCAAGGCAAGTATCTTCAAATGGAGTTTTCCGGCCCGGAAACCTAAAATTTCAAACTAGAAACGCTACTTGTAATAGCCCCGATTAATGGCCAAGGGAAAGCGAAAGATAGTTCATCGTCATTCAAACAGACAGATCATCAACAGGAATTATCCGCATAGCAATTTGAATGCCTAGTTCGTCTTGACGCATCATCCGTCTGTTAGTATAAATACGAGGTGGGACGAACTACGAAAAACTGATTCAATTCCCGTACACTTTCTAAACACGCAGTTCGTCTATATAGTTTGTCGTGTGTCTATAGTCCGGCGGACGAATGATCTGTCAAACGGATCTATAGTCTGGCGGACGAATGATCTGTCAAACGGATCATTCGTCCAGACGGGTAATCCGTCTCTAGAACTGATAGAAATACACAAGGCAAGAAATACACTACAGCAAGTGCAATTTGTGGATGAAAATTTCAGTATAGTTTGAAGAACTGAAAAGGAGACATGTACTCCTATATATTTTGTAACGTTTCTACGAATAACCCTGGCTACAGCCGAATAATTTTTTTAAACAGAAGGGTTTTAAACCCTTCACACCCACGGCTATATACGCTCTTGAATAATGAATATATGGGGTTTTTGAATATCAGCTGCTGGTTTAAAGTCAATACTAGCAATATACTCCAATAGTTATGCGCTTATCTCCAAATTATGCGATCAGTGGGTATGAAAGGTGTCATAATAATAGTCAATGCTAACTAAGTGTTAAACTTCGCACGGTATTACATATTGAAGTACTCATTTAGAATGGTTGGATTGGACTGAATTCCTTGAATTCGCACAACAGCGGGAAATACTACGAATAAAGACATAACGTGAGCAAATATGATCATTATCGATCGTCCCGTCAGTCTCGTTCGTACATGTTTAGACCTTGCCTTCTGGTCACGCAATGTGAACTGGGTAATTTCGCGGCCACGAATGATCAATGATTTTCACAGATAAATGAGATAATTTGATTTTCACAGAAAATATTTATAGCCAATTTTGTTTCATCACATATATTATTGGTTATTATGCTTGAAGGGTTAGCTGGCTAGCAAATTCGTCGAGTTAAAGGCTTTTAGCTCAATTTAAGTGTGAAAATATAACCATCGTAGTGATATAGAGATATGCGGAAAGTGTGATTGACTTGTCTACCTATTTTATACAGCGGTACATCTACAATGATTCCAATAAAGGTTTGTCTTCTGGATGACACCAGCGTTAAATTTGAAGTTGAGGTAAGAGACTTACTTCTACATACGGCTTTCTGATTTCGTCAATAGTAATACTATAAATGTTGACTTGAACATGTGAGTATTTGGCAATATTCTCGAGTTACTTTGGCATGATCTTATGATCATTGAACCGCAACGGCGACCACATTTTCTAAAGTTCAAGAGATTCTCTTGCACTTTGTTAAAGGTGATTGTTTTTTATCGTTAAGATAGCGATAACAATTGTGTTCATATTGCGTTGAAAAACTGATTTATCTAGACCATACGAAGCCTTTATACTGTATGAAAATATGTACACAGTTTGAGTGACATGTTAATTTTTGACACTTCAATAAGCAGTACGTTTTATGGAGATGCTATTTTATATCATATCAATCCAGACTTTTGAATCATAACCAAGCTGTAATGAATTTGTGATTAATAGGATAGTAGCCAGACAAATCAGTAAAGCTCACAGGTTGCCATGTTTATATAATATACAAAATTAATTTTGTTTGTTATAGCCTATATCATAAAAGTAAATAATCATTCAACTGTTGAGGGCATGTTTGTAGTAAACAGTCACAAGAACATTTGCATTGATTCCCCTGAAGCAAATTGGATGCAAGTGATTGCATGAATGATTTTAACATAGTTTTAAACATAGTATATAAAATTGTAGAAATGAAATCTAAATCTTTTGAAGTCTAAAACATCCAGTTTCATATTACAAGCTAATCCCATCAAATACAACCCTCAAGGCTATCGCCACATGAGATCTCCCATATTTCACTCCCTTACCCTTTCCTTTTCACACTATCCATTTATCCTTTCCTTACCTCATTACCAAAACTTTCATAAACTTGACCCTCATTTGATTTAGGCTTAGAAAAGATCAACAATGCAAAAAAGGCCATTTTAGCTTTCATGGTTGTTTGAACCATATTACACTCACACTTTACTTAGGCTCTTTCTACAGTGGTGTACATGCTTCCATCCATATCATGTTCCTTAAGCCTAACTCCTATCATGTCCAACTCAACAATTGCATGTACATGAAGGGCATTTGCATGGACTGAAAGTCACTCCTCCATGAAGACCTCAATATATAACACCTGTCTCAAACAACCATTGCCATTCCTTTTGTTGCAAATTTTCTCCAATGTTTAAGCAGGAAATTAAAGTAATATATTAAAAGAACAAACTCATTATTTTACCCTACCTTTCCATATTGCCTGGTTTTTATGATTCTTCATATTATTAGAAATTATTAAAGAGTGTTTTAAATAAAAGGAGGGGATACTGGTACATGTATTTGAGGTGCCAAATATAAACAATGCAAATGTAGTTATGTAGTTTTAAATGATACATATTTGTTTTATTGTTCTTAGTGGTTTATTTTTTGTTACTAGGGAAAATGGAAAGGTCACGAGATTTACGAGTTAGTGTACAAGCATCTAAATCTTAATGAAGGAGAATATTTTGGTATCCAATACTATGATAAACACGACCATTTGGTAGGTGAAAATCCCATTTTATTGGATTACATCTAACTTTAAATCTAGAAATGTTTCCCTTAGTATGCTATAATATGTATTTAAGCATTATTTGTCTTTGTGAAAACTAGTACATTGATAATAAAGATCGATCAATATGTACAGCAATGCTGTATTGCCACTCATTCCTGTAATTTGTGCATAATTCTAGACAAACACAGGTACAGTAATGCAGTAAAATACCAATGTCATATACATGTACTTGAGACTTTTGTTAAGAAACCTTTGTTATGAGACCTGTTATGAAACCTTTGAAACACATCTATTTCTAGTGTTGGCTGGATCCTCAGAGGTCACTAAATAAGCAATTAAAAGGTACACTTACATATATTTATTATTTATCGTAAGATTGACCAACCACAGTCCTCAATCTGACAATTTGTACATAATACTCATAGAAAAAAAATAATATGAACTTTCTCAGACATTAATCATCTATGTCTTTGTCCATGTGGTGCATTAAAACTTCTGCAGTACTGTACAGCTCACAAGTATTTATTATTACGTATACAATTAGATCCAGCTAAGGTGTTATTTCGATTTGGTGTAAAATTTTATGCAGCAGATCCTGTGCAGCTGCAAGAGGAACTGACCAGGTACACAAATGTTAAATTGCAACACAATTAATTGAAGAAAATATATACAGATATATTACCAAAAAACATTTTTTATAGTATACCTGCAGTGTGGAAATTTTATAAGATTAATAAGAACCAAATTTTTTTCATTGTTGTAGATACCTGTTTGCCCTGCAAATTCGCAAAGACTTGCTAAATGGACGGTGTGTAATTTATTCCATTTTTGAATCAACATGAATGAAACATTTGTTTTATTGTAAATTTATATTTTATGTTTGTATGCTGTTGAAAGACAATATTATTAACAATGATTTATTTTATGTGATCTATTTTATAGGTTAGTTTGTAATGACAAGACAGCTTGTTTATTGGCTTCATATTATGTTCAAGGTATGCAAAGAATCAAATTTTTTGGGGGGCAACCTACCTTGATTAACTGACTAATTATGGTATTTTGTTCAAGTGTAAATATGCCAAACCTGGGTTAATCAAGCTTTAAAGTTGAGTTAGCATATTCACCCTTAATGAACGTACCCAGCTACATAAGAGTTTAGTTGCAATAGTTAGTTTAACTTTAAAATACTACAACTTTAAAATACTACAACTACTTTTTTATGACTAAATCCAGCAGATCAGTGAAATAGTAAATATAGTAAATATAAGTGATATATAAATTAGGGTACCTGTGATGGGGCAAGAAACCTCTATAGGGATCACCAGTAACTTTTGACAAAGTTTGAAAATAAATCAATAGGGGAGTTTGGTGATTGGGATGCTTTAATACACACACCTGGTTATCTTGCTGAAAGTCAGTTTTTTCCTGGACAGGTTAGATATCATTTGTGCTTCTATCCATATCCAAGTCTTTCTACCTTCTCAGTGTTTATGATTAGTAAGACTGCAAAAAGTTTGACGGTGCTGACTTTGATTAATCTAGTAATATAACTGTTGGATGCCCATTGAAAAAATGTCCCTTGATATTAAAGAAATTATCTGCCTTTCAATGGCAGCAGTTCTATTAATTCAAAAAACTTGTAATGCGCAAGACTAATGCCTTGACTATCACATTTCTGTATGTTGATGAATAATCTTACAGTATATCTTTGTTACATATAAATAGAGGGAGGAACATGAGACTCATATTATGGCATTTCACAAGCAACACAAGTAAGGGAAAAAATTTTACGAGCATTTCATTATAAATTGGTTTGGATATAAAATTATATTTTATATCATCAACTGCCATATGAAATGCAGTCATTTTGTTTTGATAGAGGGGAGGATCCTTCAGATGTTGATCGTAACATTCTTGATGTTGCAAGAAGGCTGGATACATATGGAATAACACTGTACCCTTGCAGGGTGAGCAACCAACAACTCCAATATAAGTGTAATCAAATCAACAGGCAGTATTTGTTTCACTTCTATTGTATTATAATAATAATATGATTGAATGTTTTCCCAGGCACAAGACAATGCAGCACTTAACCTTTCTGTTGCACATATGGGAGTGATTGTCTTTCAAGACAAAACAAGAATAAATACATTTTCATGGTTGGTATCCTCATGCAGTTGTCTCCATGGTGATTTCACCTAACTGATTAAACAGCCCGTAGAGAACTTTTCCTTATCAGACTGAACAAAAGCAATCTGCGATACACCCAACGTACATGAGCAAAATTTATATACAATACTACCGTCGTCTCTTTCTACTGTCTAGGGCGAACATAAGGAAGCTGAGTTTTCACAGGAAAAAGTTTCTTATCAAACTTCATCCTGAGGTACAGTAGAGTGAACACTTTACCTCCAATTGTTGTGTATATGAACAGACGACAGACAAATCGATAAATTAGTAATCCATTTTTGCCAGGTCCACTACAGAGATACTTTGGAATTTTATATGGAAAGTCGTGATAAAGCGAAATATTTCTGGAAGCTCACCGCAGCAACACATACGTTTTTCAGGTAGAGAAATCTGTAAAAATATCCTTGTGATTCAACCCCAGGATCATGTGCCTTCAATTTCTTACCTTTCATGTTTCTTCAGGCAATATCAGCAAAAATCCGTAATCAAGTCAAAACCTAAATTTTTGGGTCGTGGTTCTAGATATCGTCACAGGTAAAATAGAACTCCAACGAAGAGTTTGCATGCCCATGTTTTTTAAAAAAACATGATGTAATTGCTCTTCTAAAACACCATGTTAATACATTACTTTTGTTTTACATTTGGCAGTGGTCGGACGCAAAAAGAAGTCATGGAAAATTCAAAACAAACTATACGAAATGATTCCACGTTTAACAGGTTCGTTATGCATGCTGAATTTACTGTGGAAATTGCATATTTTAAAGTAGCTACCATTCTAAAAATATTGCAGAAACCAAGGACTACTTTATTACTGGGTAAACGAATAGATTGCAGTTAGAATGTTAGATGATAGTTTAAGAGAACGTAGGAACAGAAACATACGATTATTTTTAGAACCGAAAACATTTGCGAAAAATGCAAGCTACAGTAGCTAATTATCAAACCGAAATAGAACTTTCATGTCTGTAAATCGCAAAATTACTTCCTGAGGGTGAGGACCTGCATTATCTTTTTCAACGTTCTACGTTTCCTTCCATGGCTACGTTCTTTCGTTACGTAATTCTGATAAAAAACAATATAGTATTGCATATGACGTAATAGATATATAGGTTTTGCCTCATGACCAAGGAAAAAATCTTCTTTAGATCGCAAAGTCTTCGTATGCCATCCACCGCAGACAATTCTATGAGCAGCTTACGTTCATCACCGCGTCCTATGATTGGATATGGTAACGTTGAAACAAGGATTATTGAAGCTGATTATCCTGTAGCCGATAGTCTTGCATCAATAACCTCGAATGAAGAAAGTGGTCATCTGTATTTATCCGGTCGTCATACATCCACTGAACAGTCACGTGAGGAACTACGTATTAACGAGATACTGCATGAAGAAAGGTATTTCACACATCAAATATCCGTACACGTAGCCTACACATTCAGTTTGCGCACAGCATAGATTCATGGTATGATTACTTGTGTTAGACTAATTGTTATGATAATAGTTACAGTGTATGACTACTGTCTAGGCCTTTAGAACATAAAGACCCGGGTTAACGATCCAAAAGCTCTGAATGAATAATACACACGGTGTACTACAAATCGATATTTTAAGTTATTAATTCACTATTCAAAATTTCAGGAGTATTCTTAAAAAAAGTAATCGATTAAACTTGATATTAGTTGCATGCATGACTCTTCAGCAATACCATCGTCAAAATATAAGGGGCCACGCGGTTTGTAATATTTCAATAATTCGGTGTAAGTACAGTATCTTAACCATTTCATTTAGCGGCCCGGAAACAAAGTGTGATGATCAACATATCATCACAAATGGTGATGATAACCGCACTCCGGCCGAGCCAGAGCCGTTAGTGAACGGAGACTTGAATGAAAGTCCTGTTAACAAACCAGGTATGGAAAATAAGTAAATAACATTAACTGTAACTTCAGTGTTTTTTCCAGTTTTTTTTACCAGGCAAATGTTATTTATCTCATTCATTATATACAAGTTATAAACACTGTACCGGTATAATGTAAACCTCCTATATATTTCTATAATTACACTCTAAAAACACATTATTTTGGCCATGTATAGGATGTGGACAAATTAGTTAGCTAATTCAATTTTGGTTAAACTAACCCAAATTTAACCCAATTTTAGGGTGTTAAATTTAACACCTGATTGCTTCATTCTTCAAGGTTTTTTGACACCCCCTCCCGCGGCGTTGTCAGATTCCGATGTGGATGAACTCAGTCAGGATGTATTTAGTGAAGGATCATCAATATCATCGATAATGTCATCACCGCTTGGGACATACATGAGTGATGACTCTCTAGACCGGAAGGTACAGTATACATGCAGTAACTAAATCGAAATATTCAATATCTTTAAAACATTTTTGGCTGTTTAACGTTGGTTTTGTTATTTATCCAGCTACCTAAAGGAACCGCGTATCACGTTGCTCGAGAAATATTGCAAACGGAAAGAACGTAAGTAGCGAGAAGCGTTATAATAATTCGTTAATTATCGCTATTATATTACTGGAACTCGTACACATGTACTGTAGTTTATATAATTCGTTAAAGCACCACTTTTAATGGCGTTAATGTATAGTATAGTAGGCATGAATGATCGGATGAATGCAGAGGATACGTTCTCTTCGTTGATCTTTAAAATTCACTCAGAATATTGATAATAATTATGATTGTATAATACAGAAATCTCAGTATTGTTTAGTTTAAGTGTACATGCTTTCACTTTATAAGAGATTCTGTATTGATTTAGATATGTGAAGGATTTAGAAGTCATCACTATCGTAAGTTAACAATGTGTTTATGCATTTAGTAACTATAAGCATATTTATTTTATGTGCATTATAATGTATAGGAAAGTGACACATTTTGGAGGAAAAAATAAAGAGCACTGTGCAACATGTTCACTTAACTAGAATGCATTGCCATCAGAAGTCGTTTATAGGAACGAAATTGCGAGTTTTCGAAGACAGGCATAGAAAGGGGGTTATCTGCCTTGTTATGTTAGAGTAACATTTCATAGAGTAACAAACGAGGCCCCTGAGATTTGACTCCCACTTTTACTGCTACACGAGGGCTACACGAGTGATACAATCACGAGTGCAATGTAGGTCAACCACAGGCAACGGTCAAATGTGGACCTGCCTTCTTGACGGAGAGTTGCCTTATTGTAGCTATTTTTCAGACATCAATTATGTATTTAATCTAGTATTATGTCATAATATACCTGTAACCTGTTCGCATTTTTTTTATTTTTAGGCATTTCGAAATGCCGTTTTTGAAAAAGACGCATTGCCAGAAGATGTAAAGGAGTTGTTGTTCAGTAATTTTGATCCGTTGCACGATTTTCATTGTTTATTCCTCGATGAATTACAGCAAAGACTTACTCAATGGTACGTTGTTCCATTGAACACTGACTGCATTGAAGTTAGAGTGGCAGAGTGCTAGTTTTATTATAACTGTTGTGTCCACGAAACACGATTTCGCAAATCATGCGAACACTCTGTTACTGTTTTATTTAGGGAGACCGATGAAAGCTCAGAACATCATAGGATTGGGGATGTAATGTTTAATAATCTGTTGCAAATAAGGGTAATATTATATTCTTTATACTGTTGTTAAATACTTGGTTAATATGAATCACAATTGATATGTGTCATATGTTACTTTTTAGAAGTCTATTGATGTGATAAAGAACCATGAAAAAGTGCTGCTGGCTTTGTATAAAGCTACAAAGAAGTCAGTAGAGTTTGAAAAGATATACAAAGAGTTTGAGGTAGAGTGTTCTGAACTTCTTGTAAGAACCTAGAAACGACACCTAAACCTTCAGAACCAAGATATTTGTACCTTCCCATTATAACCATGGAGCAGCGGTAGAAGACTTAAAAAAATAGACAACTTCTTGAAGGCAACTTTTATACCACATTGGATAAGAACTTTTACACTTGAAAACGCCTCTCACATCTGACACGCCTTTTAACCGTTGCACATGCACCATACAGAAGCAGTTAACTATAACATTTCATCATATTTAACTTCCAGCTTCAGCCTGCCTGCTATTTGAGCTTCAATGCGTTTATTTTGAAACCTTCGCAGAGATTGGTGTATTACAAATTTATATTAGAAAGTAAGTTACTGCGTCCTCCCTTTGTCTTTCATGGAGGAATTCTATACATAGAATTCTTAGGGCGAAAAGGGATCATTTTAAAACATGAGACACTCCATTCTAATTTTGGATTTTACTCGAAATTTTTTAAGAAAAAAATAGCATCAGGTCATAGATGCATGGGCTATGCTTTGCCCAAAATATAGGCCGTGTACATACTGATTAACATCGGTCCCTGCTTAACAGCGTTCCTCCTCTGTCATCATTTCATCAAGAGAATAACTTGTCTATTTAATATATATAAATTTAATCTATATAATAATATAAATTACCATACAGTAATTTATACCTAAATGCTAACCTGTAATAAGTTACTTTTTATTGTATAGAATTAGTGCAATATTATACAACTGGTCACGTAGACTACCAAGATTCTAAAGGTTTGCTTCTATTTGTTTAACTATGAATCATCGTGCACTTACACAGCATCGCTTAACCATAGATTGCATGTTGTCTTGGAGGCTATGCATATTCCTTTGCTAATCACAGTTCTTCGGTATAAATCTTTACACCTTTCACGACAATATATGTAAAAATCTAGCATGAAATATAAACTAGGAATACGTGTAAACTTTGCGTTTTATCGTTTTAGCTGCCTTACAAGAAATAACTGAGGTTCTTTCAGAAATTGAGGGCTGTACCAGAATATTGGTAAATTCTGTTTCTCACTATTCCTTTCTATTCCTCCTTTATCGGTGAAAACCTGCTTCTTCTCTGCATAACGTCATTTGTCTATAAGTTACATCCTAATATATGGAACTTGTTTAGGAGAACTACCAGAAATTGATTGAACTTGAAAGAGATCTTATTGGTTTGGAAAATCTTGTACAAGAAGGCAGAGTAAGACGTATTTTATGCAGGTTCACCCAACTGTACTCTACCACTGCTTGCGGTCGCTTCTTTCTCTCATCCCAGAACACAGCTGTACATACGTCTGCATAAATAACTTCATCGTTATTGATTAGAAAATAATGTGTTTTTACCTAGCAATTTGTGAGAGAAGGCTGTTTAAAGAAGATTTCTCGGAGTGGTTCTCAAGCACGCATGTTCTTCTTGGTAGGGAATCCTTTAGAGGAATTTATAATTACTTGCTGAAAGAATAAAAGAATATCATACTACTAGAACATACTGCGTGATTGTAGTCGTTATATATAGTGCAACAAACAGTTCTCACAAATCCCGATGATTCCTGTTCTCAATTAATTAAAAAAACTTTACTCCTAGTTTTCAGATGTTTTGATATTCACCAGCAGAGGAGGAAATGCAACGAATCAATTCAAAGTTCATGGAAAGTTTTCACTAGAATCTATGAAGGTGAAGCATTTATTTATCATTATCCTGTCTATATACGCAGGCTACAAGACTTTTCTTTAGCTCCGGCGTTGTCTATCTATAAATACCAAATTACAAAAATTTTCATCAAATTTATAGATCGAAAAAGGGGAAGATATGCATGGCTTGTTTTGTTTCAATCTAAACACAGAAGACAAAACGTACATGGTTGCTGCCTCGACGCAAGTTGAGAGATCAAAATGGATGGAGGTATAAGACTGTTGAATAAAATAAATTAATGTACATGTACCTTTGCATATATAACCACCTTTCTGTCGGCTGATAGCTCTGCATGAGTAGCTAAATGTATTGTCTGCTTCAATTTTTCACAAACACAGGATCTCAATGTGACAGTAATGAAAATGAAGAGTGAGGTAGGAACAACAATTTATTGTTTTCATTACTAAAGCAATTTAAAGATCACTTATAATAACTGAGATCATATATATATACTACGTATCCCTACCATTTGATAGAACTTCATGCAGATTTATTTATAATGTTCCTTTTGTTTTAGACTTCACCAGTGTTGGAAGAAGGTACAGTTGTACGATAGTTGATTAATATCAAACGTATAAACGTACTGTATACGATTTTTTTGTAAGAAATTAGTTCTGTTGAGTGACAACATTTGATAAAAATTATGCCACTTAAGCCGTGTGGTTCACAGATTAAGCTCATTGTAATACTGTAGTTTGTTTACATATTTAGTGTACATCAGTATTGAGTCAGGCTCTGAGGACGGAGAGAATGAGTTAAAGAAGGATAAAGCTTCTACCCTTGATAAAAGACATGCAAGCTCTCGCACTATGTCCACAAGAAGAGTTTGTTGGCATAGAAACACCAGCGTCAGCACTGTGGAATATAGCATCGCTGTCAGGGTATGTAATATAAAAATTACGGTAAGGTTGACACCTTAGGGATCATCGACCATGTCGAGGATAGCTATGTGCCCTGATCCGAACAAAAAGAGATCTTCCCTGCAAAGATAGAATTGGTTACATCATGTTGTAGGATATATATTTAAAGCACAACCCGATCGGATTCCACTTCTGCGTGTCAGAAAGGTTTCAAACATCGTCTTATATTTTATTTGATCTAGAATCAACTTTCGGGTGACTTGCAAAGGAAGTATAAAACTGGTGACAAGTGGCAAAAGTTATTTGTTGTTCTCACAAACTTCTGTTTATTCTTTTATAAGTCACACGAGGTACATACTTATAATAAAAATTATTAATGATTGAAACAAAACAAGCTTGATCTGCTCTATTATATTTCTAGGATTGTCTATGAAGCTAATTATAGAAATTTTTCTCTGAACTAATCACACAGCGCAATTCTAAAAATCTGAATATACACTGGTACCTCCACCCTCATTATTTATTTTCATTCTCAAGGAAGAAGAACCATTAGCAAGTCTTCCGTTGATTGGTTACGCCGTTACAAAACCAGATGAAGTATGTATACAGTAGCTAGATGTTTTTTATCATGCGATAAGTTTCTTTCTTATATACGTTTATGCTTTTTAGCCAAATCGATGGTATGTTATGTATGATTTCAGTCCAACTATTGTTTATTTTCTTACAATATATAGAATGATAATATCAACAAAGAATTAGTGATCAAGCTTCAGTACAAAACGCATGTTTATTTCTTCCGTGCAGACAGTGAATATTCATTCTTCAGGTAAGTTGCACATTTCTGCCTTAGCAACATGAAGTACGAACCACATGCAGATACATTTCGTATAAAAAAGTTACCTAATAAAAAATGTGCATGGGAGTTTTTCTGCAAGACAGTACAGTCACCCACAGCGTTTTTTTTTATCTCCAGATGGATGGAAGTAATTTGCAGTGCTACACAGAATTCAAGTCGAACACGACTATTTAGCCGTCAAACGAGTGTTTTGCCATAACTGACGGTAAATTTTGAATTGTCAAAAGTAATGAAATTTAGTGAGTTTTTTTAATATTTATTGCATGCTAGAAGTAAGGAACAATTTCCAATTTTAATGAACAGCCTAATCTTTTATCTAAAATTAATATGCAAATATTGTGCATATTCAAGTAGACATGCACTATTTCCAAGTTTGGAGAAGAATGAGCCGATATTTTAACCGAGCATGCTTATGGGTCGGCGTTAGATCATATCGAACTAACGTACATGACGTCATAAATTTTGCAATAACGGAAGTATAATAACAGAAGTCTTACACGAAGTCTTTCAAGAACTGGTTCATAAAAATGATAAAATAAAAATGGCGATGAATGATGGTACATTTATACATTTATAAATGTACACGAAAGTGTAAATGTCTGTTACTCTCATACCCAGTATAGGAGTGATCATATACTTATGTAATAGTATCTCTGGCTTTACCTTAATTACGGTTAGGGTTAGGGTTATTGAAAATTTTATGACGTCATGTACGTTAGTTCGATATGATCTAACGCCGACCATGCTTATGCATGTCAATATACTATGGAAAATGACCAGATACGAATTGCTGCATGGGGGAACATGTATACTATAATCGAGTAATAATGTTTTGATATTTGGGGGATAATATGTATTTCCTGATTTTAAATAACGTACACAGTTAAATTGCACTTTCGGGTGTCGACTTAGGAACCATATTCAAGTACTTTTGTAACGAGTAGCCATGGAGTTGTCTGTGATGATTGTGTTTTTTTTAGCTTTTCATAACCTACTGTATATAATAAACTTTTATTACTTGTGTAAAAGTTCTTTTATTACTTGTGTAAGAGTTATACGATTGACCTTTTAGATTTGCTTTTTAATGTAGGTTGTAACATAATGCTCTTTAAAGCCTGTGGGATCTGCATCATTGAACTTGCGTTGTCTTGTCACCAATAACGTAACTACAATACATCATGCCGTGAAAACCTTCCCATGCATCTGCTGTCGTGAAAGCATGTTAGGACAGCTAATTAAGTAATTACATGACGTGATACTAAATTTCATGTCTATAATCAAATTAGAATTGCGCGCGACAGAACATGTGATATTTTCACCTAAAATAAAAGTTCACGCACGCGCAGAAGACAAAAGTTCTATCGAGTTGCGTCACAGTGACTAATTACTCTTGTGAAGGATTTAAATGTTGTTTACAGGAAGCTGTTTTCAGCGTGTTTTACCATCATCTGCACACTGATGAACAGACACCTCACAAAGTCAACTGCCTGGATTGCAAAGTGAACAAGTTACGTGCATTGTTTTGCTGCATCAAGTCGATGTCAGCATCGCCTGACGCGAAAGAAACAAGACCGAGTTCGGCAGCTCCGCCTGCAACAAGTGTTTCCAGTGCAAACAGACGTGACAGTAGCCCGCCTCCTGATTCAGCTGTTGCCGTTTTACAATCCTACGGATATACACTAGGCGAGTCTTTGGGCAAGGGTTCTTATGCCGTCGTTAAAGCAGCATACTCCCAAAAACACAAAAAAAGAGTTGCAATTAAAATTGTCTCAAAAAGACGAGCACCTGAAGATTACCTGACCAAATTCCTCCCTCGTGAAATTCAAGTAATGAAACGACTCCACCATCCTAACTGTGTCTGTCTTTATGAGGCAATAGAAACAAGCTCTCGTATATATCTCGTTATGGACATGGCTGATAATGGAGATCTCCTGGAATATATAAGATCCAAAGGTGCTCTGTCTGAAGATAAAGCAAGAGATTTCTTCAGACAATTGATTGATGCAACAGCTTACATGCACGATAGAGATATCGTTCATCGGGATTTGAAATGTGAAAACCTGCTCCTTACTCAACTCAATGCAATCATGATCTCTGACTTCGGCTTTTCAAGAATTCAAGCAAAAATTCCAGAAACACAGAAAAGGAAGCTAAGTCGTACATTCTGTGGATCGTATGCCTATGCACCGCCTGAAATCTTACGTGGTATTGCTTATGACGGGACAATGGCGGATATTTGGAGTCTTGGCGTCGTGCTTTTCACAATGGTGTGTGCAAGTCTGCCTTTTGATGATAGCAATCTAAAAGTACTCCTGGATCAGGTTTCCAGAAGAGTGCAATTTCCCCGAAAACGTGGAGCATTGCTGTCGCTTGAAGTAAAGAACCTGATTGGACGGATGCTGACAAGTGACGTGAATGATCGTATTGATATCGAGGGAATACGTAATGACTCGTGGTATCAGAATACGAAAGCAAGTGATGTATCCATTTCTGAAGTGGAACCGTGTACGACATCAGCACATGCTAGGAGTCAAGACAATGGAGCTGAAAGCATGCAAAGACAGGAGAAAGGTAAAGAAACAAAACAAGGGAGTAACGTTTCACCTTCGGAGCCAGTTGAAAAGATGACGACTCGGTCCAGCACAAGAAAAAAAGCGAAAGAATCCGAACAACCAACGAAATATCACGAACTGTTATCCTCAAGTGAACGACAAGATGTGCGCATCACGATTGAAAATGAATAAAATTCTATGTAGTACATGCAGAGTAAACTGTTTAAAACTGCGAAATAATAGTACTGATAAAATAACTGGATATTTTACTTTGGCATATGTAATATTGCAAGAACAAGAAATATTTGATTATCTTTATTTCTTCAGTCTAACAGTAAATTTTTGAATTTGAAATAGTAAACTATATTAGGGGCTGCTACATTTGTGCTGGTCTAGAACGCGTTAAGAAGACGTTGTTTGAATAAGAGTGTCATCTTGAACCAGGTTCCAATCCCTTTTTTGTCTTTACAAAATCGAATAATATTGAGATTTGAGAACACGAGTGTATGTCGCCCCCCACCCAGTTATGGAACTGATGATACTACTTGGCAAAAGTAGTCTCGTTTAGATTTTGAACCTTACGTTCCCGTGAGTGTGTTTTAATAATTCATGTCAGGTGTCTTCTACCAGAAAAAACTTTGTTATCATTTTAAAAAATTTAATGAACAATGTACACAATATAAAGAAAATGAGTTAAAGTTACATGTCATAAAATAACTAAAGGTATTTGTACTTCTAAATACATTTAAATTACTATTTGTTACAGTTTTGTACATGCACAAGCAGCCGTTGCCCAAGTTGTAAGGAGTAATTTGAGGACATACATGTCCAAGCAATTACATCATACTTGTTTAATAGCACTGTACTGTGAGCTATCTTTGGTCAACTCCCGTCCCTCACTTCTGTGTTTTTTTCCCAAACGTGTTAAAATATAAAATGTTTTATGTAGTTATATATTTATTATATTATACCTTCATAATTACTGTCTTATCGTCTTAGCTAATAGAGAGTTTAAAGATCTAATTAGGGTAAAACTTCTATAATACTTCAGTATTCAACACACATGCAGTTACAATATATATATATTGAAAAATACACACAAAAGCATTGCATTAAAAAATTAACAAAACATACAATTTACGTCTACACTAAATTCTAAAGTTATATATAATTGTATCTATACTAATACTAGTATTACTTGTTAAATAATCTCTATATCAATGGAATACGAAAATACATGAATATAAAAACTCCTGTTCAAATAAGTGAAGTCTTCTTTTGAATATACCGACGATGCATGCGTTAAATCTCGAAACAGCAAAACGTAATGACACTTTGTAGTTAAATTTCTGTTTTGAAGGTAAATTGTGCATCCCGTACAGATTTTTCTTAGCTCTCTATCCTGAATTTTAAAGCAATTTTATGTCGATAGCCTTACAGCATGCACGACGCAAACAAATAAAGAGCGTATTGCATGCTGTTGTGGCTTCTCACGCCCGCGTGAGCAGATTTTCAGAGCTCGCAATTTAAACTTTTAAAAACCTATGATATAGTTTTAGCGAGAGTTTGACCTATATCCTAGTTCCTAACCATTTTGAACTCAGCATGAAAGCCTCGTCTATGAATTGTTGAGTCTGAATTAAAGATTAAGAGAAGTTCCTTCCCAGGGTCGATCCTAAACACACGTTTCAAACCTCCTCCACAAAATTTGCCCAAATCTCTGGAACGTCGTTGACCACTTGTCCTCAATTTAATTTCCAAAAAATCATATTCACATGAACTTTCTCTTTCAATATCGAAGAAGTTAAATTTGAGCCGAAGTCGACGGCTTACTGTGTTTTTGATTCGCCATTCGCAACGAGAATTAGCAGGATATTCGGAAGGAAAGCCGGGCGTTTTGATTGTTCCAGCGGTTCCTGTTAATGTATGTTTACAACGAGAGTCTTTGGTACTGCTGCTGTATCTTAAAACCATCTTGTTCTTGAGTGACGTCTAAAATAAAGAGGATTTTTTAAGCAGATTGTTTAAGATGTGTTCGCATTGCTTGTTGCATGGCAGTTAGGCAGATTCTTCGCAACTTGGTTTAAGAACTTTACAAAATGTTTTAACTATACTTGGTATCGTTTTGGGTCCGCTCAAAGCTAAATAAACTACCCTTGCGCTATACTTTCGTGTTAGAATTTACATAAACGATTTTTAAAAGAGTTAAGTTTAAAAGAGTTTTTAAAAGTGATAACTTTGAAACTGTTTAATAAGAAAGTTGATCCGCGGTACCTCAACGTGATATTTAATCAAGACGTCGTTGGATCGGATTTGAATGCTACCACCACGCAAATCATTTTTGTCACAAATTTTTACTGTATTTTCACTTCTTTCTGATGTGTATCTTATCAAGACGTAGTTGGAACATCCCTCATTCCTCCTCCAGGAAACTTTAATGTTGATGTTCACGTGTATCGCACGTCGCACACGTATATTCCAGTAACACTCGATATCATGGGGCAACGGTTTGGGGAGAAGTGGTGACAAAATTTCCCCGTTCGATTCCGTCAATAGTCCACCACAAGAAGGCAAAACTGTAAATTGAGAATTCCATTTATTGCTATAGAAACTAATGGTTTTCGTCCGTACATTGTGAAAGAAATACCGTGGGAATCACATTGCAAAAGCATGCATTATTTGAATGAGGGCACCCTATAGTTTGCATGAGGGACCAAAAATTAAGTTATGATTTGATTATCTAACGGTTTCCCTACCTTTACAAGTAGTCGTATTTTTATCGAATATACTGCCAGAGTTGCACGAACATTTAAAACTTCCTTCTGTATTTATACACTTGTGAGAGCATGGTGAACTCCGCAAACACTCGTTTATATCTACATGCAAAAAAAGGATTTCACAAAATTTGAAAGACGTTTTTTTACAGCCAAATTTATTTGACTATTGTCTATCAGTTTCTTCGCCGGTGCATGAAGCAGCCGATTGCATGGACTTTGTATGTCATCAGATGTGATTTTACCTTTACATGTCCTTTGATCATCATTCAATTCATATCCTTCATTACATGAGCATTCAAATCCTCCCACATAATCTCTACACGTGTGCGCACAAGGCTTTAATGCACATTCATCTATGTCTTTAAGAAGAAAGAGAAAAGTAAACTTTCTGATTTGGCGTAAAAGATATTATCAACAACGGCTGCTACGCTCTTTATCAATATGGTCGGAAACTCTCTATATAGTTCAGCTAGTCAGCTACGGTTAGGTGTGAGGTGGGGATATTAATTGTTCCTATTCCATATTGTAGCACTATGATAGCGGATAAATAATAAGAATACACACGCACCAGTGCAAACCATTCCAAATGAAACAAGATAATGACCTTCTGGGCAGGTACAATAGAAACCTCCATCAGTATTTTCACAACCATGGGAACAACCACCATTGTTTTCTTCACACTCATTTCTGTCTGTAAGGAGAATGTCATTAATGGCAGGTAGAGTCGTAAGGATACAGAATATGAATGGCGTGAAACTCTACAGCGTCGTCAAACAAAGAGAAAACTGATGTATGCATGAAATGTCTTCACTGCAGATTACAGGCTCTTCGTATAGTTTTTTGTTAACATTGGTGTCCGGAATCACAAAGGTCAAAGGTTGTTTCTTGTACGTAAGATATGCGTTTTATAAATTATAGAAACAAAACAAAACGATAATATATACAGTATATAGCTACAATCATAACCTACCAACACATGTTCCATAAAGTCCAGGAATGAAAGAATACCCTGATCGACACCCACAAACATAACTACCTTTTGTATTTATGCATGCTTGTTCACATTCAGATAGTTTCTCCGCGCACTCATCTATATCTATGTGGAAGAGTAAAGAGTTATAGTAGCGCATGTCAACAGCTGCTAAATGCATACATGTGGTACATACATGCACGTCTGTTTCCCACCATTAGAGCGCCCAAGTTGTTCATTGTTGACGGAAGAGAAAATTATAGTAGATAGAATTTATTTACTAGGTATAACTTACCAACAGTTTCATAACTTGCACTAAATCCAACTGCTGATGTTTCACTGTGTGGGGAAGATGAGTGAAAAGTTACTCTAAACGAAGTGGAAGTGGAGGTGACGACACCTGGATTATTGTCGCCACAAAAGCGACCGAAGAAAGTTGAATATGGAGAATCTCCATCGCGGAGGTCAACATAATCTTGGCATCCTTTTTTGTTATCAACACCTTGAAGATGAAATGTCTTAAATGTGATTTTTATTTTATAGCCTTCGGGAACGCTGATTTGCCATACGCAATCCGTATTTGAGTTGTAGCGGTTAGGAAAGTTTGGGGTGTTGAACGTATCTTGCATTCCTGTCATTTTTCTACTGCATTCTAGAAAAATGTACAATGAAACTAGATATAAATCATAAATTACTTATCAAATCATTTATGCTACAGATATTTAGTAAGATGACAATCAGTTTTATTTGATACATCATCCAAATGTTTTGAAAACGAGATGGAGATTTCTTCTAGAACTTTTGTAGTAACTATAGGGTCCATGACAAACTTGTGATGTGGTAATTTAAAAAGATTGTTCGGCATAAAGTAGACTATACTAACCATCTGTTTTAAAGCGAACTGAAAATCCTTTTTTGACTTCAGGAGTTTTAGATGTGAGCAACTGTGAATGTAGTCTAATGTAGAGACTTTCACTTATTATTGTGATAGGGTCAGGTTTTTCGTTTCCACAAAGTTGAGTTAAATATGGCGATAAAAACCCCTTTCCATTCCTGATATCCAAGTAATCATTTTTGCATATACCAGTTCCGTCATTGGTGCCCACGGAAAAATCATCAAAGGTCAAAGTTAACGAGCTACCGTTTGAACGACTGTTAGTAATAATCCATACTCGGTCACGCGACACTGCATAAGGTAGTGGATAATTTGGAGAATGAAAGCTTCCTGATGTCGCGAAAATTGTTCCACCATTTTCTAAATAAAATGTGCTTGGTTAATACATAGAATAGTATAATAGAAAGAAGAATAATTATTACACTTGACGCACATATATATGTGCCATTGCAACAAAACACGCAGGTACATTTGTTTGGTAAAGTTTAAAAACGATCGTTGGTTAATAAATTAAAAATTTTTGATCCGAATGTCAAGGCGAGGACGATGAGACGAAGGGTAAAAATGTCATAAGTAAACAAGAAGAGGCAGTAAGGCCAAAAGAGAGTGACTCGTCATAACTGACATGATAAAAGGAATAAAGTAGTGACGGCATTAAAGTATCTTTTACAGTAGAAATATGGAGAAAAGAAATGCGCGATTTGCATCAACTTGTTTTCGAGGAGCTGAGTAAAAAAATACTAACCATTAAATATGTTACAGCGATACATAAGGTTTGTCTGAATAACATCTTGATCACTGAGAGCGGACGTGTAACTGTAACGTGAATAATATTGTTTTCCAAGTTCTTCTTTCCTTATTCCACGAAGTTTGGGCACTATAGTGTCGAAACCTTCTTTCTTTGCAAAGAAAGTCGAGCCGTAATGCATGATACTGTGGAAATCATAGCGCTAGAAGGAAAGTAACTATCGTTTATCTTGTTGCAGTTTCGTTTATAGCTTTCAATAGTCAATACTAATAATTGTATCAGGCATTGCGATGAATTTTAGGTATGAACGTTTGCCGAGATGAATTTGGGTCAGCCCAAAAAAATATTTATGTCCACGAACTCTACCTGTCACTGTCATATTATACAAGTACGTACACAACCTTAATATATTAGTTGATCAGAAATTACCTGTTGAAGTGAATCAACTTCATGACTTTTTCGTTTCCTAAAGTTGTGCTTATCCCGTTCCTTTATGTTGTCGTCCAAAATCTTAACGTAATTGTCTCTATCGGGTCTGCTGTGCTCGTGCCAAAATCCAACGGCATGTCCCAGTTCATGTACGATTATCCCGAAGGTTTCGCACCCAAGGCCAAGCGAAAGTTTCTGTTTTCCACCGTGTCTGCCGACATAGGAACAGCACCTTTGAATGAAGGAAATGAACACTGAGTGAGTATGCGTGTCGCAAAAATCAAATTACCACGATTACTTTAGTATATTCATTTGCCACTTAGAACAAACTGGTCCTCAGGGCACTCACGTATGGCTCTAACCTCTAAAGATTAAATAGTAAATTGATGGAATAGAAGATTTTAAAATTTAGACTGGCAAAAACGGATAAATGGTTAATTCTAAATTATGGAATGCGCAAGCATTTCGCCAAAAAAGAATTTCGAGTCGTTTGTCCACGTGTCCAGTGTTCCTCGCTTGATCTTGTTAAGAGTTTTGACACAAGATCACTCCAGGTTATGCTGCAGAGGTCGTAAATCTTTAGTTTAATTCTTTATATCTCTAGGTGGCCTAGATGTGTTTGTGTCCAGTTTCATACCGTGCAGTCTGTGACAAAATATATTACGATTAGTAAGCGTGCGTCACAGACCGCAATATGGAACAGGACATAAACACTTCTGGGCAATTTTAAATGTATCGTAACTAATGAAATGGGTTAAAGTTGATCATGTTTTGCCATTTTTGCTTAAGCTTTGAATTTTTGCTTTCATTAAGCCTTTTTTGAAAAATATAGCTTTGGACACTTCTGCGTCCACGTCTGCATCTCCTGATGTAACCTTTATGTGGATTTTGTATACAAAATAGTGAAAATACTACTATAAACTAGCTATAGCTAGTTGCATTACTAGCATTTGTATTGCCTAAATAAACTAAGAATCTAACTGATAAGAAAGTATAATCAGTATTTAGTTTAATAACGTTTATCAATCAGCACACGCATTGAGAATTTTTAATAACAATTAGCGCACACGTCCCTGGCTCCTAAAAATAACTTCACAGAATAAATCGCGGCCCGAAATAGCGCTACCTGGAGCGTCTTGGAACACCCTATAGCTCTAGAACTTGTATTATGGCAATAACTGCGTAAAACAATGTGACTCCTTGCCAAGTAATTTAACTGGGATTTTGCCATGTGCTAAAAAATGTATATTGCGATGATTTATGGTGAAAAAAATCTAGCTTTTATATATAGAGTTTTAAAATCGATATAATTCAGGGTTTCGGATTTTATCACTGTTAGTGAGATGTCTATGAATTATATGAGTGTGTTTGATGGATTGGTACGAGTTTCTGACACCATGTGGTATTGACCAGGCATGCAGTGGTAATGATGGGTTAAGCAAAGTATAGCAAACTACAGTATAAGAAAGTGATACATGCAGTTATAAAACAACAAGAACATGGAAATATTGTATACATCAAAAGAACTTACCCGCTCCCACTAAAAATATATATGTAATTTTTTTGATCCGTTCGTTTCACGAAATCCAAACATGTATAACTTTGCCAATGATCCATTGCCCGACGAATTAAATCTTTAGTTTTATCTAAAAGAAAATATTATGTATGTTGGCTTTTGACTTTTGCTGTTCATATAGAAAAAAATCATGACTCCTGCATTGACAGTTTCATGCAAGATTCATGACCTTTGGTGCCATAAAACAGATTAGACTAATATGATAGAATGCAGCAATTCCTGTCTAGCTATATGCATTATAAATTAGACCTACTTAAAGTATATATACTGCACATAATTATAGCGAGTATATATACAGGAATAAATGCTTGTGGTATGATCAGTTAAAAAAATTATTTTATTTGTACATCATTAAATATTGATCTTGTAATTCATCTACACACCTTGTAAAAACATCATTAAATATTTCTAAATATTAGGGCCGGTTTATAGTTTGATTTATTCGTCTAAAACATTCAATTATTTGAATTATGAAGCCGGAATGCCGAATGCATGTGTTTCACCATTGCATGTGATTGATCTGTTGTCTCCGTCAAGATAGAGCTGGTCGCGATTTCGGTCATGCAATACTGAGGTTCAAAAAACATTCCAGAATCTTCCTAATCCAATTGAGATAATCTCATTGAAGCATTAATTAACTGTTATTTACAGATACTGCACATCTGATGGGCTTCACGTGTGCATATAGCTACAATGTGTTTTCCCATTATCGTAGTATTATAAGTTAATAGGATTAAATTTAACCGGTTTGCAGGATCAAATTTGTTAGTATAATCAGCCACCCTGCAAACCACTTCCATAAAAGTCACGAATATAATGAGATCATACATTGAAATAAGATTCATCGTCTGAGAATTCATTTGATGACCCTATAATTCTTTTACATGGTAAAACGGGAAGGGCCGGGGGAAGGGCAGAGTACAATACATGAATATTGTTCTTTGCTTCAGTACAAACGTTCAACCTTGGTGTTGGTACGCAGTTCAACGTTGGTAAATATGGTTTTGCGGCAATGAATTCAGATTTAAAGCATGGTATAGTGAATGATATTCATATTGATATAAGTAGCCGTAGTATCTATTATTTAACGCACTCGCTATACTGTTTTGCAGGTGTTCCTCTTTTACTGTGATTGACCATCACTGCAAAATGCAAATGTCATAGAAATACTTGAACCAGCAGATAGTGAACCTCAAGCTGGATCAGGATGACCTAACGTATTTGTTTGTGATTCTATTTCCTTGCTGCACGCGAATGAAGAAATAACTTACTGATGGAAATTGTTATCGCATCGCATCGCATCGCTTAAATTGCGTCTGTGTATAGTATTCATTGTTTCACAAAAAAGGCGAGATAATATCACACAGTTATTTGATATAAGGTTCATGGTAATACAAACAATCCCACCAAAGCAATTAAAATGCGCGGTGAGGAAAATCATGCAATTATGAACAATCTAAATCATTCTGATTATCATCACTCAAATTCTAATTCTAGATATAATCACTTTAATCAAATTATTCTGATCAAACTTCTCTCTTCATTAGTTTTCACAACTCTTTACACAAAGATAGCCAAGTTGTTGTTAAACATATTAGTGCATTTCTTTTGAATAAGTTCCCTCTCTAAATATATTGTACATTTGTACTTCATTTATAGAAAATTTTCAATCTGTTAAATTTATGTGATTATACGAAATGAAATTAATAAATCTTGTCGCTGTTGATATACAGATACCTGACGTCTAGAAAAGATATTCTTCCTATTGCTAAATGTGAATTCCGCAGTGATAACCTTGAATGATTACGTCCGACGACCTTGGCAGTCTCGATAGAGCAGAAAAACCGTTTTGCCGTTTCGTATTAATGTTATTAACATAGTGGAGGTGTTGATTGATATGACAACAAAACAATGTTAGAAAATGAGCAGGAACAAACATTGCTCATCACTCTGCAATGGAATCAAATTTTGATACCAGGAATACTACACTAACGTTCGTGGTATGAATTACATTAGTGATAAGACTGAAGGTATCTTAGACATTTGTAATGATTGAAATAGAGGAAGCGAAAGAATAAGGGCAAAGAATCGTGAACTAACGTAAGAACTCTGTGGGATATTTTCTTAACAAGTTAAAATCTAAGTGCTCACACGCAACGACTATCTTCACGTTTCTCACATGCTGTAAACAGTGGAGAAATCACTTGATTATCTAACGTATTCATTTAGCTTGAAACTCAATCAAACTTCGTAGTGATGTTCTTCAAATTTGAAAACGTAATTCATCAACATCACATGCCTTGTATTTTGAAATCTAATTTGCATAATACGCGTTCGTATAATCACAGGTATATAATGCGTAGCCTGCGCCGACTGGAAGTATTGCAGTAGATAAACGTATTATCCATATGAAATCTAAATAATGTTTTGTTGACGTATGGTTCTTGGGCAAAGGTCAAAGGTTGAAGATTGTCTATTTTCTATAAAGTCAAATCGCACCAAGATATGTACAGCTGTTCGTCATAATAATAGGTTATTCTACTATATCTAAATACATACAAACATACTTGTAAAATCGTCTGCTATGACATAAGGAATGACTCCCCCAGGCCATAATTTAAATGTGGTAGAGATTGCAGCCCTTCGAGTCCGGCCTGACGATGTTTCACCGAGTATATCACCCTCGATAACATTCGCTTCTGAAACACAATACGAGAAAAAAATATGTAAACATTGCAGTCAAACACACATGTTTTATAATAACGTTAGCTTGTACTAGTGTTATTTCAGTGTTTAGAGCCTAACGATAAATCATTGTTATTTGCTGCTGCTAATAAAGTAAATATTATACCTAATGTAGACTGAATGGCAACTGCTCTATACAAGGTTTCATTCGCGACGTTTTATGAAACTTTTCACGCGAATGGTAACCTAATAATAACTTTACAAATATGCGCAAGCCACAAAATTGCGCTATTTGATAGCGACATTATTGCCCCAAAACATTTGCGTACAAATGAAGAACATTTTCAGCACCAAGAAAAGCATTCCTAAAACCTAAAAATTCATTTCACTGAAAATTTAATATCAACAAAGAACAAGTTCATACTACTCACCCGAGCATGAGGCGGCGCGGACAACACTCAAAGTACAAATGAATAAGAGAATATGAACGATCAAGAAAATATGAATCCTAGACATCGTGTAGCCTTCAGAACGCGAGAAATGTTACGAGGAATTAGCCTGTGGACGTACTTGTGGTAGTTTGACCGAGTCTGGCTCAAAATCGGTTTGTTTTAACCGCGTAGTCTATAAATAGTTTATTGAACTATTAGCATTTAGCACGCTAACCACGCTCTCATTGTTTAACTTGCGTGCACTTCCGGTTTTGGCAGCGTGTTTAATTTGCACGGACAAAAAGTGATTAGCTGAAAGTAATTACGGTTCAAATGACTTTTTGATTTCGAAAGGAAGCGTTGGCAATGTCGTGTCCGTGTTTTTCTAGGTTTACCCTCCCATTGTGAATGTTTGTACAAAAACCATCAATGGGTTTAAAGAGGCGCGTCCAAGCAATTTTAACATTCTTGGCCTTTTCAATTGATATAGAAACATTACACTGTAGTCTGTAATACATAAGACACAAACCAATTCTGTCGAGTTAATACTCGACATAATAATATCATAGGAATAGAGTATGTTACCGCCAACTGGTGATGATTATACAAACAGAAATATAAAACTAGATATTCTCGTCATCATTCGTGTACATATTTTAGAGTTGACTAATTAATTTCGTGTCTTTTCTTTCCCGTTTCATGATTTGCTTTTGATAAGTATCAGGCATATTGAAGGTCAACGTTGCATTTTAAGTTGTTTTTTTATGATTGCACTGATTGAATTGGTTGTATACTGAGCATCTGGTTGCAGGATAATTGAAAGACGATTGTAATATGACCGTGATATGCATGAAAAAATACTTCAATCTGAGTGATTAAGAGCAGAAAATTTTTATAGTTGATACAGTGAAAAAACTCTGGAGTATAGTGCAAATAAATTATTTTACAAACTGGCTGACGTTACATTTTTTTCCCTACGAACCTACTTGTGAAATTATGATAGTCTTGTGAATTTTTTTTTGAATTTGCACTTAAAAGCATACTATGATCTATATTTATACTTCTAGTTCACATTAACACATTCTCTAGGATCATTCACTTCACGTCACTATGCAAGGCTAGGGCGCCGAAACGGTGCGAAAACCGGGGACATCAGAAGGCAGGAGTTGAACTTCATCCAATCTATTTTTCTTCGTTGAATCTGTCAGGCAGTAGTGTCACCCTTGTAACTTTTGGTTGCGTTTCTAGCATTTTGAGAATCAAAATTTTCAAATGATCGGGAATGCTGACCAGTCCGGCTGTTGTGCAAGGCAATCTTTGTACCCTCCTCCCTCCCTCCCTGGTGTCCAATTCCGGCGTCCCTGGCCTGGATAAGGTTTTGATCAATTTATCAGTGCAATACTAGTTGGTAGGTTAGAGGCTGATTGTCCATGGAAAACCCACGGTCCTTATGCGCGTTCATTATAGTTCACTCATTGCTCTGAATGGGACCGACATTCTGTGGTCATGACATTTTAACATGCCAAACCAAGAACAGGAAATAGATGGCTTTAACTCGTGCTGCTTGTGTTGAGCGGTTATTCCTGAAACACGACATTGTTATGTCTATACATAACTAATGAAAGCAAGCACAAGCAAGTGGTATTTGATGATAGGAAATGAAAATATAATCAACATAGGATGTCTGTGAAGATATTGAAATTCTAAACTGATGAGCTATTCCAACATTACAACAAATAAATAACTTTATTGGTTAATCTACTTTTCAAACGTATCGCACTTTGCACACACCTGGTACCACCATATTTATACAGCCGATAACAGGACAGATAATTTATTCCGTAAACCAGAAGTCTAGAAATCACCTGTGTTCATCATAACATGATTCTATGTAGAAAAATACATTGCTAGTTGCAGGAACTATTTTTTTACTATTTTCTGTGTATACATGTTTGTCATGCATGTTTCAAGTTCGTTATCATACACAAATTGTAAGGTTTTAAAAAACATCATGTTGATGTAGTATGTTGACTCCATTACTTCCGTTCCTATGCTTGAGAGCGGTTTTTAGGTGGAAAAAACTAAGTAATCGTGCATGCGTCCGGACGTTACGTGTCGTGAAATTGATCTTTCCGCCACTCTCGTTTGTTTTGTTACACCTTAAATTTCCGGCTGGTTTATGACGAATGCATTGGGACATATATCCCACAGTGCCATTTCATGGTAATAATCAGTTCTCCATGCACCAGAACCCTGTCATTCATATCATTCATAAATATCAGGAATTTATTAGTAGTATCTGTTGTATCAGAAGTAGGATCTGTTAATTATATCAAAGAAATATCGTGAAGAATGAGGCCAGGACTTGCGAGCGACTTAATAAGGTTACGACGTCAATTATGGTAATCATAGGGCGTATGTCATTCTATAGTCAAGCTGGTTAGATAAAAAAAATATCAGGTATTTTTGTCCCTAACATTTCAAAAATCAACGAACCTGCCTTGGAATTGACCCAAATTTTCTATTTGCAATTATTCCAAACGTTTGTTGTGTTTGTTGCTATTTGGCAAGTCTCACGAGTCATATAATATTAATTCCTAATAGTGACCGATTATGATATACGTCAGTACTATTGCCTCATTTGCTTGATATCACTGCTGTAAATTAGAGCGTGTATTGGCTGATGTTCAACTTTCTTTGAGTACATTAAACCATTGTTTTTGTTGTAAACCCTTTGCATGACTGCGGGAAAATTTGCGTGTGGTCGGAACTATCATTCACTAATTATTGAATTCTAATTGTACACGTCAGTTGTATTTATTTCATGTGAGAGAATTAACACAAAACGTAACATAGAGATCATAACTGTCATAGTGCATTCTCGCGATATTCGTTGGCTTTGAGCCCAGACAAACTCATCATACTGGTGATCGTGTCTGAAAAGGATGCAATTTAAACAGATAACGCAATTTAAGCACTATCTTTTTTATTATTGGAAATTTTTTATCTTTAAACTTTACGTGGATCGTGCATGACCAAAAGTCGATGAGGTAGGGACCCCCCCCCCACACTGAGAAAGGAATGAAAACAGAAGAATGGTTTCATAGTAAATTAAGTGTAAGTGTGCAACACCATATATTTTAATCGGCCGAATATAATAATATCAGAGAATACAGAATAAAACTAACTTGAATAAGGAGTACATTATAATAAAACGTCATTCATATAACACACTGACTGTATTTCGAATCAATTGTGATTAATCCGATCTCACTCATGAGTCACTAAAGTATGCATTTTTATTTTTTTTGTGCCATTATCATTATGATTCATTCCTCTTCGGGAAACTCTTACTCCGGCTGTAGAATTTTTAATCTGTTAGAATTCAGTTTATATGACCTACATCAGTGTTTTCCTGATCACTTCAACTAACAAGACGATAATATTAACCAGACAGTAATAACAAAACTTTGCGTAAAACCGGACATATTCAAGGTATGGATTAGGAGTATGGAGTTTGTACATGGAGTTTGTATAACTGTCCAATACATTAAAGTTTTAAAAGATATTAGAAAACGACATAATTCACTCTCGTAATTGGTGCGTAAAATTAAATAATTCAAATGAAAAATCATGTAATGTCAGTAAGACAGTAAAAACAGAAGGACGTCAAAAGAGGAATATGAGAGCGAAAGGAATTGCAGAAGTTGTATGAGCTGAGTGATCAGGAGATCAAAGGTTGCCTCTGCTGAAAAAGGTCGCACAAATATCGTACCCTTCAGTCTAAGAGTTTGTCATATACACTAGCCATATATGGTGAATTTTTACGTTCCAAACCAGGTTATAATCCTATCGCAACCATCCTGATAACTAAAATTTAATAAAAAGCGTCCATACCAGAGAAATTACGTCTTCAGTCAACACGATGGCGATTCATTTGTGGTGAAGCATTCCTATTCCTAGCATTATAATTCATATAATTACATTCTAAGCTTCAAGTAGGAATCTTTGCCTATAGGCTATGAAGATTTTTATAGAAGCAGTGATTGATGAGTATTTTAGACATTCAGGGTTCTACCAGAAAAGCAGGAAGTCACGAAAAGCAAAATAGGACTGCTCTTTGTAAATCTTAACTCGAGCGCACTTTAACTCCTAATATAAAGAAGAATCTGGTTCAATTAATATGAATTAAGCAACCAAACACGCTTTAGTCACCCTATTACTAATAGAGACCGAATTAATTTTAAGAAGATAATTATGTAGCCTTCGGTTACATTGTTGCCATTGACGATTGATTGTGGAGTAATGAAACTGTGTGATTTTAATTTCATGCCCCAAAATCTGGACCAATTATACTGTGACTAATTCCCAGATATTCTTGCCCTCATGCATGCGATATTGCGATATTGTATACTTAGATTGATTGGGTCAGCTGTGCAGACGCACGTAAAAATGTAGTTTCCAGTCCACCTAATCTTTAACCGCGTGTGGTTACAAAAAATGGCGGCGAAAAGAACGTTTTCATAGAGAAATAATTCTGGATATTTATGAATAAATATAATAGTTTTCCACTTTGGACGTACTTTACAGTTATAACAAGTTTCAATAAACTTTCCTAACAATGTCAGATCGTCAAGAAGGCATCATCTCACATTTAGTTCTAATTTTAACATCACGACTTTTACAAAAAGACAAGAAGTCAAGTGGTAAATTTGCGAATGATTGCTTAAATTTGCTCAGTATTTTAATGTATATATTTACATATTTCGATGCTTAGTCAATAGTGACTTAGCTACTTAGTCCTTAGATTTTCGAGTAAATGAGTAATACCTATAATAAGACCTTACTACTCTGAACATTATTACAGATGTTTATAAAAATATTGATAAATTTAATTTTCAAAAATTTTTCTTTTAGAAGTGTCTGAGTTCTTTCAATATGCCCTGAGGGTTCTTGGAAGGTTTGTCCATGTAAAAATAAAAAATCTGTTCCTGGCTCCGTTTTACATCTAACTTGATGCATTTTGTTCATTGATTATATGTAATTTACAATTTGTAGTCGTTTTACCTCATCAATGTCCAAAGATGAATTCCAGGTTGTTGAGAGAATGAAAAGGCAATGTATGTATGTTTATTCCTGCTTTAGAAATACTATATAATTCTGTATGGTCTGAGTAGAATACATAGGAAAGTCAGGTACCATTGACTTGATCCGTAATTGTTATTCAAAGACCAAATACTGTACAGTTGCACTACACATGTGCACTGATCTTCTCTTCTTTTGATATTACTAGTTGTGCATGATCATAAAGAAAAAGATGCTGCTCTTCTTGGTGAATTATATAGCAAAATATCATCAAAAGTAATACGATTATTATAAACAATGTTATTATATTATTTACCTTAGTATAATCATGGTCACACTTCAAACACTGCACTTATACAAAAACAGGGTCTTGGATAATTTAGTTGATGATTGCTTCTTTGTCTCACAGAGCTCCCTGAAGAATCGATGGTCAATATTGTATTTGTTGTCAATTCTTCGTAATAAAGATCACAATGATAGTGAACGCAAGGTTTTTTTTCTAATTTTACTTAAATACTAATACAATTTTCCTGAACAATATAAAATCTCATTGAAAAGTTTTTTGTCTGAAATGGAACAACAGGGGAGGGGTTCCACCAACTATCCAGTATTCACAGATCTTTAAAGTCAATGAATGTGCCAGTTTAAAATATCTGAAATGCTTGCTTTCTAACATGATAATTATTTTAACTTCTGTCATGAAGATATTGCCATACCCAATCATGTTTTCTTGAATGGCTGAACTTGTTTTCTTTCTAATAAAGAGCGGTGAAATGCCTGCTTTCTTTGGTCGTGGGTTACCAGCCTTATCAACATCTACTCCTCAACAACTACCACAAACCACTATAGTTCCTCATGGTCCTTCAACTGGGAGTAGTAGTGGTATAAGTAGTATACCCTACACCGCTCGCACCACTTCCGCGTATTCTCTATCGTCTGGTGTACATTCCATAACACGTGATCATGCGTCATCCGTAGCAACAACGTTATCTCGTAGAGAAGAGGATGGTAAATTTCGCTCACCTGGGTTGAAAACTGTTGAAGAGTATAGAAAGAAGACTAAAGACAATATTGAAAATAGTATGTGTTTCTACTGTAGTTAGGGCCTAAAGAAGTATTATGTTAGTCTTTAATAAGATATAATATTCTTTTCAGTGTCTTTTGAGGCATCTGATGCGCTCCTAATTCGAGACCTGATATACGTATTTCAAGGCATTGATGGCAAGTTAATAAAATTCGATCAGATAGACGATGGTTACAGAATTGATCGTAGTGTAGGTGTCCCGTATACCACACGGGCTCTGGTGAATAAGTTATCTGAGTTAGGTTGGTTGTTTAACAAGATTCGTCGTTATCGTGACGCGAGATCTGGAGACAAGGCACTTGGCTTGGTTGGCCAGAGTTTCTGTGCGGCGTTGCAACTTGAACTTACGGAGTATTACCGTTTGATAGCAGTATTTGAAGCTCAACAACAACATTTGACAGATGCAGGTCTTGGCAGTGAAACTTGTAGCAGTTCATTGACGTTTAGAAGACTACTGGTATGGACGTATACTCCCTTACTAAGACTAAAGACGTTGGCTGCTTTAGTCGAAATTTGCAAAGGTAATCTGGCACGTAGTACTTAGGCACCGAAAACCCGACTGTCGAGAACACCCTCAAACAGAACTTGTTATGTGAATTGACTTTTTCTCACATTTGCACACATTGTTTCTCCAACTCGCTGCTGTATTTGCCTTTGACAAATGCAAGCTGGATTGATCATAATGATTTCTAAAGACGACTTTTTGATTATTCAGAATTACGTCCAGCAATTACAGTAGTTAAGTGGAGTAGTAGTCATTACAGCGGATCCTTTTGAATTGAGCTCTTTCAGGTGGAAAGAAATAGCGATCAAAATTTAAAAAAAAAACATGTAAATATTTCGTTCGTAAATAATTGTCCGCTATTGGAAATCCACCCTATCGTATTCAGTGCAGCATTGTAACTGTAACAATATATCTCTCATTAGGAAAGAAAGGAGGGTCACTTCTCTCTGCAATTCATTCATACATGCAACATGGTAATCCATACGTGAAAGCTTTGGTTAAACATATCTTAAATCAAGTAGCGCAACCCATTAAAATTATCTTATCAAGATGGATTTATGAAGGGGAACTGGATGACGCTTTTAATGAGGTTTGTATTCTATACCGCTGTTTTCATTCACGAAACTTAACATGAACCAAAAGCCAATCACGTACTCGGCATTACCTCTGTGACTTAGCCAATTCAAGCGTACAAATGTTTTTATAATATATAAAACATTTGTAGTACGCGCGTGCTGATTGGTCGAGAAGCGTGTTTCTATAACGGTATAGAAATACGGGAAATTGACAAGAAACACGGAAAACATTTTCTATTTCTTAAATGTATGACCAACGTTATTGTATACATTGTCAATGGGTATCAAAGCATTCGGTTTTCAAACACTCTGATCGTAGCTCAAAGTCTAGGACTGCTTCTTAGACCATGTGTTGCCACAGGCCAATTTCATTTTGAACCACTGGTTTTAACTTCGTACTCGGGGTGCTCTATACGTGTACGAGAATTCTTCTTCAACATTTAAATAGTCATTCATACACTGTATGTATGAAAATGCTTTGGAGACAGAGGTGTGAAGGTTTGAGCTTTGAACCCGTCGTGCACTTCCTTGTGTCTGAGGCTAAATGTTGGATGATTGATGAATATGAATGTATATATAAATTGTCTATGGTGAATGACAAATTTATTAAAAAATGCATAAAAAACGACCATAGGAGAGGCACTTTGAAGAAATTCCAAAAAAAGATTTGGTGTTTATTTGGTGTTATATATCCATTATTGACAGTTGTTGTCTGGTTTTTCATTCAAACCTTGCTTTTGTTTAACGTCGAGATTTGATAAACATATGTTTAGATGTGACATTATTTAATGACTACTGCATTCATCATATGAATGAAGTTCGTCAGCGATATTGTCGTTAATCATTATTGTGTAAAGTACTTTGTCTATTGAGAAAAAAACATCTAGCTCATTGATCGCGAACAGATCGTAAATCATCGCCGATGAATGTCGTAGATGAAAACCAGGCCTTAATTTAGTGCCAATATAATGTCTTTTTTCAAATACCAAACGTCGAACAGTTTAAGCGATTTTAAATAGTGCAGCCCTTGACCTTGCATTCTAACCTCTATTAATCCCCTCATGTGGGCACACAATAGTTACGTCAATCACACCAGGTCATAAAAACAGACTATAAATTTGCCTGGATTTTCTGAATGTGTTTGCTGTCTGACGACAACCTGTGTATACATATGTACAGATGATACACCCTGAAACTTTTCAACTGTAAAATATGTGTTGTACGTCCATAATTAGAACTCGGATTTTACAGTGTTTTTAGTCCCTTAAAATGACTTTGCATCAGGAGAATAAATACTGACATCATCTACAGTTTTCTTGCACCATTTTATAACGTTTGACACATTTTACATCTCAAGCATTTTACATTTTCTCTTAGTTTTTTGTAGCTGCTGACTACAGTGTTCCAGATGAAAGACTTTGGTTTGAGAAATACGGCATAAGAAAAGCCATGTTACCTTCCTTTATTTCCCTTGAGTTGGGAACAAAGGTACGTCCATCGTCCATTATATTGTAGAAATATTAAAATTACGTCGAGTAAACAACATATGCACCAGGAAATGCAATTGGAGGGTAAATAAATATCAAAGATACGTTATCAGGACAAAAAGTCGAATGTAAATATATTTTAGAGATTGCATGATGGTGTTGAAAGTGTTTCTAATATGACAGACCTTTATTAGAAACACCGCGTATGTTTCTCTTCCAATTTAAATTATTAGGTGTATTTTAGATTTGAATTAAGTCCACGTAATTGCCTGTGCATTTTTAAAGGTGGGGCCAAATCAAACACCGATACTCTTTGTGTAGCGTTTTCACAACCTGTACATTTGCATTAATTGTTTTTCTTTCGACCTAAAATCTAGATTTTGAATATTGGTAAATCCATAAACTTCATTCATCACGTTTGCCACGACCGTTTTACATTGAAGGAACGCAAATTATTGATTGAAGCAAATACAGGCAAGTTGCTTTACAATAAAAAAACTTTTAGTGTATGTATAACCTTTCTTTACAAACCTTTCTTTACAAACCCTTGCCTGCGTGTCTGTGTCTCTTCTCTAAAATTGTCTGTATTTAGTTTGACTCTTTGCCAAACCTCGTTGAGTTAGGACCCAGACAGCATTAACAGCTTAAGCTTCTGGTATGGCATTTGGTATCTTTTTTAAGGATTTGAATTTAAAATATTAAAATGTCATTCAATATTATAAATTACGCTGTGCATTCACAACTATTTAGTATATCATCTTGGATAATTAATTTGTATCATTGGATCATTGTCTTCGTTAACTTGTTTATCTCTCTCGTTTACTACACCACGATGTCTCATCCTGCAGGCCTACTAAACGATCAAATTGCGTGTTTTACTGTACTTATCATATAATATATTTTCCTCTGATTATAGGTTCAACAAAATTGACGGATAAAGAAGATTTTGGTGGAACTGCTCTTCAAGAGGCAATTGATATTGCATACAAGGAAACCAGCAAATATCTGCTTGAAATTCTCATCAATAAATACAAATTCGTCGATCATCTTAAGGCAAGTTGTATTATAGCTTCAGAGTGAACCTTCGTAATTGCACACAACTTGCTGTAGCTGAATCACATCTGTTTATCTCTGGTCATGAATTCATTTAGGGAATGAGAAGATATCTTCTTTTAGGACAAGGGGATTTCATCCGTCATTTAATGGATCTACTAGAGTAAGCGTACTGTTAATGCTGAACTTTGGCTGGTTTATATAATAGAATTTTATATAGAATTTCGTATTCATATACCACAACGGTGCCTTAGAATGGTTTGAAAATAGTTTAATGAAATATTAATTTAGAGAGACATTGTTTTAGGTCACATTGTTTTACAAATAACTGTGTTATATTTAAGGCCAGATCTTGCTAAGCCAGCCAGTACACTCTACACACACAATCTCTCCGGTGTTTTGGAGGCGGCAATAAGAGCTACAAATGCTCAGTTTGAAGATCCGGATATTATAAAGAGACTGGATTGTAGATTATTAGAGGTATTTGAGTAATATTGAAGTCTACCAATAATTTATTTTCTAAAAACTTGAACGTGTATAATGAGAAGTTTCATTATATTTTAGGTTTCGGTTGGTGATTCTGGCTGGGATGTTTTCAGTTTGTGTTATAAAGTGGATGGACCAATTGGCACTGTAAGGCAATATTTCCTATGGTTTAAAGCGGTTTAAAAGTATACTCCTGGGAAATTGTTATTTTCGTTTCCCTAAAGCCTCGGCTATGCCGGCGATTTTTGACGGCTAGAGCCATTGCATGGGTGCATATAGCCGGATCTACTTTTTAAACCCTAGGTTAGGTGGTGGTATATTTTTGTAATGTGAAAACTTAGATGTGTATGTATGTATGATGTTGATGACTGTCGTACCTCGTGTATCGCAGGTATTCACACCAGAATGTACACAAATGTATCTAAGGATTTTCAATTTTCTCTGGCGAGCAAAGAGAATGGAATACATCTTAACTTCAACATGGAAGGCACAAATGTCTTATTCAAGACTGTTTAGATCATTGCCAGGTACAACGATAAAATATAGCTGAATTGAAACAATACTTATTTACGCACATATTGTAGATATGATAAATTGAAAAGGTACAGATACCCTGCGTTTATCTGATCTGAGGGGAAACCCTTGTTTGTACGAGTTTTAGTACAAAACAGCGTATTGTATAAGCGTGATCAATAAACCTTTTTTCCGTAACAAAAAGATCAACGAGCTGATGGGAATTGTTTTGGCTTAGCTTAATATTAATAACTAACCACACTATTTACTGGTAACATGCAGTGCCATATTTTGTTTTTGTTTTTCTCAATTGTACCACTGTCACTTACAAGAATTTTTTCTCGAACTTTATTTCAGAACTTGGAGATGTCCTGCACACATGTAGTACACTAAACTCAGAAATGATACATTTCATTAATCAAATGCAATATTACATCACATTTGAGGTACTGCATGTGTGTCATATATCTTCTTCATGTATCTTCTAGAATATCTTCTAGATGAGAGATAGTATTCGATAAATAGCAAGGTTCATAATTGCATGTTCATGTACCAAGTGCAGTATTCCAGCGCAGTCTATGTTTCTAGATCCTTGAGTGTTGTTGGGCTGAGCTTCTTAAAAAGGTTCACGAGTCAACAAACCTGGATGACATTATTGTAGCTCATGAAAATTTCCTGCAATATATTTTATCCAGTTGTCTCATCGATAACCAGTCAAAGGTAACAGATTTACTGTGCTAAATCTTTTGTTATATTAGAATCGCCTCTGTACAAATCCTTAGCCTGTAGCCTCGATATTACCGGCCCCAACTGTCAATCATCAATTTAAGAATTCAATGGAAAACCTTTGTACATTGATAAAAGAAATTATGGGTTTTTTTATAGGATATGTTAGATCAACTGCGCGCAATATTTGATCAGATTATAAAGTTTCAAACTACGCAAGACACTCTAATTTCCCGCGCTTTATTTGAGTTGGAGTTGAGGAAAAAAAAGACTGACGAGATCAAAGAAAACACTGAAGAGGTTTGTTTAGGGATATCGTAAGAAATCATATATCATATCATATATCATATATCACATCATATCATATCACATCACATAACATCACATCACATCATATCATATCATATCATATCATATCATATCATATCATATCATATCATATTATATCATAGGGTATGATAAGATGTGGATAAGCTAAACAATGTAATAAGGCCTTCCGCAGAGGTTGGTTAGAATATCGTTAAACTAAACGCCATGGGCAAACATGCAATTACATTCGCTAGTTATAGGAAACGATTATTTTTGCATAAACTCAGACCTAAACAAGAGATAGCTAGTATTAGCTACTGTACTTGCAATAGTCAGCCCCATTTATTAACTGATGAAAATAGGGACGTTGGGGATTTACCGCGGCTGAGGAGGAACGAGAGGAATGGAGACAAGAAGATTTCAGAACTGAATTTTTACCGGTTCAGCGAGCACAATTACAAATTGTCTCTCAGTCTTATGAGGTAAGTGATCTTTTACTGGATCTTTTAAATCAATAAACTGCCGCAAAAGCTTTTCCTTCGATATTTTCTCGTATACGATAGGTACGATATCACTAAAACATTGCAAATTGTGTAAAATGAATCCACATAATTTACCACTGAATCCATCATAACCTGAGTATACTATGTATTAAATATCTGGGGCCGGTTGTTCTAAAGGCGTTTAGCTTAAACGGTGGATAAGTGAAAGTTTAAAAAATACTCTCATACATCTTGTGAATGACTGAAACTACATCTTATGCATTTAATATGTGCTTCCATTGAAAATTAAACTATTTACATCGAAGTATTTCAGCTCAGTTGTTCAATAAATAGATAAATTTGTTTTCCATTTTGAACGTATCCACCGTTTAAGCTAAACACCTTTCGAACAACCGGCCCCCTGCAAAAGAATTCCTAAAGCTTTTTTGAAACGTACATTCTTTAATCCGTATTTCAGAATCTTGTTGAGCAGTTTTTGTTGAAGTTAACAAGTCATTCAGATGTCAATTTGAGGTTTTTAAGTTTTCGACTGGATTTCAACGAACATTACAAGAAAAAAGAGCCGCGTTTACGCAGCACTCTCTCTGTCAAATACTCAAGAAGAAAAGGATTGCTTGGGAAACCGAAGATTGATCCAAACTGATTGTAGAACAAGAATTTTGTTAGTATAGATTCTGTATAGCTTGTTCATTAAATCGATCATGAAACTTAAAAGAGGTTTTTTCTTTCGTTTATAGTGTAGTTTTGATTTTTAACAATCTATATATATGTAAGTATGTTCTGTTTGTTTATTGCATAACCCCATTTAAATGACATTGGCCAAGACATTGACAAAAACAAGCTTCATTCTTGTTTTGTCTATAATTCGCGGCCTTGTGTGTCAATGTCGTGTTCTTATTTTTTTCGACGTGGCTATTTGTTGGATGTGCTAAATAATTTTGAATTCCAGCTAGGATATCAAAATATTATCAAAAATGGCGACAAAATAAGCGATAATGAAATTTACAAAAGTTCTCCATTTACTCTTCCCGCGAGCAAAGCGAATATTCACCTGACAATTTTTCTTCCCACAAAAATTGGCGTTATCCACATTAATTGCATTTGGCACTAATAAGGCTATTTTTCCATATGGAGAATTATCAGAGAAAATTTTTTAAGCATACGAAAATATTTACTAACTTAATATTTATTATCAAAATTATTCTATTACATATATTCCTCATCATAAACTTACATTTTATTTGGTATATATATCATGAATTATTTGGTATATATTGAAATGTACTTAAGAAATCACATTGCAAATTATCTCTTAATCAATAATACTTTCGAATATTTTTTAACTAATAAATGATACATTTTTTAAAACTAGACCTAAACTAACTTCCTGTAATTATGATATATAATTGTAAGTCTATATTCATAATCCTAAAAATCCCAATATATCGCGCTAAAATTTCACACGCTTCAAATACTATCACAAAAGAACATGTAGAGCAATATGTAGCCATTTGCCAATTTGGTTTAGAGGTATTTATTCAGTTTTGAAACTTTAGGGCAGCGCACGCCCAGTTTATCGAAGCAGAAATATATATGCTTAAATTCTGCAAATTTCTAAACTCCTACAGTATTTTGCACATTTTGTACAAAGGAAACAGAAAAATAGAACGTAATCATATTGTTATCTTTATACTTAACGATAAGAACTTAAGAATATTTGTTCATATCCAGGTTAAGTACTCTGTCTAATTTTGTCTTTAAAGGTTTCCGACATTTCCGACATCGGGGATTGATTTCATACAAACTGTGCACTTGCTAATGCGGCTTCGTAAATTGTTGGCTTTGAGGGTTTCTGGCTGTTGTGTTCTGAATTGATTCTGGGCTTCAACCGTCGTCATCCAGTACGAGTATGTATTGGCATAAAACTGACACGTGCCACGCCCGTGACATTCAATGAAGGGATTGGCGCGGAAGTCTTTCAAACAGGAGCCTGGTGAGGATAGCAATTGACCAGCACCTTCTGATCCAGAGCTGATATGCTATAATAAAAGGTCATTTCGTCTCATACAAGTTTTTCAAGAAAATAGGACGCAGTCATTCATTCTCAAATAGCATGAACGTAAAGATCCAACTTAAAAATCAGCCCTTCAGTAAATCTGTAGCCAAAACAAGCAAAATAAGGTTTGTTTACATACCATAAGGAAACTGTATCCACCATACAAAGCTTCCCATCCTTCAGGACAATTTGGATCTAACGTAGACTGGCTATGAACAGCAATGACATGAGACGGAGCTTCACATACAGAACAACGTCCGATATATTTTTCAACCGCTTGTTCTCTGGCTGGCATCATTGGAATTGGTTCAGTTGTTGCTAACCAATAACTGTAGTCGTTTCGTGAGGCAAGATTACAAACGTTGTTAATATTACAGAACAAGAAAGGCATAGTGCTAAATCTTCGTATGCAGGAACCAGCTTCACCAAGATCCTGACCATGTGCACGTTCGTTTCCTTGGATATACAATAAACTGTAACCATCCCACATTCGCGTCGTACCGCTGGGGCATTCAGGGATAGAGCTAGCTTGGCTGTGAACTGTTAACATAAAACCAAAATCTCCCTGGCCTGGAGAACCACGCCTTCCTTTTTCACCCATTTGTCCTGGGGGACCTATGTCTCCTCTAATTCCATTTGGGCCGACGTCTCCTCTAGGGCCTTGGGAACCTGAAATTGAAAAAGATAATATTGCTATTACATAAATGACCGCCGAAGCCGTGTTGTAAAACTGATCATTTCGTATTTTGCAAAAGCTTTCAAGCCAAGGGAAGACGTTTTGAAAAAATTCTTCAAAACCAGGAAAAGCCATAAGATAAATGTTTTTGTTGGAAATATTTGTTTTTAAGATTCCTACCATCAGCTCCGGGAGGTCCGTCGTTTCCGGGTGCACCCACATCACCAGCTCGGCCAGGATCACCATTTGGACCAGGGTCACCAGGGAATCCATCTTGGCCAGAAGGCCCTTGATTGCCTTTTTCCCCTTGGGCTCCTTCAGGTCCAGGTATTCCTGTAATGATCGTTATACTGTGAAGTACTAAGCTTATACGAGTGTCAGTCTTTATTTATATGTATTATATTCCCTCCTTTTGCAAGTTCAAAATAATGACAGCACGGTGTAGATGCAGTGTTGGGTTTGAAAATCGTAAACTCAAAAGCAATCAAATTTTTACCTGTTCCCGTTCCTTTCTCTCCTTTTTTGCCTTTGTCACCCTTAAGACCTTGCGCTCCATTATCCCCGCTATCACCATCAGGACCCCGGGGACCGGGATTTCCATCACGTCCCTTATCTCCGGTAGGCCCTGCAACTCCGGGAGCACCTCTACAACAAGAAGACAATATACCATTATAAATTATATTTTTTGGGTTTAGTATGTCATAAAGTTACGCATTGGCTCATCAGAATCCTGCTTTGGTTTCATGCAAACAACGTCACAACTCAGACTTTTTGTAAAGGTCTATACTTGATGACTCGCGATTAGGCAATACATACTTATCACCGCTAGGACCTCGAGGACCAGGATCACCTTTACCACCAGTTAAGCCTGTATCGCCACGGGGTCCATCTTGTCCTGGTTTGCCGATAATACCTGGGACACCAACATCACCTTTTTCGCCTCTAGGACCGTCTTGTCCTGGTGGTCCAATAGGACCCTCTGGACCTGTTAAATATTTACATAAGTTATTAACTTGTACCTAAGCATAAGCACGTTTTTCCTACTAAGAGAAGCTCGCTGACCCTTTCCCTTAAAGTCCTAGCAACATTCGGACGAAAGGTCCTTTCTCAAAACTTTGACGTTTCGTGATCTATTTCTCCATAATAAGGCATTTTGCAACAATTTAGTGACCGGATAAACTAACTTTTGATTTACATTAAATTTGATCACCCACCAACCTTGAGGTCCAGTTAAGCCCTGAGGTCCTATATCACCCTTATCACCAGCTACACCCTCGTTTCCTTTCTCTCCATCCCCTCCTTTTACTCCAGCAGGACCTGGTGGACCTGTGGCTCCCTTTTCGCCTCGTGATCCAGCGTCACCCTGAGGTCCCCGGGGTCCGTCAGGACCGCTAGAACCTTTATTACCGGATATTCCTTGTTCACCTTCAATCCCCTTGGGGCCTACATCACCTTTGTCGCCTAGAAATGAAAATATACACATAGATGTATTTAAGATCATGGTTGCGCAGCAGTAAAATTCTGAGGCAATCGAACAAGGAAGTTGATTCTCAATTGATTCTCTAATAACTTTCACACAAAGAAAAGTGCGACGGAGCGTAAATGCTGAAACTATCGTGACCAAATACCGTCAATGAATGGGACGGCCTTAAAGGCGGATTTCCGTTCAGTGTAGAATGTAGCTCGATCGACTTCTTGCGACCGCAGATTTTTTTTAATCTGCTATGTGAAGCTCATCACATCTCATCATCTTCTTTTGTTATGTTAAGCTCATCTAATATGATCAGTTCCGTGTGATTTTATTTCAAAAAAGCATTCTTCATTCCGCATTTCTTGTATAATCTATTTAAACTTCATCTCAATCAAAATCTTAACCACCGGTTTAGATGTTGGTAAATAAAGCCGCGGACATACCTCTGGCTCCCTTGAGGCCATCGGATCCTGTACCAGGTGGTCCTTGTTCACCTTGTGGTCCTTGAATACCTGGTGGACCTTGCTCTCCTCTCTCTCCTTGATCCCCTTTTACAGACACTGAGATCCCTATGTTTCCTTTTTGACCTGGCTCGCCTTGATCGCCTGATAGAAAATATCTTCATTTAACACGAAATGTTACAGTATGCAATTTTTACAAATTGGTCTAATGGATGGGGCAAATATGTTACCTGCTTCTCCAGGATTTCCTTGAGGTCCTCTGTCTCCATCATTTCCAAGATTTCCAGGCTCTCCCTTCACTCCGGGGAAACCAAGACCACCCTTGTCACCTGTGGGTCCTGGACTTCCTTTATCCCCCTTGCCAATGGGGCCTCTCTCGCCTTTATTTCCTTGTGGACCTATAAATACAATCATTTCAAAAAGGTTGTCCCTTAATCCGTAATTTTTGGTAGTTAACATAATTATTCATTCGCAATATTTTATCGCGATGTTTTAACGCCGTTTCAAACGTGATTACCTGGTGGTCCTTCAGGTCCTGGATTACCCGGTAATCCAACATCTCCTTCCACTCCTTGAGGTCCGGGTGCACCATCTTTTCCTGGTCGACCCTCACCACCCATACGACCCTTTTCCCCAGGTGGTCCTTCAGGGCCCCGTGGCCCTTCTGCACCGGGTTCCCCCGTGTCCCCTTTTGGTCCCTCACTACCGGGTGCTCCTTTGTCTCCCTTCAAACCATTCTCACCAGGAGGGCCAACCGGACCTAAAGCAAAAATTTGACTATTAAAGTTTTTATATATACATACACACTTTCTGCATTAACAACTGCAAACACTAAATTGTACTTGGAGTACGCTCATTTTTAAATTTTTCGTTTCAAATATACGTGTTGGATTCAGCTGTGCATTTGTCAAATTAAGGTTTAACGATTAGCAATATTCAGATAAAACTCTAAACTCACCTTCTACACCCCTTTCACCAGGGTTACCAGGCACACCTTGGTCTCCCTTTTCACCTCTGAATCCTGGAGGTCCAGTTACACCCTTGGGTCCAGTATCACCCTTTGGCCCGGCTGCACCTGCGTCACCTTTTGTACCTGGAAAACCGTCCTCGCCGGCGGGACCTAAAATATCACGACATTGATGATAGCGTTAACGATTTTTATTTACGGTGATATTCGAGACGATTTTAACCTTCACCGACAGACAGCACGATCACATGCATGCCCTATTAGAATTTAAAAAACACATGATATCAAACCTGAATTGCCCTTGTCCCCTTTCGCTCCCCCAACACCATCGTTGCCATCTCTACCATCCTTTCCGGGTGAACCAGGTTCACCTTCATCACCTTTCTTTCCGAGAGCGCCAGGAGCTCCGGGCATACCTATCGCACCTGGTGGTCCTGATGGTCCTTTTACTCCCGGTACTCCCTTCTCACCCTTTTCACCTTTATCTTGAGCTTTTCCTGGAGGTCCTTGTTCACCCCTATCACCTTTGTCTCCGCTACTACCTAAAAATGCATTCGAATATATCAGCATAAAACAGTAATGTATATGCGCTATAGAAGTTTTATTATTATTTCTTATTATAAGCGGTCACTTTCATTTAAGAAAACGAGAATCGTCGGTAAGGAAAAAAAACTCTAACGAGAATGCTGATTAAGGTGAAAATTCCGAAATTTTTCATTCAACGCAACAATGAATTGTGTTTTAGTTACATGAATAAAGAAATATCCATACCGTCCCCTCCAGGCTTTCCAGGTTCCCCTTTCCCACCTACTGTAAAGGAACCAACTTCTCCTTTTGCTCCTTTCTCACCCTTCATACCCTGTTCGCCCTTTTCACCTATAATATTGTATAATACAATAAATAAAGCAATAATACGACCTACAATATACCCCCTATATGATATGTAGTGGACAAAATACTAACGTCAATCCAATTTAGAGATATGACTGTAAACCCAGGGTCCCAGGCTGATTTCTATCAAACAATGTTTTCTTACACAAATTATCATACTTACTTGCCCCAGGGTCTCCAGATTCACCAACCCCACCTGGATTTCCTTTTTCTCCCTTTTCACCATCTTCCCCATCTTTGCCATCTTTACCATCATCACCCTTCGGGCCAGGATCACCTAATGGTAATGATGATATACACAAGGCTTATGATTGACTCACGAATCATGAGTGAAAGGCTTCCAGGCCAATTGACGAAATCATCGAAAGGACGTACCCACTATTGATTTAGCGGTTTATAATGAGATAAGCTAAGCTTGTTATTAACAAACAATTCTAACTTTTGTTATTTTGCTTTTTCTGCTGATAAAATGCTTACGATATTGCACATTAAAGTATTGTTAATATTGCAAACACTACCTTCTATTTCTCCTTTGTCCGTTGGCTGGTTAGTTGAGTCGTCTTTACAATCACCTAAGAACATGTAAGTTTGAGAACATTATCACTGTGAAAATTTGAAAGAATATACAATCGAATCTTATAATAAACATCATTGTTAAAAATAAAAAGCAACGACAGCGGTATTAGTAGTGACACTATGTGAGCAATTTCTTCCTGTGAAATTGATTAAAATTCAGCAAGATATTTGGAGCTAAAATACTTTTATGTGGACTCTGAAAATAGAAAACAACAAACTAAAACACTACTATTAAGTACCTGGAGGTCCTTGTGGTCCCTCTATTCCTGTATCACCCCTTTCACCCTGTGGACCTCTGTTTCCTTTCTCAGCGCTGTCACCACGCGATCCTCGGTTTCCAGGTTCACCTTTCTCCCCCATTATCCCTGGAGCACCATTGCCACCTTGGTTACCCTAGTCAATATTCATAATGGATAACTCAGAAATTGGCGACGTGAAAATCGGTTGCAAATTTCCAGGTCTATATACGGACGAATATTCCTTCGTATCATTTAAGCACCTCTAATACGGCAAAGTAAACATACCTTGCTACCTCTGACACCTTTAACACCTTCTTCACCGCGATCACCTTGACTTCCAGGTAAACCAGATTCTCCACTTTGCCCTCTTCTTCCTTTTGTCCCTCTATCCCCTTTCTCGCCCTTTTGACCGGTAATTCTCTCTACATCACCCTTTTCGCCCTTTTCACCACTGGCTCCTTTTGCACCATTATCACCAGTGTCACCCTGGAACATGTTTCATAGATGGTCTTCTTTAAATGTTGTCACATTATCGGATTGGTAAAAATATGTCCATGTAATTAAATTAATAAGTGGTATGTAATCAAATCAAAATAATTTCACTTAATATTCGAATATTTGGATCATTTAAATAAAATCCGGTTTGTGTTATTAAAGCACTCTCTTTTGCCATTCCTGTTAAACAAATTAAAATATCATTACCTGCACACCCATAGCTCCAGGAAGACCGGGCTGGCCTTGTTCGCCTCTCTCTCCTCTTGCGCCTTTTAATCCAAACTCACCCGCTGTACCAGGTGTCCCATCAGCACCACGAGGGCCTGGTTCACCTTTAGCTCCAGGTTGTGGGAGTGGACAGGTACTACATTCGTCACCTTATTAATGATTTTATAATGTCACTTTACGATGCAGTACCATGTATTACTACTTAGGAATAAAATGAAAAATGAGCAGTAGCATAATACTATATAGACAACGTGCAACGTGTCCCGATATTTTACATATGTCGTCATGTCATACATGTGAGGGGGCATCTCTTTAGTCGAATTTTATTCACGAAATATTTATCAGGACAACTGATATTTGAAAGCCATGAATGACCACTATTATTTCTACCTTTTGCACCACGTCCACCGGGTTGGCCATCTTGACCAGGTACCCCCCTATCTCCCTTATCTCCTTGTGGTCCAGGTTCGCCCTGTGGACCCGTCACTGTATCTGTCGGTCCCGGAGGTCCTACCAGAAGAAAATAAAAATATTGTTAGATCGAAGGCATTCTTGCTCCAAATTACTGTTTCTACTTGGCCACGTATAAACTTTAAAAAAGTTTATATCAAATGAATCTTAACCTGAATGTAAATGATTGAATAGCTACATGACGTCGCAGAACGTCATGTAAAAGAAAATATTATACAATTTACAATTGATTTAATGTCGGAGAAAATACAATTTATATCGATCTTCTCTATCGACATTTACTGACAAAACAGAAAGGTCTATTTGGTCACGTGTTTCCGTACCTCGCGGTCCTTCTGTTCCTTTATCTCCCTTTTGTCCAGAATCGCCACGCTGTCCAGGTTGACCATCCATACCGGGTTTGCCCTCCATATCCAAACCACGTGAACCTTTTTCTCCGTCTGTACCCGGTGTTCCAGGTTCACCTTTAGGTCCTTCGGGACCCTTCATGCCAGCAATACCTGCAAAGAAAGACTTGTTACCAATACGTGAATACTTACAAAACCTTTCGAGAACTCTTAAGTATGAAGCAAGTATCTTTTGACTAAAATGGTGTCAAACTTTAGGTAGATAGTACTCATAAAAAAGGATGGACATTAAAACAAATGGCGCCTGTGAGAATAAAGTCTCTATTAACTGCAATACAATGCATACATAACAGAATCCGCAAAAAATGTGAAAACAGGGGTAATATTCTATTTTTGTGAAAACAGGGGTAATATTCTATTTGGCACTTCACCTGGTTTTCCATCTTCTCCTCTATCTCCTTGTGGCCCTCTTTCACCCTTCTCGCCTGGTAAGCCAGTAGCAGGAGAACCTGGGTTCCCAGCCGAACCTTTAACACCCGAATCCCCTTTCAAACCTGGCATTCCTCGAGGTCCTTCATTACCCTTCTCACCATCAGGACCGGGCGGTCCAGTACCCGGTGGTCCCTAAAATTTTTTACATCGTGAGAAGAGCGCCTAACAGACGCATTTCAATATCATGCTTGTAATTTGCAAGAACAACAATATAATAAATGTTTCAGTTGACTTTGAACAATTAAAACGACGCATGAAACAGACGGCTGTGGCGAAAAGTGAAATCAGCAACTTAGTATGATCAAGTGATAGCTTTAACGTCAAGATGATATTTTTCAATTCATTGTCAGTGAAACAATAAAAGTATAGATATGCAAAATATTGGACGCCAGTTTTAGGCTAATGAAAAACAATGCACTAATAGATTCAAGTATTCAATATCGACCCAAATATAAAATATATGTCAAAAATCAGTATAACCAGAAAAGGTTCGTACAAGCTAGGAAATTGCGATAATTTTTTTTATTTTATAACTTTTTTTTCTTGTTTTTCATAATTTTTTTGGACGCGGTATTTTGGACATAGAGTTACAACTTTTAAACATTCACCAACCTCAGGGCCTGGTAGACCGTTTTCCCCTGGTGGTCCTGTAGGTCCTGGATCACCCTGTAAAAATCCTTGATTAATACTTTCATAGTTGACTGGTTTGGGGATATGGATAGCATTTCAGCCGCGGTTGCTCAATATGACCTTTTTTTAAGCACTCGTAAAAATTTAACCAATATGCAGTAATTTTATCGAAAAATGAAAATATTAAAATGTCAGAAAGAAGTCACTTACAATTGGCCCTCGCTCCCCTGTTTCACCCTGAGGCCCCTTGATTCCATCAGATCCCTAAGAGATTAGGCATAAAAGTTAATACAGACGTTAATGGTAATTATTCAGTTATTATGCTTTTATACTCTTCACCAGACATCATTCTCATGGGAAAAAGTGTATTGCTAATAAGCTGACCCTATCGCCTTTGTCCCCAGTTTTTCCCATTGCGCCTCTTGGACCCTATATGAAAGAAAATCGAGCGATTTATAAAGGAGCACGGATAGAAAAGCTAAAAAGTATGAAATTCTTACAGAATCTCCTTGTGGTCCAGTCGTTCCTTTTTCGCCACGACTGCCTGGGTCGCCTTGCGGTCCCTAAATGGAAAGGAACATCAGTAATCGTTTTTAGTGTGAAAACGCTCATCGAGGTAACCTTTCCACTTTAACGTGCATTGAAGCAAATCCTAATGCTACTATTACCATCCTACTACTTTTTTGCCATATTTGCACGTACAAGTCTTATAGAAATATAGCATTCTCGGTTGTAAATCTACTGTAAAGGGCCTTGCCAACCGTTGTCCCACCTGATCACCCTTTTGGCCGCTATTTCCAGTCATCCCTCGTTCACCCTTCTCACCCTGGTAAAACAAAAGAAATTTAGCGAAAATTTAAAATACGACAACATGAATCAATACAATACATAGAGTTTCTGCGATGACATATATTATAAGGGAACAGTGGAATTTCATTTGGTTTAATGAGTAGTTTATCGAAAGCTTCACTTCTAAAAATCGTGATTTAAAATTTACGGATAAGAATTGTTACCGTTGCGGTTAACGTTTATCGAAGAACCGAACTTTCAACCGTTCAACTAGGAAAGAATCGCCTGCCTAATGACTAATAAAGATTGAAATGCCCATGCGCATGCATGCTTCATGCACAATTACCTTTGTTCCTTTGAAAATCTAGAAAAAAAGATAAATAAGCAGTTAAATACCCAACTGTGGTTTGCTAGTAAGTCCAAACATCTTAATACCAGTAATCGAATTATCGATTGATTTAAAAAATCGGTGATCAGTTTACTGTACGTATTTCTGCTGTTTATGCTATATGAAATAATATTTACGTAATGTTGATTTTAGGTTTAACTCACCGGACCTTCTTTTCCTCCTTTGGTAAGTGGTAAGCTAACATTCCCTGGTTCACCAGGCAAGCCAGGTTGACCTATCTCACCCTAAAATACCAAAAAATATCGTTCATAACGATCGTCCAACGAGCATAACTAAGGACTTGCTGAAATTATTTTAGTCCCTAGCCAATTCTGTTTCTCGCCTAATCCTGTCCTAAACCTCTAGTCTTAAAAGCCATTTATCTGATGCAATATAGATGTGTATGCCTTTTTTAATGTATTAAAACTAGTGCAGAAATCCGCCTTCCGTACGCTTAACGTACTTAATAAATCACACACGGTCAGGTTAAGAACCATGTATTTGGACTTACCTTTTGTCCTTTACTTTCAATACGGATTCCCATTTCACCCTGGAGAGAGGGAAACCATTTTTTATAAGACAGCGTATTAGTTCGCCTATTAGCATCGCATTATGATCGCCGGATGCCGACTTGTGCCGATGCCATTTTAACAAGTCTAATTATCACATGCATATCTTCACTATTCTATAGTTTCTGCAGAAACCTGAAACTCGTTACAACACGCCCGATGCAAAGTCTTAAGTTTTCCTTAACCTTATTAACAATTATTAGAAATTATTCCTATAAGTCTGCTTTGTATATATTCTAGTTGAGAAATAGGGATTTTTTTCCAAGCTACCTTCATTCCTCTGGCACCTTTGATACCTCTTCCACCCTAAATATGAATGACAATAAAGATTGCATGCATGCCATAAATTAATTACAAACAAATGCCCATCACCAACGATTATAAATATTTCCCGCTAATACTGCATGCTGCTTAAACAATGCTGCATTTGATGCACAATATGCCATCATAATGGCGCACTGTACCCTGTCGCCTTCCATTCCTTTGTCTCCCTTTTCGCCTTTCGGTCCTTCAGGCCCAACAATTCCCTAAATTTAACAAAATGTTATTTCTACCGTCTTGCTTGTTTCACAATCCCCCGTCTTGCATATTACATGTATTCAGTACAGAAAATATTTCAAACCTTTGCTCCGGTTTCACCCCTCTCTCCTTGGTCACCCTGGAGGTGGATGTAAATATCAGTTTAAAATTGAATTGGCGCAAAACAGATGTAAATAAGCTAGAAAGTTACAAGCAGAAATCTTACTGAACCAGATTGTAAAAAAAACGTTTTAGAGCCAAACCAATGCGGTGGCGATTTTGAGAGAAAGATGTTCATGGTAATTTACTACTTCTTTTCTTGTTTTTCTTTTAAACGATGTCATGATAAATTACCTTCACTCCTTGTCGCGATCCACTGGTCTTTCCTGGTTCTCCCTAAATTTCGCAATTTCAAATCATTGATACAGACGTGTGTTTTTGAAAAAGGAGAAAATTATGGAAATCAAATTCAAAAATCACCTTCATTCCGCGTTGTCCAGGAAAACCCTAAAGATGATACGAAGAATGCGATTTATAGTCGATGATTTCTTCGGTGGCTGTGACCATGTCGCTCTCGCGAAATCGATCAAATACAGCTAATCAACGAAGTTTTCTTTCTGTTCATGCCGGCGACAATTAAACGACTATTTAAACTACACACTAGGCGAGTGTGAACACTAAACAAGCTAAAATACTTATATTAGACCTGGTTGTTGTGAACGGACAAGATTTCCATCGTTATCAACCTTACCTTTGGACCAGTGTTTCCTGTTTCGCCAATGGGACCTGGTCGGCCAGGTTCGCCCTAAAATATGGTGTTGAGATTATTAGAAAAACTTATTGGCGCTAATTTCATGGTGGGAATCATTCTTACTTTTGTTCCGTTACATCCGGGATCTCCAGGATCACCACGAGGTCCCTCATTACCAGGGATACCCTAAACAAATACGAAATTCAAGATGAATCGTATTCATTTTAGGAAAATGTTTTGATAAGAAAGGCTTACTGAATTGACTAATACTTTCAAGTATTTCTATTTTCTATACTATTGCAACGGTTTGGAAACAGTCTGCAGAAGTCTTACCGGACTACCAGGCCTTCCATTATGTCCAGGATGACCCATTTTCCCCTAAAATTGATGAAAAACGTTTTAAACACTGGACAATTATAATGAAAACTTGCATCCTTATGCAGTAAAGCTGGACACATTAATGCAGATTTGATGAAGATAAAATTTTTTACCCTATTTCCTTTAGGTCCTACAGGTCCAGCTTCACCTTCCTCTCCCTAAATCAATGAAGAATGAACGTGTAGAACCCGAATCGAAGAAATACAAAAACTTTTACCAGAAAACGTGTCCTGAAAAATGAACATAGGTGGTAATGATTTAGCTCCTTCAATGCTTCACCTTTAGTCCTCTTACGCCTTGTGGCCCTTCTTCACCTCGATGTCCCTAAAAGTACAAAAAGTAAACAAATGTAAAACTGCTAAGGTTGCTTTTCACTTCGACCGTTTCCTCACTACGCTAGAGTTACTGATTTTTTCAACCGTGTAAGATTAATTCAAAATAGCCCAACCTTTAAGAATACAACACAACTCTGTTCTAAAATTACGTACTTACCGGGATACCTTGGACTCCTTGTTGTCCAGTTGGGCCGCGCACTCCCTAGATAACGATTTGTTTAGGAAATGTTTCGATAAAACTATTTTCGATGAAACTATTTTACATCTTGACAGCAACAAATGCTTTTAAAGATTTTTTTCCACGCTTTTTGATTGAGACATGCATGTTCTTAGTCATCTTAAATTATCATCAAAAAATTCTGTTGTTCCTACGAGAATGTATTTCTGGAAAGAATTCTGAATCTTGCATTAATCAGATAAAAACTTAGTTCATAAGTCCAAAACAAATCCTAAAAACTCGCGCTGCCAAACTTCTCAACATAACTTTATCTTTGTACAAGCATTCTTCGTTCTCGGAAAAACATCTACAAATGATTCAGTCGAAAAAGTGCAATAGAAATCCCGTACTAGTTGAAAACGATGCTATATGGGATCACTGGCCTGGGAATCTAGTATATTTGATCCTAATCTAACATAGTATAAATATATTTATAGGTTTAATTCAGATAAAAAAGACTAAGTGCTTATGAAAAGAAGGAAAAAGTTCCAGTGATTATTATTCACTTGCTTCTTGACAATAGTCAATATACACATGTAATTATTAACAGAGGTTTTAGTGCCCGAGACCTCCTTCTCCTGTAGACTAAATACTTTAAAGGCAATTAATAACTGTGAATTTAATGCTTTACAGCGCTTGAACTGGATTTGGCTCCACCCGTTTTCCTTGCGGGTGATCTGTGTAATTAATGACCACCAGATAGTTGGAATATGTTTATACAATAATTTCACATCTGGTAAACTGAACTTCGATGTCATTAGTAAAATGATCTTACACACACAGCATGTTATGATTTTAAATTGCAAGGCAAGCCTATTGATAAATTAACAGTTCAGTCAATTCACTATTATTTCAGGTGCATTTGGAAGCTTGGTTTCTCTTCATTTTTATAGCACGCGGGCACCGAAATACTGGGTGAGGATGGACCTCACGCTGGAGTTACGTAAAAATGATAACTGAAATGAATTATTTGGCATCCACATATATTGCTTCACGTATTGAAACACGCGCATGATTTATTCGAATTAAAAATTGTCTAATTGCATTGGCAGATGTATATTTTGATAAGCATATTATTCTGGGTCATGAATGACCCAGTTGAGAAAATTAATAGTTTTCATTGAAATTATTTATTATTGCCCAGCAGAACTGTACAATAACTGTCTAGCACTGTGATAACACACGTTATTTTCCCGAGCATGAAATATGAAGTGTGCATAACCTATAGCAAGGATTCTTTATATACTGAAGCCTTTATTCTGACATTAAAATGCGGTTTTATCCTTGATTTAGATTGATAAATAAAAAAAAACCTCTCAGTTCCTTGTTAAAAAGTACTTCACTGAGCTTTTGTGTTATCACATAATCGTTTCTTAAGGTAGTGAATGTAACACTATACACTCTGATGTTATCAGTGGCAAAGATGATTTTCTCGTCTTGAAGATAAGTAAAATTGTCAGACTGCGAGAATGAACGAGAACATTGTCTAATAAATAGAAACATATTTCAACATGTCTCTCCCGGAAGAGAGCCATTTGTGCATTGCCCACTCGCAATGTATGTTTATCTTACCCTTTCTCCTTTTTCGCCTTCACAAGTGGGTCTGCACGACGCGCAACCATTACAATCAACCTGGGAATTAATGACAATAAAATCAGCTGAAATGTTCAATTTATTCATTTTACATGCATCTAACAGAGTTACATGGAGAAAACGAAAATAATTATTTACGTTGTGAATAGCAGAGGGCAATGAAAATTAGTTTCCAGAATGGAAGCCGTATTTGGAGGCATGATATAGCATGCATTAAGATATCAAAAATAATGTTGCAGGAAATTTATGTTTGCATGTCTGAAATTCTCTCGCTCTTGGAAATGTATGGTCGTATGAATTCTCACATCAGAGTTCTAATAAAGAACTATGTAATTCACTGGAGTATGACGTTGTTGTACCATTTGGGACAATGACGCCTCAAAAAGATCCTCGACTCCATGCTCTAGGGAGGATATCCGCCAAAGGATATATTGATTTGCGCAAATTATATAGATATAAGAAACTCGACATTTAATCTATTTTAGTCTAGGTAAACTAGGCATTGGAGATCTACGTCCACAGTTATCTGAGATTGAAAATCTTCAAAAATGACTGCCCCAGAGAAGTATAGTTTTGCGTGTATGTATAATTATTTAATAAACATAAAAGTCGTTATTTCCTAAGTTATCTGATAGCTCTTACTGAACTCACAAATCAATATCGAGTTACATACATTTCGCCTCAGAGTGGACAAGTGTTTCTAAAATAAAGTATTACGAATGTTTGTTGAGTTCCCAGGATCAAAGGCGTTATCTCGCGTTCCTTTCATTCCGTGTCATCTGACAGATGTTATTATTTTGGGTGATTAAGGTGTCAGGGTTGGGCTCATGGTATTTTGGTGTGGTCAATCATTCACATCCGTATTTGGGAGCAGCTATTCCATTCGATTGGATTCCGAGATAGTATTTGTTTATTTTAACAAGCCACTGAAAAATTCTAAATAAATTCAAATAAAACGTGCAGCTATTGCACATCGAGTACAATTCATCCATAAAATGCGCAAATCATAAAGATGGATTATAAGATTCACATGTGTCTTGTGTCACCCACAGCCGCCTTGATTATTTAATAAATATATATATATATATATATATATATATATATATATATATATATATATATATCACAACTTATAATAGCCTAGATAGCATACGTTATCTGCATGACTAACCGAAAATAATTTGTGCATTGATGGCTTAGAAACGATCGGAGTATATTATTTTATTTAATTATCACTTTGGGTTGATATCCGAAATGATAATTTTATTTTTATGAAGCCGTAAGATCTAAGATGTACCCCGCGACTTCCTGATAAGAAGCTGTTATTGTCGCCTCAAGGGAAGTATTCTACATGTCCTAAACATTGTGACGAGAGACCACACCGAACTTGAGCTATATGAATTGAAAACAATTATATGCATTGTTTGTTATTTCAGGCAAAAGCGTGTAGTGATCATACCTTATCAGTGGTTATTTCCCTGGAATAATAAAATCCGTTTGTCGCAAATTACATTTGTCGTATCACGCTGACGCATTTCGATATATATTAGTTATATATAGGTATGCGAAGACACGCAAACTACGCGGAAAAATTCATCCATGCATTTTAGAGTAGATGGATGATGAAGGTTTTTATTATTTAAATTCGAGGCAATACTGATTTCGGCATCTTTAAAAGCCTCAGGCGTCAGAAAAAGGATCGCGTGTGTTTTCAAAGGAAACGGATTCCTTTGAACTTTGAACTGCGGTGTATATTATATATTCCAAGGATATACATTTCGCTACTTGCGTTTCATTCCGCAGATATGCCACAAACGTAGACGTGCGCTGCTGCGCGCATACAGTAACCCTCACCGGCCATGCAGCTGCGCACGCTACATGGACATGTACTTCAGAACGTATTGATAAAACTATAAAACTGAGTGAATTTCTATTAGTATTTTCATTTTCCTCTTCTCTTATTCTTCTGGGGCAGGCTTGAAAATCTATCCTATCAAAATTTTTGTCTACCTAAAACAACAAAGAGTACTTACTACCAAAATAACGAAACATTTTGTTGTCGCGCATGCATGGAATGTAGGTGGGTTCAGTGATTCAAGGACAAGATGGCTGTTGCTGCTTACTGCGCTCTACAATCGTTTCCTTCCGTAAATACAAGTTCAAGTCAAGGTTCAAGTCAGGCTGACTGAATGATCATCGTTGTGGTTTGAACAGAATACTTAATTGATTATATTCAATAAAATTATCTAGAAACGTCTTATCTTTGCCAAGATTTCGTCGACAAGCGAATGAGCAAGGACATGTTTCTCCGTGACGCATATAAAAAACATGTAAAATTGTATTTATAGAGAACTGTTTGGAATGAGGAAAATAAATAGTGATAATTGATCTAATATAACATACCGAAAACAAGCAAATTGAATACTTTTATTACACAAACATTTAATTTATCAGTAGTTATTTTCAAAAACCTAATGATGAAATGAGAGTCTCCAGACCGAAAAAAATCTTTAAATACCTTAATGCATAATCTTTTAACACATATTATGCTTGTGCATGAGACGATATGCATAAAACAACATTACGAGAATATTCAACACAAAAGACTGAAAAAGGGCAATTATTTTATGCGACAATAATATCAACAGTTAAGAACGGTAGTAGATTTGGGCAATCTTTATTTATAAAGATTCTTAATTTGCTATTAATATTGATTATTTTGTTATTAAACGCTATTAATATTGATTATTTATTATTTCAATGGATTATTTGGTATATTGAAAAGATATTGATCACGTTTTTGTGAATTGTAAACAGTCAGACACAAACTGATGAGGAATTGCTCTCTTAATGGTGCAAGACGAGAGACTCATATGGAGAGACTTGTGTTCGTGCAAAAATTGTCTTTGTTGAAAAATCCGCCATTCCACCAAGAGATAATATCCGGATAAATTAAAGCACTTGTGCTACAACCACGCACATTAAAAATGATGGACATGTATCCCAATGTCTTGATGAGGTGAAATTTCAATTCATCTGTTCATTCATCAGACAAATATCTTAATAATTCCCGTATTTAGGCACCAAGAAGAATGCGTTTCAGCAAGTGTTTCGAGTCACTGTATTTCGGAATTCAAAATATTATATATGACGATGACCTCCATATAACCAACCAGGACATGACAAAAAAGTTGCGGCATCATTAATCACAACAATTATGGCAATGTAACTTCTGCATGGCCACAAAAATGAACTACAATATAGGCCAACACTATCCAACTAATCCACGTTCTCATTTTCAATGATCTGATTGAAAATAATTTGTAATCTCAGGAAGGCATAAAACTATAATACCAACGCATTATGAAATTACTATAAGCAGCAAACAAATATTGACTCTAGCGATTAAAAAATTACTTGGGGATTGCAGCGGATAACTGTGGTTACACAAACAGTATTTTATTTGACACGAGAATTTGTAGAAAAGAAAATTCTTCGTTCCTTCTAACGTCCACGCGATATACACGATTACTTAAAATTCGTTATCGGCCAAAATTGCCGGAATTCCAACTCCCTATTGACGAGACATGCCTCAAGGGCTTTCTTTGCTTGGCAATAGAAACAAATGTCTTTTACATGTCACTAATACCGTCTTGTGTATGAATTATTTTATACAACAACATGAAAGAAAAATGCGAACTTTCCCCCTTTTTAAAACACAAAGTAAGACAAGTATTTAAGGGTCACTGAAATGCAACAGGTGAAAGACAATACCACTTTTGGAAATCCGATGTGCGCCCCCCCTGCACATATTCTGGTGTGCAAAGCGCCGGATAATAAATGTATACTGAATATTCTGTTTAAAGCATTAACGCAACAGCACAATGACTTGCGCAGCAAGCGCGCACTGCAACTTACAGTTTTATTATAATAGACGCAATTTAACCACGACATTTACACCTAACTGCGAGTAATGTTTGATTTTTTCAAGCAATTACTAGAAAACGATGGATAAATAAACCATCATCCTACCTGTTCCGAAGCTGATTGCTCGATTAATAATGATGCAATAAATACAGCGCCAACTGCTAACAGTAAAACAGAAGACCTATACGAAAAAGACAAGTTGTAAGTTGTTGTCTGTGATGAAAATATGATAATAGAGCAAGATGTAATACAAGCAGAGGGTTACATGACGCGCGCAAACACTTACCGCATCTTGGGTTTATTTCAATTCGCTAGTCGTGAAACACGAATCTTGACAAAATCAATGATATTTCGTTTCTTTTGATATGAGAATGTTTTCAAAGACAAATTGAATGAAGAGATCTTGACGCAACCTCGACTGACTATGTCAAAAGAGATGCGCACTCACCAGTAGTCCTGAGAAGATGTTTCTAATAGTCTCAGATAAACAGTGACAGCTGATTGAGCCTGTCAAAATATGAGTTGTTCACATCACTGGTGACTTTATCATATCATATCATATTCCGCGCAACAGGTGGTTATGCTAATATAATTATTGATGCCCATCAGATGATGGGGACCAAGAATTGCATGCCATTAAGTAAGATAAGAAGGAAATGGTGTGGTCAAACCTAAGCCTAGTATTTTCCTTATGAGGGCGAATAGGATATTCCAATTGGCTGGCTTAGTGTCAAATTGAAATCTGAGAGGCTTGGCCCATCTTGGCAAGTCTTAAACTAGACATTCCACAAGAATTACATCACGCGATATTAATACGCCATCATTTACACACAATAACTTAATAATATCAGAACAATTGCTGTCATTTCGTACTTACAGATTTTAACATTTTTTTAGTTATATGAAGAATTTTAAAAAGTTCCCAGACTCTCAAAGTATTTAGGACATTTAGGACATAAACTCCCGATGCTTAATTGTCGAATAAGTGGAATGAGGACAAGTGGAAAATTTTGCATGATTTGCGTCAATGCTCTTAGACACCATGAGTCCAACGCAACCTGTTCTGTAAGTTGGAGATAAGTGAAGCAAGAAGCTCTTAACTCAATAAATTTTAAGCAATTAGACGAAATATCGGAAATACATGCAATGTTTAATGTCAATGTTCATATAAAACTATCGAAGCAAGAAGCGGAGATTTTACCAGAGAATATGCTTTCGAAAATTGATTCTCTTTTAGAATTTCTTTAAGATTCTGTTTAAGTGAAACTGGCCAAATGATACTAGAAAGAACGACCAGCATTGTTTTTTTTGACGACGCGAACGGAAACGATGCTTTTGGTGCGGTTCGGTCCCAACCCCGGTCACACTCTTTTCGTAAGCTCGGAGTACATGCTGATACTTGCCGGTCTTGCCCTTTCTTTTTCATCAATATGAGGGCCTTTTCCGAGTTCCGACTGTTACGAATTCGACGAACCTTAGGGCTTGGAAACTGCAATCACCTTCTTATGTATGTTAGAATAACACCCTAATGATCTTATGTGTATATGTGGCTTGCTTTGAAAATCAGGTAGGTGGATCCATGGCTGCATTCCCCGCTTATTGAAAGAAATATGGAAAAGGAGGAATTAAATTATCCGGACTATGCCAGCCGTATGGGCCGTAGGAACACCAGATTTGTTGTGTAAACACAATAAAACACTTCTCAATTGCATCTTCTCTAAGGTTATGTTTGATTGACTCAATAGGCAATATGCTCAGAGATTTATTTAGGCTTCCCGACATTGTCAATTGGCAATGAATGTATGCGTGGAATAAAAATAACGCAGATGGAATTACAATGATATTTCTCAATTAAATTACGGGAAGCAAATGTAATTCCTGAATAAGGCGTATACTGTCTCGATTGCCTAAGCTGCCAAAACTCCATTAAAACCTGGCAGGATTTATGTTAGACGAGCGTTAAACCCAGAAAATGATGCGGATTTATACCTACTGGTCTATGTATGGTATACACCCAGCAGCCGGATATTGAGTTATCCACCCCTATTGAGGAACGTCAGAAATTTTTTTAGGTGTCAACGACGTCTTGATGTCTTGACCCTGCAGTATGTCAGAGTAGCCATCAATCATCTTACAACGCGGTATATGCAATATTAGGTTACTTGACAGACAAGCTTGGCACCGTCAACAGAGACTGCTTTACTGACGGTAACAAAATCGAGCTTCAGGATTGCTATTTACATCACCTTGAGCCATCCAGAGTTTCTGAAGTTTGAAATCTTGAACACTCTGCAGAGTGAAGGAAATAAGGTTGGTATATTACGCTAACGATATAACTAGTGTGCTTAGCGATTCGCGCTATTTGAACTGTATTCTATATAGTATAATAATGATGTTCTTTATGCTTTCTTTAGGATGACAGGGGTGCGAGCATTCTTTCTCGTTTTCTTTGTCTGCGCAATGACAGCGAAGGTACTTCATTTTATTGGGTTTATTACGTGAAAATAAGCGTACGAGTTCAAGAACAACTAGGCTAAACATTGCTATTACAATAATGTTAGTAATTATACAACACATTTTGCGTCAAATAGCAAGTGTCAATAATACTGATTTTAAAAGCGTAAATTGCGCGAATGATTTTCTATTGATTGTCGCGCACATGCGAATGATGAAACTATATTACGAGAATTTTGCGCTAGTGTTCTGTATCAAATCACGACGTACCAAAGGTTTGAAAGGCAGCTGAATGTGTAATCAATGGTGCGTAATTCTACTGCTGCACATTTTAATGCATTTGAAAGAAAAAATTGAATTGTAGGCTAATTCTATGCCAATATTATTTGGTTGTTCTAACGCCACCCAAACACCGAAATTAATTTAAACTTTGTCTGCTCAATACATTAATGATAGTCGCAAACAGCAAAGGCTTGTGGCTTTGAAATATGCTGCGAGATAACAATTTCTTTTAGCAGGGGGGGAGGTGAATTATTCTCAGGGCGAAACTACATATTTTTAAATCCTTAATCTGGGAAGCATAATGACCTTATATAGGTCGTACCAAGCTTTTAAGTGAAGGAAATCTGGCTCTAGAATTTGAATTCTTCAGTGTATGGATTTCTAAGTTGTTTTTCAACAAAACAAATTATACGTCTATACATACATATGATGTAAGAGTGAACCTTGGGAGATTGCCACATTTTTGCACTACTCAACATGTATTCAATGTCGTACTTTCTCGATAAAGAATGTGCATATGATAATAGATAACCAGGGAGCAGCGTGGCAGCGTCCTCAAAAAGCATCAAATGTGGTATAACGACTGCCTAAAGTAGACAAAAACACTTCTTGATGTTTCGACCTGAGGGCCTTCGTCAGGAGAGTTAGTATGAAAATTTTCATACTAACTCTCCTGACGAAGGCCCTCAGGTCGAAACATCGAGAAGTGTTTATTGTCTATTTTAGGCAGTTGTTATACCACATTTGATAATAATAGATAAATAGATATGTTTTACTTTGCTAATCTGTTGCTATATTATATGAATCAATTTCGCTTTCTTTCTTTCTTTCTTTCTTTCTGAAACCAAAATATCTTATTTATATTCTAATCGGGAGCTATATGAAAAATGCTTGGTTACCACCCTGCATTTGTCTTATTATTTAGTAATCAATTGTGTTTCGTTCCATGGTCAGCAATCTGATTTGCTCGACTTTTCAAAATCCTATTGTACTAACAAACGTCATGTTTCTAGCATAGCCTTCTTTGAAAGGCTTGCTATTAGAAAGTAATTTGTTGTGCGTGCTTATTTTTGAAGCAGGCAGGGTCATTTTAAACTGAAAGATAAACGCAGTTGAAGCTTCGGTCGGTTCATGTCAAATGTACACAGAGTTGAGTCCGTCGGATTGGAGCATCGTATTTCTATTCCTTAAACTTCCGTTTTAGATGCCAAGGTGGTTCAGTATTAAATATGTATGGACAAAAAACTACTGGTAAAAACTACTAAAAAATCTACAAAATGATTCCATTTTGAATATGAGCGTACAAAAAATACTTTTCTTTTTTAATTGTTGCCAACTTATTGTTTAGATTAGCACGTCACCACAAGCATGCATCGTGTTTTTGTCCCTTTTCTTTCTATACAGACTTGGGGGTTAATGGAACAAGACGCTTGCCCTGAAACACGATACATGCAGACATACCCTTATAATTAGCTTAAGCGGAGTTAATTGAGTAAATAATTACTACAACTGACATGAATGTATGTGAACTTGGTTCTTCTGTTTTAAATTTTTAATACTCAATACTTAATTAAGTATTATTGAAACGCATTGATCTATCAGAGATTGATTGTAATGTTTTCCAACGAGAACCTATATTATTGACAATAAAAATATTATTACAGAATGATAAAGATATATCAATTGAATAGTACAAATTATATAAAATTTGTGAAGTAGTTTTTTAGTGCATGCATGTAATTAGTGCATAAAATATCATTTAAAACTAGTGACAAAATGCTTTATGTCCATTCAGTATTGGCACCAGACGCTGTATAGTTTTTTGTTCCGATCGTGAAAATATTTCCAACTTCTTTGAGAATCTGGAGTCAAGTTTGAAAACTTTGAATCCACGATAACGCCACAGTTTCGAGATGTAAAATTTAGAAGAGATACAAAAATATGACGGGAATGTGGTAGCCGTGTTTTTGTGTAAACAGATAAACATATCTGGATGGTGCAATAGGGCGCGGCTCTGTATGAGACCCAAAAGAAGGATCATCAGTAATCTTTATAGTCACATTTTTTTGTGTCACAAATTCGTATAAGGACGTGTTGTGGTACGTGACTACGTGTGCAAAAAATGCTCCACTCTAGCTCGTCTTTAATATTATATTTCAGATTGCCATATCAGGCGGAATAGATCAGATCTCTTGTGTCATAAAAATATTTAAACAAAACTAGTTTTGTTGTATGTATAGTGTCATAAGTCATATCTTAGCTCTATGTAAGTAAAATTGTAAGATCTCTTACACGCCATGATGTAAGTGTCCTGAGTCAGTTGAGTTACATGGCTGTTACAAATCAAATTTGCAACATATGCAGAAATATGGGGGAACATAGGCGTAGGAAGAGACATCAAATTGGTACGCTGAAAAAAGTAATCTGTTCTCCTTTTTTACGTACACCTTTCATCATCACCTTTCATCTCTCAATGATATTTTTTATGATTCCATAATTTTAATTGTTCAATGCCACGAAAAAAGCGATAACACAATGATTAAATTTAGAGCAAATACAATTGCAGGATGAGGAAAATGAATTATAAGGGAGTGCATTGGCAGATCTAATTACTGTAAGAGACAAAATTCTAAAATTTTTGGAAGTATTTCGCGAAAAATTATATCATCGCAATACGCTCGGATCGTTGTACATAAGTGATTATATTGAATTTTCCTACTTTAACCATCCTATCTCTCAATGATTAGAATGAACTTTACTTATTGACGGAGTGATTTTCTAGCGAGACTTGATCTGCCTTCACCACGCCTGTGTACATTTTTTTCGCGCGAAAATTGTCGCATCTTAATTGCTGAAATATTTTGGTCATAAAATAAGGCCTCTAAAAGGCGAGTCGCGATTTCGATGACACACGTGCAGGGCCGTAGCTGGAAGCTTAATTCGGGGGAGGGAGGGGGTACATTCATATATTCGTGTGAGATTCGTCTTATGCCCGACTGATTTCCTTTTTACGCTATTGTCCCTATGATCCTATGATATTGTAACCTGCACACCTGACGTGCATGTCTCTGTTTTATACTCTAAAATAAAATAAACTTTAAATTTTTTTAAAATAAACATCAATGCCAGGCATAATGTGCCTAAAAGAGCCATAACAATCTTGACATCTTCAGAGCGACTGACAAACATGATATCCATGTATATCAATAACATGTAAATAAACTACAACTATTTACAAGATATTATATTGCAAGCAGAATTTTATTTTTGCCAAGTGATAAATTTTGTTTTAACAAATATGATTCTGCAATAGTAGCAATCAAAGAGAAAATCGCGATAATTTGGCGTGCAAACAACAACATGGTAAATCCGATACAAGCAAGGACCTCTCATTCCGTCATCCGATATGAGACTTGGAACTGAAGTTTGAAGCAAGGTCAAAATTGAGGCCGTATATGTTGCCATATGCCCAGGTTGTACAAATACAAATTTCGAAACAACGTATTACCGAGATAATCTAGACTAAATATGTAATCAACACAATATAATCGCCATGTCCATGAGTGTATCCCTTTTCGTTCACACAGCATCTTTCATTCAGGGACCGCGGGTAAAAGGGGGGCTGGTGGCCCCCGCCCCCACTTTTTTAGTCATTTTCCTGACAGACATATTAAGATCTGAGATTAAGCAATCTTCAAGGATTTTGCGTTTGCCTTTTAAAATGGGAAGCGTCTGCATCGCCAGCTACGTTTTAGAAATAAATTGAAGACGTGCATGAAATAAATCATCGGGTCTTATGAAAATTTTAAGTGGCATTTTTTTTTAATTTTTTTATTTTTTAATTAACATAAGCAGGTGATAAGGTAGATAACAGCATAATTATTATCAGCGTCGCTGGGTGATTGATAATATATAATCATCCAATAAGGAAAATACTGAGATCAAAAAAATTCGAAAAATTGATAAAAGTCTGTCAACTCCTAAACGTTGCTGTTGCATGAAATGCCTTTACAAGCCATGTATTAATAATCCCGCAAGCAAGCATTTTGGCATCCTAAAAATTTGCGCTGCTACCATTTGGTAGCTCTTTTTTGGTTCCTGCAGGATTTTAGAGTTTGTAACGTGTATTAAAGCGTGACCAAGACCTGGTAGACATCATAGACATAGTTTGCAGCTTCATTTGTAAGCAATTTATCACATTTTGCCTTATCTTAAACGCGTCTATCAGTCAATACCTGCTCTTGATCTCTGTGAATCGAGAAAAAATACGTCATTTAATCTATAAGCTTCAAAATAACATCAAGGTATGTCAGACATGGGAGGGGCGCTGGTTTCAGAAGAATTATGACCATCGATCGATTGTCAAATAAATCTTACTGTACCAGTTTAAGTTGCTGATTTTCAGTTCTAGAACTGATATCGTCCATTATACTTGCTAAGCGTTGAAGGAGAACCTAATGTAACCATAATTAAATGATATTAATAATGTAAAATTAGTTTAATATAGACACTGATCCAATGTACGTATTGGTTATAATAACATATCTTTGAAATATAGTGGGAATATATTAGTAAATTCACTATAAGATCATTCATTAATATCAAGTGTTCAGCTGTCAGTTGATATGGTGGAAAAGTTACCGTTGAGGGAAGTGCCTCCTTATATCTACGCCTGCGCGATAAAATGCATAGATATGTAAAATTCCTGAGGTTTATCTTTCCTTGATGCCATGATTACTATCAGTTTATGCCCAGGCAGTCTGGCAATTGTGAAGAAAAAAAAGGAAATGAGCAACATTAACTAAAGTCGTCTTCTGAAACAACCTTCATGTTTTAACCGCTACTAAAACAAGAGTTGCATGGAGATTAATTTAGCAACAAATATAGGATTTAGATGAACTGAACTATTCAGTCAAATGAGTCAATGTTCATTAACCTTTTCTTGCAGTGGAAATGAAAGACTATTTAAAAAGCATTAAAAATACATTATTCATTCATTGCTTCGATAAGATAACTCATTGAATGAAACTATTTGATAACTTCTTTTTTATCTTCGATATTTCGAGCCGGAACCTTATCGCTGGACATTTCCCAATAAAGTAATATAATGATATGATATATGGTTTTATAAATATATAAATATATAGATTTTGTGAATTAGGCTCCCTTTCTCGTTCTTTTCCTTCTCCTCTTATAGAACTTGAACCTTTTAATCAGGCAGGTAACCTCAGGGTCGTAACTAGTGCGTTCGTTATGGGTACTCTTAAAACCATGTGCCTCAGTAGAAAAAGAAATCCGTCGGATATATATGCATAAATATGCAACTCCCCCCCTCTCCCCCACACTTTCCCCAATTTTTGTGATAGTTACTACCCTTCTCCGGTTTCTCGCCATACCATAACAAAGTTCGTTAAACTTCAAACTTAAGCCCTCCATTATCTCGAAAAAAATTCACTCGATGTCGCACACAGTGGCAATCCTTATACGTCATGATCAAGTGACCCAACACGCGATGATGAATTGGCTCGTTCATTCAATCTAAGCGTCGTTGCTCCAGTATATAAGGTCGTATAAAAATGCATAGATGGTGCAAAGCTTATCCCGCTTTAACAAGGTGTATAAAGCCGTATTTACATAACCTTGACATTTACATTATAAACGGACTTTGGCAGAGCCTTACTTTAGTCAGGAAATAAAAAAAGGGCAACCTCGGATTTTCCAACTAATCCACTTTGTTTTCAGAACACAATAGGAAATAAATATGTCAAATTTTGAATAATTTGGTGCACGAGCGTACATTTCCAACCAGGGGGAATAATTGCCATAACAAGTTAATGTACAAAAACAAATTTGCATTATTATACAAATTTGCATATGTTATTATTAGTTTTTGTTCATCAGGCAAAATTATTTCCATTCAAAGACGTTTCTCTACCTTTTCAGTCATATCAAATGGCATTAACAAGAATTTCTACTCTTATTTCTATTCTCTGTTTTTATGCTGAAAATTTCTTTCTTTACCAGCCGTGATTTACAACAGCAGTTATGTTTTAAGTATTCTGCCTTATTCAAGTGTTGCCTGATGACAAATCAAGCTTGCCGCAAACGACTCCAGTGGTTTTCTGTGGTTTGATAAAATTTCTTTTGTCATTTTTACAAAGGGTCAAGAAGAAGGTTCAGCTATTACACCGAACCCCAGATTTTTTTCGACAATACCACCAGCACCGACAAATGAGCCTCTCCCAACTGTACCACCACATACAGGTTTAACAACACAAGCGCCAAAGCCTAAGGTAATGTTAAATAATCAGTAATTTCATTTTTTCAAATGTTCTCTTTGAGAATTTTCGATGAAAAAATTGGAAGTTTGAAAACTATCATGACTGTAAGGGGTGTTTACATGAACCGGTTACCCAAGTCGGGACTCGACAAAGCTTGAGATGATTTTGAGGCAGTAAATTTAAAGGCATTCAAATTGAGCGTCTCGCTTTACATTTTAAGCATCCGTGAGTTTGGCATAATAATAAGACATTCAAATTTTAACAAAAGCTTGATTTTAACTGAAGGCGGTACTTTTTTATACACCCGGTATAGTCCACAAGAGAACACCTAAATAACATCGAATGAATCAACTCTTCGGCTGTTACAGACTTGGATTTACATGCGTTTGCCTTTGAAGGTCAAATTCTTCTGTCGATCAGCACGTTGCACTTCAGTTGTATTTGACAAACTTCCATGCTTGCTAAACACAAAGGCAACTGGAATTGTGCCTATCAACAATAGATTACGTGTCTTTGAGAGTCGTTCAATACAGTTAATTCATTTGAAAGCTGATTAAGAAAGAGGAAATCAAAGAGCAAATCAAATGCATGGCAGATTGCCTGAAGTAACAACTGAGGCAAAACAGGTTTTTGATTAAAAATCAAGCCATCCATAAGAAAAGTCACATTGTGTTTTTTAGAGTACGGGATGTGAATATGGCAATTGTCAACCAAAAGGGGAATGTGACTGCCTCAAAGGCCAAAAAGGAACACGGGCAAGTATTTTTGTTGTTGTTAACTATGACTATCTCACTGTCATCACTTGTTGTCGCGACTGAAGCAGTTGATTTTATTCTCCTTTCACAGGGGCGTATCGGTCGCACAGGTGAACAAGGGATTGCTGGGGAACAGGTCAGAAAACGACAATAGCTTTGCAATATTTTTAAAAATATTGATTGTTGGGTACCCGAGTGCTGTTCGCTACCTTTATAAGCAGTCTGCGTACAGTATATATTTGGTTTTATCCAATGAGTCGAATTTCCAAGACAAATTATAAAATCATATCTGATCCGGATTCCTTTTGGTTAACAGTCGCTCGTGAACGTTATATTCTCATTTATTCTAAATTACAATTTTAAATTTTTTTTCAACTCAGGGACCCAAAGGCGTGGCAGGCATACAAGGGCATAAAGGTTTGAAAGGTGACGCTGGAAATCCAGGTCCAAGAGGACCCGATGGTGATCGGGTAAGATATCCTCAGAGTTCAATAAATAAACGTACTCAGCCATAGACGTCATGCAGTGGTTGGTTGTATGTAAAATATTATATCATGCTGTATTATACTGTAAACCCAATGTAAATATTTCGAAGGCCACATGCAGATTCCTTCTTTGGCTGCAATGTGTTTTTACCCTCGTGAAATAAAGTTATTCATTGACTGGTTCATTTATAATGTGCTATTGGACAAGAAAGGAGCAACTGTGATAATTTTGTACTAGTCAAAATGTTTCTGATGTTTCATCTTACATTTACGCAGGGAATAGAAGGCATGGTCGGTTTCGATGGATACGATGGCTTACCGGTAAGTTATTGTCTCATGTTTGAAGTTGTCGGCCGTTTCTGTGAAATTCATGCTATACATTTATGTTTAATGTTTAGTATTTAAATCTGAGGACTAATTTTATTAGACATGCATAGCGCTAATTTATGGAGAAAACTTGATATGCTCCAAATGATGATGCGTTTTTTAAGAGATTTTGAAATGTATTATATACTGGTTATTTCAGGGTTCACATGGTCACCGTGGTCAAAAAGGATTCCCTGGGATCCCTGGTTGTAAAGGTGAACCAGTAAGTCATTATGATTTTGATCATTATTATTTACTTAATTTACCAATATACCATATCTTGAACAAAGGAACTTATCGTTTATATCACAGCTATTAGAAAACTGTTAAGGTCAGAGTTCTTACACTTTACGTTTATGGTCTTTTCCACATGCTAAAGTGTTAATTTTGTGAAATTGCGTAATCAACCAACTTACAATTTGAGTTTAAGTTCAATAAAGAAAGTTTGAACAAACAATTCATATTTAGGGTGAGTCTGGTTCACTTATTGGTGCAAATGGTTTAGATGGTCCACCTGGGCCCGATGGTGATCCGGGTCCAAAAGGTTTTCCGGTAAGTAATAATTCATAGCCTGAACATATTTGTAGCTTCGACTCTCGAGTGTGACTATTTGAGTATCGTAGTCTCGTAGCAACTGGTTTTTTTTCTTAAAGAAGGAAGAATAACGAATTTTATCTTCTAGGGTGAACCCGTATCTGGTCCAACACCGGAAGAAAAAGGCGAAAGGGTTAAGTATATTTTGTTCATTTGTTTTAGCTTTTCTTCGTGATAATCCCCATCGCTATATTTGATAAAGAAAAATTCTGTTACACGGAGTAAATGTTAACGGCATAAAAACCGGTGTTTTGTGTTTACAACAATTTAATAAATTTGAAATACAACCAGGCAATGTTTTCATTTTTGCTAACTAGACCTAGATTTTTTGAAATTAAGAGCCTTCTGAATGATGCCTGAAACAAAAGGTCACGATAGTAATGGGAAACTGAGTGCTTGATAATAATAATTATTAATTTCAAAATTCTGAAAAGAACCAAAATAAGTTTAATTGTGCTCTAGTTGTATAAAGAAGAAAAAACATTTTGTCGTCCTTTATGTCGACTCAACGTCATGGGATCCATTTTGTCTCTTTGACTTCATTTTGATCTTCCAGTGTGAAAAATTTATATTTAGTAAAGCAGTTAAAATAACAATTAATGTTTTCGTCAACATGTGTTACGTATAAATTTTAGGGAGAACCAGGTGATAGAGGTTTCAGAGGAATGGAGGTTCGTTCACAACACAGCTGCTACAATATACTCTTAACGTCTAAACTATATATAAAATCCTTATAACATTTAAGTATTTACCTGCACCAGATTAATTTTCCTAAACAACGCATGCAGTAAAGAAATACTAAGTATTATTGCCATTTTATGGAAAGCTAGGACCTGTCGTAGAAAAAATTAAAAAGAACGTGCAAAACAGAACACCGAACACATCCAGATAATCGGAGATAGAAAGAGAATGGCAGTCGTATAATTTAAAATGCATGATATTTTAAATCATGAAATGGTATTTTGTCATTACAAATTTCATGTCTTAATTGCAATTTATTTATATTTAATATTATAAAGTTATAATCCACCTGTCTTAATTTTTTTATTAATGCTCTTTGCATTTCTGCGGGATTGTTAGCAAGCAGAATCATGCGTCATTAGTGTCGTCAAAAATGAACACAAAAGTGACCCTTTTTTTCTAGGGACCAAGAGGAAGGGCCGGTCCAGACGGTGAAGTGGTAGGTTATACTGAATATTACATTTCAGCTGCATGTTGCATTACATCAGACGCCGTTATACACACACCCAGGTGTAGCATTAGTGAGTGTATTAGAAGTATTGTTATTAAAAAACCTGTCTTTATCTCGTAGGGTGACAAGGGTATCGTTGGAAAACAGGTAAAATATAGCTACACATAACAAACGCTTTTGCACTGAGCATGCATATTGGAAAAAAATAAAGCGGTAGCAGCGATGCGACTTATTCTGGGCTGGGAAAATCTAAGTCTAACAAGAGATATTTTACTTCCCTTGGAGTTCTGCAGACATTGCATGCAGTATATAAAGGTCTAACATGGCATTGAGGTAATTGTGTCTGCATTTCCGAATTCACCAAGTTTAAACCACGTAAAAGAACGCATCACGTTGCAAGTAACTTTGAATATTTATCGAAACCCATTTGTACAATCCATTCGCCTTTGAGATAATCGATTTTTGATAATATTTAATGTAGGCTAATATTCATCATTATTCTTATTGCTAGGGTCTTGAAGGCGAGCAAGGTGATAAAGGTTCCCCAGGCGACTCACCCCAAGTGGTAAAAATAATGAACTATTTTCTGTTTTTTATTGAATAGATCGTTTATTGTACAGCAAACCGTGTTTCATAAAATGTACAAAAGCACCCACCCGTGTCTCATGTGCTCGTTGTGTTTCAAGGAGTCACTGTTTTAGTTTTATATATGCAAATGTATACTTCTTTTCTGGTTTGAATCTATTCAAGGAAAATATGTCACGGTCATTATTTTGTTTTGTAGTTAGATAAAGAGCTTCCGAAAGGAGAGCGAGTAAGTTTTAAAGAAAATAGTTTAAAATCAGTATAAAACTAAAGAAAGTAAAAAAAGACCATGCACCAAAGACCATAAATTTTCTCGCTTTACATTTTGCCAGACAATTGTATATTAAAGTGCATAATTTTAATTCACAGGGGGATGAAGGTCCAAAAGGACCTCCAGGAAAACCTAAAATACTTAGCCAAGTACGTCATTATTTATACCTTAAACAAAGAAGGTTGTTATGCATAATACAGTCTCATGTACTGGGCATGGATTTTCGATTGTTCAAAAATTGTATTTTTGTTTTTAGGAAGAAGCAGAAAAACATACTGCAATCCGTGGTGATAAGGTGATTTCATGCACTAAAGGCCATGTTACACGGTGCAATTTTTCTTGCAACTTGCAATGCAATTCTACTTTGAAGAGATGTAAATTAGTGAAGAGGCTTTAAAATGTAAGTGTAAGAAACGCCATAGAGTGTAATGAAGAAAGAAGATTGGTAGTTGCCAAATTTACATATCTCAAAAGAAGAATTGCATTGCTAGTTGCAGGAAAAATTGCACCGTGTAACAGGGCCTTAACTGAATATATGTATTATAGATAGGCTTGCTATGCATGTATCTGCCTATACCGGACCGCTGTTCTATAGAGCTATGGCATCATGTAAAATTGAGTCTCATGCAGTAATCTGATTATGTTGAAACCCATTATAATTTAGGGTGAGCCTGGCGAGAAAGGTCCAAGAGGATCTTCAGAACGAGGTGATAAGGTAAATAAGATTATTCTTATTTCATAACAAAATTAATCATATATTTTGAAAGTAATTTTTCACAAAGAACAAACAAACCTGAGTTCTTAATTACGCGGCGGGCGTATATATAATGTGGCTTTTAACAGTCATGGAAATCGGAGAAGAAAAAAAAATGACTCATCATTGTGAATAGACTAATATCTCATTTCTGATATAAGCTCATGCAGACTGAAGAATGTTTTTTGTTAAATTAAATCAATCAACATGGCATCCATGTCGAATTGCATTAAAAGAAATTAATTTTGTGTTGAGGACTGGATTTCTAAACAACTAATTTCGCTAATGAAAAAGGAAACTGAAGCCTCTGACTCGTAAAAATTTCGGCCCAGGAGGCAAGGTCAAGATAATGGAATATATATGTTTTACATAGTGTTAAATACAGTATACATGATTTATTACTACATACATGTTTCATTGCACATGGTAGTTTCTTGACTTTCTGTTCATCTTTGCATAGGGTGTACGAGGTTTCCAGGGAGGCAAAGGTGAAGTCGGAGATCAGGGTCCAATAGGAGATGCGGTAAATCTATGTTTACTACTTTCACACACTAGGAAACACGACAAGGATGCTGTAAACGGAAAATTTACGCAGAAACACAGCACAGAAAGGCAATGCAAGACAAATTGGCATACAATTTTCTATTGTCTCTGCTTGCCTGTTATTCAAAACATCACTGTACTCAACGCAAAACAAATTAGAATTTACGTAACACAACAACACAACTAAGTTTTTAAGCAAAGGTTTCATTAAATCTATTAAAGGCAATGTTATGTTGTAGTATGTATAGCCTAGCACAGCCTATACGCTCTCGACTTATACCTTTATCGTATACAAGTCAACCAAACTCTTTGACATTTTAAACCTAAAATGACCTTATCACGACATTTACGATACATATGAAAACTAGGCTCAGACCCACACAATTACACTGCCATTCAATAAACTTTATGTCTTTTGCTGATACAGGGAGGAGATGGCAGGAAAGGAAACATTGGTCAGCCGGGTGACCAGGTTTGTTAATTTAAAAATATCAAATTTGTTAAATCATCATCGGGCGTATAATCCAAGCCTTTCCTGTAATCTGATTGGCTGTAGGATGCAGCGGGCGGAATTCTATTATATATATATCTGACCACGGTCCGGAATCATATATCTATGAATCTTGAGCGAAAGTTTTTTGTCCTGTTTTTATAAAATATAAATTTAATACAGCATCCAGTGTTCTGTCGTCAGTTTTATGCACATTTAGCAGGAAAGTGAAAAGTAATGATTAAAGTAATGTGATTTTGATATGTTATTGTTTATCTATATTTTCCGCCTTCTTTAAAGTTTTGCATTATTTTAAGGGTGGAAATGGCATGGTCGGTGAATATGGTGATGTTGGACCAAAGGGATTCAGGGTGCGTTATATTGATATAACTTCATATATCCAGTCGTTTAATTTAGTGCCGCTCGCTTTTTATGCCTAATTTCTTTCTTTCTCAAGCTATAGATATGTAAATATTTTTCTTTATTACCCTACTTTCCTTTTGGTTTAGTCACCTTTACAACTATTGCTGAAGGGTTTTTTTAGTGCTTGATGATTACATGATCTGCTGTTGCCATGTTATTTCAATACCTAATATTAGTCAGTATTCAGTACTCAGTATTAGCACTTTTAGCACTCTAAGTTTACTTTGTCTGTACAGTAACTTGCCTTTCGAATTCTTTTCGTTCCAATTTTTATTAGGTTTTTTTCATACCATATAAAGTAAACAAACACAAATAGCATATTATACAATAAGGTCCTAAAAAAAGTGAACCATTTTGTGCATATTCTGTCAGAATGAGTTTCTTTTATTCACTGTAAAACTTTGTATTCCACAGGGACCTCCTGGACAGAGTGGAGCGGTAGGAAGACGTGGGGATGAAGGACCAGAATCAACAATTGTAAGAGTTGAAGAGTTGCCGTAATATTTCAACAAAATTCTCATTCTTAGAGTTATAAAAGCAAGATAACGCAATTCACTAGTGGATGACGGTATATTTTACAACAGACCAAATGATAAAAATGTCGTTCGACGACAGGGGATGAATATCGTCCGTTTACCAACCCAAATTTATAGATATCAAAGGTATGACATAAGTATATTCTATTTAAGAACTTTCCTGGAACAAAAGGCTCCGTTGGTGAAAAAGGCTCTGTTGGGCCTCCAGGCTATCCTGGAGAACAGGGTGATCCGGGACCTCAAGGAGATCCAGGGGTACCTGGCAAACCAATGACGGGATTCAAGGGTGCAACTGGAGATCGCGGTTTACAGGGAGCCCCAGGCGAAACAGGAAATTCAGGTGAATGTCACAACACTGTTCTCAAAAATTGACCGGTTAGCACGTAAATATGAAAAATATGCAATGTCAATTACGAGGCACAAAATGTATTTATAATAACAGGTCTTTGGTCTTTCTCCTACCAACTTAGTTCCGTGAGTAGAAAGTTTTCCTAAACCGTATAAACCGTTTTTTTCATCGCTGCGCGTAAATACAACTTTTTTTTTCAAATTATCAAAAAAAGGTATTGGTTTCTTTCCAATCCCATGTAAAAGTCGCGAAATGGCGACTCCTGTATTTTCTTTTGCGATGTTATATAAGAATATAACTGCGTTAGAAAAATTGCGACAGTTATCAGCAATACTTTTTAATTCACTAGAGAACGAATATAAATTTCAGACAGTAATCGAATAAAATTCATCCTTTTAATGCGCGAGTGACAATAAAAAAGTTGACGTACTTTGTCTGTTAACTCAGTTTAACTCAAAGTAATAATGTTCTCTAGGTCTAATTGGTATGGACGGTCCTAAAGGAAAGCCTGGTCGTGATGGTGATCCAGGAAAAAAAGGAACAATGGGTGATAATGGTGAAGATATTCCCGGACGTAATGGCATGGATGGAAAAAAAGGAGCCACCGGTTACAAAGGACCTGTTGGTGACCCCGGTGCTGTTGGTTCAATAGGTATGATTTAATTTTTAAATATTGAAAGTATATGTATGATGCATATCATGTGTACAAGAGTGTCGTTTACCTCTCCGGGAATTGGAAAATAGGTAATCGGTAAATGTGGGATCGGGAAATAGGGAATCGGAAAATCGGGGATGGGGAAATAGGGAATCGGGAGAAAGAGGGAATTGGGAAATAAGGAGGAATCGGGAAATATGGAATTGGGGAACTGGGGAATCAGGAAATAGGGAATCGGGAAGTAGGGAATCGAGAAATAGGGAAATGGGAATTGGGAAATAGGGAATGGGGGAAATAGGGAATTGGGAAATGGGGAAATGGGGAAATAGGGAATTGGGGAATTTGGAAATAGGGAGTTGGAAAATGGAGGGTTGGGAAATGGGGAATCGGGAAATAGGAAATGGGGGATCGGGTTAATATGACTAAGGAACTCGCATCTCGTGTCGCTCTTATCCAGAAATGTAATAAATGATACAAATTTCAATAATAACTTGCATTCCAGGGTATTTATCATATGAGACCATCCATCCTAAAACATTGGATATATCATTTTAAAATCGCGATTTTTTCATTTTATTTTAATTCTCCATTTCAAAGATTTTCATTCAGCATTGTCGGCTCCAAAACAATTTTTTGAAAATACCCTAACCATCTTTACCGCCCAATAGGTGCTCCTGGCGATCCAAAGGGCGTTGACTGTAGTGACCCTACTAATGAGTGTCCTAAAGGGGAAAGGGGACCACCAGGACGGCCTGGTGTTTCAGGTGATACAGGTGAAGATGGTGCTCAAGGTTCCCCTGGACCCAAAGGTTACAAAGGAGGTAACTGTCCCGAATGTCCACCTGGTCCGAAAGGTTCACCTGGTGAAGAGGGGCCCCAGGGTAGACCTGGAGACCGTGGAGAACGAGGGAAAACCGGAGATGTTGGTGAAGCAGGCGTTCCTGGTCAGCCCGGTGAAGATGGACCTATTGGAGATATTGGAACAAAGGTAACGATGTTTTCCATCTTTTTGTGTATCTTTGTGATTAAAATGAATCAAAGCTATCGCCAGTAACGAGTACCAACGGGAAAACTTGAGTATTCTTTATGTATTAAGATCTTTTTCGCACTTTCGCATTGTGTCAAAAACAGTAAATGGAAATACAATCCAGGTGGTCAAAAGTTTGCTACGTTTGCTGTTTCTAATCAAAAAGTATTCCCTATTTTATTTCACAGGGATATCAAGGATATGCAGGTTCGAGAGGTGACAAGGGACAAAAAGGAGAACCAGCACCCAAAGATGTCGCCGTTCCTCAAGGACTTCCTGGTGACACTGGTGAAGATGGAGAAGAAGGCTCAAAAGGTTTTAAAGGCTTCAATGGACAAAAGGGTGTGCGAGGTGTTCAAGGGTATGCCGGAACCCGAGGTGATACAGGGAATACCGTAAGTGCATTGTTGAATTTGACCAATCTCATGAAATCCTATAAAAATCTTTGCGCACACCATGTTTTCAGGGTGATGGTGGTGTTCCTGGAGTTAATGGGGAGAAAGGAGCCCCAGGCGAAGAGGGGGAAAAGGGTGAAAAGGGAGTATCGGAACGAGGTGATAAAGGCGAAGTTGGAGAGCCGGGTGAACAAGGTCCTGTGGGTCCTAAAGGACCTCCAGCCCCAGGTTGATATTTTTAATACATTATAATAATTTATTTTAAATAGTTTTAGGTCAGCTGGACAGAAGTTATTATAGTTTTTCAAAAACTGCAAGTGTCCTGAATGAGACGCAAAGGTCAACACGGAAATCTATTTGAGTTTACTGTATCATTTTTGTGTTATTACTTAAAATGGTGAACCTAAATAACACACTACCGTACAACTATAGCATGCTTCTAATTTGTTTATTTTCATTTTGTTTCAGGGCAAGGGACAGGAAAGAACGGTAAGAATGGTAATAATTATCAATTAGAGTACTGTCTGCCAGAACAATACTTCGATGTTTTAATCTAAAATGTAAGTAACTTCTGGTCGACTAGTGACCTGATAAATGCTTTTTTTTCCTAACAGCAACGAAACCTAAGGGAATTCCAGGACCAAAGGGGATCCCCGGAAAAGATGGAATAAACGGAAAAGATGGTAAGCGGTCGTTGTAGATATTCATAGTGCATGGATATTTTACTTTAATCTCTTTTTAGCCTTTTTTCCAACATGAAAAGTTTAAGGCTTAAACAGCTTTGATATTGACCTAACATAATCTCCTCTGCTCAGTATTCGCCTTATATTTGCCTTCGTATATTTTATCCAGTATTATCGACTATTTTCAGGTGCGAAAGGAGACAAAGGTGATACGGGAGACCGGGGGGCAAAAGGTGCACGGGGGATAAAAGGAAACGGAGAACGGGGTGATAAAGGTATGGCTGGAGAAGCTGGAATGGGTGGATTGCCTGGCCGGAATGTTCAGGGTGACATGGGGGACACTGGTGAAAGAGGAAGGGACGGTGAAAAAGGTAATATTCGGCAGTATATACAATTTTGTATATGGCTTAGCACGCTTCAGTCAACTTAAAAAGTGTATGCAAAGAAAACCTTCGGTTTACCAGTGACGTAACCAGGCTAACAATCTAGTCCTGCTGTACTAATGTTTTGGTGTTCATTCACCGTGAAAACAATGAGTTTACAACAACGTAAAATTTGCGTGGCAGGACTAAATCGACCTTCACAAATGTTACACACGTGAATGTTCCATTTGAATCGTCGGAAATAGTAAATTGTAAGAAATAATACGAAAAACGACGAAGAAAAAACACATGTTAAACTCTTTACTTTTTGATATTTTTAAACTTTGAACCTTGAATTTTAGGTGTTAAAGGTGACATTGGTGAGCCAGGTTCTGATTCGAATGAAGAAGGGACTGGTAATCTTGGGGCGCAAGGTGATCCTGGAGATCCAGGAGAGGCTCCAGCTGGTGAAGCTGGTCCACGTGGACAAAAAGGTGTACGAGGAAGAAATGGTAAGTCCGTTGAGGCTACTAACAATAAATATCTCCTATAGGCTAGCATCATACGAGAATGAAAGTTGATTGAAATTATGTCGGCTTTATGAGGAGAGGCCGGGAGAGACGAGGAATAGCTTGGATGGAAACGATGGCTAATATGTAGATTAAGAAACATCCAGCACAATTGTGCTAAAGCCTGCTCTAGGAGGGATTTTTTTAGTTAGTGAGTTGTTGTAGATAGTTTTAAAAGCCATATCCTGTGATAAGATTGACTACACCTAAGCGCTCCTTACACGTTGTTTGTCGGGCTGCGATGTTTATATGCTTGGCCTTTGTACGAATGCTTAAGAATAAGGGCATAGACAGCTCACAACAGAAAATGTTCTTGCGTCTTAAGGCATGTAGGCCACAAACTTGAACAAGGCACTTGAATAGGCCACCAACCCTTTCACGGAGAATTCAAGCCAGGAACAGTTGAAGTGTGTATAATTCCACTCGAAATTAAGACCCTTTAAACTTGCCTTTAAACCTCTAGCATTTACCTACATCGAGTGAAGCGCCAAAAATCATAATCGATTTACCTTTCACGGAGAGTTTAATGTTCGCAGTTTTAGGACAACTTTTACTGGTATAATATAATCTTTAGAGATTATTCTTCGAAATAACATAAATAACATAAATTGTCTTATTTACTAGCGTGTGGGGGTGTACTGGATGTCAGTTTTATCGTTGATTCATCCGGTAGTGTGGCTGATCACTTTGGAACCATTCAAGAATTCGTGAAGAAATTTATTGATGGGTTTGACATTTCCAAAGAAAAAACTCATGCGTCTTTGATGACATTTTCAAATGAAGCAAAAGTACAGTTTTTCCTCACGGAGGAATTTGATCCTGAAATTTTAATGTGGTTTGTGGACCGAGCGAAGCATGATGGAGGTCAAACGTACATTGATCGAGCTTTGAAAAAAGCAAATGACGAAGTTTTTAATCATGCCAACGGATGGAGGAAAAATGTCACTTCCGTATGTATACTTTAGATATAAGTTGCTTGTTATTATCTTGAGTTCTTAGGGAGCGAATTTAAGATCTATAAATCCTTTTAAAGACGTAACAGTGGGCATCAGGGGCCGGTTTCGCTAACCTAGTTTTTTAAAGCAAATCTTTACATAAATTTTTTTAATCTCTTGTTGAACATCTATTTCTATAAATATTTTCTGGACTGATAAAAGTCATTTTTGCAAAAGTTTTGAAACAAACAGCGATGCAGAACCACAAGCATAAATCAAAACAACGGATTAAAATTTAACCCATGGACAGGGTTATAGGGTTAGCGCTAATCTAGCTGGCGAACAGATTAACTTTGAAAATGACGTAATGGATTGAAAGACAGTTCTTAGGGATTTTGACGTGAGTGCAGTTGGTCTATAGCAGATAAATCCACTATTAGAAAGTTGATAGTTTAGGCTTCATGATATATGCAAGGTGTTAAGGAGTATATATTTTAAATTTTTCGTCATTCCTAGATAATTATAATTCTGACGGACGGTAATCAAACAACATCCGGTACCTTCACTCCCCTGGGTCAGGCATCAGCTCCTTTAAAGAACAAAGGAATTCGCATAGTAACAGTGGGTGTTGGTGACATTGATGCAAAGCAAATGGAGATTCTTTCCCCTGATTCACGTGACCGCTTCAACCCCAAGAGGTTTGATGATTTGATACCATTGGTTGAAACCATGTTCTCAAGCGGATTATGTACAGGTAAACATGGATTTGTAATTTTCGCCAACCACAACCACATATAAGACTAGGTTTGGTGTAACTACTGCTTTGTAGAAAACAAATCAAAATTCCCCAAGGGGCTTAAGGAGATGTTAAAGCCTGGTTAACACTGTTTGTACTGAAACTGTCATTAACTTCGTTCTCTCCCAATTGCCAACTGCCAACTACACCAATAATTGCTGACAATCAATTCCCTATTACGAGTTTCGACTAGTGTGAACCAGGCATAAGTGAAACCAATTGCACGTGAAATTGTGTTTCCGATGATCAATGCTATTGGCTCGGGCCAAGTTTTCTCGACAGGTTTTAATAAATTTTTAACAATGGAAATTCCTACTACTACATGATTAAGTGTATAATGCTACTCTGGTTGATCGATTAAAATATAAAAAAGGTATAAAACAGTCTAGACATGACTGACAGTAATTTCGCTGTAGCCAAGGAACATGGTTGCCAAAAAGTTGCAATGTCGGTGGGTTTCTGATGGGTGCAGAACAACATTGTTTAGCCGGGAATAAGAATTGAAAATACTTGACTAGCTGTATGAATCAAGAATACTCAAACATTTCGTGAATGAATGGAACCTTTAATACTACATGCTTTAGAAAGCTGATTCAGTTAAACTACTAATGTTTTCCTAGGTATTAATGGCGACAGAGGGCCACCCGGACCCGATGGTAATCCTGGTGCAGATGGTGTACCTGGAGAAGATGGGGCTCCCGGAGATCCTGGTGACAGCGGAATTCCAGGAGTTCGTGGAGAAGATGGTATAGATGGAGAAGATGGGATAAAAGGACCGACTGGTGATCAGGGCCCTCCAGGAGACCCTGGACCTAAACGTACGTCGTTAATTTACTTTTGTACAGTCTAGCTTAAATACCACAAATAATCGGTAGCCAAATATTTCAGTACACACGCAAAGATCTTAGAATTACGCAAGCAGAACCGTTGCTTAACTTGCTTTAAAGAAAATGGTTTTACACTAATAATTAATATTGAACACCTCGAAGTAAAATTGTACACATGCGTGACGCAGACAGGCTCAGTATTGCCCACAAAACACAGCTTAGATTTTAAACTCACCAAAGTGAAATCGACACTTTCGTGACCACTATCGTATTCTTTATTGACAAAATCAATATACTTTTAGCTGATGAAGAAGGACCAAAAGGCATGAAGGGTGATCCTGGTGATTCACCTCCAGGTCCCCCGGGTGATGCTGGTCCAAAGGGTGAACCTGGCGAGCCTGGCATGACAGGTGATCCAGGACCAGTGGGACCTCCAGGGGAGAAGGGGGATCGTGGTGAAGATGGACTTATAGGACCGACTGGGCCACAAGGGAGTGAAGGTTCCTCAATTATTTTTTATTGTTTCATATTTCAAACACGTTCGCAAAGCCCTTGTCAAACGTCCGATAATAAGTGTGGCGAGTGTTTGGCCGTATTCTTAGTCAAATGAGAACGAGAGTTGTACGAAAGTCGATTTGAAATTTTCCTGGTTGAATTTTTTCCACTCGTGTATAATTATCTCTTAAACGGACCGCAAAAGCTCTCGTTACTCTCATAAAGAAGTTAACGGCTTCATGATAGGAAGAGGTCAACCGTAAATGAGAGCTGAATCAACTGAACTCTCTTTAAATATCTCCCAAAATATGTTTTTTGTACTAATGGTTATTGAAACGTGCATGCCATTTTTACTATGTTTTATTTAGTTGATGATTGCGTCCCTTTTTCGACTTGACATTCACTGGAATCTATGCCATCCCCTTAAAAAGAGGAAAAAGAAAAGCTGCGCTTAATAACTTTGAACTAATAATTTTCATGTTATTAAAACTTCTTACAATCTTTGAATTTAGGTATGGTTGGACCTGAGGGCAATGCTGGTCCTGACGGAAATCCTGGACCCCAGGGAGATAAAGGACCTGTCGGACCTCCTGGTGAAACTGGAGAAATGGGAACAGTTGGACCTATAGGTATATAAACACTTATGAATGCAATTTGCAAAGCACAAGCAACTGTGTTGGACTGGTGTGCAATCATAAACCAAAGAACACGTCGTTAACAACATGCAGGCAATTCTGTCGAATGTGATTCGTACTGATGTTTTTATACAATCTTGATTAGAACCTACGTCGACATCAATAAATAATGAAAACATTACATTAGAGTTGTACATCGGTTCTCAGATATTAATGTGTGGATTGGCGAAATGGTTTGCTATGGCGTTTGAATAATATAAAGAAGATATGAAAACACATACTGTTAAAACAATAACATTTACATGATTGTTTAATACCGTTACAACTCTTATTTAGGCAGTATCGATCCTTATATTATGTACTCTATATGTGAGAACAATCCTCGCAACAAAAAAACTGACTAATATTTAATTTGGTTGCTACAAAAAATTGTTCAATCCTATCCATGTTATATAAATAGAATTATCTGAATACTATTATTCGTTTAATAATTCAATGTTATATGACTACTTTTAATAGCTTCTTTTGATTTAGTTTTTATTGTATTTAGGAAAATAATAATATCAGTTTAAGAATTCTGCTAATTTTCTACGCAGGGCCTAACGGCGAACGTGGTGAAGAAGGATTTGGTGAACCTGGGGTACCTGGTGACATTGGGGAAACAGGCATGAAAGGAGAACCTGGAGTTAAGGGAATTCCTGGAGAAATTGGTTTGAAAGGATTCCGAGGCCCAACTGGGGACGCTGGAGTTAAAGGAACCAAAGGTAAATTATTGTTGAACCATTATACGGTGTGAATAGATCATAATATAGATCATAATTGATCCATGATTAGTGATTACAAAATAAATGGTTGATGTACTTTCCACCAGTATACAAACACGTACTTTTTCTGACAGTACTGCGTATTAACCTCACTACCTTGTTAACAAATAAAAGAGTTCCTGCTAATGTGAACTGCTTTTACGAATATTTTTCATATCTTCGTGTTATCAGGATCACCTGGTGTACCCGGGCCCACAGGAGATCCCTCTGTAGCGACAAGTCCTTCTCCAAAAGGCGATAAGGGTGAACGAGGAGAGCCAGGAATACCAGGTGATAAAGGGTCGATAGGAGATCCTGGTGTGGATACTTCTGGTCAATCAGGGGACGAAGGAGACAAGGGTACATGCAATTTATATTCATTTTTGGTCAACATTATTAACACGCTTTTTTTCTAAAATGCTATTAAATGTAATTTATTATCAATTATTATTATCAATCAGTAATTATTTGTTATTAAAAAATATTTGCGTCATTTCTTTTGTTCTTTTTTTCAATGGACTTTACTTTTCGAACATAGTTTTCATATTTAGATTTCGTTAAACACAAGAATCCATTCCACCTTCCTTCCAACAAGTTCTCTATAAAGCAGGAATATTATCTTTTAAATTCAGGTGAACAAGGCGACCAAGGCCCGCCTGGCGATACAGGAATACCAGGGTCAGATGGGGAAGCTGGTGATGAAGGAATTGTCGGACCACAAGGACCGCTTGGCGAAGCTGGTGCGCCTGGCTTACCAGGAGAACCAGGTGGCGGTCTGCCGAGTGGAGGAGATCAAGGTGATCTAGGAGAGCCCGGTGATCCTGGAAAGAAAGGAGCGCGCGGACCACCTGGATTACCTGGAAATCCTGGTCCTCCAGGTAAAACGTTTTTACAGAGGATATTTCAAACGCCTTTTAAATCTATTTTCTTTACCTTTGCCTTCAAATTTCCATCATCAACAGCTTCAACTTGATATTTGTTATGCCTCACTCACACTTGTCTTCTCCCGATCGAATTGTCTGAGGTCATTGGCGAACGAAGTGCTTAGGGTTAGAGTCCGAAAATATTACAAACGAACCCCGTGTCTTGAGAAGTAAGGGCGGCCCACGAGTAAACGTTTTGGCAACATCCCCAAAGTATACAGCAGTTTATCATATTAAATAGCTTTCAGTGGTCTTCATCGTAAATACGCGACTAAACGAAAAACCAGCTAAAATATCGTCTCCTACAACTATTAGGTATCATTGGCAAAGAAGGACCACAGAATTTTGTGGTAGGTAAGAAAGGTGACGATGGTGAAGCGGCACCCGATGGTGAACCTGGTAGTGATGGTAACCCAGGACCCCCAGGTCCCCCTGGAAGTGTTGGTCCAAGAGGTGACGATGGACCGCAGGGTGAAACAGGGGATCCTGGAGAGTTCGGAACGCAAGGAGAGAACGGACTACAAGGAGATGATGGTGTTGAAGGTACATTGATTTATATTTTAATAATAATCTTTATGATATACTTTGATAAACATTTGTACATAAAATTGTGGTATAAATTATTATAAATAACGATGTAAGCTTAATTAGATAAAACGTTTCAGGAATTAATCCTAAATGCTAGACAATCACTTATAAGGCATTTCAATCTAAAATTCGTAACACCAACATTTACCACTCACGTCGTATGCAGTATTAAGAAGCTGTAAAGCGTCCAACCAACGAGCTCGTTTCGTAAAGTTTCCTCTAGTTTTATACAAATCTTTCTAATAGGTCCTAAAGGATATAGGGGTACGGATGGTGAAGTTGGAGAACCAGGCGATCGAGGTAGTGATGGTGAAAGGGGTGAATCGATAGACATTGTAGGTCCTCCGGGCCCAAAGGGAAAGTCAGGTGAACGTGGAATTAAAGGAAACAATGGTGCAAATGGAGATGCTGGTAGAAAAGGTAAAATAAAGAGGTTTGATCTATAAGATAGATACCTTTTTTATTTAGATAGATTTTGGCTTATTTTGGCTTGTTTGATTATAATTGCAGGCTCTGATGGTGCAGCTGGTCAAAAGGGAGAAAGTGGGATACCAGGATCTCCGGGCGTACCTGGATCTCAAGGACGTCGTGGTCCATCAGGTGAACGAGGTGATAAAGGTCAAAAAGGTCAAGAAGGTGAACGTGGCGTGGAAGGCATACCTGGTGAACCTGGTTTCTCAGCTAGCGCTTCTGGATTTTATGTTACTAGACATAGCCAAGGTCGGGCTGCGCCACCCTGTCCAGCTGGTTATAAGAAAATGTGGGATGGTTTCAGTTTGTTGTATGTTCAAGGTACGGTTATAATAAATTTGCCACCTTTAGAAATTTCCAGCCTATTAAACCAAGTGTAAAAATTCATTTAAAAGTCGGGTATGTTATAAATGTAACAACGACATCAGAATGTGAATATACAAACAAATGATAGTGTAAATCTCAGTTTTTTGCGTCTAATGTTTAAGGTAATGATAAATCTCATGGTCAAGATCTGGGTCAAGCTGGTTCATGTCTACGTCAGTTCTCTACGATGCCTTATTTATTCTGTAATATACACAAACGTTGCAACCTCGCGTCCAGAAATGACTACAGTTACTGGTTGTCAGCGTCAGATAGCATACCCATGATGCCTGTCGATAACGATGCTGTCGATCCACATATCAGTCGTTGTTCTGTGTGTGAAACACCTGGACCCGTCATAGCTGTGCATAGTCAGGATCAGACATTACCATCATGCCCTGCAGGATGGCAGGGAGTGTGGTATGGATACAGTTTTATTATGGTGAGAAAATAACAAGATATCATTATATTAGTAAACACCAAGGATAAGAGAGACATTGTCCTACCTTTGTTTTTTAGTCTAAAGCTTCGCAAAAGTCGATAAATTATGAGCGTCAAGTGACTAAAAACGCTCATCTTCCACCACGTCCATGAATGCAAGTGTATCTAACCAACATTTTAGTTGTTTAAGGAGTTTTGTATTGACGTATCTAGCTGTAACTAATTACGCACATGGACAATATACTTGGTTACAGTTAGATATGTTGGAAAGAAAACTCCCAACCAAAAAAATTTGCCGGTTACACTTCGGTACCAGTATCCGGCTACGTGGAAACGGGGCCTTAGTTTCTCAATGCGCGACACAATACGAAATAGTGATGAATAATCTTTACTTATTCATTTTTGTTTACCAAATCACAATTTTAAGGTAGCAATTTTGTACAAGATTTAACTCGGGCATGACTCACGCAGTTCCTAGTCCATATAGTACAATCGTACTCGCCAGAATTTATCGTGTATTACTTAAATATATGTACTCTACTACAGCATACCGGTGCTGGGGGAAGTGGCAGTGGTCAGAGTTTGTCATCAGCAGGCTCCTGTCTTGAGGTATTCCGCCCCAATCCATTCATTGAATGTCACGGTCGTGGGACGTGCCATTACTTTGCTAATAAATACAGTTTTTGGATGGCAACTGTAAAAGAAGAAGATATGTTTAAGTCACAGACTCCTGAAGTATTAGCAAAAGACAAAGGACAAGATTTAAGATCTCGGGTTAGTCGATGTCGTGTTTGCGTTCGACCCCCCAAGACGAACCGTCAGCAACCCCACCCAGCTTTTTGGCATGATGTCACCGATCCTAAGACAAATACAGGCGATGCTGCAAATGCTAAGCCGTTATTGAGACAAGCTGGACTCCAATAAGACACTTCAACTAGACAAAGTGAATTGAAACGCGAAACCAAACCCTGCGTACAGTTTTAAACGATTGTTGAAGGAAATCCATTCAACTCTACCTTACTCTCTGTTCTGATAGCTGGCTATTAATAGATAAACATATAAGAAATGTTTCTTTTCACAATAAATTGTTATGAATATATTGCAAATACTTTGAAATAATACTTTTTTCATTAAAAGTTAGTTATAGTTAGTTTGAAAATCTTGTTCATTTTTATTAAATATGGCAATAGATGGGAATGTTTCTCGAAATTTAAAGCACTCTTATATGTGCTTTAACGTTTTAATGCAGTAAACAAAAGAGAAATATCTATTAAAAATGTTGGGTAGACATATAACAATATATTTTCGAATGTTGCGGCATGTTAGGCCTAAAATTATTGATGTTCATATAAATTTAGATGATTAAGTATCTTGTGTAATGTAGTAGCTTCGGTATTAATCGATAAAATCTATTATTTTATGTATCACATATATATGTATCTTATAAATTGAAAAGAAAAGAATGTGATTTGATGATTTCAAATTTGTAATCAGTTTTATCAATAAATAGTAAATAATGAAGCGAACATCAAGAGTGAAATATCTACTAATTTAGAAATTGGACATTAAACCCTATCATTAAACCCATATTCTAACTTTATTTGGGGCATGTATACTTTGTCGTGTAAAATTTTAGCGGAAAATTTCCTCGCTAACTGCGATGGAGAGAGGGAGGCAGAGGAATCCGCGAGCAGATATAGCCCTGTACCGTCGCTACAGGATCCATAGGAACCTCTGTTAGGCAAAGTCAAAGAAGTGTACTTTTTCCACCTAGGATGCTTCATACCCTCGTGAACGGGCGTGTTCGTTGTGACCTGAATGTGTTGTTGTGTGCCTCGTGCACCTCATGTTTGCAAAGATCGTCTAGAACCAACTTCATTTTTGCGGTCTTTACTCTTTAAATACTTTCTGTAGCTTATATTTTTTGCTGTGAATGCGATTCCGATACGTATGGCTTCGGCCTTGGTTCACGCCAAGTATTGAGCCGATGGCTATGGACTAAAGCTCATAGCATTTATAGGCATTGAATAACGCCCACAAATATGTGTCGAATTCCAAGAGAAGCCGGATTGTAAATGCAAATATTTCAGTTATTAGAATTTATAATGAAGCAAAAATTTTGTTTGTTATGATAGCTCGTGGCATACACACACTTAATATAACTTAGTGATATGTCATTTAAACGATAGTTTCCTTGCAAAAAATTTAGAATTATCACTAAATTAGTCAAGATATGAATCGCGCCAACAGTGAAGTTTGAATAAGTTGTCTATGGTTGTCTGCAGTACATCAACAATCCTGTGGATATTTTGAAAGCCGCCAATCACAACATAACAGGTACTCGAGTTATCGATATTGTTTGAGTAAGGAAGATGTGGTTGAAAACTGGTTAAAACTAGTATAGATTAAAGCTACCTTGCCATATTTTCTTGCATTGCGTAAGGTGCACTGAAATTGATTGCGTGATGTCACGAAGATCTCAGAAAGACAGCGAAATTGAAGCAGGTGTGAAGATGAGGATGACATGTTTAAATGCCGGGGAAGAACTAAAGTACGGTGGTTCTGATACCGAGATAGCTCAGATTTTACACAACGCCTGTGTGACGCACAAGAAAAATAAAGCAACGAGAGAGGCTTGTAATGTTGTTACTTTTATTAACACAAGATCGATTGGTGTATATGACATTATCACTGGCGAGTTATTATTCTCATTTCGTTTGATCGATGTGAGGGATATAACTAAAGGTCTAGGTCGTCATTCTAAGATCTCAGTTCTTGTTGCAAGAGAATACAACGAAGCATCATTTAAGGCTTACGTTTTTTACAGCAAGAAGACACCTGCGTGTTTTTATAATGTCATTAGGAGAGCGTTTCAGCGGAGCTCTGAAACATTCAAATATTTAAATTGTAAGAACACCGCCGAAGAGTCCTGGTGGCAATTGAACGGCAGTCACCCATATACGACACCCCGTCGAGAAAATATTTTTACTAAGAACAGCATTGTTGGAGCAGTATACAATAATCTTGGGCTGTTTTGTGAATCTACAGATATTTCAAACTCGGAAGACGAAGAATTTGAAGCGAAGTCAGAGCAAACATGCTTAATACATTCAAGTTTGGTCATCCACGTTTAGACTTGAGTTTGGGGCAGTTATTGATTGACAGTCTATTTCAATTATAAAGGGAGTTCAGATACTTATGCCCAACTCTGAAGTCTGGAGCCTCAGCCACTGCTACGTTAGTGACTTCACACACTGTTTTAAGGTCTCCTCACCCAGTCACACGATCAACTAAGGACAGTGCTCAATCAAAGAAAGATTGCATTCCATACAATAGAACTTTATCCGATTTGGAATATGAACAGTTCGACGTCTAAAACGGGCCTCGATTAGAGATAAAAAAGAGAATATACTATTATTGTTATAAAAATAAGAGAATATACTATTAAGACATAATGATTCTACTGATTCTATATTATCAAAACTTGAATAAACTATGCTATCTCCATTTTGCGTTACTTGTATTAGTTGTGTGATGGTCAAACGAGAATGAGAGTTGAGAAGCGAGAGTTTGCACGAGAGTTACTGGTGTCAGTTGTGTGATGGTCAAACGAGAATGAGAGTTGAGAAGCGAGAGTTTGCACGAGAGTTACTGGTGTCAGTTGTGTGATGGTCAAACGAGAATGAGAGTCGAGAAGCGAGGGTTTGCACGAGAGGTACTTGTATTAGTTGTGTGATGGTCAAACGAGGATGGGAGTTGAGAAGCGAGAGTTTGTACGAGAGTTACTTGTAATGTATTAGTTGTGTGATGGTCAAACGAGGATGGATATAATACCGCACGTGGACTATTTTGTATTTATTTTGTACTATTTTTCTGAGTCTGCCACTACAAAATGCAAACTGCTAGCTGTTTTGCAACTCCCATCAACTCCCATGACCGACTAAACGAACACGGACTCTCATGGGCCAGTTTCAAAGTCGATGAGAAGTTGCAAATTTCTGACCCATATCAACCCGCGAACGGGCTACCTCAGGGAACGAACGACTCTGTGTTCACTGTTCACTGGCTCTGACCGGGAAAGGCCATTCATTCAATTTATTTCAATACTTAATACTTTAATACCTAAAGTATCGTTTCTCTGTTAGAGATATAACACAATGAACAAAGAAGGTGAGTTTTGATCAGCCGTATTTGTGTATTTTATACCTAATATGTTGTTATATATTTTATACCTTATATGTTAGGGAAAATTGTCGGGCGTTAATTATTTCGTATACAAGCACTGTCAAGCAGTGTGCATTTAAATTTAATGAAGGTTGTCGTAATGGTTTTTCAAGGCATCACAGAAAAATCTTTTTGTGCAGGATGATATCTCATAAACATTTCTATTTATAGTTGCTGTGTCCTTCCAGCTGGAAGAAGTTTATTCAGAAGTACCCATCCAGCCATTTTGTATCTTACCACAAATGGAAACAGAATTTCAATACAGGGTCCGCCCTAACTTGCAATATCTACCCTCACTCAAATGCTTGGTGTATCTTAACGACCCTCAACATGTTACATTTATCAATTATTCCAATTTGAATGAACATTCCCTGCGAATTAATATGATCAATGATGATTTAACTCCTTCAACTTTCTCACTGCATCCTGAGAAGAATCTACTAGCACTTGGTATCCTTTCTCAATACTATGAATACGAGCACAGAATCCCTGCTCACATACAGTTTCTCAAGATGCCAGAAAATCCTTTCCAGGCAACAGTTATCACCTCTTCACAGTTTGTGAATCCACATTTGTATGAGTGCAGAATTCATAAGATGAAAATTTTCCCTGATGGTTCTAAACTCTTTGTTACATATTCAAGAGAACAAGAAGGTTCTTGGTGCAAGATATTTACATTTCCAGAATCATGCAATGATGAAGGTAATTCTCAATAGTTCACCACAATCCGTAGAAATTATATTGTTACCAATCCTGTATGTATAATCAGATGCTTGAAGTATTGATGAATTTCTTTTCAATAATTTAATTATGCATGGCATATTCATTGTTTAAAATATGAAGATGTATTGTTTAACAATGCTTCAATAATAATTCATAAGCATTTTAGCCAATGAAATGTGATAAACTATGATGAATACTAATTTAAGAATGGTGCATTTTATAATTCGTTATGTTCATTATATGTTTCATCCTAATTAGCATTTGTATACATGGAGCAAATTTATTGCTCAACAACAATGCGGCATATTTGAAGTAATTTATTAAAACACTCAAAGTCGCTTTTTATCATATCTAAAACGCTCCTTCTTGTGTTTTAAATATACTACTTAAAATATTATTTGAAGGAGGTGTTTTTTTTTCAAAGGTAATAATCAATCAACGAGATGGTCAAAAGAAAGATGGAGCATGCCTGATAACGTCCAGACAGTACCTTGTGAAGAAATTGATATTTTTAAGCAAGGATTTCCAACTATTGATGAAAATGTGAAGAAAATGGAAGATGAGGATTTAACAGAGGATGAATATTTCAAGATATACAATGCAAGATATTTTTCTAGCAATCTTGATGGTGGGTTTTTTTGCCTGGCGATTTCACCAGACACTACACGGATACTGGCTGGTACAAATGATGGCGAAATCTATGTAATTGACAGCACTACATTAAAAGTACTGCACTGTAAACGTGAATATGGGTATTGTAAGACCGTGACAGGTTGTCATTATAATCCTCTATTTGGAAATGAAGAGTTTGCAGTTTGTAATGAGATGGGTGTATTTGATATCTGGAATATTACCACATTGGATGATGCAAATGAAGATGCAAATAAAGTGCATCATTTGCAGTTCCCACCTGGTACAAGCAATTGTGTTTACTCTCCAGATGGGCGGTTCATTGCATTGACCTCGGGCAAAGATTTTAAGACGTACATTATTTCATCCACCTCTGGAAATACTTTGTTAACTCTACAGTATCCAGGGGAGGAAAGTCAAAACGACCACCATAATACCTATTTTTTGGCTTCAAGCTTGTTTTATGGAAATTTATGCAAAGTGGCTGCTATTCATGATGATCATAAGATTTGTCTGTGGAAATTACCAGTAATATATAGTTTAAAGACATTATGTTTGATATTTTTAAATGCAAATATAAGGTATAATGACATCAAACATTTGCTTTTACCAGAATTGTTGAAAAAGAGTCTGAAATACTTGTATGTGTAACAAAAAACGTTTGACATTTTGGACAATTCTTTGTGAAAGATGATATTTAATATTTTTGTAGTTGTAATTAGATCTGGGAAAAAGATCGATGTCAGGACTTGATGAATTATCACACTGTCAAAAGTTTCTCGATTTTCGCCTTTTTTCCCAGTCTCGAAAAGGTCTGTAAGGTTGTATTTAAGTTGTAACTAGAAAATATTTTTCATGGTAAAGACTGAAGTGATGAAATAGCTCTCTATGAAAATGCTTATTGGCATTTCGAATCATCTTAAATATTGTCTAACTCTAATCCATTACGAAAACAGTTAGAAGAATCTTAGTTAAAAGTTTCGAAACCATTAAGAAAACAGTTAGAAGAATCTTAGTTAAAAGTTTCAACAAAGCTTGGCTCAAGTTTTTATTAATTGGAACACAAATATTCTTTAATGGAAAATTACAATTATACTCCTACTAACTTATGATTCCACATGTCATACCATTAAGCTTTAACAGTGTATACTTTTAATAATTACTACACTTGACCTCTTTAGTGTAGTCTACTCGTATAGTAGTAGTTCCTAAGTTCAATCTTTAAGTTTAAAATTAGCTAATTTCCCGTATATAGCATATTGAAATTTAACTTCATATGATATAATAATCAAAACTTGTAATCATAATAAATTTAACAGTGAAATACATAGCATTTAGGATGATAGTACAATAAAAATATGCAGCAGGCAAATCAGTGTAAATAAACCTTATGTGGGGCAATGTTTATGCAGTATACTTGAATACAACACCCTAGCTGTAATGTCTTCCTGACAATTCATTTTCTTGGACCAAGACACCAACATTCTTGCTCATGGAGATTCAATCCTTACAATTTGTGGATTTGTAATCTATTTTTTTAATGAAAAAAATAGCACCTGTAGTCAAGATTTCTAATTGGAGACCCTGCATTTCTGTTTATCAGAGATAATTTTTTTGCTCCCGATTGGTAATGGTAAGGGATGATAAAACTTTATTTCAAGGTCTGTTATGAAAATCATTCTCTAATTGTGGATGTTGATGGAAACAATGTGGGAACTTTTTTATCAATAGTCATGTCCTCACCTTTTAAATTAAGTGGGCATTCAAATGCAGGAGTATCTCCATAACTGTTCTGTGGAGCAAAATAAGGACATTTTGCGAGGACTTCTCTGCATGACGAGACTATAGTAGTTGTACTTGAGTTTGTACACTTTGATAGCCAAGTATTATTTTTTGGCCATGGGTTGAAGACTGCCAAAAGCCACTTAGTATAAGCTTCCTAGTAACCAAAACAAAACTTCCATTAACTCCATTAAATATAAACTCTCAATGTTTGTTAATAGTACAGGGTTTTCAGACTTGTAAGAAATATCAACCTCTAAATTCCAATGACTGACTAAATTTATAATAGTTAATATAACTTACTAAACAATCTTTACACTTCCACTTCACAGAATATTTAGTACGACAATCAAATTGTGACATAATCTCACAGAATGCTTTGTAACTTTTTGTTGCATTTCCTTCAAGACAAGAATCATTTAAACCACCCAGCAAACATTTTACTGCTGCAGAGTTATTATTGTTACAGTAACACAGTCCCTTTCGATCTGTAAAACACACTGCTGATGACAACACCGCGTACTTTCTATTTAGAATATACACAGCAAAATAAAGTATGTAAACAATTAGACTTGAATTGATCCAAGATTTGCCCAGCTTAATACTTGGCCATATTGAATATATAAATGACATCTTTTATCCACAATATTTCACATCCGGTTTGTTCTAAAACACCATCGAAATTTCGTACGCCACCAAACCGTATATTTAATGAAAATCGTCACGTTTTGTCCAATAGTGAAATATTAATTGTCCTAAATTGTCAGTAAATAGGAAACAAATGCTTGACTTCAATATTCCAATATGGTATGCAGCTGTGATCATAAAGTTATATTTACATAAGGCCCTATCGTGCTTGCCGATTCATCCATAAATGCAGCAATATTTCTTGTTTGCCCGAATAATTATTGTATAACCTACTCCGTTTCTCTTCAATGTTCTTTAGTATTTGTCAAAACCTTGAACTTCTATCCATGTTTCAATTTATTTGAATTTTGAACATATGTTTTTGTTTTGCAGAATTTATAATTACCACATAATTACCAACGACGTCGACACAAAGGCGTGGAGACTGGAAAACAATCCTATAAAACACTTTTTATATGAAGTATTTCAGGCTGAAAACCAACATGGCGGATTTTTCAATAAAAGAGTATTTAGATGAGGTAAAAACAAGTTTATTTTGTTGAATAAGCATGCTGCAACCGAATGACGCAGATATATATAATTTTTCTAATGGTTCAAGCTGTAACTGGTTAGTTAGAGTTATTCGATAAAATCATTGATATATATAAAAGAGAGGGTTTCTCTATCTCTGTGTATAAATTATAGGCCTTAGGGTCCTACCTAATTGACCATTCTCCAAATTAGAGGAAGATATGAATTGTCAAAACACAAAGGTCCCTACTAAAAACCGCCAGTTTCTGTCGGTCGGTTTTTCTATTCTCTCAGGCAGTTTTTAGTAGGGCCAATAAATTATGATGAAGGTGGAAATTGTGAAAAAAAACCTCTCAGAATGGGGTGCCTAATAATTATCCTCCGATCTTTAGTATGTAGGAATTACTGAGATTGACTATACTTGAATATAAACACTTTTGGCTTTCCCATAGGCTTCTCAAGCACTTGGTTTTCGAGAAGGTGATCTCATTGCTGTAAGTTCATTTGTCTATTTATTTCTGTTATTTGTACATGAGTTTGAAACATAGAGAGCGTTTGTATTCATGCATGCATTCATGTTTGGTCAAATCCAATGATGCATGTCTTTTCACATTTTAGAAATTTGTGTCATTTAAACACTCTCACATTGCTAGTCGTCAGCTTCAGGTAGTGTTCCTGATCTTCCCTTGGGTTCCAGGTTTCGTTTGAATTTCAGCTTAATCATAACCATGTAAAATATGACATTATAAATATTCATTAGTTTGCAAAAGTTATTTATGTTCATGTGATTCGTTTTATACGCAGTTGGAAAATGCGCAAGAATTATGTCAACGATATTTGGATCCACCTTATGATGAAATGTTTGCAGCACATTTGAGGTTTATACAACATTTAACAGAACTTTTTGAAAAAGAATAAAAACCCTAATTAAAAATTACTATAAAATGGAAGATGGTTAAAATATCCAAGTCACTTTTTAATTTTCAAATGCTTTTCAAAGAAATTGCTTTACTGCTTTATTATTCTAAAGTTTTTCCTTTGCATGTTCTGCATGTCTTTGCTCTAGGTCTTTTTCAGTAGTTCTGTGTTGCTTTATGTGATTAAATTTTTCACACAGGCAACCCTAATACAGAGCTGTATTATCAAAATGCAATATGGTGTTGTGTTCCTTTTTTGCTTGTTTTTAAATATTGTTCAACACAACTGATAAGAACTGATAAGCACTTCAATTTCTCTATGATGGGGCTAGAAAAAGGCCTTTGTTTATAAGATGATTCTCTTTTTTTTCCAGAGCCTTATGGGCTATGAATAAACAGGATTTTAACGAAACCTTTGCTTGTCAGGCAGTTGTAGTACAAGTATCCTATTTATTATCCCCAATGTAATCTTTATTTCACTCTCAAAAATTATGTATTGACTGCTATACCAAGAATCTGAATCTTGTATACTGAGAGTATAGATATTCCCTTAACTTTTTGAAGGCTTTTATAAAAGCATTTCAAGCACAGAAAGATGAAAACTGGTATGTGATATGTTCAAATATGAATATAAATTTTTTTCTTGGTTTTGCTTTCGGAACTTTCAGTCACCATTCTCATTATCTCTTATGCAGGTCTCTTCCAATTATGAAGAGCGTTGTTTTAGATTTGCGTTTGTTAGCTTTGCAAGTAAGTTCACTGCAGTATTACGTTTCAGTTTCTTTCAATAGTATGCACTCTGTCAGACCTGTGTAAAACATTGTGTTTGTCATTGTGCAAAAAACATTTAAAACATTTGGTCGTAAAGTCGAGCTTTGTTAAATAACTTCATGTTTGATATTAGGCTGACCAGCAAATATCGAAAACAGGTCAAGGAAAATCAGGGGAAACATTGGAACGTGCTGCAGAAGTTATTATGAGTTGCTTTAGAGTGTGTGCTGCAGACAGGTATATTAGCTACCCAAAATATGGCGGTTGCCGTGGAGTACAAGTTACAGTACTGGACAAAGTTGTTTCAATGTTATCAAACTATGAATTAGCCATAATTTGGGTCATGCATGCCAGCATCATGGTCTTTATAAATAATCCTGTGAAACGTCATATTTCGCATCTTCGTGAGCCTTCTTTATACGGTACGACAACTGAAAAAAAGAAGAGAAAGTTAAAATATACATATCATTTTGATGTGTTTAGTCGGGCAGCAAAAGAGGTTTCTAAGAAATGGGGAATGCTCGTGTTGGTGAATCATCTTTTTAAGATTTACTTTAAGGTTTGTTTCTTCGCATAATTTCTGGTGTTTTTGAAGTCGTGACAGGAGACTTCAGTGGCTCAATCTTCAGTTGGTATACTTCAATTCGTACTGCAACTCCAGCTATAGTCCTATACCGTCTAGGCAGTTCAACTTAAAACTGTCATGTGAAACTCTCAGAGTTTAACATCGAATTTATTTTAGAGAATACGAACTAAAACAAAACTTAGGATATTTACGTTTTAGACAAATCGAATACATCTTTGCAAACCATTAATACGTGCAATCGACAGTTTGGCAATAAAAGATCAGTTCGAAATATCAAATCAGGTTACATATAGGTAAATTAAATTTCAAAATTCAAGGTACCATTCACATCTTTGGTAAACTATAGGTTAGCCTTCGTGTGATGACGCAGGGTGTTTAAAAAATTTTTAGGTACTATGTTGGAAGAAAGGCTATGTTTGACAACGATTTAAAACTTGGTAATCTAATGCAATGTTAAAAATTTAATTTCAAGCCAATTTATATAAGCTAATTTATATTTGCTATATTTTTAAATTTTCTACATGTATACTTTCTGCAGCATTTTATCATTTTATTTAGCTGAAGAGTATTTAGACTTTGCATTCAAACGTTGTCATAGGAGCAGTGTGAAAAATAAACGGTATGTTTTGTTTTGAAATACGACAAATACATCTAATCTGTTGTCTAGCTCTAACGTATTTCATACAATAAATAAAATATTTTTCAGATTGGTTTTGATCTACCTTGTTCCAGTTAAAATGCTTGCGGTACGTTCCTAGCTATTAAATATTACTGACAAACTCGTGAGAAAGATTAAGTTCAAAAGCTAATTGAGATAACGCAACAAGGTCTTAATGTAGATGTATATCCAGCATGGCGACTGCGTTAACTGAACAAACCAGTGTCTGTAACTCAGGAATAACAGAATTACGATTGAAGCTGTTTCGTTAATAGATCGACTTCTTACTCAATCGAATAGGACCATTTAACTGAACCCTACGTTATTGTGTTACTCTTTTTCACCCTGGGCGTTTTGACTATATCTTTCTGGTGTGTTTTACATGCAAATGTCCTATTCCAGGGTCGTCTGCCGCCTAACGAAATTCTTCAAAAGTACGACTTGCGCCAATACAGTGACATTGTTAAAGCTGTAAGGTATTATATATAATGATTTTTTTACTTTGGGGAGCAATTATAAAAAGTTAATTTATTCGATAGTGAAATGGTCTGCCGAAATATACGTTGTTGTTTTGTATCACCTGAATATTGTTTGAATTGAATGTAATAAACGTCGCAAATTAGGTTTTGTGAACATTCATATGATGACGATTTTAGTGGTTTCATTCTTCCTTTTTATTACACAGAACTGGCAACCTGTTGTTGCTCAACAAAACATTAGAAACACACGAGGTTTGTTCATTCGAAAGTAGAGAAAGGGATGGTTTGATTGGTAAACGATAAAGTCATGCTAAAAACATTATTATTTTAGCCTTTTTTTATAGCATATGGAGTGTTTTTAATATTGGAGAAGTTAAAACTCATCACATATAGAAATCTTTTTAAAAAAGTGTAAGCATTTCGAAAGTTAATTTTTATGATTTTTATAGTGCTATCGGCGTGCCACAAGTCATTATTAATACGATTCTCGTGTATGAACTCAACGAAATTAAGAACTCTCTTACTTTCTAATCTCTATAGATATATTTTGTTAAAGACGCATCTGATCCCGCTGTCCGCATTTGTTTCAGCGCTGCACTTTTTAAAGGTATGTTTTTCAAAGTACGTATAAAGTACATATTTTCAACCTCGCTAGCCATGCAGGCTCTTTTACCTACGCTCCACGATATATCTTTTGTATAGTAAATCCTGTTTTACAATATATTATGTTTCTGCTTCAAATTACAAGTATTGTAACAAAACAGCATCTTTGTTATTCATCCTCGCCTAACCTGCATATAGGCGTCAAGCACTAAAGCTATATAAGTGCGAGGATTATCCATTGAAGCCCCGTTTACACTACACTCAATTTATTGGCACGGCACGGCTAAAATGGGTACCCCCGTGCCCATTTCATCCGTGCCCGGCCTTTGTTTTGGTAGCCTGAGCACTAATAGAATTGGGCAAGGGTACCCATTTTAGCCGTGCCGTGCCAATAAATTGACTGTAGTGTAAACGGGGCTTGAAATATGTTATTTTGATCGTGCAGATTGATGATATGGACGTAATTGAAGTCCAATGTATTGTCGCCAATCTTATATTTGAGGTAATTACGTTTACACAAATTAGCTTGTAGGTACACCACGTAAGTATTTAATACTGCAAAGCCTTCATCAGTGCAATATGATGGCCAGGGTTAACGGACCGAAAGCTTTGCAGTATTAAATACTTACGTGGTGTACCTACAAGCTAATTTACTTATTGATGTCACCATGCAAACATACAAGAATATTATGTTTACACACTTACAATTCCGTTAACCAATTTTTGGTTCTTTTAATGTGGAGATGTACAAAACCTAAAGGCAAAGATGAAGTATTTTTCGTAGTTGCAGGATAAAATAAAATAAAAATAATACTTCTTTTTTCCAGGGCTATATTAAAGGATATATTTCACATCAACACCAGAAGCTGGTTGTGAGCAAACAAAATCCATTCCCATCATTAACGTCGTTCTTGTAGCAAGATATCTAAAGACTAAACTTTCCACAAAGTAGATTTAACTGTCAATTGCTATATGCTTTACGTGTAAATCATGCAAGGCGTATTTTTGCAAAGCAGACAGCCATGAAGGGGGCAAAACAAGTTTGTGACTTTTGTTTGAAGAGTTGTGAACACGTGGGTGGCCTAGGGACGAAAGATTCACTGGAACATAAGTTTTCTACTGTCTCTTGCAAGAAACAACAGAACAGACCTCTTTGTCTAGTGTTTTTAGGTCGCGCATTCCTAATATATACCTACTATTTCGGATGACTCGTATGCCTATACTGAATCAATTTTGTTCCAATGCATGGAATCATAGGAAAGATTATGAGCGTACCTATTATATAGGGCCTTTATAGAATACCTGCCTATAGGGTTTTTATAGAATGCCTATTATATAGGGAGTATATAGAATGCCTGCTATATTGCTACTATTGTACATGGACATGTATGCAATGGTGGTGTAAAAACGAAAATGGTTTCCACCAACTATTTTGATCACAATATCCAACAAGCTGGAAGTACTGTTGCTATATATAAACACGATGTAAAGCAAGAGGTGATGCCGGAGTTTTATATCAGACATAACACGATTTACTCGTGTTTTAAATCGCTCAAGAACGTCTTTGTAAGACCTCCGTACACAGCAAAGAACTTTTGACAAGCAACAACATCTAAACTGCGAAAATAAAAGTTTTTTGCTGATTGAGAGAAATTGTAATCGCCAAAAAACATTATTTAAATGTTTTGAGTTTTAAATGTTAAGAGAATTATATTCACTTATCAATATAGGTCGATACTCCTATTATTAGTTAATTTCGAAAAGTATATTTTTAATTTCAAAAATTTTTAAAGTTAATGGCGTGCGTTGTCATATATGATTGGACATTGTTATTTGTTTCTGCCTAATAATTAAGAAAAGATACAGTAGGAGGCAAAAGTTTGAGTCCAGTCGTTGTAGAATTCCAGTATTAAATCCTGGCAGTGTATTCGAGTTAAGACATGCGTGCTAGTGTTTCAGTACTGTAAACCATATTAATTGGACACTGTTTTGGTCCTAATGATCTAAATTATAACAAAATATTCTTATTCCTTTACACTGCCCAAGATGGGTGGGAAAAACGGCAAAGTGATGCTGCACAAGGACAAATAGTTGCATTTAGTATTGAAAGATTCTTTACTCGTAAGATCGCAGAAAAAGTGCGAATTTAAAAAGGTTCAATGCAACTATAACCTTGCAGAGGTTCGAAGAAACTAAATCCTACTCAAGCAAACTTTTAGCTGCTTCGGTCATGCTCGGTTTGGCAATATTGAAAGATATAATAGGATCCTAATTAAAGAAAAGTATCATCCAATTCTTCAAGGACATGGAATTTCATCTGGTACAAAGATGATCGTGCGTCTAACTACATGATAATCCCCCTAAGCACATGCACATCTTCTATGTGCCAGAAATCTTTTAGAAGCAAACTCGTTTTGGTGATCTCGTTCTCATGGCTTTCCACCTCAAATTCCTGATCTATAACCTATGGAGCACTTGTAGGACCGTTTTATCCGGAAAAGAGCGAGGCACAGACCCACCAGTCAGGATGACTTGAGGCAAGTGGTCAACGAATGCTGGCAAGGTATTGAACGTGTAACATTAAAAAACCTATGGAGTCTATGCCAGCAAGAATAAACGTCATTTCAAGAGCAAAAAAGAGGGACACTAAGCATTGATATGTAATGCATTTTTGTACATTAACACACGTAAAATGAATATCATAACATCTCATAGATGTTGTACAGCATGTATTTTTCTGTTTACTCATTTACTTTTTTCTAGTTCACTTATCGGTAAGGTTTTCTATAGAATATTAATATATGCTGCTAAAACAATGAAATACAGTCACTGGACTCAAACTTTTGCCTCCTACTGTATCTCAATCATGCAAAGAATTATTCTACGCTTAGTATATATAATTGTAAATTGTAATTCTTCCAAATGAATCAAATGCCATATTATCTCATCATTGTTTCTCCTCTATATTGGGAAAGGATATTTTGATAATCCAAAGAAAGGATGATTCGGGTCAAAATCCTTTGGTTCAGGTGGAGGAGCGACGGGACCATGCATTGGTTCAGGTCGATGTAGAGGTAGAGGTTTATATTTAGGTTTACGTCTAGGTTTACGTTTAGGTTTAGGTTCAGGAGTGACGGGACCAGGCACTGGTACAGGTATAAGTACAGGAATGAAGGGTTTAGGTGCAGAAGTTATCTCGTTTGGGTACATTCCTCTGAAAATAGAAAAGCAATAAATTCGTGATTAAAGATTATGGATTTTTGTGTTCACATATTGTCAGCGTCGACGGCAATTTGATTTGGAAAGGGCTAAAAGTTATGAAATTCTATCGCATATTATCAATACATGATGCATAGTTTTTCATTTAGAGATATCTATGAGGTTAACATTAATTATTGACCAATTAACAAGAAATAAAGCTTACTCGTTAAACTTGTAAAACTGCCACGCAGCTCTTAGACCTGATTCTAGTGCACCTTGGATCCAACCATTTGCAAAGGATAAGGCCTCGCCGCCAAAGAAAATTGGATAAATTTCCTTAGGTTCTAGGAGGAGTTTCAGATGATGCATATAGCTGTATGGAAGTAAATGAACATAGGCTCCCTGTGCAGTGGGGTCGGTGTACCAGGACTGAACGGCTCCTACTTCAAACGTGTCTTGAACTATTGATGCAGACTCGTCTTCGCATAGCAGACCTTCGTAAACGGTTTGTATTTCACGCAAGGCCTCTGTAATTGCTTCATCTTCCGGCTGTGAACCAAACGACAAGGCTTCTCTGTTCCACGTGTAAAGCAAAAGGACTCCTCGTTCTGAATCTTGTTCATCTGTATCTGTCTTGCTTGGGTACACAATTTGACTGATAGGTAAATTGGTTTTGGTTATGCCTCCATTTACCACGGGATAATTGGCTCTTTCCCAGAACCGTTCTCGAAATCCAAGAAACATCTTAGTCGAAGGTTGGTAATGAATATCTCCAATTGCGTCGTCCAGGTGCTGTGGAAGAGCTGGAATAAACTTCAGCTGATGCATGATATTTAGTGGAACGGTAATGATCACAGCATCAGCTTCGAAATGAACCTCGTTTTTTGTCTGGGTTTGACAACCAGAGACTTTAACTGAGTAGCTACGATTGCCATCTCCAGGCTTCCGCCACTCGATGGTTTTAACAGTGATGCCATATCGGATGTCACTTTCCAAGCAGTATGGGTCTGCAGCATCATTAACAAAAGATTCGGGTAGTTCTTCCATACCATTCGTTAGAGTTTTCATTTTTGGAGTCCACCATTGGCCTATTTCCTCCGCCAGGACGGTTGCCACAGACAACTTTAAAATATCATAGACAGGCTTTACCAAAAATATGAACTACTGAATTGGATAAACATGCATGCATGTAAATGCTTAGGATTGCTTTTGGAGCATATATTGCTATGATACTTAATTTCTTTTCAAAGTTATTGAAAAAAAAGGGAACCATATCGAACCATTGAAAGAGACTATACAGGGTGAGTAAAAAAAACTGATTTCTTTTCAAAGTTATTGAAAAAAAAGGGAACCATATCGAACCATTGAACTGAGAGACTATACAGGGTGAGTAAAAAAAACTGACACCTTTGAAATTCAAATTAGCCGCTGTAATGTGACAGATATTGCCTAAAATATCTCATGGGTATACGAAGCATATCAAATAAGTGAGCCCATTAATTAACCTAGAACATAAAGTTTGTTCCCTTTGGGAGTTAAAATGCGTTCTCAGCTCTGTAAATAAAAAATAACAGTTTTATTAAATCGTTTTTCTAGCACACAGGCCGCGTTGAGTTAGTTCAATTGGTTTAAACACATTGGCATTCATTAACCACGTCCTGTTGATGGTACAAATGGGAATTGTCACATTCCAGCTATAAGTTGCTTAAATTCCAGTCGGCTAATTTGAATTTCAAAGGTGTCAGTTTTTTTTACTCACCCTCTATACAGGGTGTCCCAAAAAAAACGCAACCACTTAAATATGCAAGAATATTAATATTGTTCGGGTTTGCACCATAGTTCAGCTAAAATGACTTTTAGCATGGTAAATAAAGGATTAAGAGCTATTTTCAATTCCCAGAGGTGCTTATCTATTGCGCTTTAGAGCTGTATTAATGTTCTGGATATTTAAGTGGTTGCTTTTTTTTTGGGACACCCTGTATAATCCGTTGGCAAATTAAATAGTTAACTGTTGTATCGTTACCTCTGGACTTGCAATGTAATTTACGTCTCTAATGCAATCAATTGCTCTTTTAGGCCAAGGTCTGAAATCTGGCTTGGTCTTATGAGACTCTTCTTCACACGCAAGATCAGACGAAAGAAATTCGGTAAAAGACATTTTGCTCCAACGTTCCAACCACTTTCGCCATGCCCGTGCATATTCTTCGGGGCCTTCTTCTTTTCTATATTTGGGTGCACTATCAGAGACTTCGTTTATTGTTAACTTGTAGTAATCCACTATAGAAAACAAAACTTGCGATTATTACTAAAATACAATATTTACATTGGAAATATTTGATTAGGGAGTGTGGTTGAGAGACGTGACAGAAGTCTCTTGAGACAGAAGTGGTGGGGAGACTTGATAAAATAAAATAAAAGACAGGTAATACTCGTAAAGGAAGGGTGCTTTAAAAATCTATAGTTTCCAGTTTCAATATATTGTACGGCATAACTTACTAATATGATCAATACGATGCTTTTTTCTCAAGTTTTTCTCCTCAATAAACTTATCCCAACCGGGGAATTTCTTGTCACACAATCTCCTCGCTCTAGCTCTTCCTTCTTTCTTATCAGTGTCAAAGTCTAATAAAATAACAATGAAAAAAATAAAGTTGAGAAATGCACATTGTGGACAGGCGTTACATCTACATACCCTTCACTTTCGCAGTTTCTCCTCCTATGCTGACGAAGCACTCCCCCTCAGGATCAACGTTGTAAAAGTCCTTTTCTTTAAGATTAAACTTGTCGATGTAAGCATCAGTGAGGTAATGGCGATTCTTCAGAGGAATTCGCATTGCTCCAGCTAGTGTATATAAACAAAATTTTTAAGGTGCGACCTTTACACGCTACAATGTTTTAATTTTTACTTGTATAGTTTATGTGGCTAACATGAGAAAGTCAATCGTTTACAGCCGCAAAACGTCTTTTCAAGCCGCTAGTGCATGTTCTTCAAAAAATTCATCAATAACCAATCTTTTGCTTTTAGTTTGGTTAGTTGGCCCAAGATTTGTATGGTGTCATTGTCACTCATGGCGTATCCGCTTTAACTATATAATTACTGATAGATGGCTAAATTTGCAATAACTCTTTGGCTGAACAGTATTGTTCTGTTTGGCAGCACGTGCTGTACGTGCTGCTGTACGAAAAATGTAGGTGAACCAGGATAAACATGAGAACATGACTATATACACAAGTCCGGTTACCAGAGAATATACGAAGCGTGTTGATTTTGAGGGAGGACTGCACCACTGCCAGGAACATATGATATATACTCAATCCAATACCTTAAAGTATTTCACGCTTGTTCAATTAATTTCGATTATGTTAGATCGTAAACAGCCTCTAAAATGCGTTATTATACCTTCTCCTCGAAGTTTTGGGGATTGTTGAAAATCAAAATGAAGCGTCTTAATTCTTCCGCCCACACGGTGTTGCCCTTCGAGAAGAGTAACCTAAAATGAAAAAGATTCCAGTTTATTAGGAAATAGACAAATAGTTGTGTCTGGGTACTCTGGGAGTATGATATTGGATTTGAAACCTCCTAAATTTGAAAATTAAAGTGTTTTGGTCCGGCAACCTCTTTCCTAATAGCATACGCCATATAGACTCTAATCTAGAACATAGCCTACGTACATATACACGTATATACGATCTTTGATTAAGCCTGTTGCTGAAGATCTTTTATATCGATTGCTACTTTTTAGATACCAGTCTCGTTATCAATTATACCTAACCTCATGTCCTGAACGTTTCAATTCGTAAGCTGCTGCAAGACCAGAGATTCCTGCCCCAACTATCAACACCTTTTTCCGATGACTTGTCTTTTCGAGCAAATACTCGCAAAAATAAAAATCGAAGTTTTAATGATCGCGGATAGAAGGGCGGAGTGAAAAAACGTAACATGAGTTTCTGAATTATAACAAAAAGGTGCTTATTTATTACCGGTGTCAGTCTGTTGCTTATATTCCCGTTTGTATTCCTTGGCCACCGTAGCTGTTCCTGGGGTACCTTTAAAGGAAGAAAACGTTATTAACCACGCATGTATGAAAGCATAACGAATTTCAGAGCGACAATCAGACATCACGAGTATTGGTAAACAATAGTATTCAAATTTACGACAGGGGCTGAAGAGGTTTTATCAACATCCTGACATCGGCGCGATACCACCGAGGGGCCTGGAGCTACCAATATTACAACACGCTTACATATCCGTATTCTGCTTCTTCTATGTTATCTTCGTTGAGAATTGGGGAGTCCGGATCAACGTCGAGTTTTTTCCTATGCAGGTACGATAAGCCTCTTCTGACCAGAAGTGTGTAAAATATTTTCTTATGCAAATTAATCGCGTCGTGAACACCAGGCAGGAAGCCAAGAAGCCTCAGTGGGTCCATGTTGAATTTTGTCTTGTTTTCTTTCCCTGCCATTGGTATTCCCAGAATCTGTTCCGCTTTGGATCTGCCACTTAAAAAATACAAAGAGTTTTAATGACCTGAGAAAGATTCGTTTCTGTTTCGCATTTTAACTGAATATGAGAAGTTCGAAAATTCGCAGAAGTTTGAAAATTCGTGTGATTTATAAAAATGTACGTTAATCATTGTGTGATCAGGCAATTAGGCCAATCAAATTTAAGACAACAATGCAAATTTGTGAAAAATTATCAACAATATCACAATCATATTGATGCAATCTTCCAATTTATCACCGGTGCCGGTGGTGATTAACGTGAAATTCATATCAAATTCATAAAAGTCAACCCAGGTGAACGATATGATGGTTACCACATTACGCAAACTATAATGTTCTGCTTATTGGTTGGTATAGGTATACATACAGTTCTGCCTTGCCTTAATAGTCGCGTCAAACGAAATAGGTGCGGTTCAATTCAGAAATAGTTCGAGAATTCAAAAGCAATTTCTGGTCACCGGCTCATCATTCAAGAAACCTATCATTTTCACGCGTTTTGATATGGTTTATTTTCTACGATGGCGATCGAGTTTGCTTTAAGAGAGACATCAATCCTATGACCAAAACATTAAGGGTCATCCGTGTTCACCGATTTCTAAAATCCCTACTACAGTTAGAGCAATTTAGAGTAATTCAAAGTAATTTATCAGTTTGGTTAATTGCCACCTTTCTCACCTTGAAAAATCTCACGCCAATAGCGATTTCAGAAATTGCCTGCACTCCACTCCTCTGTAACAATTTGTTCAACAAATGAATACTTCCTTTAGACTGTCACTGAAGTACTCGATCGTACCAATTGCCGTCTCTTATGTCAAGGCCAAAGTTTGAAATGACCTATTTATGTGTTGCCCGTGCACTGATGCAATTCAGTCACCTGATATATTGTTACACCTGGGTTCTGGGAAGACCCTTAAACTTTATTTGTCAACCTAAGTGGATTCTCTTGAATTTGTTGCAGTCACATTTCCTCTCCTTTTCCGCCTTTCGGTCATCTTCATCATTTTTATGAACAGATATTTATTGAATTTGCTTAGTAAGTAATATTTAAGTTGAAAACAAATGTAAATCTTTGTATTAATTGAACGCTAATGTCAGTTCCTAAAATTTTTTTTCTTCTCATAATTCGAGTCATATGAAATAAGCTCTAATCTAACCTATTTACCCGGAACCTATTTGCGTAATTTCTGAGAAATCTCAGATAAAAACATTTTACTTTAATCTTAACGAAATTTCCTGGTAAACCTTGCTGCATAGGCGAGCTATTTTTTCCGGGTTGTATTATCAATTTCTGGGTAACGTCTACAAAGTTAGAATGTTAGATAATATAAGAAAAATGACATAATGTCAATTTTTGGTTTTTCCAATTTTTGGCGGAGATCTACAAAACCCAGAGGCAAAGATGAAGCATTTTTCGTAGTTGCATTTATAATAAAATAAAAAATAATCCTTCTTTTTTCCAGGGCTATATCAAAGGATATATTTCACATTAACACCAGAAGCTGGTTGTGAGCAAACAAAATGCATTCCCATCATTAACGTCGTTCTTGTAGCAAGAACTGCAAGATATCTAAAGGCTAAAATTTCCACAAAGTAGATTTCACTGTCAATTGCTATATGCTTTACGTCGGAATCATGTAAGGCGTATTTTTGCAAAGCAGACAGCCATGAAGGAGGCAAAACAAGATTGTGACTTTTGTTTGAAGAGTTGTGAACACGTGGGTGGCCTAGGGACGAAAGATTCGCTGGAACATAAGTTTTCTACTGTCTCTTGCAAGAAACAACAGACCTCTTAGTCTAGGGTTTTTGGGTCGCGCATTCCTAATATATACCTACTATTTCGGATGACTCGTATGCCTATACTGAATCATTTTTGTTCCAATGCATGGAATCATAGAAAAGATTATGAGCGTACCTATATAGGCGACTATATAGAATGTCTGCTATATTGCTACTCATGTTGATAATCTAATGGACGGGTATATGGACATGTATGCAATGGGTGTACTGAAAACGAAAAATGGCTGACACAAACTATTTTGATCACAATATCCGACAAGCTGGAAGTACTGTTGCTATATAAACACGATGTAAAGCAAGAGACAATGCTGAAGGTTTATAACAAAACACGAATTGACTAAAGCAGAACACGATTGACTCGTGTTTTAAATCGCTCAATAACGACTTTGTAAGACCTTCGTACACAGCAAAGAAATTTTGACAAGCAACAACTGAGAAAATAAAACTTGAAAGAAATTATTATCACCGATAAACACTAATTAAAATGTATTTCCCATAAATTTAATGAGTTTTGTAATTATATTCAATTATCTATAGGTAACTTGATACCCCAATTAATAGCGATTATTAGTTAATTTCAAAAAGTACTTTATTAATTTAAAAAAAAAATGCCGTGTGTTGCCATATATGATTGGACAGTGTAATCTGTTTCTGCCTAATAATTGAGAAAGGATATCTCAATCATGCAAAGCATTATTCTACGCTTAGTATATATAATTGTAATTCTTCCAAATGAATCAATTGTCATTATTATCTCATCATTGTTTCTCCTCTATATTGGGAAAGGATATTTTGATAATCCAAAGAAAGGATGATCCGGGTCAAAATCCTGCGAGGGATCAGGCTTTGGTTCAGGTTTAGCCGGTTCAGGATTTCTTTCGTTTGGGTACATTCCTCTGAAAATAGAAAAGCAATAAATTCGTGAAGATTATGGATTAAAGATTATGGATTTTTGTGCTACATATCATAGCCAGCGTTGGCGCCAATATGATTTGGAAAGGGCTAAAAGTTGTACTATTTATGACCAACAAGAAATAAAGCTTACTCGTTAAACTTGTAAAACTGCCACGCAGCTCTTAGACCTGATTCTAGTGCACCTTGGATCCAACCATTAGCAAAGGATAAGGCCTCGCCGCCAAAGAAAATTGGATAAATTTCCTTAGGTTCTAGGAGGAGTTTCAGATGATGCATGTAGCTGTATGGAAGTAAATGAACATAGGCTCCCTGTGCAGTGGGGTCGGTGTACCAGGACTGAACGGCTCCTACTTCAAATGTGTCTTGAACTATTGATGCAGACTCGTCTTCGCATAACAGACGTTCGTAAACGGTTTGTATTTCACGCAAGGCCTCAGTAAGTGCTTCATCTTCTGGCTGTGAACCAAACGACAAGGCCTCTCTATTCCATGTGTAAAGCAAAAGGATTCCTCGTTCTGACCCTTGTTCATCTGTATCTGTCTTGCTTGGGTACACAATTTGACTGATAGGTAAATTGGTTTTGGTTATGCCTCCATTTACCACGGGATACTTGGCTCTTTCCCAGAACCGTTCTCGAAATCCAAGAAACATCTTAGTCGAAGGTTGGTAATGAATATCTCCAATTGCGTCGTCCAGGTACTGTGGAAGAGCTGGAATAAACTTCAGCTGACGCATGATATTTAGTGGAATGGTAATGATCACAGCATCAGCTTCGAAATGAACCTCGTTTTTTGTCTGGGTTTGACGACCAGAGACTTTAACTGAGTAGCAACAATTGCCATCTCCAGGTTTCCGCCACTCGATGGTTTTAACTGTGATGCCATATCGGATGTCACTTTCCAAGCAGTATGGGTCTGCAGCATCATTGACAAAAGATTCGGGTAATTCTTCCATACCATTCGTTAGAGTTTTCATCTTTGGAGTCCACCATTTCCCTATTTCCTCCGCCAGGACGGTTGCTACAGACAACTTTAAACAGAGAAGTAAAATATCATAGACAGGCTTTACCAAAAATATGAACTACTGGATTGGATAAACATGTAAATGTTTAGGATTGCTTTGGGAGCATATGCTGCTAAGATACTTAATTTCTTTTCAAAGTTATTGAAAAAAAAGGGAACCATATTGAACCATTGAAAGAGACTATATATAGTCCGTTGGCAAATTAAATAGTTAGCTGATGTATTGTTACCGCTGGATTCGCAATGTAATTTACATCTGTAATGCAATCAATTGCTATTTTAGGCCAAGGTCTGAAATCTGGCTTGGTCTTATCAGACTCTTCACACGGAAGATCAGACGAAAGAAATTCGGTAAAAGACATTTTGCTCCAACGTTCCAACCACTTTCGCCATGCCCGTGCATATTTCTCGGCGCATTCTCCTCTTTTATATTTCGGTGCACTATCAGAGACTTCTTCTATTGTTAATTTGTAATAGTCCACTAAAGAAAACAAATTTAAAGTTGCGATTATTACTAAAATACCAATATTTACATCGGAAATATTTGATTAGGGAGCGTGGTTGAGAGACGTGACAGAAGATAAGGTGTATATAAGGGATGAAAACAGTAATTGACTAAAGGCTGCTTCCACTTACGCGTTTTTTGTACGCACGTAAGGAAAATTTTAAATACTTTTCAATTTTTATTATTTAACATCTAGGTCAACTAATGCATAATAAAATATGCAGAAAACTAAGTTCCTTCGATTTATTCACTCTTTTCAAAGGTAACATGTATAAGGATTTAATTAGACTTTAACGCGCGTATGAAAAACGCGTAAGTGGAAAACAGCCTTAACGCTATTGTGGCTACCCAGCCATCATCATGTATCGCATGTATTGTGTATATGTTTTTCTTCTTTTTTATGTATTGTAATATTATTCATGATGTGGCAAATGTAAATAAACAAAATAAAATAAAATAAAATAAAAGACAGATAATACTCGTAAAGGAAGGGTGCTTTAAAAATCTATACTCCTATAGTTTCCAGTTTCAATATATTGTACGGCATAACTTACTAATATTATCAATACAATGCTTTCTTCTCAAGTCTTTTTCCTCAATAAACTTATCCCAACCGGGGAATTGGTTGTCACACAATCTCCTCGCTCTAGCCCTTCCTTCTTTCTTATCAGTATAAAAGTCTAATAAAATAACAATGAAAAAATAAAGTTGAGAAATGCACATTGTGGACAGGCGTTGCATCTACATACCCTTCACTTTCGCAGTTTCTCCTCCTATGCTGACGAAGCACTCCCCCTCAGGATCAACATTGTAAAAGTCCTTTTCTTTAAGATTAAACTTGTCGATGTAAGCATCAGTGAGGTAATGGCGATTATGCCGAGGAATTCGCATTGCTCCAGCTAGTGTATATAAACAAAATTTTTAAGTTGCGACGTTTACACGCTACAATGTTTTAATTTTTACTTTAATTGTTACATATGTATAGGCAGCTTAATAAGTGGCTAACTTGAGCCACGTCCGAATCGTTTACAGCCACAAAACTTCTTTTCAAGCCGCTAGTGTTTTTTCAAATTCATCAATAACAAATCTTTTTCTCTTAGTTTGGTTAGTTGGCCCAAGATTTGTATGGCGTCATGACGTTTTCGCTTACAGTACATAATTACTGATAAATGGTTAAATTTGCAATAACTCTTGTGTTTGGCAGAACAGTACGTGCTGCTGTACGAAAAATGTAGGTGATCCAGGATAAACATGAGAACATGACTATTTACACGAGTCCGATTACCAGAGAATCTACGAAGTGTGTTGATTCCGAGAATCTACGAAGTGTGGTGATAGAACATGTAAACAGCCCCTAAAAGTATTAGTAGAAGCTATAGTCGTTCTGGACAGCCATGCAGTCGTTATTATACCTTCTCCACGAAGTTCAGGAGATTGTTGAAAATCAAAATGAAGCGTCTTAATTCTTCCGCCCACACGGTGTTGCCTTTCGAGAAGAGTAACCTAAAATGAAAAAGATTATAGACCCTAATCTAGTACATGATGTGATCATATCCACTTGAATGTTTAGTTACACGTATATATACGATCTTTGATTAAGCCTTTTGGTGAAGATCTTTTATATCAATCGCCAGTTTTTAGATACCAGTCTCGTTATCAATTATACCCAACCTCATGTCCTGAACGTTTCAATTCGTAAGCTGCTGCAAGACCAGAGATTCCTGCCCCAACTATCAACACCTTTTTCGGATGATCTGTTTTGCTGCTGAAAAACTTGCAAAAGAAAAAAATGAACTACTAAAAATCGAAGTTTAATGATCGCGGAAACCCGCATATAAAGGAGAATAAAGTTCAAAGGACTGAAAAAAAAAGGAACATGAATTTGTGAATTATAACCAAAAAGTTCTAATACATTAGCGGTGTTCTATTGCTTACATGCCCCATTGTGCAGCCACTGAAAAAACGTTACTAACCATCCATGTATAAAAGCTTAACGAATTTCAGAGTGACAATCAAACGTCACGAATATTAGTAAACAATGAGTTCTTATCGGAATCAAATTTACGACAGCGGCTGAAGAGGTTTGATCAGCATCCTGACATCGGTGTGATACCGCCGAGGAGCCTGGAGCTACCAATATTACAATGCACTTACATCTCCACATTCTGCTTTTTCCTTTTTATTATCTTCTCTAAGAATTGGGGAGTCCGGATCAACGTCGAAATTTTTCCTATGCATGTACGATAAGCCTCTTCTGACCAGAAGTGTGTAGAATCTTTTCTTCTGCAAATTAATCGCGTGATGAGCACCAGGAAGGAAGCCAAGAAACCTCATTGGGTCCAGGCTGGATGTCTCATTTTCTTCCTCTGCCATTGGTATTCTCAGAATTCGTTTCGCTTCCGATCTGCCACTTAAAAAGATATAAGAAGAGTTTTAATGAGCCTAGAAAGATTTTAAAAGGCTTTTTGTGTTTCGCATTTTAACTGAATTAATACGAGTCGATTACTCAAAGTTTAAGGACTATTATTATTAGTGAATAATATTCCAAAAGAAGTGGGCGTTTGAAAATTCGTGTGATTTATAAAATCAGTGTACGCCGTTCAAAGATTGTGTCAAATTTAAGACAACAATGCAAATATGGAAAAAAATTCTCGACAATACCATAATCATATTGACGCAATCTTCTAATGGTAGTGATTAAAGCGACACAAATTCGCAATGATATGATGGAATTAGATAGAATTCATAGATATTACTTCCACATTACGCAAACTATAATGTTCTGCTTATTGGTTGGTATAGGTATATATAATTCCGCCTTGCCTTAATAGTCGCGTCAAACGAAATAGGTGCGGTTCAATTCAGAAGTAGTTCGAGAATTCAGAAGCAATTTCTGGTCACCGGCTCATCATTCAAGAAACCTATCATTTTCATGCGTTTTAATATGGTTTAATTCCACGATGGCGATGTGTTTGAGTTTGCTTTTAAGAGAGACATCATTCGTTCATTCCTATGACCAAGACATTTATAAGGGTCACCCGAGTTCACCGATTTCAAAAATTCTTTCTAAAATTCTAAGTTTTCTAACCACAGCAGTCTTGAGAGCGAATAATTTATTGTTGATTTGGTTAATCACCAGCTTTCTCACCTTGGAAAATCTTACGCCGATAGCGATTTCAGGAATAGCCTGCACTCCACTCCTCTGCAACAATTTGTCGAGGTAAGTGAATTATATAAGACTGAAGTACTCGTTCGTACTAAATGCTGTGACGCTGTACCTATAATGTGAAGGCGAAGTTTGAAATGACCTATTTATGCGTTGCCCGTGCATGCACTGATGCAATTCAGTCACCTGATATTGTTACACCCACTGTCACCTAGTTCCGGGAAGATCCCTTAAACTTTATTTGTCAACCTAAGCTGATTTTCTTGAATTTGCATTCACATTTCCTCTCTTTTTCCGCCTTTCGGTCATCTTCAGCAGTTTTATGAACAGATATTTATTGATTTTGCTTAGTAAGTAATATTTAAGTTGAATACAAATGTAAATCTTTGTATTAATTAAACGTTAAGCCTACGATGTCAGATACTGCAATTTGTTTCCGCATAATTCGAGTCATGTGACATAAGCTCTAATCTAACTTATTTACCCGGAACCTATTTGCGTAATTTCTGGGAAGATCTCTCCAAGAAGATAAAAACATTTTCAGTTTAATCTTAACGAAATTTCCTTGTAAACCTTGCTGCATAGGCAAGCTATTTTTCCGGGTTGTATTATCAACTACTGGGTAACGTCTACATATGTTAGATGATATAGAAAAAACCCACGTATATAATGTCAAAAATCATGATTAACTGCTTGGGTTGGAGTGAAATAATAAAAAATTATGCCATGCTATATTATTTCATTCATTCTGAACTTTCGTATAGTATATCCCTATTGTAATTCCGGAAAAACCCTTTAGTCATAAAAAACATTTGCATTCAATTCACTTTCAATTGAGAAACAAACAATTTCAAAAACCCATGACTTGCGCATGAACAGGAGTTGCCATTCTGGGAAGTGACTCATGGCTCATGTATTGTTTCAATAATTAATAAAACAACAATATCCTTCGACTTCGCAATGGATACTAAGAAATCCAACTGCTCAAGTTAAGAAACCGTCCAGGCTAAGTGGCCGGTAAATCAGATGACGCAAATGATGCCATTTTTCAATTTTGTTGTGTGATTTTGAATTACAAATACTCAGGTAATTAACTGTTAAAAAGAACCCTAAGTTTGACAATGAAAACCAAGTCAATCCTATATTTCCTCAACCGCATTCACGTAATCGAAAGTTCTTGAAGATGTTGGTTAATCATAACAAATATATCAGTTATATTGATCCAGCGCCACTCATGGAGAGAAAGCTACAAAGGGGGCCATCCGGCCATGGAAGTCTCCATGAAATTACAGTTTTATGTCTATACTTCATTGCTTCTCTTTAACCAGTTCTAGTTCTAGAACACTATTTTCATAAATGGTATCATTGAGCATTCATAAAGTAACCTTAGTAAAGGGGGAGGGGGCCAGGGGGTGTAAAGAAAATGTCATAAAAGAAGGGGGCATACCACCCCAATAATAGTTGCACAAAACTTTGTTACCCATCCATTAGTGGTGAAAAATTATGACCCACCCTTTCAGAAAAACGTTCACCGGCCGTCTCAGGGGTCAAGAATATAGGAAAGCGGTCAATACCAGCCAATACCAGCCTTATCAGAGAGATAACACCCAAGACATCGAGCGCGCAAACACAGTAATGATTCTAACAAATTATTTCGAGCCTCAATTTGGACTATTTAGCCGGAAAATAAGTGTTTATATTAACTATGTATAGTTACGAGCTTTTCAAGCGGCGAAGCAAATTTTATCAATACACCAGAGATGGCAGATTCATCAAAATGGTTCTCGAGGACTTTATTTGCAAATTACACGAAGTACAAAGTTTGGAGCTCTTGAACACTCCCACTCACTTTCCTTTCAGAATTTCAATATCATGTGAGATGTTGCTTTTGGTAAACAATTTTTGAAATATTTCTAATTCCTATCTCGTTTTACTGCAGTTTATGTTGATAAGGTTTTAAACTTGTTACACTACAGTTGGAAATTTGCAAAACCTTCGTTTGTATGGGCTCATCTTGCCCAGTGAAGATATACTTTACTTCGAAATTAAAAAATTGTTTTGTTAATATTTCACCTTTATTGGCCAAAGACTGGAGTAATATTTGGAAGGTAAGTTAGCTCAAAGCATTATCTATTGCATATATAGTGCTATTACTGTATCAACCTAGCCCAGATTTACCTCCACACAAGCTCCACACATGTTTTGCTGAGATATTTGTTAATATCATATATTGATATTAACTTCCTAATAATATGTGTTCTGAAAGATATTTATTTCACTGCAAAATATGTGTGAGGTTAATCATCACAGTACTGAAAATTAGTTTGTTGTAGCAACAACTAAAATACGTATACTAGTATACATACATATACTATATCAAAGTGATATGTTTTAGGGTTAACCAAACTCTAAACAATTGCTCTAGCTAGTTGAAGTAGTAGTTCCCTTATGTTGTGAGGTAGTAATCACAGTCGTAGAATTTCCAAACAGTAGCTGACTGAAAAAACTGTTCCAGTAAAAAAATAATTCTGCATTTAGAAGAAGCCTTGTAATATTTATTAGTACTTGCTTATTAGGAATCTTTAACTATAATTCAGATTGATATATTCAGCTTAACATTGTTTTGATGAGCCCACTTGCTTGTGCAGCTTCATTAATTGAAACACTGTGAGTTAATTCACTAACTGGGATGCTGGTGACTCATGTACTATATCATCATAGATGGGTGGCATTTTAATAATTACCAAGAGATTATATCCTGTATAGATATGAAGTGCCTATTATATTTAGTAAGACCAATATTTAAAGTAGAAAAAACACTTATTTTCTTCTTTCTAGAATGACAATGGAGTAAAGGCAATTCACCTTGATTTCCGAAATAGGCCACTGTATATTTCCTGGGGAGGTCACATATATCAAGCACCCAATGATTCCAGGGGAATTGAGATCAGCAGAAAGTTTGGAGAACTGTTAGGTCTTGTAGAGGGTCAAGAGGTATTAAATATGAAAAGTATTAGTGTGATTAAAAAGTATGGAAAGTATTATTGTGATTAGGTACAGTAATCCAGCAGCAATAAGAAAGAACTTTGCTATTTTGAGAAAAGGTTCAATTGTTAAGGGGTTAGGACCACAGCATATCTTTGAGCACTACACTGACACACCATAATGAACTTTTTTTGACACCTAGATATTTCACATATACACACATAGGATATCTTCTTAGAATTGGCATTGCAAAGATGATACCAAAATAAAAGTATTGAATTATCACATTTACAGACAATTTTATATGCTTAATTCACATTGTTGTCCAGATGGTGCACAAAGAGGATATCTTATTTCAGTCATATTGTTTTAGGTTGTTGCTACAGCAATAGTTAGTGTAAAGTCATGTGAGCAGATCTCATTTTTTCCAACAAGTAAAAGTGACTGGGAAATTACGGTAAGTGCGGGTAATGGTATTTACTGAGCTGATCTGAGAAAGCATAGTTGTGCTCAAACAATAGTGTTTTTTCATTTAAAACATATTTGTATTCCAGGAAACCAATGCCAGCTTTATTGAGGGGAATCTTATAAATCAATTACGGATTGTTTGGGAAGGATTGAAGATACCAATATGGTTTCAAAAAAATAACTGTGTTGTTGTGACTATAGGTATGTGAAAAACAAATAAGTTATGTAAACAAATAAGTAGCTAATGGTTCTTAATACGAGGGTTAAAGAAAACTAGGTATATTGGCCAGGGGGACTGCCATTTTAAGTTTTTTTCTGGCGCATTTTTCTGCAGGATTTTTCTTTTTATCTGTAACTAATGCCTCCTCCCTATACACTTGTCTGAAACAGGGACTGTTCTAACTTAGTTCTATGCTTATGTGTTTAGGGGAAATTCGTCCTGGACCGAGCTCGTGTTCACAAATTGTAGAATTCACAAAAGTACAGTTGATTGGTTGGAAAGAAGTTGAGACAGAAGAGAGAGGCTTTGATATTCCAATACCACCAGGCTTAGTAACTTCACCTGGATCAACAGATAGCGAGAGAAGTGGAGAGTCTAGTCCCAAAAGTAGTAGTAACTCATCTAGTTTGAAAAGCAGTTGGGATACGGATACCAATACTATCGAATCGTCCAGTTTGGACAACAGTGCAAATATCGGTGTCAGTTCGAATGCTACGGCTGAGTTATCAAGTGGTAATGATGTTCATTCAAATATCTCAGAAGCATCTAGTTTGAATAGCAGTTCAAGCAGCGGTATTGGTACTCTCAGTGCTACTGAGTCGCCAAGTGTAACTGGTAGAATTAAAGATTCGAAGACTATTAAATCATCGGGTCTCAAAAGTACCAGTGCAGGTGACCTACATACGAAATCCACAAACACGTTTGCTGCTTTGCAGTTGGGAAGATCATTGCATCAAGCTGGGGATAAATATGAACAAACGTATACCCCAAGTTATCCACTAAGTTTAAGAACTCATCCATTGACTGGAGTGGTCAATATGTTTAGCATGCTCTTAGGTCCATCTTCTGCTGATGGTGAAAATGGCGATAAATTTCGTACTTATCCCCCCGCTACAAAAGGAATGCAAGCCATAGACTATTCGATACGTACGTCGAAAAAACATTCAATTACTTCATTGCCTGTTGTAACAATAGTTTCAAAGTACTATCGGGTTCAAAATCTTTCTGTATGTGATGACGTGATAGCTGAGTGTACTGGGGTACAGTCTCTACCATGCAATCTTTTACAACAACCTTCAACAGTATTTGTATATAATCCTGATGTGGCGTGTCTGGCGAACCGTATGTCAAATGACAAGCGCAAGAAACATGGGGGTAGTCATGTTGGTGATAAATATGTTATTATGATGGTTTCCATGCATAGAATGTTTTCTACGAAAGAAAAGTCAGAGACTAGTCCGACAAAGTCAGGACAAAGTACAGATAATACGCCTAGTGAAGATTTTAAAGATTCTGGTAAGTTCTTAAGCCAGGATTCACATATAGTTCTGGTATCGAATTGAAGTTAATAATGAGTTCACGGCAACCAGGTATATAATTCATGGTAATTATCGCTACTCTGGTTTTAATAAATGAAAGTAATCACCACACAAAGATTATCTGATGTTGAAAAGAACCGAGCTTCAACATCAGATCACCCCTGATGAAGACACTAGACCAAAGTGTCGAAACGTTGGGCCGTGAAAGTTAATTTATGTGTGGTGATTACTTTCATTTATTAAAACCAGAGTAGCGATAATTACGATAGTTCTGGTATATCTCTTACTTCAAATCAAAGCCGGGCAAAATGAAGTTGACAAAAATAACTTGCGTATATATATTTTATGAAGAATTTTTGTTGATGTTAAATCATTAATACAATCTCATCAGTTCTCGTGCAACGGTTTATGGTATTCACCTATAATAATTAAGGTGTTGTCGACATGTAGAATATACCAGCCACCCTCCTGTTGACTTTAACGAAAATTTACTCTAAATTCAAATCCATATCGTTTTCAGATCCAGTAAAGTTATTTGATCGTAAAAGATTGGAACTAAAAATCAACAGCAGACAGCGTAATGTATCGTCAGGTGAACGATTAAGCCTATCATCCTCGCCAGCAACAATTGTTAGACTTGTAGTTACTAGCCAAAGAAACTTTTGTTCGAACGAGCAATGTTCATTTCTTAGTGAGGATTTGTTATCTGGGCATGTTGCTGTTAAAAGCCTTATACGCCGTCAATTGAAACTTGGTGTTAAATCGACTGTTCAAATTAATAGAATAAATCATAAACCTTCAACCTTGCTGGGACTTGTTTTAAATCCCTTTGGACCTTCTGCGAGAAAGGTAACGTCGAAATATTTATGATATATGCATGCAATTAATTTGAGACAACGGCTACTGGTCGGCCATTATGTGTGGAAATATTTGATAAGAATTGTCTTGAAAGATTGCGTAGAATTGTAAGTATGTATAATTTGATTCGCCTATGGATCTTTGGATCCATTGAATGATTTAAAATACAATCCGGTAAAGTTGTCCAAATATTTCTATATTATTTTACAGATTAAATCATTTAATAATGATGATATCGTCACTGCTTTTAATTCCTGGATCATAGAAACTACCACACAATATCCACTTATTTTATCATCCCGGATGTTAGTTGAATTTAATATAACACCAGGTGAGCATGGGGTAACTCTTCAAGATGTAAATTGAAGAATCTATCTTTACTGCATTCCATTCGTGTCCCTGCACAGGGCCGTCGCTATAAGCTTAATTGGGATGAGAGTGTATATTCATAACTTTATATTCATGTCCGTACAACCGTAAAAACAATAGCTAATAAAAGAAATCAGTCTGGCATAAGACGAATATATGAATATGCACCCCCCCCCCCCGCCCAATGAAGCTTCTAGCGATAGCCCTGTCCCTACACCTTCTCCAGCAAAATTAACACTTTTAAAATCAGGTCGGAGAAAGAGCCTGATATGACGAATGTCTCGGGTGTTTATTTTTCAATCTTACAATTTGATTAAATCTATAAAATATTTGCATTTTTCTTTCTAGAGATCAAATGTGAATTTTTGTTGTCAGGCATTGGAAGCGATAGTCCACCATCAAGTACTGCAGGAACTAAAATACAATATTTTGAAATTAGTGAACGAACATTATCTAAAGCATCCGTGACTGTTGGGGACGTTTTCCAGCCATCTCGTTACCTCTTGCTATCACCTTATCCTGTTGGAAATACAACAAGATTGGATGAGGATTTTAACAAATCCCCTATCTCTTCCTTAGGGTAAGTCATTTCAGCAGTTTGATCTTTCAACCTTTCCAATTGTCTGGCAATTGATAATTTTCGGACGCTAAGGCAACTTTTAGTAATAAAACGACATTAGGAAACAATATCGTAAACGAGATTCTGATATACATGCAGTCTGAGTGATGCAGATGAAACTTTGTAGGAAGTTTCGTATCAATTGACCCATTGCACTGACATCATAATCCGGAGTTGTCCTCCAAGGCCCAGTTGTATAAAAGACTAACTTTAAACTATAGCTAAGGACAGAATTAGTCAATCAGAGTTGTGTATTTCGGAATTAACTAGGATTTAACAACTGAGTTTTCTGTATTTTATTAAGTTTTTTATGCTCTTTACAAAATCAAAATTCTTGATTCTTGTAAGAATGTTTGGTAGTGTAGCCATCCTGACGATTTGTCCCGCTATGCTAATATTGTGATGTTTATTGACTGTGAAAACAATAAATTTCTAAAAAAATGAATGTTTATAATAACTTAAACGTGCACTTAAACGTCAGGCTAGCTGTTTTACTAACTGTTTACATTTGACTGTTTATATCTGTCTGAATTATTTTTCATAATTTCAGAGGTTTTGACACGCTGTATGAGACATGTGTGGATTTCCTTCTTCATGGTCTGGCTTACCAACCTATATCTCAACAGCTGTGTTGTTCTACACTGAACAGTAATACATTGTTGTTGTATGGTAGCGGATCAACCGCTGGAGGTTCTGGAAAGACATCGTTGGCTCATGCGTTATGTAATACCCTTGGAAAGCATCCAGTACTTGCCCATGTCTCTGTCATTGAGTGCGTTTCATTGAGAGGTTAGGAATTAGGATTCTAAGTTTATATTTTTTGACCGTGTGTCCTTAAGGTCTCTTCACACGATCCAATTTTGTGGAGTCCAATCCACTTCTGATGGATGCTTTATAGTCTGTTGACGTGCAATGTATATGGGCGGCAAAGCAACTAAAACCAATCCAGCACTGCTTTTGTAATAACAGACATTTTGTAATAACAGATATATTGTAACACATGCATTGGCATTCTACTGCTGCTCCTGCACAAGGCATACCAAATGTTTTTCCCTTCAGGATTGCCTGATTTATTCTTGCATGAGGAATGTTGCATGACTTTTTTAAAGTCAAAATACTGAAATGCAACATCCAAGTGCAAGGATCTCGCAATCCTGCATGCACGGATATTCAATAATTGTTTTTAAATTACTACTATAAAACAACGGTATAAAATTTTTTAGAATTACACCTAATTAAATACCTCTTGCAGAATTGTCTCATTCTGCACGGCCGCCCAATCAGATTGCATGTGCATGTTTAGTTATATAATAATAGTTCCTTCGTAGTTTAAATCTAAACGCCTGTTACACGGTGCAATTTTTCCTGCAAATATTTTTCCTTACATCTCTTAAATTGTATTACAAGTTGCGAGAGAAATAGCACCGTGTAACATGGCCTTAGGTTAGGACACAAATCCTTCGTAGGTATAACCCGGTATCTAGCTGTAACATTGAACTGCGTTATTCAGGTAAACGTGTTGAGACAATCAGGAAATCTTGGCAGAACACATTTAATAACGCAGCATGGCATCAACCTGCCGTTATTGTGTTTGATGATCTTGATCAACTTATCTCAGCACCTTCATTACTCCAGGAGAATGGTCCTGAGGCCCATTATAGCCTCCGCTTAGCGCAAGGTTGGTTCTGTTATCAACACAGTTTACTTCATTAAAAAGTTACTAAATCTCGTGCAAAATAATATCATCCATCCTTGTTGTAAAATGCTTTTAGAATGCAAAAACGTCTCCATAACTTTATTTGCATGAATTTCATACCATTACCTAAATATAATAAACACTTCCAAATTTTACTCATACCAGATCATATTACATTGCCCAAACGTTTTCAATTCACCAATGTCAAATGATATCTGCTGTTTCTTAAATTAGCATGCAAACAAACGCCTGATTAAACTTTGATGCAGACGTTCAATAAAAATGCGTAAATTTATTATAATTACCGTCAGCCTGGCATTTACCGGAAATATTTTTAGTTTAAGTCACAGTTCTTTTCTATTTGATGTTTTTAGTGTTTACGACTTTGTTGAGGAAAGAAATCACCTACAATACTAAAATTGTCGTCATAGCAACGGCAACATCACGTGATTCTGTACATCCAACGTTACTTTCTAGTCATGGTAACCACGTCTTCAGTAAATCTGTTGAAATACCTTTACCTGGTCTTGATCAACGCGGAAATATGGTCCATGCAATATTAAAAAAGAAGGACTTGTCTTTATCGGATGAGGATCTTAGGTATCTTATAGAAACGATAGTGTCGCACATGCGACAATATTGCTTTTGGTAGTTTTGTGTACCCATGCATTGCAATACACCGTACTCACATTCGTACGTACGCAGTGAAAGAGGCACAATTTGTAGATCAATAACAATATTCAATGGCGTCTATTGTATTTTCTGCATTTTTTCACTCTCGTGTATGTTATTTCACTGCGGTGCAGTGCATCTTTGGTTGATGATATAGTGCCTGTAAGGACCCAAGAACGACAGCCTAATTTAAAATATTCAGTGGCGTACGGGAGACGATCATATTCATATATTCATGTTAACAGACCTGTAAAGACAATGGATTTGAAAAGAAATTCATCTTGCACAACATGTATATATGAATATGTGCCGCCGCCCCCCCCCCCCCCCCCCCCCCCCAATTATCGTCTATCGTACGCGACTGAAAATTTTAAACCTTTCAATCCAGCCGTGGTATGTTTTGTAACATTGTTTCTTGGTTTAGGGAAATTGCTGTGAGAACTGAAGGTTGTTCACCAAAAGATTTAAATACTTTGGTAGCACGAGCTCTACAATCCAGTGCGTTGAGACGAAGTTATAATAACCAAGAAGGTAATAATAATTTTTGCATTCTTTTACTATACGAGCCTCGCAATGGAATTGCATTGCTTTTTTCAGAACGACCAGAGATGTGCTTGGCAGATTTCAACAATGCTCTGAAATGCTTTAAGCCTCTTAGTTTACATGGTATCAAACTCCATCAGGGCAGCGACTTGACGTGGCTGGATGTTGGTGGCTTAGATGATATTAAACAAACTCTTCAGGAAACATTGGAATGGCCCGCTAAGGTAAGGCCCGGAGATGGGCAACGATTATATCAATTTCGTAAACTATAAACATTCAGTATCTCTTTGTTTCTACAGTACCCAGAACTTTACAATAGTGTACCAATGAGGCTGCCTTCTGGTATTTTACTCTATGGGCCACCCGGCTGTGGAAAAACGATGTTAGCTGGTGTTGTGGCGAAAGAATGCTCTCTGAATTTTATCAGTATTAAAGGACCAGAGTTACTGAATAAGTATATAGGAGCAAGTGAACAAGCCGTTCGAGATCTCTTTCACAGGTATAAGTTGTTTTTGTGAAATAAAATAATCTTTCGCTGGGTTCTCGTGCGATGTGTTTGCAGAAATTTTTTTTCCTTCCTGGTGGCAAACTTCTAAAATTCCCTTTGTAATTGTCTCTTAAGGAAATTTGGGGCTATCATACATGAAGCTAATAATTTTTTGTGTTGATATTAAAAGTTCGATCAAATATTTCTTATGAGACACGAAAATATCTTGACAGTTGTGTTGCTGGCATGTGAATGGTGCCGCCACCATTTTCAGCGCTGTTAGTTTCGGAGAAGACTTTCCAACAGTATACTATTGATTAAGATGCAGTAAAACATTTTTTCTTCTTTTTGTAGGGCTCAAAGCGCAAAACCGTGTATTTTATTCTTTGATGAATTCGATTCAATGGCACCAAGACGAGGTCATGACAGTACTGGTGTTACCGATAGAGTGGTGAATCAATTGTTAACACAACTTGATGGTGTTGAAGGCTTAGAAGGTGTTTATATACTAGGAGCATCCAGTAGACCTGATCTTATTGATCCAGCATTGTTACGACCTGGACGTTTGGATAAATCTTTGTATTGTGGCATGCCAGACGAGGTAATCCTACGTGCATCACATGGCTGGAACAGCTCAGCAATTTTAGACTTTCCATTATCATTTACGACTGCGACCTGAAATCATTATAAGCCGAGGGTAGCGCAGGAGTGGATCCAGCACTAGTGCACTGATTTGCATGACACAAGAAAACTGCTATGGCCATATATTTTCTACAGGTGTTTTTGCATGACTTTGTTTTGTAATGCAAATTTGTGCACTAGTGCTGGATCCACCTCCGGGGTAGCGAGAGGTTTCTTGAATTGTAGCTCATTTTCCTCAATATGAATATAAGTTGTGCTTCATTATTTATTTTACAACAGAATGCCAGACTAGAGATCCTGCGAGCGCTCTCCTCGAAACTGGAACTCGATTTTGACGTTGATCTTAAAGAAATAGCGAGACGAACTGAGAATTTCAGTGGCGCAGATCTTAAAGCACTGCTATCCAACGCTCAGCTGGAAAGGATACATAAAATGAAGACAAGTATATCAGGTGTTGTTTTAATCTGCTAAAATAATAGCGAAATGGCCATATATTTTCTCCAGGTATTTTTGCATGATAAAACCGTACCCAGTGATCTGGAAAATATTATAAATGTTAATACCCATTGATGAATAATGAAAACCTATTTAATTGCTTCAGCCGGATTTAAATCAGCATTTATGGTTTTCTTGAGCACCCCTCTACCTAGCTATCTCAGAACATTTTCGTGACCATTGATTATGCACCGCTTCACAGCTGATAGTTCAACCCATGGGTAGAGCCGAATTCCAGAAACCAGACGATGCGAGTCCAATTCCACTGGAAACTAAAAATTCCTTCACCAGATTTTATCATGGATTTTATGCTTTTGTCTAATGATTGCGTCTCTCAATCCTATTTTGTAGATAAACCAGTGAAAGTTGAGGTCAGATCGAATATCGTGTCTGTTCCTCAGTTGAAACGAGGAGTACAACAACGTATTGCTGATGAAAACACTGATTTAGAAAAACAGGCAAATTGCTTGATTTTACATTTACGGGGGTGGGGGCTTTTTTTTGCTTAATACCAAAGGCCATGTTACACGGTGCAATTTTTCTTGCAACTTGCAATGCAATTCTACTTTAAGAGATGTAAAATAGCGAAGAGCCTTCAAAATGGAAGTGTAAGAAACGCCGTGGAGTGTAATAAAGACAAAAGTTTGGTAGTTGACAAATTTACATCTCTCAAAAGAAGAGTTGCATTGCAAGTTGCAGGGAAAATTGCACCTTGTAACAGGGCCTTAAGTTGCAAAAAGCGCAGGTCAAACGTTAATGCACAGAATAGAAACCTATCAGAAAGTCATCTCTGTTGTTTTCTACAGCCTTGGACGAATCTCAGCTTCACAGATATATGATATGCCAAAATATCTACCGTTCCTCACCTGTAGGTTGCAGTACTGCAAGACAATTTTTTCAAAAATGTTTATGGAAAGGCCAGTCATTCTCCTGTAAGTAAAATAACCTCGACTGAACCAAGACTGAACCAATATATCGTATGTAATGACGTGCGCTGAAATTAAGTAAAATTTGTGTTTTGTTTTGTTTTGTATGAACGTTGAATTTGCAGTCGTTCTCCTGAGCTTTTTCCATGTTTCTTGTTGATTTATAGAAACCAGTAACCAGTGAAAGTGTCAGAATCAGAAATGTTGACATGACAATTGCATTGTTAAATATGGCTCCTTCAGTTACACCTGAAGAAAGAATTAAGTACGCTTCAATGTAAGTACCCATAGCTATATGTATTTGAAATATGGACCCCACTACCTATTTGTGCATGGTTCAGTAAAGTTCCCTAGTATTTGAAATGTATAAAACTGGCATATCTGCTTCTTCTTGAGTCTTGTCTATGACTATGGTGTTGTCTAACGTAATTCAATGTCTAGTCTCTAACTTTACTCATGTGCACGTGTCTAATTAGATGTACTGAGGAGTGAGGGCAAATCGGTGAAAATAACTCTATAGACTATTCCCAACGTATAACTATGTCATTCACAAGTTAATTTCCAAAAGACCAGAATCACATATAGCCTTTATATAGGTACCACCCTGTGTGCTGTTAACCTCAAGATCTCAAATTAGATAATCTACCTGGACAATTTGTTTGTTTTACTGAAATATTTGAAGAATAAAAATCATCTTAGCCTTGGCTAGCTAGGGTTTGCAAGGACCTGGCTTGCAATAATAATTAACAATACTGTTTTCGCCCTCACTCACTGAATTTTTTCATGTTCTGAACGAGGACAAACTGACTGTGGCATTGATAAATATCAAGATAGGAAGTACTGTATCAATATTTTGTACATTTTTTCAGCTATCAATCATTCAAAAACTCGAAGAAACCATCAACACAGAGAAAACCTGAAGTGATAACGCAACGAGCAACGCTAGCCTGACAGTCCTACACACTATAGCAGCTTTTTATAGTCAAGAACTAGTAAAATATAGGCTGATATGAGTACTCAAAATATTTACAAAGTCTGCTTCGTTGATATCCTATGCATGCTATGAAATAATCGTATTTTTAAATGTTGTTTTTCAGAATTGAGCCTTTGAGGTACAGCGAGCTAAAAAAAGGCTTTTATAAGAACCAAGTTATTCCCCCCCTCTCAAAATCTATTTAATTACTGCTTTATTTTCGTACGAAAGTTGATGACCACGATCTAACTCTAAGGCTTACGAGGTTTTTTCAGAAATTTCCTTTTCTTTTTAATTTTTGGCGTTTCTCTTGGGTGTAATGTCTTGATTTTAGTTTTAACGTAGGTAGCATCAAGTTTCCTTTTCTTTCCTCGCAAAACAGAAGTGTTCTTTTGGCTTTGCTCTTTATTTAGCTCGGTTTGGGAAGGTAAGTTTGAAACATTCCGATTAACACCACCTTGCATTTTGTTTTCACGAATACCTCGTGAAATGTCAGAAATTTCATGCCCGTTGTTGTTCCATACTTCTAGATATTGTTCTGGTAATGGAGGTATTTTGCACACAATGTATTCCATAAGATCTTTCAAAATGTTTGCAGTGATATTCTTCTGAAAACAGAAATTCAGGTAAAGAAGTTTTCTAATATTCATTTAGCAGCTATGGTGTTAATAGTGTTGCATAGGGGGTGGTGACCAGTGGCGTAGCCAGGGTAGAAAATTTGGGGGGGCGACTAGTGAGTGGGGAAGCCACAAACTATCAGGGGGGCTCCCCCGGGAAAATTTGGGATTTCTAATGCTTGGAAACGCCATTTCCCGCATTCTGATACAAGCTTTTAAAAGTAATCGTAAGGTCATAAATCACAAAATTCTGTCATTATTACATTAGATCAACAAACAATACGCATGAAAATCTCTTTAGATTTACTGATTACTGGTTGCTTACCTAACTTGATCCCCCCTCCTCATATTCCGCTGGATTCAAATATTTCATGAGAACGGTTTTAAAAACCATTGGGGGGGCGACCGCCCCCCTTTGCCCCCCATTGGCTACGCCCCTGGTGGTGACCAGTGCATGTTCTCAAAAAAGCTTGGCGTTTTAAATTACTTGAAAAACTACAAAAAAAATGCTTTGTGCTATGGCCCCCTAAGTCTGGAAAGATTCCTTAGTTAATTTAAGGCAATAATACCAAAGAGCTATCTCATATTGGTGTTTCAGTTGAGTAAATAACTATGCATAATTCAAATCACTACCTTAAAACCGCAAGCAGCTACAGTTTTTAATCCAAGAAGAGGAGCCATTACTTCACTAAGACCAAACACTGCACAACAAGGTGTTGATCTTGTAGCACTTAGTAACATCAAATGATTGCTTAGAATGGCAGGTTTTGTTGATCCACACACCTAAAAAACATTCACTCACATTTGAATTTTACTGTTTCAAAATCTTTTTAGTGAAGATATTATTAAAGATCACATATTGCAGTTTCTAGTAAATAGTACTCACCAAAACTAACATAAGATTATCCTTCTCCAAAGATTTTGTGACAGAATTGACACCAAAAACTAAGGAATTCTTTACCAATTCCCAAGATACAAACTGACTTTCGCCTTGTGACACATCTTTTGGCTTCTCTCTTTTGATTCCACCCGGGGGAAATACACTACCATATTCACAAAAACATTAACTTTAAAACATTAGTCATACTAATTTAAATCATGTAATTGACAATTAGGTAGATCAACACACTTGTTGCATGGGACAAGATGAAATGGAAATAAATGTTATATGATATATTTATATTTTTGTATAATTTTATACAAATTTTAAAGTAATAAATGGTAAATGTTTCTATTTTAAATAATGTGCATTGATGTTTTGAAGTCCGTACCTTATTATTCCATCAAGTATGTTTTTGTTATCACCTTTATCAAGTTTGGGCCTAAAGTTTTTGTATCAAGAGATGGAACCTAGTTAGCTTTTAGTTACTTTTGACATAAAGGATCCTTAGATCAACTATATCGTTAATAACAGGTGTATAAAGATTTTAATTATGCCAGTCTGATAGCACCTTTCCAGGTTAAACTAGTCAAACAATGTAATGACCACTGATTAATACAATTTACTTATCACATTTATTTAGTTGGTTCATGCAGTGGATTTAAATCTGGGACCATACATTTCAATGTCTATTTGTAAAAACTTGTTTTTATGGGCATTCATGTGCGGACAGGTTTTTGAGATGCAGAAACACAGCTATAGTTTTCAACTGATTATATTTAACAGCTACTTTATAAAATGTAAATCTAAAGTTATTTTAATATAGTGTTTAATCCACTTTAACATATTGTCACCCCCTAAGAAACTAACTTGTCTATTAATTATTTAAAGTAATGGCAATCAGAAATTTTACCGAGTCAATGAATATGGAGATGATAAGAAATTCTTTACTCCAGGCTTTTTCTTTGTTTTTGCCTGTTTTGTTATATGTTGAGTATCCATTCTCCAGTTCAATGTTCGGGTATATTTTACAATATGCAAACTAATTAAGTAAACCATAAATATGAAATTATAAACCAAATGTATGTATATAGTTTTATACGTGCGATTTCCTCTTCAACATTAACTAACGATACCAAATATTATCTCAACGTATCAACAACATCTCTGTATATCGACAACATTTCAAGGATATTGTTATGATCTTTCTGAAGCCATCATATTTCAACGTTTGAAAGCCTCGTTAAATGTTGATTCATATTCTTCGGCGAGCTGTGTAAATGCTCGGATGACGTCATCATCCCCTTTATCTGGAGCCAACTCAGCTAGCGAGACAGAAATGGACTTCAGAACCAACATAAAGTCTTTAACTAGATTATAAGCATCGCCATGCATTAAACCATTCTCGTTTACTAACGCTTTTTGGTTGCCATGGTTAAAGAAATCGTATGCGTAAGCGTTAAGGTCTACATTATCTTCCAAAGTGGGAATAACTTTAACATCCGTGTAGACCTAAATAAAATTACCACAAAAATTAATGAAAAGTTTAGCTCATCCTAACTAAGATATAGAAAATAAGATAAAAAAGATATATCATAACATTACTACGGCATTACTCATCAGTATATATTTTAATTATTCTTAACAGGGGAAAGCGGAGGAGAATGAAAGTTCCTATTGACATTTATGGAGAACAACCTCGTACCCAGGGTTTTAGAAAGCTAAAGCTTTCGAATCTTTGAAGAGTACTCGCAAAACACCCAACTTGAATGAGTATAAAGGAAATAACATCGTCACATGTCATGTCACGTGTATAATACCAGATTTCCTCAAGCGGACAAGGATTAAAAAATAAGCGGTGACTGTGTCTGTGATCATACATACCTGATATCGAATATTAGATAGAAGATCCTGGGAACTATACAGCTTGGTGTCTGAGTTGCCAGATAATGCTGCGAACGCAGAACATGCTTTATACGGAATAGCAATAGACTTTAGTTTATCTTCTAATGTTACTGCTGGTGACGGAACAACGTAACTCTCAGATGAAATCAGCTTTGTGCGGGATAATGGTAATGTGACATCTTCTCCTAAAGTGTCGTAGACATGACCAGCCACTGTACGCAGGTACAGATCAAACACATCGCGAACTTTTTTGTTGTATTTCTGAAGACCAATTTTGAACTTTGCTGGTAAGTCTTCCAGTAGAACTTTAGATGTGCTGCGGTTACGACGTAATACTATTTTGTGCAGTTTACGTCGAGCAAACAGATGACTTAACAAAACTACCAGGGATTTCAAGAAATCTTTGGAGAATGTGCCATCTAAGAATGGAAATTTATTTTTAAATGTGGAATGTGAATGTATAAAATATTTGAAGCAACCATAAAACTGTCCGCCGAACAAGTTGTTGAGGCTCAAAGTATTGAAAGTTTGTCTTTATTGACCACCACGGCCGTTCTCGGCGAGTCCATTTACTGTTCAGCGCAAAATCATCTCTGGAATTTGCATTGCGTTTCACGTGTCAAGACGTCAGGTCAAAATTCTAAGTTTACAAATTTGTGCCTACTCTATCACAAACAGTTTAGCGAATGCTAAAGCAAATGTTCAGTTTAAAGTTTATGCTTTAGAAAATATTTTGGGATGATGTTAACCCATTCTGACAATTCTAATTAATTGGGGGTAACATATTTCATATATTTGTCTTATGCCCGACTGATTTTTTTTGTTAGTTATTGTTTCTACGGTTGTACGCCAACATGAATATATGAATATACACCCCCTGATCCAATTAAGCTTCTAGCGACGGCCCTGCTTAGGTAAAGCTTACTTACCACGTGATCTAGCACTGCGACATATATCATGAAAAAGTCCATCACGTAAGAATGTGACCAAGATGAAATTAGAAGGTTCGTGATAATGAAGGTGGGTGGCCAAACCAGCTAAACCTTGAGGATGACCCTTCTCATTAAGCAGTCCCTACAATTGGACACAAACAAAGTTACGGATCAAAAAAATGCGTCGACGGAACAATGTTCTGCAAATGATAGATAAATTTTCATGTTTCCCCATACGCTGTGCAGAAATGCTTCATCCGGCATATTGCTAATAATAATAATAATAATAATAATAATAATAATAATAATAATAATAATAATAATGATAATAAACATTGATTTTAATGCGCTAATACTGAGTAATAGTGAAATATTCTAGATTTGCCTTGTTTGACATCGATCACGATATTGATCACAATGGTTATAACAACATAAAAACAAGGGATATAGGGAAAACGCATTTGTAATATAGTGTAATGATTAGTTACTTTGCTGTCTCAGTTGCATACCTGGCGTACCAACAATTCTACACTGAAGAGAAAGTGATGTTTCAACTGAAGATCAAGTTCAGGTTGATTCTTACAAATCAGCGGATTCTGAAGAAGTGCTAAAACTTGACTCATAGCAATTTCACGTTCTTTCACATTATTCACGAGAAGAAGCAAGCGCAACACCAATGACACATTCAGAGGAAAATTTCCAATGATACGAGGCAGGCTGACTGTCATAAGACGCTGGATCTTTGCTTGAGGTATGCCGAAGAAAAGGACATGTCCAATCCGATCATAACCACGCCGTCCTGCTCTACCAGAGATCTGATGATACTGAAGAGTATTAAGAAACACGGAGTCGTCCGCAAACACGGCCGTCTTACATGGCATATGAATTCCTAGTGCCAATGTCCCAGTAGCGAACACAACTCTTAAAAATTTCTTTCGAAACAACATTTCGACAACACCACGCTGTTTGCCTGGCATTCCGGCGTGATGGTAACTAATTCCACGTCTTAGTCCTTCCTTAAAGACTTCATCAACGCTAATGCCCTTCGATTTTTCCAACCTCTCAACGATGACCTGAGCATCTTGATCATCTAGAACACCTATCCCAGCGTAACTACAACTTTCTGATGGAGCATTATCAAATAGGAAACATGCCGTTTCAGCGGTTGTCTTTTTTTGACGATGGAACGAATCATGCCCAGATGATTCAGTCTTTCGCATCACCTCGACCTCCTCTTCTCTATCACGTTGTCGTTTTTCCAATTTTGCTTTTATTCGCTCTTGTTTTTCTTTATCTTTAGCTTTACCTTTACGAAGCTCTTCCTCCTTTGCCTGTAGGCGATGTATTAATCTCTCAGCAAACCGTTCGCACAAATTCCGATCAAAACTAAAAACTATAACAGGTAGTTGGTCTTTTTCCTTCAATTCTTCGACAAGTGGGAAAATCTGGGAAGCGAGAGCATCTCTTTTTGATATTTTTGAATCCGACCAATCTATCGCACGACTTGGAGATAGACTATCAATAACCTTTTCCACTCGCTTATCATTATTGTTGACGTAGCTCATAAACTCATCTTTCAAAGCATTTTCATACGATCTAACGCTTTGTTTTGTGATGAATGTTTCATCCTGAAAGTGGGACTCTGGAGTCAGTCTCAATAAAGAATCCTCTTCATTGAAAACCTTCTGGAATGCATCGTAGAAAGCCAAAGTTTCTCTTGGCGAAAGACTCACATGTGCGGGGAATGTACCTGAATGCTTCAGCTGACGAGAGGTTATTACTGAACACGGATGAATATGCTCAATCATCGGCTTGGACTGGCCTGGTAGATAATTGAACTTCTCGAGATCATTATATCTTTCGTTGTACGTTATGAGGTCGACTTTATAGGATTTTGGTGCATTTGGACGAATTGTGTTGTTTCTAGTGTCACGATAATGTTTATCATTTTCAGCATTTTGCAACCAGCTATGAAGATCGTCCGGATTCCTGATAGTCGCAGATAAGGCCAGGAATGGACAGCGAATCATGAGCAAGAGATGTTCCCATACCTCAGCCCCAATCTCTGAACCAATACAATGAACTTCATCAAATACAACATATCTGATCTTCTCAACCCAATCTTGTCTGGCAGGGGAGAGAAGTAAAATCTCAAGGCATTGGGGAACTGTGACGAGAATTTGACATGTAAGGGCGTTTTGACGAAAATCACGAGTGAACACACCATAAACACTTTTTCCTGGAGGCATTTTCTTTTTGTATCTGTGAAAAAGTAGTTTAATAATGAAATGATAAGATAATAAAAGATAGTTTAAAATGTTTAAAATGAAAAACGAGGTAATAAATAAACCAAGCAGATTTAAAGCAGTAACTATTTCATTTCTAGCAAGAAACAACTACGGATTTAAAAAAAAATCACCACAGTCAACGATATTTCGCTACAGTACCTTACACAACAGGTTGCTGCAACTTGATTGACCAAAGCTTTAGTCGGCGAGACGTAAACAACGACACCGTCATTATCCTCTTTCAACACTTGTTCAATGCAATAAAACGATGCAAATGTTTTCCCAGAAGATGTTGGTGCGACAATCAACGCTGACTGCTTGTTATCAACTGCATCCAACATCTTTCTTTGCCATGTTTCGGGAATAAAATGATCAATTCTATTGTCCCGATCAGTCCGTGATTCTCTCTTTAACTGATCGCCAAGGTTGTGCAGTTGGAATCTGGAGCTTGATGTTCTCAAACTGTATTCATCGTTAGCTTCGAATTCCTTTGTTGTCAAATTCATCTTCACCACAATATTATTGAAACCAATCGCGTCAAGGTACTCACCAAGAGTATCTTTATTTTTATTCGAGAGATCTTCTTTATAGTTTTCAACTAAATCTTGTACCGTAAGAAAGAGACTCTCGGCCCTACTTCCATCTCGATCGTCTTCCTCATTTGTATGACAATAATCCTTCCACATCTCCCACAAGATTCGTGCTCTCGTTAGCTGTACATCAATTTTTATCTTTCGCTTGTTTACTCCTTTAAGAAAGCGATCGAGTTCCTGAAGTGCTTTGTCAAGTTTTCCTTCGTCTTTGTACTGTTGAACTTTTTCTTTCTCGCTCGTCCACGAATTCTCTTCTTTTCTCAGTTCCTTTTCCTCTATCGTCTGGGAATTATCTTGTTGAATAGCTAGGGCTTTCTGTGAAATCTTGCTCGTTTTCTTGTGACTCTTGATTGTTGTATCCTTAACGACAATTGGCTTGTAGGTTACTTCACCATGCAATGACTGTCCATATCTCTGCATAAATCTTGCATATTTATCTTGATTACTGTTGTTACTCTCTGCTGTTCTTTTATACTCATCAGTGAGTGGCCTTTCGGAATGCCAATGATATTTCTCGTCAAAATTATTTCCGCTCACAACTAAAGCTGCGACATCTGGATCCTTTATATCGAGCTTCCTTACTGATGTATTCTCAAGAATCTTCCCTGCGTATTCATTCAACAACAAGCACTCCATTTTGATCAAACCATCTTTACTCTCCTTCACGTATTTCATCTCTAGCACACCATGTTTGAAATCTACATTCTTTACCTGCGTAGAATCAGCCAAGTGTTTCTCAAGACAATGGATGATAGGAAACGCTTCAAGTTTTTCCTCATCGTCTAGCAAAGATGATGCAACCTTGACGAGAGATTCGTACTTTCGTTTTGAAATATCGGACAATTCAAGATCACTTCCATTCGCCTTGCTTGTTACCAACAGCAATAAAACTTGATAAAACAACCGTCCATCCCAAGCATCGCATACTCCTTTCATCGACCGAGGAGAGTCTTCATCTTTTGATTCTTGGATAAATACATCAAGAACTTCTGCCATGATAAACTGCAATTTTCCAAGGCTTTCTTTCAACCGACTCTCCACCGTTGTATTCTTAAACACACGTTTAAAGTCATCCAGAGAAAATGATCTGTACTTCAATGAAACTTGTGTGAGTATTACACCATGAATAAACAGAACACGGATGATATCATGGTGAAAATCTTGATTTCCGGGACCTTCACTAAATAATTTTAGATATACACCAGCTGTTACTGAGTGAAGGAGAAGACGACAATCATTAGCGCCAACCTCATCTTGACATTCTGTATTAAACATGGAGGAGACGGATTTCAAACTCACCACAGCACGATGAATGTCCTGTGTTAAACTGCTAGAGGATACAAACGCTCTGGTTACTCGGGACCCGTCTGGCGTAGGTAGTTTCCATTCTCTAAATCTTTGGGAATGCATGATATGGAAACCGTTAAGAGTGGATGTACCAAACTCTATGCCATAAGTAAACGCACAATTCATTTCTAAGCTGAGAACTTTCAAAAAATGAAGAACGAAGATTCTAAGAGCATTCTCAGGAATCAATCTTTGTCTTTCGGGTTCATGTAAGATTTCACCATCAGAAAGAAGCATAAATGATGGGGAATATTTCTTTATGTAACTAAAAAAATTAGGATCCCAAGGACTCTCAAAATCAAACAGAACCTTAAAGCTGACATTTGCAAGAAGATGTTGCAAGATAATTTTACGTGCAAGGTAAACACATGGCTGCGATTTCCACACGTTTTCAAAATTCTTGAAGAAGATGATTTGAAAAATGCCATCTTTACGGACAAAGAAATGCAGGTATCGTTCAAAAAGGTATACCAGATGCAATATTTGACCGCTATAAGTCCAATCTAAATCCTTTTCTAAAGCAAGTTCCATTAACAACGAGTCTCCATCAATAAGAAACATTTCCGCATCAGCAAATTCATTCATAAGATTTAACATTTTTGGTTGCAATTCTTTGATAAATATTTCCAGATCGCGGATTCTTTCATCTGAATATGAAAAATATAACGATGATAATTATATTATTGGGATTTTTTAAAAAAGTTTGTTTTCCCTGATTGAAAAGAACTGATGAGAATGTGTAATGAATATAAATATAATTTATGAATGTTAGCCGTGCGGGTCCGTTCCTTGCCAGTAAATTAACTGCGGCCAGTTGTACAACAAAGGCTGCATATCGTATCCACATTCCACCGGATAGTGTTTTTTCAACCGTTCTAAAAATGCTCGAAAAGCGATAAAATTTCATCTTTGGAACCAACAATTATTAAAGAGGATCCTCGATTTAGGAATACTAAGATTTTATCAAAATTATATAGCAAACAACGGGCTATTTAAGCGACTGAAAAATCACTATCCGGTGGATAGCGTTATCCGGCTTTCATACAACCACCCCTAGTAGTATAAACGGAACTTGTTGTATATATGGATGGATTGACCGCATACCATAATCATCATAATCCTCTTCGGATGAACTGCTGGGTATGCTGCTCATTGACATTGTGATTTGTGAGTTCTTCTTGAAATTTCAGCTAGAAAAATGACTGAAAGGTCATTATAACATTGTGACTTTGTGCACTATTAAATAGCCCCGTTTACACTACACTTAAGCCCTGTTTACACTATAGTCAATTTATCGGCACGGCACGGCTAAAATTGGTACCCTCACCCAATTTTATTAGTGTTCAGACTACCAAAACAAAGGCAGAGCACAGATGAAATGAGTACGGGTACCTATTTTAGCCGTGCCATTAAATCGATTGCACAGGCATGAGTCAAGATTTAAGGCAACGTAGCTAGAGCGTCCACGCCAAATTGTTTAATTGTTCAAAAATGTAAATAAACCGCATGATACATTCGCCTTTGGAATTCGCAGTTATATAGTTATATTAAATCTTCGATCCTGTGCAAACAACGCGACGTGTCAACGCGCCCATCATCATCTTGTTAAACGGCGAAATAGCAGCGATATTATTAAAATAGGACCGGAATCTATACATGTATTAAATATATTCTTACCCCAATTCAATCTAAACTTTACTTAATCGAACAGCATGAAAAGAACGGTTTATTTCATTTGTTCCTCTTGGAGAAATTGCCGCGAAATCGAATCGCGCATTGGAAAATTAGCGAAAGCTGTGCACCACAACTCTTGGGAGATAAGACTGGGACGTAGATAAATACGGTTACATACACACGTCAAATACAAGTATATTTCTATGAGGTGTGATATCCGCCAATATTACCTCATTCACTTTTGAAATTAAGCGTTCAATAATTAAATGCAGACATTCAATTACACGATTTTAGATGCGTTTTTGCAATGAAAGCTGTTTCCTGTTCGGAATTTCATTCAGAACAATTTCATTCTAAGCAATTTCATTCGTGAGAATTTCATTATGACCAATTTCATTCGGAGAAATTTCATTATGAACAATTTCATTATGAACAATTTCATTATGAACAATTTCATTATGAACAATTTCATTATGACCAATTTCATTATGAACAATTTCATTATGAGCAATTTCAGTCTTGAGAATTTCATTATGACCAATTTCATTATGAACAATTTCATTATGACCAATTTCATTATGAACAATTTCATTATGACCAATTTCATTCGGAACAATTTCATTATGACCAATTTCATTATGAACAATTTCATTATGAACAATTTCATTATGACCAATTTCATTCGGAGAAATTTCATTATGAACAATTTCATTATGACCAATTTCATTATGAACAATTTCATTATGACCAATTTCATTCGGAACAATTTCATTATGAACAATTCCATTATGAACAATTTCATTATGAGCAATTTCAGTCTTGAGAATTTCATTATGACCAATTTCATTATGAACAATTTCATTATGACCAATTTCATTATGAACAATTTCATTATGACCAATTTCATTCGGAACAATTTCATTATGACCAATTTCATTATGAACAATTTCATTATGAACAATTTCATTATGACCAATTTCATTCGGAGAAATTTCATTATGAACAATTTCATTATGACCAATTTCATTATGAACAATTTCATTATGACCAATTTCATTCGGAACAATTTCATTATGAACAATTCCATTATGAACAATTTCATTCGGAACAATTTCATTTGGAGCAATTTCATTTGATTTGGAATGCCAAAGAGAAACTCATAAACACAAAAAAAGATGACGGATGCTATTCAACGTGAAACATGGCGGAGGCTTATGCAATCCAAGGAAATCGCCAGCAAATAAGAGCAGAACTCTCAAATATTCTCAACACAACAATAAAAGGCATTAATAAGACAATAGTAATAAGACATTATTAAATGTAATCTTCGACCACGACGATAAGGGAAAATTTCGGGCCGTAAGAAGCGCCGATAAACTCATAAAAGCACATTGTTTGCCTCTCGAGTAAATACTAAAAAGTTCATCACCTTGATGGAAATGGGCAGAAAGGAAAAAAACCATACTTACTTGGCAGTTTGATAAAACTTCAAAAACCCGCTCGATTGGCTCGAAGATTGTTGGGCTCCTCCTACTGCGCAATTCTGTAAAAACGACCCTTTTTGTGTGGCTTCGTTTAGGCTCTTCTAACGTCCGGGATCGTCGGGTCGTTTGGGGGGACAGCTCTTTACAAATACTCACAGAACACACACATATATTTATAACTCTTTATTCGTGCTTCGGTGCTTGAGATGTGCTCTCCTCGTGCTCCTGTATCAACTAACTGTTTTGTGCTTAATCATACTGTGCTATATCGCTACATGATATCCCTTTTCAATAACCCATTGTGCATTGTTCATTGTGCATATTACGTGTATCATGTTTCCTATATTACAATTCCTTGTTAAGTTTTCCTTGACGGCCCTACTACACACGAGCATTTTTCTTTGTTGAAAAGCTGGCATGACTAGCTTTTGCACAAGGCCTTGTCAAGGAAAACTTGTCAATTTTTTGCGTACACATGCACGAGCAAATGAAGGCTTGGAAAAGAAAATTTGTCAAGGAAAACTTGCCAGTCCGTATGGGGCTAAGGGCTTAAAACCCCAGTTCCCAGTACCACTACACCAGTACCCACTCAATACGCCACATTATTTTACTGAGTGCCATACAAATTTCAATATCAAATAAATCTGTTCCGAATAATGAAATTGGTCATAATGAAATTGTTCCGAATGAAATTAGTCATAATGAAATTCTCAAGACTGATGAAATTGCTCAGAATGAAATTGTTCTGAATGAAATGCTTTCATTGCAAAAACGCATCTTTAAATCGTGTGATTGAATGTCTGTATTTAATAATTTGAACCCTTAATTTCAAAAGTGAATGAGGTAATATTGGCGGATATCACACCTCATATATTTCGCGCCATTACACACTTGCGACGACAAAAAATAAAAAAACAAAAACAAAAACAAAACACGCCGGAGTAAAAATGTAAAAGAAAAGGTCCACTAGGCAAACAAATATAGATTCTCATACCTTATATAGATCCTCGTATCAATTTGTAGTTTGAAAAAATAAGATTTTTGATATCTTTAGTCGAGACTCCAGATAAGCCGGTATCGTGCGAAGAAGGGCGTCTCATAAAATAGCTCAGTGGGCGTCTCCGTGTCCGTCGGTCACATGATCAAGAAAATTTTCCTGGAAACCAGTGCTGGAAATGCAAAAGTTGTTGATTTTATCGTACACCATTTCCTACACCAAGTATTCCGTAACTGAGAGAACAAAGACACAGGCAAAGAAGGGGGATATCGTATTGTATCAATTAAAAAGGTTTGAAAGGGAGTTTATTTTGTTGAAGAAAGGTTCAAACATGAATGTGAATGAAATGGATGCAAAAATTTTAAATCCTTTGAAAGTGTTGGCCAAAGATAACAAACTATGTTGTGAGGGGTCAGAAGGAACGGAAGAAATTGCCATATAAACACTCCATCCCGCTTGGCCGGGATGATTCGCGATTAACATACATTATGAGCATGTGTATATATTGGCATACTCGTTTTCTACAATAAAACATGCCGTCGAAGGAACCTGCACTACAAAATGAACTCCATATAAACACGCCATCCCGCCTAGGCGAGTTTCCCCGCTAAGCGGGATGAAAAAATTCCCGTCCCGGGTAGACGGCGAACATATAAACAGGCCCTTAGGTTAATTAATGCGTTCACTTATTCCATATGCTTCCTATACCCATGAGATATTTAGGCAACTTCTGTCACTTACAGCCGCTATGCGGCTAATTTGAATTTCAAAGGTGTCGGGGTTTTTTCACTCACCCTATAGTTATATTAAATCTTTAATCCTGTGCAAACTGTGACGTGTCAAGGCGCCCATACACGACCACATCTTGTTAAACGGCGAAATAGCAGCGATATTATTAAAATAGGACCAGAATCTATATGTATAAATAAATAATATTCTTACCTTAAGAATATATTTAATACTGCATGTAGATTCTGGTTCATTCTGGCTCATTCATTCAAAAGAACGGTTTATTTGTTTCTCTTGCCGTACACGTATCATGCGAGCAAAATCAAATCGCGCGTCGGAAAATTAGCCAAAGCTGTCCACCACAACTCTTGGTGTGACGTAGATAAATACAGTCACATACACTTTTCAAATACTAGTTTATTTTGCGCTTAAACACACTTGCAACGACGAAAAATAAAAAAAAACAATAACAAAACAAAACCTAGGCGAATTTTCAACTCCGTCGCTCACGCCGGAGTAAAAATGTAAAAGAAAAGGTCCACTAGGCAAACAAATATAGATTCTCATACCTTACATAGATCCTCGTATCAATTTGTAGTTTGAAAAAATAAGATTTTTGATATCTTTAGTCGAGACTCCAGATAAGCCGGTATCGTGCGAAGAAGGGCGTCTCATAAAATAGCTCAGTGGGCGTCTCCGTGTCCGTCGGTCACATGATCAAGAAAATTTTCCTGGAAACCAGTGCTGGAAATGCAAAGTTGTTGATTTTATCGTACACCATTTCCTACACCAAGTATTCCGTAACTGAGAGAACAAAGACACAGGCAAAGAAGGGGGATATCGTATTGTATCAATTAAAAAGGTTTGAAAGGGAGTTTATTTTGTTGAAGAAAGGTTCAAACATGAATGTGAATGAAATGGATGCAAAAATTTTAAATCCTTTGAAAGTGTTGGCCAAAGATAACAAACTATGTTGTGAGGGGTCAGAAGGAACGGAAGAAATTGCCATATAAACACTCCATCCGCTTGGCCGGGATGATTCGCGATTAACTACATTATGAGCATGTGTATATATTGGCATACTCGTTTTCTACAATAAAACATGCCGTCGAAGGAACCTGCACTACAAATGAACTCCATATACACGCCATCCCGCCTAGGCGAGTTTCCCCGCTAAGCGGGATGAAAAATTCCCGTCCCGGGTAGACGGCGAACATATAAACAGGCCTAGGTTAATTAATGCGTTCACTATTCCATATGCTTCCTATACCATGAGATATTTAGGCAACTTCTGTCATTACAGCCGCTATGCGGCTAATTTGAATTTCAAAGGTGTCGGGGTTTTTTCACTCACCCTATAGTTATATTAATCTTTTCCTGTGCAAACTGTGACGTGTCAAGGCGCCCATACACGACCACATTGTTAAACGGCGAATAGCAGCGATATTATTAAAATAGGACCAGATCTATATGTATAAATATATTCTTACCTTAAGAATATTTTAATACTGCATGTAGATTCTGGTTCATTCTGGCTCATTCATTCAAAAGAACGGTTTATTTGTTTCTCTTGCCGTACACGTATCATGCGAGCAAAATCAAATCGCGCGTCGGAAAATTAGCCAAAGCTGTCCACCACAACTCTTGGTGTGACGTAGATAAATACAGTCACATACACTTTTCAAATACTAGTTATTTGCGCTTAACACACTTGCAACGACGAAAAATAAAAAACAATAACAAAACAACCTAGGCGAATTTTAACTCCGTCGCTCACGCCGGAGTAAAAATGTAAAAGAAAAGGTCCACTAGGCAAACAAATATAGTTCTCACCTTACATAGATCCTCGTATCAATTTGTAGTTTGAAAAATAAGATTTTTGATATCTTTAGTCGAGACTCCAGATAAGCCGGTATCGTGCGAGAGGGCGTCTCATAAAATAGCTCAGTGGGCGTCTCCGTGTCCGTCGGTCACATGATCAAGAAAATTTTCCTGGAAACCAGTGCTGGAAATGCAAAGTTGTTGATTTTATCGTACACCATTTCCTACACCAAGTATTCCGTAACTGAGAGAACAAAGACACAGGCAAAGAAGGGGGATATCGTATTGTATCAATTAAAAAGGTTTGAAAGGAAAGGGAGTTTATTTTGTTGAAGAAAGGTTCAAACATGAATGTGAATGAAATGGATGCAAAAATTTTAAATCCTTTGAAAGTGTTGGCCAAAGATAACAAACTATGTTGTGAGGGGTCAGAAGGAACGGAAGAAATTGCCATATAAACACTCCATCCCGCTTGGCCGGGATGATTCGCGATTAACATACATTATGAGCATGTGTATATATTGGCATATTCGTTTTCTACAATAAAACATGCCGTCGAAGGAACCTGCACTACAAAATGAACTCCATATAAACACGCCATCCCGCCTAGGCGAGTTTCCCCGCTAAGCGGGATGAAAAAATTCCGGCCGTCCCGGGTAGACGGCGAACATATAAACAGGCCCTTAGGTTAATTAATGCGTTCACTTATTCCATATGCTTCCTATACCCATGACACAGAGAAAACCTGAAGTGATAACGCAACGAGCAACGCTAGCATGACAGTCCTACACACTATAGCAGCTTTTTATAGTCAAGAACTAGTAAAATATTTACAAAGTCTGCTTCGTTGATATCCTATGCATGCTATGAAATAATCGTATTTTTAAATGTTGTTTTTCAGAATTGAGCCTTTGAGGTACAGCGAGCTAAAAAAAGGCTTTTATAAGAACCAAGTTATTCCCCCCCTCTCAAAATCTATTTAATTACTGCTTTATTTTCGTACGAAAGTTGATGACCACGATCTAACTCTAAGGCTTACGAGGTTTTTTCAGAAATTTCCTTTTCTTTTTAATTTTTGGCGTTTCTCTTGGGTGTAATGTCTTGATTTTAGTTTTAACGTAGGTAGCATCAAGTTTCCTTTTCTTTCCTCGCAAAACAGAAGTGTTCTTTTGGCTTTGCTCTTTATTTAGCTCGGTTGGGAAGGTAAGTTTGAAACATTCCGATTAACACCACCTTGCATTTTGTTTTCACGAATATCTCGGGAAATGTCAGAAATTTCATGCCCGTTGTTGTTCCATACTTCTAGATATTGTTCTGGTAATGGAGGTATTTTGCACACAATGTATTCCATAAGATCTTTCAAAATGTTTGCAGTGATATTCTTCTGAAAACAGAAATTCAGGTAAAGAAGTTTTCTAATATTCATTTAGCAGCTATGGTGTTAATAGTGTTGCATAGGGGGTGGTGAGTGGTGACCAGTGCATGTTCTCAAAAAAGCTTGGCGTTTTAAATTACTTGAAAAACTACACAAAAAATGCTTTGTGCTATGGCCCCCTAAGTGTGGAAAGATTCCTTGGTTAATTAAAGGCAATAATACCAAACAGCTATCTCATATTGGTGTTTCAGTTGAGTAAATAACTATGCATAATTCAAATCACTACCTTAAAACCGCAAGCAGCTACAGTTTTTAATCCAAGAAGAGGAGCCATTACTTCACTAAGACCAAACACTGCACAACAAGGTGTTGATCTTGTAGCACTTAGTAACATCAAATGATTGCTTAGAATGGCAGGTTTTGTTGATCCACACACCTACAAAACATTCTCTCACATTTGAATTTTACTCTTTCAAAATCTTTTTAGTGAAGATGTTATTAAATATCACATATTGCAGTTTCTAGTAAAGAGTACCCACCAAAACTAACATAAGATTATCCTTCTCCAAAGATTTTGTGACAGAATTGACACCAAAAACTAAGGAATTCTTTGCCAATTCCCAAGACACAAATTGACTTTCGCCTTGTGACACATCTTTTGGCTTCTCTCTTTTGATTCCACCCGGGGGAAATACACTACCATATTCACAAAAACATTAACTTTAAAACATTAGTCATACTAATTCAAATCATGTAATTGACAATTAGGTAGATCAACACACTTAAAAATAAATGTTATATGATATCTTTTATATTTTTGTATAATTTTATACAAATTTTAAAGTAATAAATGGTAAATGTTTCTATTTTAAATAATGTGCATTGATGTTTTGAAGTCTGTACCTTATTATTCCATCAAGTATGTTTTTGTTATCACCTTTATCAAGTTTGGGCCTAAAATTTTTGTATCAGGAGATGGAAACTAGTTAGCTTTTAGTTACTTTTGACATAAAGGATCCTTAGATCAACTATATCATTAATAACAGGTGTATAAGATTTAATGCCAGTTTGATAGCACCTTTCCGGGTTAAACTAGTCAAACAATGTAATGACCACTGATTAATACAATTTACTTATCACATTTGATTAGTTGGTTCATGCAGTGGATTCAAATCTGGGACCATACATTTCAATGTCTATTTGTAAAAACTTGTTTTTATTGGCATTAATGTGCAGACAGGTTTTTGGGATGCAAAAACACAGTTTTAGTTTTCAACTGATTATATTTAAGAGCTACTTTATAAAATGTAGATCTAAAGTTATTTTAATATAGTGTTTTATCCACTTTAACGTCATATTGTCACCCTAAGAAACTAACTTGTCTATTAATTATTTTTAAAGTAATGGCAATCAGAAATTTTACCGAGTCAATGAATATGGAGATGATAAGAAATTCTTTACTCCAGGCTTTTTCTTTGTTTTTGCCTGTTTTGTTATATGTTGAGTATACATTCTCCAGTTCAATGTTCGGGTATATTTTACAGTATGCCAACTAAACTAAACCACAAATATGAAATTAACCAAATATATATATTTATATTAATATATTATATATTATATTATATATATATATATTATTTATATTTATATATATATATATTATATATATATATTTATATATATATATATATATATATATATAGTTTTCTACGCGCGATTTCTTTTTACTAAATATTATCTCAACGTATCTACTACATCTCTGTATATCGACCACATTTCAAGGATATTGTTATGATCTTTCTGAAGCCATCATATTTCAACGTTTGAAAGCCTCGTTAAATGTTGATTCATATTCTTCGGCGAGCTGTGTAAATGCTTGGATGACGTCATCATCCTCTTTATCCGGAGCCAACTCAGTTAGCGAGACAGAAATGGACTTCAGAACCAACATAAAGTCTTTAACTAGATTATAAGCATCGCCTTGCATTAAACCATTCTCGTTTACTAACGCTTTTTGGTTGCCATGGTTAAAGAAATCGTATGCGTAAGCGTTAAGGTCTACATTATCCTCCAAAGTGGGAATAACTTTAACATCCGTGTAGACCTAAATAAAATTACCACAAAAATGAATGAAAAGTTTAGCTCATCCTAACTGAGGTATAGGAAATAAGATAAAAAACATATATCATAACATTACTACTGCATTACTCATCAGTATATATTTTGATTATTCTCAAAAGGGGAAAGCGGAGGAGTATGAAAGTTCCTATTGACATTTATGGAGAACAACCTCGTACCCTGCAGGGTTTTAGAAAGCTAAAGCTTTCGAATCTTTGAAGAGTACTCGCAAAACACCCAACTTGAACGAGTATAAAGGAAATGGCATCGTCACATGTCATGTCACGTGTATATTACCAGATTTCCTCAAGGACAAGGGGTCAAAATCACCGGTGACTGTGTCTGTGATCATACATACCTGATATCGAATATTAGATAGAAGATCCTGGGAACTATACAGCTTGGTGTCTGAGTTGCCAGATAATGCTGCGAACGCAGAACATGCTTTATACGGAATAGCAATAGACTTTAGTTTATCTTCTAATGTTACTGCTGGTGACGGAACAACGTAACTCTCAGATGAAATCAGCTTAGTGCGGGATAATGGTAATGTGACATCTTCTCCTAAAGTGTCGTAGACATGACCAGCCACTGTACGCAGGTACAGATCAAACACATCGCGAACTTTTTTGTTGTATTTCTGAAGACCAATTTTGAACTTTGCTGGTAAGTCTTCCAGGAGAACTTTAGATGTGCTGCGGTTACGACGTAATACTATTTTGTGTAGTTTACGTCGAGCAAATAGATGACTTAACAAAACTACCAGGGATTTCAAGAAATCTTTGGAGAATGTGCCATCTAAGAATGGAAATTTATTTTTAAATGTGGAATGTGAATGTATAAAATATTTGAAGCAACCATAAAACTGTCCGCCGAACAAGTTGTTGAGGCTCAAAGTATTGAAAGTTTGTCTTTATTGACCACCACGGCCGTTCTCGGCGAGTCCATTTACTGTTCAGCGCAAAATCATTTCTGGATTTTGCATTGCGTTTCACATGTCAAGACGTCAGGTCAAAATTCTAAGTTCACAAATTTGTGCCTACTCTATCACAAACAGTCAAACATTGTAGCGAAAGCTAAAGCAAATGTTCAGTTTAAAGTTTATACTTTAGAAAATATTTTGGGGTATGACAATTCTAACCCATTCTGACAATTCTAATTAATTGGGGGTAATATATTCATATATTTGTCTTATGCCCGACTGATTTCTTTTGCTAGCTATTGTTTCTATACGGTCGTACGAACATGAATTTAACAAATAGATTACAATGAACCGTTGTCTGTTCAGTTATAGATACACGGTATGACGTCATATGTGATAAGAACAAAAAAAGTGGCCACGAGCCGCCGGGGCGAGTGGTCACTCTTTTGTTCTTATCACATAGGACGTCATACCGTGTATCTATAACTGAACAGACAACGGTTCATTGTAATCTATTTGTTTTATATAATAAAACTGAAAAAAATCCAAAATTAAACCGGTAAAAAGAAAATTGCTGTGACGTCATTCCGTGCGTCTGTCCTCTTATAGATCATGGCTCTCGACCAATGAAATTGCTTGAATTCTTTACGTTATTATATAAATATGAATATACACCTCCTGGTCCAATTAAGCTTCTAGCGACGGCCCTGCTTTGGTAAAGCTTACTTACCACGTGATCTAGCACTGCGACATATATCATGAAAAAGTCCATCACGTAAGAATGTGACCAAGATGAAATTAGAAGGTTCGTGATAATGAAGGTGGGTGGCCAAACCAGCTAAACCTTGAGGATGACCCTTCTCATCAAGCAGTCCCTACAATTGGACATAAACAAAGTTACGAATCAAAAAAATGCGTCGACGGAACAATGTTCTGCAAATGATAGATAAATTTTCATGTTTCCCCGTACGCTGTGCAGAAATGCTTCATCCGGCATATTGCTAATAATAATAATAATAATAATAATAATAATAATAATAATAATAATAATAATAATAATAATAATAAACATTGATTTTAATGCGCTAATACTGAGTAATAGTGAAATATTCCAGATTTGCCTTGTTTGACATCGATCACAATATTGATCACAATGGTTATAACAACATAAAAACAAAGGATATGGGGAAAACGCATTTGTAATATAGTGTAATGATTAGTTACTTTGCTGTCTCAGTTGCATACCTGGCGTACCAACAATTCTACACTGAAGAGAAAGTGATGTTTCAACTGAAGATCAAGTTCAGGTTGATTCTTACAAATCAGCGGATTCTGAAGAAGTGCTAAAACTTGACTCATAGCAATTTCACGTTCTTTCACATTATTCACGAGAAGAAGCAAGCGCAACACCAATGACACATTCAGAGGAAAATTTCCAATGATACGAGGCAGGCTGACTGTCATAAGACGCTGGATCTTTGCTTGAGGTATGCCGAAGAAAAGGACATGTCCAATCCGATCATAACCACGCCGTCCTGCTCTACCAGAGATCTGATGATACTGAAGAGTATTAAGAAACACGGAGTCGTCCGCAAACACGGCCGTCTTACATGGCATATGAATTCCTAGTGCCAATGTTCCAGTAGCGAACACAACTCTTAAAAATTTCTTTCGAAACAACATTTCGACAACACCACGCTGTTTGCCTGGCATCCCGGCGTGATGGTAACTAATTCCACGTCTTAGTCCTTCCTTAAATACTTCATCAACACTAATAATGCCCTTCGGTTTTTCCAACCTCTCAACGATGACCTGAGCATCTTGATCATCTAGAACACCTATCCCAGCATAACTACAACTTTTTGGTGGAGCATTATCAAATAAGAAACATGCCGTCTCAGCGGTTGTCTTTTTTTGACGATGAAACGAATCATGCCCAGATGATTCAGTCTTTCGCATCACCTCGACCTCCTCTTCTCTATCACGCTGTCGTTTTTCCAATTTTGCTTTTTTTTGCTCTTGTTTTTCTTTATCTTTAGCTTTACCTTTACGAAGCTCTTCCTCCTTCGCCTGTAGGCGATGTATTAATCTCTCAGCAAACCGTTCGCACAAATTCCGATCAAAACTAAAAACTATAACAGGTAGTTGGTCTTTTTCCTTCAATTCTTCGACAAGTGGGAAAATCTGGGAAGCGAGAGCATCTCTTTTTAATATTTTTGAACCCGACCAATCTATCGTACGACTTGGAGACAGACTATCAATAACCTTTTCCACTCGCTTATCATTATTGTTGACGTAGCTCATAAACTCATCTTTCAAAGCATTTTCATACGATCTAACGCTTTGTTTTGTGATGAATGTTTCATCCTGAAAGTGGGACTCTGGAGTCAATCTCAATAAAGAATCCTCTTCATTGAAAACCCTCTGGAAAGCATCGTAGAAAGCCAAAGTTTCTCTTGGCGAAAGACTCACGTGTGCGGGGAATGTACCTGAATGCTTCAGCTGACGAGAGGTTATTACTGAACACGGATGAATATGCTCAATCATCGGCTTGGACCGGCCTGGTAGGTAATTGAACTTCTCGAGATCATTATATCTTTCGTTGTACGTTATGAGGTCGACTTTATAGGATTTTGGTGCATTTGGACGAATTGTGTTGTTTCTAGTGTCACGATAATGTTTATCATTTTCAGCATTTTGCAACCAGCTGTGAAGATCGTCCGGATTCCTGATAGTCGCAGATAAGGCCAGGAATGGACAGCGAATCATGAGCAAGAGATGTTCCCATACCTCAGCCCCAATCTCTGAACCAATACAATGAACTTCATCAAATACAACATATCTGATCTTCTCAACCCAATCTTGTCTGGCGGGGGAAAGAAGTAAGATCTCAAGGCATTGGGGAACTGTGACGAGAATTTGACATGTAAGGGCGTTTTGACGAAAATCACGAGTGAACACACCATAAACACTTTTTCCTGGAGGCATTTTCTTTTTGTATCTGCAAAAAAGTAGATTAATAATGAAATGATAAGATAATAAAAGATAGTTTAAAATGTTTAAAATGAAAAACGAGGTAATAAAGCAGATTTAAAGCAGTAACTATTTCATTTCTAGGTATTGAAAACGTAAAGAAAATCGACAGCAAGAAACAACTACGGATTTAAAAAAAAATCACCACAGTGAACGATATTTCGCTACAGTACCTTACACAACAGGTTGCTGAAACTTGATTGACCAAAGCTTTAGTAGGCGAGACGTAAACAACGACACCGTCATTATCCTCTTTCAACACTTGTTCAATGCAATAAAACGATGCAAACGTTTTCCCAGAAGATGTTGGTGCGACAATCAACGCTGACTGCTTGTTATCAACTGCATCCAACATTTTTCTTTGCCACGTTTCGGGAATAAAATGATCAATTCTATTGTCCCGATCAGTCCGTGATTCTCTCTTTAACTGATCGCCAAGGTTGTGCAGTTGGAATCTGGAGCTTGATGTTCTCAAACTGTATTCATCGTTAGCTTCGAATTTCTTTGTTGTCAAATTCGTCTTCACCACAATATTTTTGAAACCAATCGCGTCAAGGTACTCACCAAGAGTATCTTTATTTTTTTTCGAGAGATCTTCTTTATAGTTTTCAACTAAATCTTGTACCGTGAGAAAGAGACTCTCGGCCCTACTTCCATCTCGATCATCTTCCTTATTTGTATGACAATAATCCTTCCACATCTTCCACAAGATTCGTGCTCTCGTTAGCTGTACGTCAATTTTTATCTTACGCTTGTTTACTCCTTTAAGAAAGCGATCGAGTTTCTCAAGTGCTATGTCAAGTTCTCCTTCATTTTCGTACTGTTGAACTTTTTTTCTCTCGCTCGTCCACGAATTCTCTTCTTTTCTTAGTTCCTTTTCCTCTATCGTCTGGGAATTATCTTGTTGAATAGCTAGGGCTTTCTGTGAAATCTTGCTCGTTTTCTTGTGACTCTTGATTGTTGTATCCTTAACGACAATTGGCTTGTAGGTTACTTCACCATGCAATGACTGTCCATATCTCTGCATAAATCTGGCATGTTTATCTTGATTAATGTTGTTACTCTCTTCTGTTCTTTTATACTCATCAGTGAGTGGCCTTCCGGAATGCCAATGATATTTCTCGTCAAAATTATTTCCGCTCACAACTAAAGCTGCGACATCTGGATCCTTTATATCGAGCTTCCTTACTGATGTATTCTCAAGAATCTTCCCTGCGTATTCATTCAACAACAAGCACTCCATTTTGATCAAACCATCTTTACTCTCCTTCACGTTTCTCCATTTCTTTGTAATCTCTAGCACACCATGTTTGAAATCTACATTCTTTACTTGTGTAGAATCAGCCAAGTGTTTCTCAAGACAATGGATGATAGGAAACGCTTCAAGTTTTTCCTCATCGTCTAGCAAAGATGATGCAACCTTGACGAGAGATTCGTACTTTCGGTTTGAAATATCGGACAATTGAAGATCACTTCCATTCGCCTTGCTTGTTACCAACAACAATAAAACTTGATAAAACAACCGTCCATCCCAAGCATCGCATACTCCTTTCATCGACCGAGGAGAGTCTTCATCTTTTAATGCTTGGATAAATACGTCAAGAACTTCTGCCATGATAAACTGCAATTTTTCAAGACTTTCTTTCAACCGACTCTCCACCGTTGTATTCTTAAACACACGTTTAAAGTCATCCAGAGAAAATGATCTGTACTTCAATGAAACTTGTGTGAGTATTACACCATGAATAAACAGAACACGGATGATATCATGGTGAAAATCTTGATTTCCGGGACCTTTACTAAATAATTTTAGATATACAGCAGCTGTTACTGAGTGAAGGAGAAGACGACAATCAATAGCGCCAACCTCATCTTGACATTCTGTATTAAACATGGAGGAGACGGATTTCAACTTTACCACAGCACGATTAATGTCCTGTGTTAAACTGCTAGAGGATACAAACGCTCTGGTTACCCCGGACCCGTCTGGCGTTGGTAGTTTCCATTTTCTAAATCTTTGGGAATGCATGATATGGAAACCGTTAAGAGTGGATGTACCAAACTCTATGCCATAAGTAAACGCGCAATTCATTTCTAAGCTGAGAACTTTCAAAAAATGAAGAACGAAGATTCTAAGAGCATTCTCAGGAATCAATCTTTGTCTTTCGGGTTCATGTAAGATTTCACCATCAGAAAGAAGCATGAATGATGGGGAATATTTCTTTATGTAACTAAAAAAATTAGGATCCCAAGGACTCTCAAAATCAAACAGAACCTTAAAGCTGACATTTGCAAGAAGATGTTGCAAGATAATTTTACGTGCAAGGTAAACACATGGCTGCGATTTCCACACGCTTTCAAGATTCTTGAAGAAGATGATTTGAAAAATGCCATCTTTTCGGACAAAGAAATGTAGGTATCGTTCAAAGAGGTATACCAGATGCAATATCTGACCGCTATAAGTCCAATCTAAATCCTTTTCTAAAGCAAGTTCCATTAACAACGAGTCTCCATCAATAAGAAACATTTCCGCATCAGCAAATTCATTCATAAGATTTAACATTTTTGGTTGCAATTCTTTGATAAATATTTCCAGATCGCGGATTCTTTCATCTGTTTCATGACTTTCATCTGAATATGAAAAATATGACGATCATAATTATATTATGGTGATTTTTTAAAAAAGTTTGTTTTCCCTGATTGAAAAGGACTGATGAGAATGTGTATTGACTATAAATATAATTTATGAATTTTAGCCGTGCGGGTCCGTTCCTTCCTATCCACAGTCCACCGTATAGTGTTTTTTTCAACCGTTCTAAAAATGCTCGAAAAGCGATAAAATTTCATCTTTGGAACCAACAATTATTAAAGAGCATCCTCGATTTAGGAATACTAAGATTTTATCAAAGTTATAGCAAACAACGGGCTATTTAAGCGACTGAAAAATCACTATCCGGTGGATAGCGCTATCCGGCTTTCATACCGGCAACCGCCTTAATAGTATAAACAAAACTTGTATATATGGATGGATTAAACTGCATACCATAATCATCATAATCCTCTTCGGATGAACTGCTGCTCATTGACATTGTGATTTGTGAGTTCGTCTTGAAATTTCAGCTAGAAAAGTGACTGAAAGGTCATTATAACACAAAAGACGTTATGTATAACTTTGTGCACTATTAAATAGCCCCGTTTACACGTTTTTCGGCACGGCACGGCTAAAATGGGTACCCAGTCTATTAGTGCTCAGTCTACTAAAACAAAGGCCGGGCACGGATGAACCGATGAACTGGTCGCGGGTACTCATTTTAGCTGTGCCGTCTCAATAAATCGAGTGCAGTGTAAACGGGGCTAGTCCACTGCACAGGCATGAGTCAAGATTTAAGGCAACGTAGCTAGAGCGTCCACGCCAAACTGTTTAATATCTTTTTGTTTATAAAGAGACTGATAAACGCATTGTTGCGTGGCATCTAACGCAACATCGTGAGGAACTGGTCATACCAGCAGCTGGTCATACAAACTATTCATACTAGCTGGTCATACTACCAGATCATACTACCAGATCATACTACCAGATCATACTACCAGATCATACTACCAGCTGGTTTATAGTACTTTTAAAGCAACAGAGCAAGAGAGAGCAAGAGAGCGATTGATCTGGCCTTATGCTTCTTAAGGATCGAAGAGGGAAAAATGATAAAGGTACCTAAACTAGCTATGGTACAATGGAAAAAATAAAACCTAAATTTTTTAAATCCTGATGAGGGTCAAAAAAGTCCTGTTTGGGGAAGGGCCAGTAACTGCAAGCTGTAGATTTTTTATGAATTATTAATCAATTTAGACTACATGACAATTTGGTCCTGGTATGCAATTTTAAGTCATTATCATTGTTCATTACTTTAGAAATTCATTGTTTTTACAATCATTGAACACCAAAATCTTAGAATAGTGGGGCTAAATTGTCAGGCTGGCTATGCTACATTCATTAAGGAAGGAATAGAATCAGGCAGAAAGCAAAATAATATTTTTCACATTTATTGTATGGCATTCCATATTTATATATACTTAAATTACATTTTGTCCCCACCAGTGCCAAGCTTATAGTTCTGTGGCTGATCCAAGCTAAGTAAGAATAAATTACTACACCTCTAACTTGCAATCATATTGGTAGATTTTTATGTAAAAATAATTTTTCAGAAATAAACAACCAAGCAAATGAAGCAATGTAATTTATTCTTACTAACTCTGAATCCAATACTTGCTTAGTTCATAACTGCCTCACAGAGCTCCCATCCTGAACCTCTAATTTATTAGTTATTACAGTTTATAGCTTTAATTGCCCTGTGCTTCAAGGTGGGCAGTGCCTACACAATGTATTTCTTTTACAATGGGCCTTTCATTTTACATTTTAAGCGCACAATGCGTGCCACGAGTTGATTATCAAAGACTCTTTGTGTTGCGATATCGCATGTGCTCAGCTGATAAAAAAACCCTTGTTGAACCCCATCACAACTTAAATTTTAAAAAATGTAAAAGGAAAGGTCCACTAGGCAAGCAAATATAGATTCTCATACCTTTGACCATCAGTATAAGTTTGAAAAATCTCTTTAGTCGAGACTCCAGAGCCGGTATGGTGTGAAGAAGGGCGTCTCCTCTCGTCTGTCGGTCACATGATCAAGATTTTTCCTGGAAATGCAAAAGTTGTTGATTGTATCGTACACCATTTCCTACACCAAGTATTCCGTAACTGAGAGAACAAAGATGGCGGATTGATGCGTGTATCAATTAAAAAGGTTTGAAAGGGAGTTTATTTTGTCGAAGAAAGGTTCAAACTTGAAAGTAAATGAAATGGATGTAAAAATTTTAAATCCTTTGGAAGTGCTGGCCGAAGATAACAAACTATGTTGTGAGGGGTCAGAGGGGACAGAAAAAACTACTGCAAATGGCATGTCTAATCAAAACATCAACAATTCCGATTCCTTACCTGTATTAAATGAAACAGAATTATTACAGTTTAAAGAATCTCAAATATTATGTCAACCTCCTGGAGGAAGTACAGATAATGATTGCGGGGAAACATCTGAATATTCCAATACAAAGTGTTCTGAGACTGAATTGCAAACTAGGAATATTCCATATTCTGGGCCATTTGAAAATAATAATCCTGAAGAGTCTGAAGTGACAAATACTTTATTGAGGTACAGGGTTTAAATAATCTGAAATTCCTTAGCTATATGTTTGCATCATAGTACAATATATTTTCTTTCTATGTCAAACTGCTCAAATAGTAATAATTGTCAAGATCCGGTTTGGAAAGTATGTATTGCACAACCAATATGTTAGGCACATAATTTTGATGTCTTCTATTAATTTCTTTGGAAATCTCAGGCACACAATGTCCACATTTTCCAATCACGGTCAAGTACAGTTTGCTAACATGGCAAGAGCACACTAGAGGGTTATTCACTTTCACAATCATCTGACATCACACACATCTGACGTCATGGTTTCAGTTAGCTAGATCCATAAAGGTGCACTTACCAGTTGAGTGAGATAGTGACATGGAAGAGCCTTAAACAAGACCTGACCCTATCTTGTAAAGATGCGCCACATTCTGCGCTAGTGTCAAAATGCTAATTCTTATTAATTTTATCTAATAATCCTTCTGATAATTACTGTAGATATGAAATTAACTTCAGCACCCCACCTGTCCAAATAACAGGAGCATGGAGGGATTTTGAGGGATCTCCAGAGAATTTTCTAAAGGGCTGCAAATGGTAAGTACATATTTGGCTTATGAATTTCAGTATGATTTCAATTTACCATAAGAATTTTAGTATTATGAATAGATTTATTTACAGCTATAATAATTTACTTCACCTAGGTCACCTGATGGAACATGTATTCTAACATGTAGCAATGACAATACACTAAGACTTTTTAATCTACCAACTGAAATGTATTCAGGTTTTTTTTCTCTCGATGTATTACCAGAAATGGTGAGTTTCCAAGGAATCTATAGTTATTAATTTTGAGTATTGTAATTAGTTCTCATGTAATTAGTTCTAATCAATATATTCTTGGAGATTTTTAGAGCTCTGTGCTTCAAATGAAAGAAGGAGAAACAATTTATGACTATGCTTGGTATCCCAAAATGTCCTCTTATGATCCTGACACATGTTGGTATGTTATTGTATGCCTTAATTAATTAAAAGTGCATGATAAAATCATTTAATGTGTGGAGATGATGTGGTCTATGTTGTGAGTGCATGGAGTGCATGGTACTGAGAGTGAATTAATGTTGATTTGCCTTTTAGTTTTATCAGCAGCAGTAGAGAGCACCCTTTGCATTTGTGGGATGCTTTCACTGGACAAGTACGATGTTCATACCGATCTTTTAATAATATGGTATGAAAGTTGTTACAATTTTATAATAGCAGATTTTCACCCTAACTCCAGTTAATAATAACAGGTTTTGATCAATTCAGGATGAGATTGTATCTCCTCACTGTGTGGCATTTAATTCTGATGGAAGTAAAATATATTGTGGATTTGACAAAATGGTCAGAGTTTTTGATACATCCCGACCTGGAAGACAATGCCAGCAACGGCGAACAGGTGGTTTGCTTGTTTTATTAACTTTAACCAAGCGCGAGGTCTTTACCGAGAAATATGGGAAAGTAATGGACCGCTGAAAATTCTTCTAAGCCAATCACTGAGCTTCATTTCACCAGAAGTGATGCTTGCCATATAATAAGTTCTGTTAATGCTACTTATATAGGATTGTCTTAAAATGTTGTGCAATTTTATAGTGCCCTTGCAACTTGAAATAATTCTAGAGAAAGTTTAGTTCATTGTAGACCAGCTAGAGTTATCTCATACAAGCATGTGAAAACCACCAGCAGGCTGTATTTATATAAGTACCATTAGTTATGTACAACAAATAGTATACTTTAAAATCATCAATGATTGTTATAAATTGTATGATCTTATTCTAGTAAGTAAGAAACAAGGTCAGTTTGGTATCATCTCATGTATAGCAGCATCTCCAGAAAACAATGGCCTATATGCTTGTGGATCGTTTTCTAAATCAGGTATATTTTTTATTGATATTTCTACAAGAAAATTTTAAATCATTAGATTGTGAAATTGAGCAATCAATATATACATACCTACAGTCCTATCAGAATTTTTATGTCATTCAGTTGGTCTCTACAATGAACCGAAAGGAGATCTAATGAGTCTAGTTGAAGGACATCAAGGTGGAGTGACACACTTAGCATTTTCCCATGATGGACAGAGGTTGTACAGTGGAGGACGAAAGGTAATGAAATGAAAGTTTGCTATTGTTAAAATGTTTATAGATGGTTTATACGGTACGTCCTAAGGGTCAAATTCATGACTTCAGTATAGAGACAGAGAGATGGCAAGTTTTAAAAAAGTATATTGAAGATACGTATAAGAGGTTGTGAGAGGAATAAAGTAAACACGAATCGTTGGAACACAAATCAGATAATACAGTACGAGATAGTTATATAAGCTTTGAGGCTCAAAACGGTTGATTGGTACATTTACTGTACATTTTAATACTACCGTACGTTACTATATTGATGAAAGATATTGACATACGTAGAGAATAATGCCCCTGCATCAGGTGACGCACAAAGATGAAGTTGAGAGATACACGGCTATTCTCATCATTCACGTTGACCATTATGAGGGTTGTTTAGACTGAGTCATTAATATTTTTAGGATAACGAAATCATATGCTGGGACATGAGATATCCTGGTGCTATCTTACATAAATTATCAAGATTTGTCAAAACGAACCAAAGGATGTATTTCGATATTGATAGGTAATTTTTATTGTAAAGTATGGGTAAGCCCTGGTTCCCATATCTGATATCTTCATGTGACTAAGCTGGGGTTAGCGATATCATGATCATGTTCATCGTCACAACCATTGTGCAAGGACTGAAAAAACTTCAAAGTGTAATTCTAAAAATTTTCTAGTTCTGGTAAATACGTAATCTCTGGCAATCATGATGGAACCGTGAGTGTTTGGGATACCTATGTTTCTTCTGACGTCATTTTACCGTGTGGCATGACCTACATTGCTCATGATGATTGTACTAATGGCGTAAGGTAAATTTGACGACACTAATACACATTGGTTGTGCCCCATACAAGATTTTGCGAGGATGGCAATTGTTCACCCTTGTTCACTGAAAGCAGCTACGTCATAAACTGCAGTAAAATGACGTAATGAATTTTTAGTTTCCATCCAAGTCTGCCTCTCCTGGCCACCGCCTCCGGACAACGAAAATTTGTGATAAAAGACGAATTTGAAAATGGTGAGAATGAAGATGAACAGACAAGATGTGACTGCTCGTTAAGACTTTGGAAACTTAGTTGTAACTCTCAGACGTCGATGGATTAATTATGCTGTTTAATGACAGGTATTGTTCATTTCTGTTTTACTGCTAGGCGCTAGCTTGATGCAACCTATACGACTATACTTATATATCCAAAGAGCTTTACTGACAAACGTAAAGTCTATATCAAAACCCACGCGCCCATTTTGGAAAATATTCGTTCCTTGAATTCACACATTGAATAATATAGGCGAAAAACACATATATTTCGTTTCTAAAACGGTGAATTATATTTATATTTATTATGTACTTATTTATCAGGAGCGTAGAAATCCGAAATCGAGGGTGCCACTGGGGGCATCTGAATGAATACAGTAAAAATGCCGCTGCACTAAGAGTGTCCAAATGTTTCATTGTGGATTTATGATTACCTATACGGAGATACCGCCAATTCTACATTTTCAAACATAACTTTTTTGAAGGTGCCCTTTGCTTCCTACGCGCCTGATTTTTATATATTTATACTTATTAGCTATTTTTCTTAAAAATTTGCAAAGTGCATCTACTATATTCATCTTGCTTGCATTCATATTCGAGAAAAACAAAAGAGATTAATTATTTTAGACCCTTCATCTGCATTGGCAGTTGGAATGTCTATTTTGTATCATTTACGAAGTTTGAGTATTTTCCACTGAGTAGAGATCGTGACGTCTTTGAAGAGTGATTGGTACTTGCAAGCGTACTTCTTCCAAATAATTCAGGTCTAATAATGAAGGACAGAAAAATAAAACGGTAGATCAGCGCAGAAGCAAAGTTAGTGTATGTCATGTTCTTTACTCATAATATTTCATAGACCCCATTGTTTGCGTAACAAAGAAATACCCTGGGCACGAGGTTGCATCTCATTCCCTCTTTGTCACACGTCACACCATGCACGGTCATAATCTTGTTTATTCTCTCAGGTATTTTCTTACCAATGTCAGAGTACACCACAGCTTCCTGATGTTCACACTCTGCAATAACCTTACCCCTATATGACACAATGGCTCAAATTAGAATGTGAGGCGAGATTACTTGTTAATGGTGATACGTCTTTTCCTGCAGACATCTCGGTGACAGGGCTGAAGAATTGCTTGCCAGAAGAAGTGGGTTCCCCAACTACACTTACCAAGGATTAAACTGTTTTCGAATAGCAGATGGCGTAACTTACCAAGGGTTTGCCACAGTTGTGTGTCCCCATGCGACATAACTTGCATTGGTGTCTCGAGCTGGGGATATTCCTGCGCAGTAAACCTGGAAATTTGTGCATCACAAAGTTATCAAGATACATGTAGGATTTGTAGGTACCTATGTACCAATTGCCTGCGTGCGAGTACATCAGCAGAGTGCAGATGGAAATTTACAAGGAATATTAAACAGTTGTGAGTTGCTTACCTGATTATTCAAAGCCCTTGAAACATGAAAAGGAAAAAATAAACTTATCTCAACTATCTAACGCACGAAGCGAGCGCGGAGATTTGAAAGGTGGTTTGCAGCTAATCATTGAGAATGACATTTCATACCTGCTTCGCACGAGCAGTTCCCAATGCGCGGGACCAGTTGTCATGTTGAAAGCTCCTGGATACAGAAGTAATTTACATCCTATAAAGAATATTTCTAATTTAATTCGTTCATCTGAAGTAGAGTTATTTTTGTCAATATAGAAACTATTTATGGGGGAATATAATTCTATATAAATGCCAGCCAGCACTATGAATGGCCATATAGGTGGGGTAGGGGCTCTGTAGAGGGGTCACATCCCCTCCTGATACATGCCCCTGATTGGTCTAAAAGTTCTTACCTTGTTTTGCATAAAGCTGTGCCATTTCAGAGAATCGAATGTCATAGCAAATTCCCAGGCCAACCTTGCAGTATGCTAAATGTTAACATGATAATATCTCCCTTGAGGAAGTTTGATTATGGTATTTAAATTGAGAAAGGTTATTTTTCAAAATTTTACTTCAAATAAAGCATAAAACATACGAGTGTCAAAAGTCGTGAGATTATTCCCAGCATGTAAAACTTCTGATTCACAAAATGTTATTTTCCCAGGAATGTCAATATCAAATAAGTGCACCTTAACACAGACCATTTTGAGTATCAAATAACTTGCTATATGTATTTAAATGGGGATGGTCGCAAAATACTGCATCCACACTGGTTCAAATACGAAATGAAGGATTGTGCCATTTTAAAATTTAAAAATAATTGGAGTCCGCTGCCTCCCTATGCCTTGTAAATGATTGTAAAATTTTCAAACCTTTCTATGTTTTGCCACCATTTCTCCAGCAGGTGAAAATACAGTAGATGTGTTAAAATATTTTTCTCCATCTTTCTCGGGAATGGATCCACCAACAATAAATACATTAAGCTCTTTAGCTAATGATGATAATATGTCAGTCGACTCGCCCGGGATTTTCTCTGCATATTTGGCAAAATATTGTGTACCATATGGACTGTTGAAACATTCCTTGTAGAGAAAATACTTGTTGAGTTTTTGTATCATTATATGCTAGCATTAATTTAAGCTATCAAACATTTTCCATAATATGATGGCCAGGTTCCAGTTTAGCTGGTTGGCTAGTACAGCTAGTATATTTAAACCATTACAATGGGTGACTGACACTGTCAGTTTCATAAATGTCTTATTGAGGAATAGTATTTTATGTACTGAACAACCATAGGCGGCCCAAAATTACCGGCCGAAAAATTTTTCGGCAATTTGTCAATGTAATGTATAATATATAGAACAACTGTACATACAGGCAAAGATATTATTGATGCTCCTTTTTGGGCAGCTGTTCTGATGAGATTTTGAGCATGTGACAAGTTCTCAACTTTATTTGGACCAACACCTAACTGAATCAAAGCTATCTTGAAAACTTGTAAAAGAAACAAAAATAAGCTACTTTAACTTCATTGGATTGTATAAAACCCTGTAACTGGAGGCCTCCATGGATTTAATCGAAATGCTGGGATTGTTTTATTAGATTGTAAAATAGACCTGGGCTCACAGGAAAGCCTTGAAGGTTTTACCAAAAGTCAACAACAGTATAAGTATATATTATATATTTATGACATTCGCATATTTTAGGCTAGGGAAGGGAGGGAGAAAATACTAGTTAAATTCTAGTCTAAATAAGTCTAGTCTTCAGTGGTAATTTAAACCTTGCTATGCAAATTTCAAGTCATTAAAATGTATTTCAAAAATTAATTTTAAATTGTCAGGCTGGCTGTGCTATTGGCAAGGAAAATTAAATCATCCACAGGATATGAAAAATCAGGTTTTTTTAAAACCATTTGTTTTGGCAATTTGGAAGTGTGTGGAGAGATGTAACATCAATAAATTATGATAAAAGTAATTCAAATTTCTTTGTTGTTGCATTTCAGTGGATTGCTAAATATGCAACATGCACTAGGTTTTTCTAGTAATATTATTTTTTTAAGTCATGCTGAAAATAAAATGGTGGTGCAATATGAATGTGACCAGGACCAATTACAAGTTACAACTTATATAATATTATATCACTACTTACTTGACCTAATCATTTATACTGAAGTTCATATTGAAAATTTATATTGAAATTTATATTAAAGATATAATATTATTGAAGACTGAAGAGGGATATTGAATAGTTCCCAGTCCTCTTACAATGGACTAATGCGTCCTGTTGTCAGAAGTCAGAACCACTGGTCAAAACTCAAAAGCGAAATTTGATATATCATCAAATATACAACTGGAAACAGCTGGAAGGTCGATCAGAGAAAAACTAAATTTTTAATATGTGTTTATTAGTCAGTTTCAATTATTGACTTCTATTTTCTTTCTCAAAAATCCCGTGAAAACCCGAGTCCCGGGGCGGGATGTACATTTTAATAAACAAAATCCCCCAAAACGTTCGAAAAATACCGAAATCTCAAGTTAAAATTCCGGAATTGGGCATTCGCGACGCTGAGAACTTACCTTTACCCGCCATCCCTTGGCCTAGTTCTTCGATTATTCGAGTCACTCACTAGTTTTAACTTTTAATTTTAGTGAACCTACTAAAACAAGTGCAATGGTCTTTTTTCGGAGAACTTACAAATCAATTTATGGAATTTTACGGGGACTAATGTGGATAATCGGTGTCATAATATTTGTCACAATGCCTTCGCATGGTGTCATGGGAAGCAGATGGATTTTGGATGTTGGAGAAGCAACGATTGGAACAGTCTTGACTGCCTTATTTTATTTCTTAACCACACAACTAACTGCATAATTATTTGTTTTATCGACGTGGTAACACGAGAAGAGTGAAATGTTTTATCTCGTTTCGGTACAAGGTTGAGTGTTATATTTGAAAGTTAATAAGCTAGTGACTATATAGTGAAGACTGCACGTTACCAAGCAGTGGCTGATGGTTAACATGAAAAAAGTCAAACCAAAGCAAGAAATAGAGCAGAAAAAAAAGGTGACGAATCGTTGTAGTAGCGATATTCTATAGATATGTTTGCAATGCGTGTTTGTGTTTGTTTTGCATTGGTCTGAAAAAACAGTTAACAGAATAGGATACCTGATATATGCTGATTCTGATACCTCGGATATTTCATTAAGAATTTTAGTAAATTCAACCGACAGAGTTAATTCACATTCTGTAGTAAACAGTTGAAAATCATAGAACAACTACTATTAATGTCTATATACACATATATAGATCCAACATGTATAGAGAACTCACTTTATCACACCATCCAACTATCAAATCTATCATCCAATCATATACAGTCCGGTCAGATGTAAAAGCATTTTAGTAGGGCTTTATAGAAGGGGGGGGGTATGCATATTATTGATAACTGGTTATCAGCAAACATGTTTGATTGTGACTTCTATGAGCTTAAACTTTGACTCTGCACACCTAATTCTTCACATTAATATATAGTATATAAAGTTTAAGCAGTGTTAATCTTCTTAAAGACATGCAGTAGCCATTTGAACCAAATTGGCAAATTGGAAAGTTACATTATTATGTATGTAATGGAAGTAAAACATGGTTTCATTTTGGAAAATTCACAATATAGGTTGAAGAAACAAACTGTGCTGAAGTTTATGAAGAATTTGTGGCATCATTTGAAGGAGCAGCATCAAAAGGAAAAACATTTGTGCGAGGAAATGTTGTTAACCCTGGGGAATCAGAAGGTATTTTTACTGTAGTTAAGGTAAAGTACTACAGGTAAAGTACTACAAGTATTCATTTTCAACCATGCAAAATTGATTTTCATAATACAGTTTTCATAGAGATCAGGCTATGCTATGAAATTTTGCAAAACTCAACTCTCCAGAAAATGCCAGTACATTGGACAAACCAGTATTCCACAAAGTAGTTTCATACATATATAGTGTGCATACAACTATTGTATTACCTGCATTTGAATTTCATACACAAATATAGTTCAATTTCCTTAAAATTAGTTAATTTGTATTTTTACAACAATTCTATTCAATACCTGAATATATTTGTGCAAAGATTCTCCAGCAATATTTCACGCTCTGATATTAGCTGTGATTAGACTGAATAAAGTTCATTTTGTTGTAATAAATTAATTTGTCCATATATATTTGCTCTGAAAATAATAGATGAAAGATAACTGTTACAGTATTGCACACTGTATTAATATGTTATTTTTATATTTACAGAAGCGACATCTGAAAAGGCAGGACAACTTTACACTTTGAAAGCTAATATTTCACAAGATACCACAGTCAAACCAGCTTTCTCTTCCAAAACAAAGGTAATACCTGAAAAAGTTAGACTATACATGACACTAAAATGTTGAATTAAGTGAATGTTAGACAGTTAGTTACATTTATCTACTTCAGGAGACATTAAAGAAACGAAAAGAAAAAGAAAAAAAGAAGAGCAATCTTGAACTTTTTAAGGAAGAATTGAAAAAGTAAAACACATAATATCCCTGTTAGCAAAATATCTACATTGCCACATTTTTCTCTGAAATTAATTAATATTTCTTAATAAACTTAATATTTCTGTAAAACTGATTATTTATTTTAGACAACAAGAAGAAAGAGAACTTCGTCATAAATTAAAAAAAGGAGAACTTGATGATATACCAAGAGATGTTTTTGACAATTTTCCAACTCTGTTATCAGCTCCACCTAAAGGTACATACAAGAACAGTCCATACTTAATTTTTTTATACAGTAAATATTGATTATATGCTCTTATATTCATTGCATATGTCATTTTTACATCTCCCAATTTTAGAGGAGCCATATACGTATGGATCTTATGATACTGGTGATCCTAACACAACAAACCTTTATATTGGAAACATAAGTCCTGAGGTACTTTTTTGTAGTTAGTACCAACACTTTCTACTACCACCAAAGTCATGATAATTAAAAAATTTTTATTGACTAATTTATTTATAAAGAGAGTTGGCATTCATTTTTTATCTTCCATGCTATTGAAATATAGTTATAGTTCCATTGCACGACAGGCATTGTAGTTTTGTCATTCTAAAAATCAATGTCTGTGTAATAGTCATTATGTGAGTCTGTATACTCCATGTTTAAGAATTATTTGCTGTTTTTATGTTATTGAAGATGAATGAAGAACAATTAATGAAATTATTTGGTCAGTTTGGACCATTGGCCAGCGTTAAGATTATGTGGCCAAGAACTGAGGAAGAAAAATCTCGAAACAGGAATTGTGGTTTTGTTGCTTTCATGAAAAGAAAAGATGGAGATAAGGCACTTAGTGCTTTAAAAGGTTCGTCATACCAATCCTTGTTGGCTCAGGTGAAATGCAGTGATCCCGAACGTTTTCTTTCTTTCATCTTACACACACACACAAAAATTTGTTGTGCCGATTTTGCTCGCTCAGATAAATTTATCTAAGATTTTGTTGCAAACACTCGCCTCAGTGACGTAAAAACCGGGAAAAATTCTGTTTATTTTATAATGATTTTTCCTCCGTTGTTGAAAGCAGTTTGCATGCAGTAAAGTCTAAAGAAAATTACAAATAGATAAACTATTTCAGCCGACAAATTTGTCTAATTTAGGCAGTTGTTATATCACAACATTTGACGAGTATGCATCCACCAATAGTGTTTGTTTGATTTGAAGAGTGTAGTGTACAACTTTTAATGAACTGGCAATTTTTACTTCAGCCTCGCATAGTCTCATACTGTCCTGGACTGGCTATACTATAGTGTAGAAATTTATTTCATCTTTTTGTCTAGGCAAAGAAATCCAGGGATATGAGATGAAACTTGGGTGGGGTAAAGCAGTACCTATCCCTCCACATCCCATTTATATCCCTCCAGAAATGCAAGAGGCTAATAAGCCACCCCCACCCTCAGGCCTGCCGTTTAACGCCCAACCTGGGAAAGTGGAAGATTCGGAGCATGATGATACACCGGAGTTATTTGATATGAACGGCATCAGTAACAAGGTGAGGAAACTTATATTTACCTCATGATTTCTTCGATTATTTCTTTGGCTGATGTTCACGGTATTCAATTTAGGATTTAGGTGTACGGATATATATATTAAAATATCCTCGTAAAAAATACATAAAAAGTATTCGTGCAAAAACATAAATTCTTATTAAATCATGTGCACATATTGCAGGTCATAACAGTCCATTGTACAATTTCTATTCTTCTAATGTGAGACTCGTGATATTTTGAGTGTCTTACGTCTCAAAATGCCGTGTCATATTACAGCGTTATTTGGTTTTGAAAGGTTATTTTGACCGCAAGGTCTCGGTGAATTTTGTTTATGGTTGAAATCATTGTAAACTAAATACACACGTTTTACATGACTTATTTCGGCGGCATTAATCATTAGAATTTTCTCATATTTGGTATTGGATTGTGTTACTCACGAAATGTTCTGTGGTAATTGTAGACTCTAGCCAACGCGGTTGTCAAAGTTGTTATCCCGACAGAAAGGTATTTTACAGTATATGTAACCATTGATCACCATGACAACAGGTGATCGCGCATTTCTATGCTGGTGCAATTTCTTTGGTCAAGTATTTTCACCATTTGTTTTTCATAATTCTACTGTATTTGAATTTTTCCACAAGCGTTCCTAAATATGTTTATAATGTTTTGTTATTACTGTATTGGCGTTGATCAAGGGTTAAACGCGTCAGAGGTAGCTACATTGTTGTTTAACGACTAAGCCGTGTTGAAATTTTCCTGACCTGAGTTTTTGGTATCTGTAATGCATGCAGTGCCATGCAGTTCACACAAATCCAATGTAGCTATATACAGCTGAAGTGAACATCAGAATTTAAAATGAAATCTACAATTTATTTCTAATATTCTATTTTAATTTTCTATTTTTCAATAATTGATTTACTAAATTGCTTATGTAGAGGTCAATATAGGAATCAACATGCAAATGAAAGAATATTTTGTTCAATAATTTATGTGGTATTACTATTCCATTTTATCAATCTGGCAAAACCTAACGTACATAAAGTACCATGATTTGTGAGGTACTAGTACTACTATACAAAGTAATCTATAAGTATATCCAGTTCACTGGTATATCCATAAGTTTCCTGCATGTATACATTTACCTCATTTATACAGTCACAATATTCGTGAACTCGGGACGTAATTGCGCGCGTTTAACACTTGAACCAATAATGCCAATCGTTACTGTAGTGACGTCATCCGAAAACTTTAGTTGTTATGCGGGTTATTAGGGTTTTTTTGCAATTCGTACACAATATTTTCCTGGGTTTCCCCGAAAAAACGAACGAAGTCTGTTTTTTGTGTTCATAAGGGGTCAATTTGGTAAAACTAAATTGCTATAAAACTAGATACACTATTTGCCGTGAATTGTTTATAAGAGCTATGCATGCTTTAATGTTGAACTATATAATTTGTTTTACATCGTAATCTCACAATTTTATTTTACATAATTATGTGCAAGCATGCATGTATATATAAAGTGACTAAACCACAACACACATATACAATATGCATTTGATATTTCCTAATCACTGGCTTCAGAGTATCGCTAAAGCGCATAATTATAAGTATATAGTATTGTTCTCATCATTTTTTTGCTCAAATGCTGTTAGGAATTCCATCTTAATAACAGCATTTTGTGTGTTGTCGGCATTCAACTTTCCGTGTCTCACCAAGGTCCGGTTCACGAACTGAATCCTATTTTGCAGAAATTAGAAAAGGAAAATAGTAGCTCAGCCTACGAACCAGCTACTGACGCGCAATTCCTTAAACTTGTTGTATGTGCGTCTTCGCAGATATAGGTGAAATCATTTTTTGCGATGTGGTTATGTAACAAATGGATCTGTGTGGGTGATGGTTGGAGGGGGGAGGGGGGGTGTAGAAAAAAGAATGTTGATATAGAATTTAACTCTTAAGTTACTTATTGCAGGCCAATTCTTCATCTTATCCATCGAACCATCGAATTTGTGATTTTGGAAGGACCAATTTTTGAGGCGATGATTATGAACCGGGAACTCAATAATCCACAATTCAGGTAAGTTTACTTTGATTACGATATTTTAAATAGGTCGCGATCACAAATGTTTCACTTTTAAAATTGCTTAACATTATAAATACATATCTTATGAGTTGCAATCAGATTTAGATCAATGTTTGTATGCATGGAGGGCTATAATTTCTTAACCAGCCAATAAATTCTTGTGTTCAAACGTGTTTGCCTTTCAGGTTTATGTTTGACAACCAAAGCCCGGAACATATTTACTACAGATGGAAGTTATTTTCAATACTCCAGGTGCGGTGTTTCATCTATCACAGTACAAATCCAACCATTCTGTTCAACATAATGATTTATAGGTTCTTAAAGTACTCCCGTAACAATTTAGGGTGACAGTCAAACAAAATGGAAGACGAAGCAATTTCGAATGTTCAAAAATGGTTCGGTTTGGAGACCTCCCAACTGTACCTCGTATTTAGGAGAAAATGCCGACGAACAGGAGGATGTAAAAGAAGAAATCAAGAGAGAAAAGAAACCATTGACTGAAGCAAAACCCGCCTCAAAACCATCAAGAAAAGGACTGCTGAGTGACAGGTTTATTATTTATTATAAAGAATACACCAATCTTCCGTTTTTTTATCCTTCTTTAACTTGGTAACTTGTTTTCGGTACAGACAACGAGACAAACTTGAAAACATGTTACGAGAATTGATATCAGAAAGAAGTAAGATTGCAGAATGTATGAGATGGTGTATTGATCACGCTGAAGCAGCTGATGAGGTTATATAATTATATCAGTTATTATTAAATTATATCCTGATTGGTCTCTTGCACTGATGACGTATCACAAATGTAGTCCGCCATCGTAAGTTAAGCCCGTTTTCCACTAGGCGAATTTATTCGTGCGACGTGAAACGATTTCTGAAATCCGGTGCCGTGAAAAAGTAGATACGCTTCCTACTTTTTATCAGTTTGCGCAAATAAATTCGCCTAGTGGAAAACGGGCTATAGATGGCTCCTATTCAACGAATTACATCAAATCTCGGAAAAGGAATATTGTCTAAATAGTATTTCTATGCATGACCCTACACACCATATTCATTAAAAAGGTTGTCACTTCTCTGTCTTGGAGGGTATGGCAGTTCTTATTAAATGACTAAATTGAATTATATATGATTGGGAGAATAAAAAGGATTAAAGTTGGTCGCAAACTCTATACGACGAGCGCAAGAAATCATCTTTTTTTTTCGTTTACATGGTGTAGCTATAATTTGTCTTTTTTTCTAGATTTCGGACTGCATGTCGGAATCTCTATCAATTCTTGAAACTCCGCTGACGGTGAAAGTAAGTAATTTTTTAATAATTAATCTCTTATATAAATATAGCTATGATTCATGATTGCGTGTTTTTATACTCAGATTGCCAGACTCTATGCTGTGTCTGATGTCCTCTATAACTGCACCGCCAAAGTTCGCAATGCTTCATTCTATCGAAAGAGGTACTACAGTACTGTACATTATATAGTTCAGATTATATGGTTTACGATGTAGAGATGAGCAACATATGCTAAAAGATTTTTATGATTGAATTCTATACAGAACAAATATCCTTTTATTCATTGAAATCCTTCATATACAGCTGTAAACAAATAAATATTTACTCTGGAAAAACAATAATGCTAATAGAATTTTTTTTCATTTCCATTGTGTAGTTTTGAAACAAAGTTACCTGAAATATTTCAAAATCTAAATGAAACATTCCAAGCAGTGAAAACACGAATGAAGGCTGAACAGTTTCGGGTAAATCTGCAGTAAATTCAACTGTTTCTTCTTTAGTTTTTCACCTGCAGTAAACGCATTTGTATTGCCGTTCATGTATCTTTTTTTCATGAAATGTGTGACCTATAAATGTGCAAATAATATATACATGACAACTGCTTATAAAAATGAATATAACATTCTCTCGTTATTAACCAAATGACAACACTATAGTGATACTGCATGATACATGCACTGTATAGTTGTCATTATTATATAGTGTTAGCTTTCTCCAACCTTTGCCATACAGTGTACGCCTTGAAGCTTGTTTTCGGAGACGTTTAATATATTAAGATATGTGGGTTTTTTTCAAATATTTCTAGAAACAAGTCTTAAAATGTTTGGCTGCGTGGACCTCTTGGGCAATTTATCCGCCTGATTTTTTAGTAAATCTTCAAAACATCTTCCTTGGACAGTCACAGAAAAGCGTCACTGATCAGTTTATTGTAGTAAGTGCTAATATTATAGTGCATATAGGTTGTATTACTATTTAATATTTTCTATTTTGTGCCTTTATCCGTCTCTATGTCATTAGAAAATAAACTCTGTAGAAATTAGCTACTTACGCTATCATTTTGGCATTTTAATTTGTGCGAATGTGTGCAATGCATTCTTATCAAAGGCAACGCAAACCGTACAGTAATTTATATCTTGTGAATGCTGCACCTTTTTAGGGCAACGGTCCATAATTTCCGCATCTTACGCTCGGATTTCCTACATTACGAAATTTCAAATTATTCGTTGAAAAAGCTGAAAAATTCATTTTTGTCTATTTTTGTGAAGAATCGTAACCGCAACATATTTGACATCAAGAGTACGGATCGCGATGATGACGATGATATTGTAATATCAGATATTGATGGCTTTCCTTTGCGAAAAGATTCATCTGATCCATTGACTGATCTTGATGGAATACCAAGTATGCTATCAATTGTTACTAATATTTGTGTTCAAAAAATAGCCTTCTAGTTCTTCTCGTTATGCTACATTTACCTAATGGCAATAATTCGTATTTCAGTGGATGATATTGATGGCAAACCAATGAAGACAGGTGATTATAGACAAATATGTACACCTTTGTATCTATATATCCTGTAGGTTAATATGTGAATTCCAGGAGTAGGTTGTATGAAAGCTAGATCATGTTATCCACCGCAGATATTACCTTTAAATCCTTCCAAAAACTGCCTGTAGTATAGTATAACCTTGAACTTCAGTATTATCTCTATTAGAGTAAAGCTATCTTTATTCCCGAACTTTTATTACTAAGTTTTTAAGGCTTTAAATCGGTTGACAATATCACTAAATCCGCTGGATGGTGCTGTAGCACTCAGATTGTACCATGGATAGTCAAGCAGTCATATAAGTCAAATATGTGCTCTAATCCATTGTTTTTCTAAAAATTTCGTTTTCATTAGTGTCCCCCACTCACATTCCATCGAAATGGGACCATCCTGCAGAACTTGCGTCGAAATGGGATGGCAGTGAAACAGAATCAAAATGGGAGAGGGTTAAAGAGCAAACAAACACGAGGTTATATATAATTATTGCCTGTAGCTGCATCCTTAGTTTAATTCTAAGCATTCTAATTATATATGTCTCTTTCATACTTTTATAAAGTCATTTCATAAAATCAGTGAATTAATTTGCCTATTCTTAGCATAACTGGAAAATGTTGTTTCTTACTTCATTAGCGAGGTTTCAAAAGAAATCTCAGTTGATGCGGCAAAAAGTGTAAAAGATATCGATGAAGATAAACGAAAAAGATTACGAGAAGTTGAAATTAAGGTGGCGAAATACGCAGATAAATTAGAATCAAGTGGCAAAGAATCTCCAAGTAGTATTAAAGAAAAAGTAGAACAATTTAGACAACAGCTTTTAGAGGTATCGTTGTACACAAATAAATTCTAGGTATTCGCATGCTTTTTTGTACATGATCGTTCTCCAAGTTCATATATGGCCGGATAATTTCACTAGAAGCCGGTTTGGGAAGGTTGAGAAACTAGAGATTATAATCTACCCCTGCCTCAACAGATTTTGAAAATTCTGGTCTGATCATGTCTAAAATTGACACAGTCACAGAACAGTACAAAACGGTCTGAATTTGATGGAAGCCTGATTAGCAGCCTCCGACTTGTATTTTATCAAGGAAAATGAGCCCCGTAAGTCTAAGAAAAAGAAACGTCATTTATCTCCTGCTGAAGAATCTTCCAAGAAACGAAAATCTCGAAGTCGTTCAAGTAGTCCTTCACGTCATCGTCGTTCTTCATCGTCATCGTCAAGTCCATCTCCTTCTGCATTGACTAAATCTCTGCAGGTAAGCCGGCCATACCTTGCATGTAAAATTTACGTGAATTGAACTTTTTAAAGCTATTCGTATTGAGATTTAGGCCATTTAAGTACCTTGCAGTGTTGAGCTGTGCATTTGTTGTGTATCGCTCTTCTGTTGCCCCATCTTTCAAAAAGCACTTCCTCGAATGTGCTCGGAATAATTAATACTCTTTGCCTTTATTCTTCAGTTTCTTTTTTTAAAACTATTTCAGTCGCTGAAGAGTTATAACTCGCCCGCTTCATCCCCACACTCCCGACAGCGTTCTCCTTCGCCGTCAACGGAGAAGAGACGGCGCGATAGCTCGCCAAGAAAAAAATCCTCGAAGAAAAAGCGATCAAGATCGAAATCTCCAAAGAGCAGTAAAAAAACTAAACGAAAAGATAGAAGTCGAAGTCGGAGTCCTCCAGCCAGCAAGAGTTCCAAGAAACCTAAATGACATGCATTTCAAAGAACTAGTGCTTAAATCATCTGAGATCTTGGAACGCTTCTATCCATGCTGTCGTTACATTCAATGCTCGCAATAATTGTCATTGAAAAAATGAAGTTCATGAACGTTCCGATGCTTTTCACAAACGTGAAGTGAATAACAAGTGTCCAAAAAACCTACTCGTATATAAGATACAGTGCTGTATTTTACATACATTCAGATGACTTTCTTTCGCGTGGAAATCAGCGACGTCATTCCTTTCATTCAAACTGAAGGCCCTAGTTTTTAGCATCTAATAGCCTAGCAGGATTGGAATGCATTATGACAAAATATATATCGCTTTGCGATCTTGGAGGACAATGATTTATTGGTGTATTGAGAAGGGGCTCAATCAACGTCATAAAACTTCAGGGTTACATAGTGACAATGTTTTTATCCACGTTGATTTTGATAAATAACCTTTTTTACTCAATTTTGCCTGTTGAAAAGCAGTCATTCTGTCAAACTTCGACTTTTTTTAATTTTTTTCAGCACATATTTATGATAACAGAGAGCTCCTCTTTGATAAATACACTTCTGAAATAACTACTGACGTGTAGATTATTCATCTTTACACTTGTACATCATATGTATTAAAGATATAGAACTAGAAACGAGAAATTATACTATTTGATATGCAAGGAAATCTTCGAGACAATAAATTAATGACCTCGATCATTATATGGAATTTCTGAAGGACCGCGTGACCGTGTCGATTTGCCCAGCTCTTTAACACATTTATCCAATATTTAGTGCTGCTAGCAGTATTTTTGTTTTTTGCATTTTTTTGTAACTCTAGTATTAAGTTCGAGATTGGGGAATCTTTGCTCACCGCTAGCTCCGTCCATGTTTATTTCTTTTAACAGTTTTTCAACTTTGTCTTTTCGCGGGCATTTTGCTTGGATTTGATTGGCTAATCTCATTTTTTCAACAAATCATATATATTTGTAACAGGATTTTGCACTGTTGTTACAGAATTTTGCACTGTTACACATTTTTGCACTACTGTTTGGGATTAACTGCACTGAAATCAACCAATCAGGGTCGAGAAACATTTTTTTGTATATTATTAACTCTGCAACCATACTTTGAGAGTGTAACATTGTTACCTCCCTGCACAAAATGTGCAATCATTTTAATCCATTTGAGGTATAAATACTATAACCAAGTTACAAGTGTATGAAAAATATGTAGCAGACAGATATTCTTTGAGAATTTGATGGCTTGTAAGTTTTTCATCCGTCGTTGATAATAATCAATATACAAAACATATTCCACATAGATGCGTCCTTAGGATTCTCAGTTTTTTTGCTCATGTGGTCTTGAAATATGAACCAATTAGATTTTGCCTGTCCCTATCTTAACCCTATAAATGCTGGTGCGGACGCTTTTGAAAATGCTAGACTGTGAGAAGTCAGTTCAGGGGCGGGCAATATCAGTCACAGCATGGGGCAATCATTATATAATGATACCGTACAATTTCTTGAGCCATAACCCATAAAATATCGATAGTTTTCTTTCAATATAAACCCAAATTAAAAGTATCATGTGTTTACCATGCCATTATCAATAAAAGCTGAAAAGATCTTTTTTCATTTTAGGGATATTCTTGGTACAGAAAGCAGATTATGATAATTTGTCGTCTAGGTAATGATAAACTTTAATAATTATAGTTAACGACAGGAGATCAAATTTTGTTTTTATGTGTATTATTTTGTAGGAAAAATACAAATTTGCCAATTTAACTGACCCATATTGATCTTAAATATATGTTTTGTAGTGAATTCCGATGAACAGTTTATGGAAAGAATTTTAGTTTCGCATTATTTGAAAAGACATGTGAATCCGTGTGTGATCTTTTGTAACTATCTATTGTTTATCAATATCTCAGCCAGAGTCGTTCAGATTATTCATTAACGTATATATCTGTAGCAGGCTTTCACAGCACATACAGTGATTATTCACTATACCGACAAAAACTGACGTTTCACTTGGACTTTTTTCAAGGTAAGTGAGGTTTATACATTTTGTGGATTTCAAATTGTCCAGTTTGCAACATTTTTAAGGAGTTGAATAGGGAGATTTTCTATTATCTCGTTGATGTTAGCTTCTCCAAAATTGTAATCACAAAGTGTGTGACAAAGTTTATATTTCCTTCATTTTGCTCAGAATCGACCCACTCCTTATAGCTGCGTGCTACTGTATATGAAAAGAAACATATTTCAAACTTGCTATACATGCAGATTCTATTGAGCGTGTCATTTTATTAAAATCCGGGATATGTGTATATAATATGATTATCATTGGCTTTGTCTTCACCCGCGGTAATATAACTCAAAATATATAACCTCAGACATACCTGCATGCATGTCAGAACGTATATTGCAGCTGATTTGAATTACCTGAGCGTTCTATAAACATTACTTGAACGTTTCCGGTGTGGTATTATTATAATCCAGTGTTTTTACCTTAGTTTTCTTAAACTACCATCAACATTAAATTTATATTTAACGAGTTAGATAATGTTCTTGCAGATGGCTTTTTCTCTATAGAAATATAGTAAATTTTATAGAAAACAAATTTATTTTGTATAATGAGACAGTGTAAGGTTTGCGCCTCCACCGACTGTTCTATATAGAAATACTGCGTCTTTACTAGGTATAGAACTTTAGTCGATGAACATTTTGCAAGAAAGGTATTGTTTATCGACCCCACGCCAGGCCCAAGTCGGCTGAACACACGGCATATTTAAACCACATTGTATCCTAATATTGGTTTAATTTGGTATCATGAACTAACTTTTGGTCATTTTGATTGGCAAACATTTTGAGAATAAGTAAAATTAATTTAAGGAGGAGGTGGGAGGAACATTATGCACACCTCTATTATGCGGTCACAGCATTAGCCGAGCTGGCATAAAACAAACAGGACCCGCGGAATTCATTTCCGCACTTCCATTATATTTTTGAATAGCTTTTGGTGCTTTGAAAAAAAAGCAATTCTCGAAACTGATTATTTTGTTGACGATCTTGTATTTAAGACTCAAGAATCGCGTTCCAAACTGCGCAGGAGACAGATCTGTAAATTTTATAATATTTTTACACTCGCAGGACATTTATTATTTGTTGATTTTTCTTTCAAATTTTTTTAGAAAGGATGACAACTGTAATAAACGGCGTGATGAATGACGTTGGTAGGCTGTAGGACAGTTTCTATATTATAAAATTACTGAATACTTTAAGATGAAAACGCAGTATCGTCGAGGTCATTCGAGCCGTCGAAAACATTTTATTTTTTGTAGATTTTGGTGATGATCTGATATCTCCAAAGCGGGAAGATGTATATTTGAAAAAAGATGAAAAACTGGAGAATTTTTACGAGATACAAGAAAAATTAGGAGAGTGAGTGAGTTAATTCGAACTTTACTGAAACTTGTTGATTCCGTCACGGACCCACGGTACAGCTACAAGTTATAGGCAATACTTCATCACACAATCCATAAGGTTCACCAATTTCAAGAAAAAATATGTAATGTTGTAGCTGGGCGTTAATTAACATGCAATTACATTAATTATTAGGATTTTTCTTGTTTGTATTTGAACTGAAATATCTTGCGACATTTACATAGTCAATATTCTGGCGTAGTAATAGTAAAATTACACTGAATATTATACTACCGCGCACCAAATGCTAAATTTTATTGTGTCCATCCATCGAACAATACACTTATACACACATATATACCTTTGCCGCGTATAGAGCCGTACACGCCATTCAAAGGCCAATGTAATCTGATATCTATTGTAGAGGTAAATTTGGTACAGTATGTAAAGCAACGGAAAAGAGTACAGGAGCTGTCTATGCTGCAAAATATATCAAGATTACTCCAGCTTCGAGGAAAGAGGTCACAGAAGAAATAAATATGATGAATAAAATTCACCATAAAAGACTAGTTTATCTTTACGATGCTTACGAAACTCCAAATAATCTTATTATGATTATGGAACTGTAAGTCGCCAATGACATACGTTATCTCTGGGTACCCAAGCCTATACATTTACAGTATAACAGCAACTGACTATAAGCTCAGAAGTTAAATCCTTGAATTACATGAAGCTACATGTTGCTTTTGTTCTTCTCTTTATTTCACTATCATGATCAAGCTGTGCCGGCTGTAGAAAACATATGTAAAACGCCTCATTATTTAGTATCAGTTAGACTATTCAGCACATAAAAGCCTGGTGGAGTTTAAAGAATAATTAAACGTCTAATACACACAATTGCTCTCATTCTTCATCTTTTTTATCAACAGAGTCTCGGGTGGTGAACTTTTTCAAAAAATTGTGGATGAAGATAATTTAAACGAACCAAATTGTGCTCGTTATCTTATTCAAGTTTTACAAGGCATCCGGCATATGCATCGAAAAAACATTGTTCATTTGGATTTGAAGGTATCTGTTAAATATTGACAAATTAATCATGTGAGCATTGTATGTGGAAATTGCTCTATAATAGTATATATTATACGTTGTGTAAGTTGCATATATCGCGTCGTCATATGTAAGTTGACTACTTTTGTATACAACCGGCCCTATATAAGTCTATAGATCATATATGCGATGTAATATCCCTTTTTTAGCCAGAAAATGTTATGTGTGTTCCTCGCCCAGGAGAAATGGATGATATCAAGTTAATTGACTTTGGAATGTCGAGAGTTCTGGATCCTGATAAAGAACTAAAAGTTGCTTGTGGGACACCAGAATTTGTTGGTGGGTGAGAGCCTTTTTGGGATGTTTTTGAGTCAACCAGAAGATTATAGTACTCGTATTTCATATTTCGCTTGTCCCTGTTGATGTTTCTTGGCTTTTAAATTTTGGTGCCTATATTAATACTGAACCGCTTTTATCATCTCTCTTAGCTCCTGAGGTTATAAGTTTTGACCCAATTCGCTTAGCAAGTGACATGTGGTAAGCTCAATTAACATGTTGCCTATCCTTTTCAATTCAGTTTGTTGCTTGGGGCAAACTGCACCTTTTGCCCGTCATGAATGACAGCGACTAAAAACACATGCATGTATACTTTCTTTTGCGTGTCTTAGGAGCGTTGGGGTGATTACTTATATTTTGTAAGTAACGTTGTAGTAAATTTTTAGTGGACTGTTGCAATTGATTTTATGCCTATTTAGGGCCGGATGTTTTTACAGCTAGACTATATCATTTTTTAAATTTTAGATTGAGTGGTCTTTCACCATTCATGGGGGATGATGACAATGAAACAATCAGTAATGTTTGCGCAGGAGAATGGGACTTTGACACAGAAGATAATTTCTTTGAAGACGTCAGTCAAATGGCTAAAAATTTTATATCGGAACTTCTAAAAATGGATCCAAGGTAGGTATATCGGACATGATATTATTTATATATATCAGCGTTAGAGCGAGTAAGAGAGTGAAATGCCGTGCCACTGCCACTGCCACTGCCACTGGCGAACAAAAAAGGCTGGGCATAATTTTTTCATATGTCACTCAAATTTTCTAGTGATAGAAACACAGTGGATCAATGTTTATCTCATGACTGGACACAGGTAGATATTTTATCGATTGTATATTTAGTAATTCTAATCCTATTTAAAGTCACCCTATATTTCTTTATGAAGCAAAGCCCTATAATCCGGTTTGTGTGAACACAAACATCGTCCTTGATAAATCTCAATATCATACGCAACCTTATTTTTAAAATTGTACATTCATTTTTTATGACCTTTACTACCAGAAAGCGCCTGGGTTGCAAGCGAAAAAACTGAAGACGGATAATATGAAAAAATTCTTGGCAAGAAGGAGATGGGCGGTGGGTAATCGTTTAAGCTTGCTTTCATTAGTGTTCCGTCTTTAAAGCCTGTTTTCCACTAGGCGGAATTTTGCTCGCGGAGCGGAATTTTTCTTTGTTTTTCTCACATTAGTTCTGCGTGAAAGCGCGCTGACAATTAAAAATTCCGCTCCGCGAGTAAATTTCCGCCTAGTGGAAAACAGGCTTAAAAACGTAGCGATACGCAATCCTCAAAAATACCCTTTAACTCAGATATTCCTTTGTTAAACTATATGTTGCAATAATAGTATATTTCCATGTTCGCGTGTAATGTTGTGTAATCTTTTTTTATAACCTAGAAAACAGGAAATGCCTTGCGTGCCATAACAAAACTTGGTTCATTAAGTCTAAAGAAAGGGATGAAATAGTGTTCTTTGGTTCCTATATTGCGTGGACCAACTAAGCCTAAAGAAGGAAATATATTTGCTTCAGTAAGCGAGTCAAGAAAAGCAGAAACCACTTTAGTTCATTCCTTGAAATTGTAACGAGATCTCGAATGAAAATATTAGAATGGAGTGTGGTGCGACAATAATTGATCTTTAAAAGATACTTCATATTATCGACATTATTGAAATTGCCAAATTATCTAAGAGTATAAAGAAACAGTATGATTTTATAATCAACATGTAAATGCCGCTCTAAATATTGCTGAGTTCAGCTCCAGCTCTTGCAAGAGTTGTTTTGTATCCAAGCACGAATCAGTTTTTAAAATTTCATGTCATCGTGTTCAGGTCAAATTTCTACCAATTTCAAAGATTGTACTCGGCAACTTTTTGCACTTTTAGCGGCAACGTTTTTGCAAACAAGCAACTTTGAATAACTTTTGCTAAAAGTAGTAATATTGGCAACTGGTCATTAGAATTTCTATACGTTTTGTTGTTTAATTAAACATTTTCCCCATCCATATTGCGCCAGTCATTTTCCTGTTCACTCTCTAAACAGGCTTTATAATAGTTAAAAAGCTAATTTAGCTCTGTGTCTGGTAGACCTATAAATAACCTTGTTTAACGCGTTAATTTTGTACACTTAGTTGCTGTGATGCAACACTTCGTTGAACGGTTGAACTGTTGAAGTTATAAAAAGGGTGATAAGTGATTTACGCTGTCAAATGTGAATCATATCTCAGAGATAAACATATGAAGCAGACAGTCAATTTCTATGCAGAAATCACTCAAGTTTCAAAGGATTTTTCTCTTCATTTTTAGCCTTCATTCTTTTTGTAACTGATTTTCGGCCTTTGGGGCATCTTTAATTTTTGGCAACTTATTGAGGAACTTTTTGCGATTTACTGACTGGCACAATCTGTCTGTGCCTATTAGGTTTGGTATCTGTCTATCTGTCCCAATCTAAATAAAAATTCTTTAAAAAATTTTAATAAAAATTCCTTAAAAAACTCAACATTTTTTACATATACCCAAGTTTTGAACGTCTTGATGTATATACTAAAATTTTGAAAATTTTCAAACATTTTCATAGAAACCCTAGTGTTTTTAAAAAGCTGGGTAATGTCACCGTCACATTCACTTCACCGTCAGCCTCGTATCCAATCATTCCAATGAATCCAATGGTATAATTTCATAATATGGAGTATTTACTGCTACCCAAAATACCGCTGGCAGTTGACGTGACGACCTCAACTCAACATTCAACAACCACCTTTTTTATTATATTTTTTTGTAATTTTGAAAGTATAATATAGATTGTGAAATAGCAACTTTCATTTTCTTTTGCACTTTTATTGCTGTCAGGTTTATAAGAAAATATCGATGATTGTTTATCGTAGGATAAGCTAAACTGATTAGATGACGTCCACCGAATTGGTATGTATATAAATAAATAATCAACCGATTGATTGAAATGTCAAAATGTAAACACTTAAGACTGTTTAGTTATTGTGTTAAGAAATATTTATTCAACCTTACAGATGGGGGTGGAAATGAATAACTACCAGCTACCACATAAGGCAAAAACTTTTTCAGGCTTGATTGGCATTGGCATAATGGCATTCATTACAACCCATGCTAAAGATCTACAATGCAACCTGTTCTCTGAAATATTTAGGCATGGGGCCTTGGGCCTTTGCGCACCTTACAGGAATAAAATTGAGTTCCTTTTTAAATTTCAAGGTGGTCTCATTTTGATTTAAATTGGGTCTGCCATTCACTTGCACCTCTTTTTTTTTATCAAAACCATTTTCAGGTGACTTTTACTTTCCAGTATTAGGTTCTTGAATTATTATTTTTAGATTCTGCGTTGCCAGTATCAAGGTGGACAAAGACATGTAGTAAAAGGCTTATTTCGAAATTCCTTTGTCAAAGACCTTAAAGAAAAAATTTTCCATATCACAGATGTTCCAGTTGAACTACAAAGAAGTACGTAGGATATGTATTAAGTTATGTACAACTTTTTTCTTTAAATTTTCTTTAAACCTTTAGTAATTGTTTGTCACTATTAGTCTTAATAGGCTTTCCTCCAAAGGAGATAAACATAAACAATGAAAATGCATCACTGTCAAGTATTGGTATAAGAACTGGAGAGACATTAATCATAGAAAAAGATCATCATTTGCAAACATCTGAATCTAGAAATAGAATAATCACAAAGTTAACAAGGAAGTAAGACATAAGTTAACAATGGTTTGTGCTATAATTATATAGTTCTAATTTAGAAGACAAGTCCTGGTAAGCTAAGTTTTTCATATGTATAACCTTGAAATAAAATACAATAAAATCTTGAAAAAATTTGAGGTGCCAACTAAGATAATAATGATTCCAAACCGAAAACAGAAGAACCAACCTCGTACCCCAGCATCTTTTACCAAGAACTGCATCATATAATAATCTGAAGATTACATTAAATAATATCATAGAAATTTCATCATTTTCTTTATAGGACAATTCCTGCTGATAATTCATGTTTATTTGCTAGCATAAGGTAATAAGTTGTTATGCCTATAATTTTTATCATCCTTATGGAGTCCTTATGAAGTTATTTACACACAGAAACTTCCAATATATATCAGATATATTCATCAATGATATTTTTAGTTAAGCATGTTATGTTGGAAAAAGTCTCAACCTCAATGCTTTTTAGTTATGTTATGCTTGGAAACACATCATTTTCCAGCGAACTTCGCAAGTTGATAGTGGAAACAGTTTCAAGAGATCCAGTAACATTTAATGAAGCATTTTTGGGCAGATCCAATAAGGAATATTGTGAATGGATTTCAAATCCTGAAAGGTGGGGAGGTAAGGTATTAGGGCAACTGGTTCCAGGAGAGGAGTCTGAATATGACAATGACTTTTACTGACACAGTTTTGCCCACTTCCTATTTTCAATGAAATCTTATGCCCAATTTTCATCACTGTTGTAATGCCCTTCTCAGCGCTGAAAATTGGTCATCTCTATTGTGTTCTATGTAGGTGCTATTGAGATATCAATATTAAGCAAGTATTATGAAACAGAGATTAATGTTGTCAACACAGAGAATGGGCGGATAGATCAATTTGGTAGGTGTTATAAGCTAAATGAGCTGAAGTAGGTTTACAGTTGGAATTTTCAGAAAGTAAACTTATTTCCATAACAGAGGCTCTAGGAAAGTGTTTCACGAACATTTACCCGACAGCCGAAATCGTCAGTGTATTTGTAGAAATTTCCAGCCTTGCCAACACAGCTAAATTCAGTCTCGGGTTGAAAATGCTCCATTTATTGCTGCCCTTAGATGTAATGTTTTGATCGCATGTCAGCCCGTACGTCATAACTCATATGCAACGACAACTACACAAATTCCTGATTAAATGATTTCAATCTATGCCATGAGTTTCGTGGAGGAGAGAAGAGTCTAAACCTTCCAAACCCAGACGATTTATGCTGGGATGCGTTAGCATAATTTTACCTTAGTTTTGAGAGATTTTTTGACCACCTGCATGCCCGGGGATCCTCAGGTATAATGGATGGTTAACTTAACTGGTGCCGTGGTCATGCTCTTATAGTGTCTTTTAGTAAAACTAGGTGGGATTTTGTAGCATTCCATTTCTCTATACCATCCCAAATTCGTCTGGGCCATCTCATTGCACGGAACCTCATTGCATGGAACGTAGTCGATGATAATCCAGGAATGAAATTCTTCACAACTTATATATAGGCGAGAATGAAAATTACAGTAACAGGGTGTTCCTGATATACGATGGCATTCATTACGATCCTCTGGTCTTCAACGCAGATGGTAAACCGATACAAACGGTTTTTAATTCAAAAGATGATGCATGGCTTGCCGCTGCTCGTGAAGTTGGCGATGAAGCACGCAAGGTAAAACGTCATATTTCCTTTGAGGTGGTTAAATATACGGTATTCGCTTATCAACAGCTTTTTCAGTCAACCAGGTTTTTTCCAGGTTTGAAACATTTCATTATTTCATAAACTCCTGTACGACCATTTCAGGATTGTCGGGAAATTAGGCGTTTTAGTTGATTGTTGATGTCTTTTTAATGACGATAATAACCCTTAAACAGACGTAAGAGTTTTACATTTAAAAAATGTACATTGATTCTATATTTACAAGAGTATAACATGCATAGTAACTTATGTCTAATAAAAGCATGAATCTAAAGTTCGAAGAGACGTCTGTTTATAAATACTCGTTTAAATCTCTCAGTCCTAACTTTGGGTAAAATATAGGTGTGTTTGCGCTCTCTCCAAAGCCTTGTTCTCTTCGGTGGCAATAGCTCGTTTAATGGATTGCCAGGGTTACTTACAATGCAGTGATACCATTTCCCTGTTTCTTTCAAATGCCTTCTCCTAATATAGCATTTTGAATTGTTTTAATTAACGATAGATCTAATGCATGAAGCTTCTTGCAATTTTTAGATGAACCAATTTACAAACGTGAGCAAGTTTAAATTGCGATGTATAACCTGTGGTTTTGCATTGACCGGGCAGGAAGCTGCTCTTGGACACGCCAAGGAGACTGGACACACAAATTTCGGTGAAGTTTGAAATATAAAGAGATTATATATGCCTTGTAAAGTCCATCCACGTTCGAAAATTGTATCCTTCATTTGAATGTCTTCAATGAACGTCCTTTAATTGTTGCAAAAACATAATCCCATCCCATCCCGATTAGTCATTTGTATTATTTCGGCATTGCACTCTTGTAACGTATTACAACTTCACAGTATCTTTTGTAAATTGTATGTAAATAATCTTTATGCTTTATGATCATTACTATTATAAAGAATATAATTTATTGCTTCATACGTCCAATGGAAAGGAATGAATGCATGGAACACACTTGGAATGCAAAATTTGCTTCGGCAAATTAAACAGTGCTGTTGACAACCGATTTTGAGATGTGCAACGCAACACTAGTGCATATACAATTTAGCCTGTGGTGACAGTGGTGTTAACCCCGTTTTTCAAGAATTTGCCATGGGGTTCCTAGAATAATCCATTCTGTGTGTGTTTCAGTTTTTATGATGCACTTGGTTATTTTATACATGTGTTTAATCTCTGCACGTTCGTGTAACCGTATAAAAACTGCAAAACTAAAAAATATTAGCCCTGTTTTCACCACATGCATGCACATGACATTTCGGGATCTTATATAGATAGAGTTATAACAGCCTCTAGAAGACCAAACTGCTAAAAACTCCCACGCCACTCGAGCTCCGTCCCGCTGCCGCATCTTGGATGTCCATGCATAATAAAAAGCATGCAGTAACTTAATTTTATTGCCCTTCGAAAATCATCATCCCTGCTTGTTTGCTGCCCTGCATAGCCATGGAGTACTTTAGACATCAAATTGAAAGTCCGCATGCATGACATTTTATTGTTGTATACTATAATATAATTTACTATAAGTAAAACGCGCTGCATCCTGCTTTCATTTGCGCTGCATGCACGATATAAAACAGTGAAATGTCTTATTAAAATTACAATTAATTTTTAGCCACATTTTCAGCTGCATTTTTATAAGGAAGTGCATGGAAAAGACCGAGCCGACGAATAACTGATCTCTATAAACAACATGCATGAACCAGTCGATTAACTGGTTGATTTTTTTACACTATGTCTATAGTCTATAGTTGTTTTCTGCTACTAATTAATAGGCTAGTTTCATGTGTGAAGTATATCTCTAACCGCATTGTAATCTACTCGTCTTTTTAATTTATATTTTATGTCTTATAAATACAATTATCTTACAAGACACAATTGAAACTGCATGTCATGCAATGTTAGGAGAAAAGTTTATTACAGTCGATTCCGGGAATATGGTCTTTTTATATATTGTTGAATGTTGTTATTTGACTTTTGCCTGAATGAATGATTGATTGGCGGCTCACTGCATATCGATGAATATACGAATGTCTAATAAATATTAAATTATTAATATCGCCTCCCTTTGGCTTTGTTTTAAAGTATAGTAACAGCAATAAATTAAATGTGACTGCTTCAGTTTATTATTAATAAGGAATGCGATCTTAATTAAAAAGTAAGTAAATTCATATCAACTGCAGTCTGCATATACTAAATCATTTTAATTACTTGGTCAGCCCGAACTCGGCTTTAGTTAAAAAAGGAAAAAACAAGATGCCAGAAGAACCAAAGCCAAAGGAAAAATCGTTATTTATCGAATTTACAGAATCAACAACTCTTCATGGAATCCGACATGTTTTTTGTGGCGACTCGAAACTTCGTCGCTTGATATGGTTTGTGTGTACCCTTGGATCAACTGCAGTCTTTGTCACGTCCAGTGCAAAGCTGTTAAACTCTTATATCAGAGGAGATATTGCCACTCGAATCACCGTCAAACATCAAAATAATATAATGTTTCCCGCCGTCACTATCTGCAATTTCAATCCACTACGGAAGAGTTACCTGAAACAACTAAACATCTCAGATCCTGAAAGATTCGCTCGTATTTTGCTCTATGAAGCAGAGCCGAATGATGCTGACCGTAAGAAGTTTTTCTTAACCTATGTTAATGCAGAAGAATTTTTTAGAAACGGAAGTCATAAAATAAAAGAAATGCTGCTCAATTGCACACTACAAGGAAGAAAATGTTTACCAGAAGATTTCCAACTGGTCGATACAAATATGGGTTTCTGTTATACGTCTAACTTTGGTAAGAAACCAAGAAATTCTATAATACCTTGTTTTATAATTTATTTATTTTTTAATTGTCTTTATTGCTGTATAATTATATATATATATATATAGATAAAAGACTTGCAAATTCTAGCAAGATCTTCAAACCGGGAGAAAGGTATGGTTTATCTATGACGCTAAACACTCAAATTAAAGAGTATACTCACAGACTTGCTCCAGCGATTGGATTCAAAATTTTAGTCCAAGAGAAAAACGAGGTTCCACTCACCGACGTAAATGGTTTTGCAACGATGACAGGAGTGTCGACGTTTGTTGCAATCCGGAAAAATGCGGTAAACAAAGCACTTTTTTGGAAAACAAATGACAAATATAATGCATTTGCATGCAGTTTTTTTATTATTTTGATACACTCTATACTCACTATAGTCTATAGAAACAAACATTTATTTTTGCATGTAGGTGAAATCATTACCCTGTGAAAACAGACGAACTTTGGACAAATCATTGTATACAAGAGCTAAGTGCTTTGAAGATTGCAGAAGAAGATATATTTTTAAAAGATGTAATTGCACCTATCCCACAGGCATGGGTAAATTCATCACTTTGTCTTTCACTGGAATGCCTCTCCATGCCATGCAGATGACTACAATTATAGTCATGAATGGATCATGCATATAAATCAAATTGTATTTTTTGATGCAGGGCCTTACCAGTCGTGCACACTGGAAAAGCTGTTCACATGTGTTGCCTACGAAGACGGTGAGTATATATTTACAACTATATTTAACTGAAGCTGTTTGAATATTTCTCTTTACAAGCACTGTGAAGTCCCATTTAAACTATACGCACAATTTTAGATTCAGTAAATGAAATTTTGATTATTTATTCAGTCGGTAATCCAAATTTCATCAATCTCAATTTTATCCTACTTTGACTAACATGCATGCAGTTTAGCGGTTTAAAATTTCATCCGGCGTATCATTTTCTCTGTACCGTACCAAAAATTCTGCGTAATGTAAAATGGGACTTGAAACAGCCGTTTTAGTTTAGTTATCCTAGTTTAGTTTAAAGATTTATGGTGGCGCCTCGTGAAATTAAGCACCTCGTCAAACTATGGTGGCGCCTTGTGAAATTTGGATCCCATGCCTCAAGGCGTAGTTACACGAGAACCCAAAGGCGTGAATTTTTGACGAAACACTGCTTCCCTTCCATATTTATTAATGGGATTTCTAGATATCTAAGCACTGGTGCCCAAAGTCAAAACAGTTGGTAAAACACGCCTTACAATTGATTGAACACAATTATAATACAATGGAAGTTTACTATGATATAAACAGGCTGTTTCGTAGTTGTTTATATCGAGATTTATATATCTGAGGCAAAATAGTAGCAACATTTTTTTTTCAGTATTTGTCGCAGTGCGGCTCAATTAACAACATTGCTTAATTTGTTTTTACAAGAACGATTTGCTTCACTCGTGAATATGTGTTCATGTCCACAACCTTGTGAACACGTCTTCTATGGCACAACTCTATCGTATGGCATCTACGAACCAGAAACGGTTTACAGCACCGATCTCATTGAAGCATATTTGGAAAAGTATTAAATTATATAAGATCACTATAGTTAAATACGCAATTCTGTTACTCCCTGTAACGTGTTTTGAAGCCAGTATCTTTCATTTAGAAATAGTTATGTTCAAGTGAAAATATTCTTTGAAGACTTAAGTGTTACCGAAGTTAAAGATATGCGAAAATACAGTTGGTCTGACCTGCTTGGTAAGTAAATTGCCATAGAGAACGCGCAGAGTCCACATTCCATGAGGTTGACTCACCTAGGTGAATTTATTCGCGCGACGCAAAGCAAAAATTTCACAAAAAGTAGCATAAGGCATAAACGTTGGGAAATACACAAAATTTTCGATTCTAGGACCATCTGCCATGCGGCTACTTGCAAAATTGCATTTGCGACGGGATTAGGGCAAAAATTAGGCCTAAAATGAAAGTTTTATGTTGGGAAATTTAATTTAGTTCATCAGCAGGGCAGGCTCTTATTGTTGTGGTAGAAGTTACTAAAGTAAAACCTTTCCTCTTTTGGTGTTATACCAAATAGTATTCGAATAGGTTTATTTTCACTGACATTCTGAAACTGACGGGGAGATTTATTTTTTGAGTTATTCAGTTCGCCTAAAATTATTTTCACTTCATGTAGCTGCAGCTGGTGGGATGCTGGGGTTATTACTTGGAGCAAGTGTTTTAACCGTTGTGGAGTTCCTTGAACTCTTAATAACACTTCTCGGAACAAGGTTCTCAAAAAACAAAGTCAGAGCCATCAACAGTCGCTAAAATCCAATCATACATATTCACGACAAAGAGAACATTTTCGTATGCATTTTATATGGAACCAATGCCAATTGGATTAGCATGTGTTAAAGATCTTTTAACACGATCCAATTTTGTTTGATCCAACCATCCAACTCACTTTTGATGGATGTTTTATAATCTGTTGTGTAATGTACTGTATATGAGCAGCAAACCCACTGAAGCCAATGCACTATTGCTTCATCAATAATTGCCATTCATTATCCAGATGACATTTCAGGATGCTTATAGATAGAGTTATAACAGCCTCTAGAAGACCGAACTGCTAAAAACTCCCACGCCACTCTAGCTCCGTCCCGCTGCCGCATCTTGGATGTCCATGCATAATAAAAAGCATGCAGTAACTTAATTTTATTGCCCTATACGAAAATCATCATCCCTGCTTGTTTGCTGCCCCGCATAGCCATAGAGTACTTTAGACATCAAATTGAAAGTCTGCATGAATGACATTTTATTGTTATATAATATAATTTACTATAAATAAAACGCGCTGCATCCTGCTTTTATTTGCGCTGCATGCACGATATAAAACAGTGAAATGTCTTATTAAAATTACAATTAATTTTTAGCCACATTTTCAGCTGCATTTTTATAAGGAAGTGCATGGAAAAGACCGACTCAACTAACATCTGATCTCTATAAACAACATGCATGAACTAGTCGATTAACTGGTTGATTTTTTTACACTATAGTTGTTTTCTGCTACTAATTAATAGCTAGGCTAGTTTCATGTGTGAAGTATAACTGTAACCGCATTGTAATCCACTCGTCTTTTTATTTTATATTTTATGTTTTATATACAATTATCTTACAAGACACAATTGAAATTGCTTGCCACGCAATGTTAGGAGAAAAGTTTAATACAGTCGATTCCGGGAATGTGATCAATTTATATATTGTTGTTATTTGACTTTTGCCTGAATGATTGATTGATTGGCGGCTCACTGCATATCGATCAATATACGAATGTCTAATAAATATTAAATTATTAATATCGCCTCCCTTTGGCTTTGTTTTAGAGTATAGTAACAGCAATAAATAAAATGTGACTGCTTCAGTTTATTATTAATAAGGAATGCGATCTTAATTAAAAAGTAAGTAAATTCATATCAACTGCAGTCTGCATATATACTAAATCATTTTAATTACTTGGACAGCCCGAACTCGGCTTTAGTTGAAAAAGGAAAAAACAAGATGCCAGAAGAACCAAAGCCAAAGGAGAAATCGTTATTTATCGAATTTACAGAATCAACAACTCTTCATGGAATCCGACATGTTTTTTGTGGCGACTCGAAACTTCGTCGCTTGATATGGTTTGTGTGTACCCTTGGATCAACTGCAGTCTTTGTCACGTCCAGTGCAAAGCTGTTAAACTCTTATATCAGAGGAGATATTGTCACTCGAATCACCGTCAAACATCAAAATAATATAATGTTTCCCGCCGTCACTATCTGCAATTTCAATCCACTACGGAAGAGTTACCTGAAACAACTAAACATCTCAGATCCTGAAAGATTCGCTCGTATTTTGCTCTATGAAGCAGAGCCGAATGATGCTGACCGTAAGAAGTTTTTCTTAACCTATGTTAATGCGCAAGAATTTTTCAGAAACGGTAGTCATAAAATAGAAGAAATGCTGCTCAATTGCACACTACAAGGAAAAAAATGTTTACCAGAAGATTTCCGACTGGTCGATACAAATATGGGTTTCTGTTATACGTCTAACTTTGGTAAGAGACCAAGAAATTCTATAATATTTATTTATTTTTATAATTTATTTATTTTTAATTGTCTTTATATATTGCTGTATAATTATATATATATATATATATATATATATATATATATATATATATATATATATATATATATATATATATATATATATATATATATATATATATATATAGATAAAAGACTTGCAAATTCTAGCAAGATCTTCAAACCGGGAGAAAGGTATGGTTTATCTATGACGCTAAACACTCAAATTAAAGAGTATACTCACAGACTTGCTCCAGCGATTGGATTCAAAATTTTAGTCCAGGAGAAAAACGAGGTTCCACTCACCGACGTAAATGGTTTTGCAACGATGACAGGAGTGTCGACGTTTGTTGCAATCCGGAAAAATGCGGTAAACAAAGCACTTTTTTGGAAAACAAATGTAATGCATTTGCATGCGGTTTTTTATTATTTTGATACACTCTATACTCACTATAGTCTATAGAAACAAACATTTATTTTTGCATGTAGGTGAAATCATTACCCTGTGAAAACAGACGAACTTTGGAAAAATCATTGTATACAAGAGCAAAGTGCTTTGAAGATTGCAGAAGAAGATATATTTTTAAAAGATGTAATTGCACCTATCCCACAGGCATGGGTAAATTCATCACTTTGTCTTTCACTGGCATGCCTCTCCATGCCATGCAGATGACTATAATTATAGTCATGAATGGATCATGCATATAAATCAAATTGTATTTTTTGATGCAGGGCCTTACCAGTCGTGCACACTGGAAAAACTGTTTACATGTGTTTCCCACGAAGACGGTGGGTATATATTTACAACGATAACTATATTTAACTGTAGCTGTTTGAATATTTCTCTTTACAAGCACTGTGAAGCCCCATTTAAACTATACGCACAATTTTAGATTCAGGAAATGAAAATCATTATTTATTCAGCCGGTAATCTAAATTTCATCAATGTCAATTCTATCCTACTTTGACTAACATGCATGCAGTTTAGCGGTGTAAAATTTCATCCAGCGTATCTTTTCTCTCTGTACCGTACCAAAAATTCTGCTTAATGTAAAATGGGGCTTGAAACAGCCGTTTTAGTTATCCTAATTTAATTTAAAGATTTATGGTGGCGCCTCGTGAAATTAAGCGCTTCGTCAAACTATGGTGGCGCCTTGTGAAATTTGGATTCCATGCCCATGGCGTAATTACACCGGCGAAAACCCAAAGCCGTGAATTTTTTACGAAACACTGCTTCCCTTCCATCTTTATATTTATTAATGGGATTTCTAGATCTCTAAGCACTGGTGCCCAAAGTCAAAACAGTTGGTAAAACACGCCTTACAATTGATTGAACACAATTATAATACAATGGAAGTTTACTATAATATATACAGGCTGTTTCGTAGTTGTTTATGTCGAGATTTATATATCTGAGGCAAAATAGTAGCAACATTTTTCAGTATTTGTCGCAGTACGGCTCAATTAACAACATTGCTTAATTTGTTTTTACAAGAACGATTTGCTTCACTCGTAAATATGTGTTCATGTCCACAACCTTGTGAACACGTCTTCTATAGCACAACTCTATCGTATGGCATCTACGAACCAGAAACGGTTTACAGCACCAATCCATTTGAAGCATATTTGGAAAGGTATTGAATTATATAAGATCACTATAGTTAAATACGCAATTCTGTTACTCCCTGTAACGTGTTTTGAAGCCGGTACCTTTCATTTAGAAATAGTTATGTTCAAGTGAAAATATTCTTTGAAGACTTAAGTGTTACCGAAGTTAAAGATATGCGAAAATACAGTTGGTCTGACCTGCTTGGTAAGTAAATTGCCATAGAGAACGCGCAGAGTCCACATTCCATGGGGTTGACTCACCTCGGTGAATATGTTCGCGCGACGCAAAGCAAAAATTTCACAAAAAGTAGCATAAGGCATAAACGTTGGGAAGCACACAAAATTTTCGATTCTAGGACCATCTGCCATGCGGCTACTTGCAAAACTGCATTTACGACGGGATTAGGGCAAAAATTAGGCCTAAAATGATTAAATGATGAAAGTCTTATGCTGGGAAATTTAATTTAGTTCATCAGCAGGGCAGGTTCTTATTGTTGCGGTAGAAATTACTAAAGTAAAACCTTTCCTCTTTTGGTGTTTACCAAATAGTATTCGAATAGGTTTATTTTCACTGATATTCTGAAACTGACGAGGAGATTCATTTTTTGAGTTATTCAGTTCGCCTAAAATTATTTTCACTTCATGTAGCTGCAGCTGGAGGGATGCTGGGATTATTACTTGGAGCAAGTGTTTTAACCATTGTGGAGTTCCTTGAACTCTTAATAACACTTCTCGGAATAAGGTTCTCAAAAAACAAAGTCAGAGCCATCAACACTCGCTGAAATCCCATCATACATATTCACGACAGAGAGAACGTTTTGGCATTTTAAGCAAGAAAGATACCACCACGAATGTTAGTGATACGGCAAAGCCGGGTTTCACAAAAAAGTGTTTGAACCATTTGAAAAAAAAAACTAAAAATACATTAAAAATTCATACACATTCTGTATCCCTAGATTTACATCGTTCACTAACCGTTAGTTATAAGACTAAAAACTACCGTTTTTATAGTAAACAATTATGTTTTAGTATGTATGTAGTTTCATCTGCATTTTATATCGAACCAATGCCAATTGGATTATCCGGTGTTAAAGGTTTGTTAACACGATCCAATTTTGTTTGATCCAACCATCCAACTCACTTTTGATGGATGTTTTATAATCTGTTGTGTAATGTACAGTAGGAGGCAAAAGTTTGAGTCCAGTGACTGTATTTCATTGTTTTAGCCGCATAATATACTATAATATTTTTCAGAAAACCTTACCGATAAGTGAGCTAGAAAAAAGTAAATAAGTAAACTGAAAAATACATGCTGTACAACAACTATGAGATGTTATGATATTCATTTAACGTATGTTAATGAGCAAACATGCATTACATGTCAATGCTTATAGTATCCCTCTTTTTTGCTCTTGAAACGGCCTTTATTCTTGCTGGCATAGATTCAATAGATTTTTTAATGTCACACGTTCTTTACCTTGCCAGCATCCGTTGACCACTTGCCTCGAGTCATCCTGGCTTGTGGGTCTATGCCTTGGCCTTTTCCGGTTAAAACGGTCCTACAAGTGCTCCATGAGTTTTAGATCTGGAATTTGAGGTGGAAAGCCATGAGAACGAGATCACCAGAACGAGTTTGTTTCTAAAAGATTTCTGGCACATAGAAGATGTGCATGTGCTTATGGTGATTATCACGTAGTTAGACGTGTGATCATCTTTGTACCAGATGAAATTCCATGTCCTCGAAGAATTGGATGATACTTTTCTTTAATTAAGATCCTATTATATCTTTCAATATTGCCAAACCCAGCATGACCGAAGCAGCTAAAAGTTTGCTTGAGTAGGATTTAGTTTCTTCGAACCTCTCCAAGGTTAGTTGCATATACCACCTTTTGAAATTCTAACTTTTTCTGCGATCTTACGAGGAAAGAATTCTTCAATACTTAATGAAACTATTTGTCCTTGTGCACCGTCACTTTGCCCTTTTTCCCACCCATCTTGGGCAGTGTAAAGGAATTAGAACTTTATTTTGTTATAATTTAGATAATTAGGACCAAAATAGTGTGCAATTAATATGGTTTACAGTACTGAAACACTAGCACGCATGTCTTAACTTGAATACGCTGCCAGGATTTAATACTGGAATTCTACAACGAGTGGACTCAAACTTTTGTCCCCTACTGTATATGAGCAGCAAACCCACTGAAGCCAATGCACTACTGCTTCATCAATGATTGCCATTCATTATCCAGATGACATTTCAGGATGCTTATAGATAGAGTTATAACAGCCTCTAGAAGACCGAACTGCTAACAACTCCCTGACCCACGCCACTCGAGCTCCGTCCCGCTGCCGCATCTTGGATGTCCATGCATAATAAAAAGCATGCAGTAACGAAAATTATTGCCCTACGAAAATCATCATCCCTGCTTGTTTGCTGCCCCGCATAGCCATAGAGTACTTTAGACATCAAATTGAAAGTCCGCATGCATGACATTTTATTGTTGAAAACTATAATATAATTTAATGTAAATGAACTGCGCTGCATCCTGCTTTTATTTGCGCTGCATGCACGAGAGTCATGTGAGCACAAGAAACTAATGTAAAACATGAAAATTCGCACGAATAAAATTGATATTTTTCCCGGAAACCTCAATATTAGGACTAGCTCTATTAGGACTGAATCGTCTACACGTATACAAGCATTTCACAGGGTATAGACCTAAAGACTAGACAAGATTTAACAGGGAGGGTAATCAAATTTTCCATATAAAACAGTGAAATGTCTTATTAAAATTACAATTAATTTTTAGCCACATTTTCAGCTGCATTTTTATAAGGTTGTGCATGGAAAAGACCGACCCAACTAACAACTGATCTCTATATAAACAACAGGCATGAACCAGTCGATTAACTGGTTGATTTTTTTACACTATGTCTATAGTCTATAGTTGTTTTCTGCTACTAATTAATAGGCTAGTTTCATGTGTGAAGTATATTTGTAACCGCATTGTAATCCACTCGTCTTTTTAATTTATATTTTATGTTTTATATACAATTATCTTACAAGACACAATTGAAATTGCTTGCCACGCAATGTTAGGAAAAAAGTTTAATACAGTCGAATCCGGGAATGTGATCAATTTATATATTGTTGTTATTTGACTTTTGCCTGAATGATTGATTGATTGGCGGCTCACTGCATATCGACCAATATACGAATGTCTAATAAATATTAAATTATTAATATCGCCTCCCTTTGGCTTTGTTTTAGAGTATAGTAACGGCAATAAATAAAATGTGACTGCTTCAGTTTATTATTAATAAGGAATGCGATCTTAATTAAAAAGTAAGTAAATTCATATCAACTGCAGTCTGCATATATACTAAATCATTTTAATTACTTGGACAGCCCGAACTCGGCTTTAGTTGAAAAAGGAAAAAACAAGATGCCAGAAGAACCAAAGCCAAAGGAGAAATCGTTATTTATCGAATTTACAGAATCAACAACTCTTCATGGAATCCAACATGTTTTTTGTGGCGACTCGAAACTTCGTCGCTTGATATGGTTTGTGTGTACCCTTGGATCAACTGTAGTCTTTGTCACGTCCAGTGCAAAGCTGATAAACTCTTATATCAGAGGAGATATTGTCACTCGAATCACCGTCAAACATCAAAATAATATAATGTTTCCCGCCGTCACTATCTGCAATTTCAATCCACTACGGAAGAGTTACCTGAAACAACTAAACATCTCAGATGCTGAAAGATTCGCTCGTATTTTGCTCTATGAAGCAGAGCCGAATGATGCTGACCGTAAGAAGTTTTTCTTAACCTATGTTAATGCAGAAGAATTTTTCAGAAACGGTAGTCATAAAATAAAAGAAATGCTGCTCAATTGCACACTACAAGGAAAAAAAATGTTTACCAGAAGATTTCCGACTGGTCGATACAAATATGGGTTTCTGTTATACGTCTAACTTTGGTAAGAAACCAAGAAATTCTATAATACCTTGTTTTATAATTTATTTATTTTTTAATTGTCTTTATTGCTGTATAATTATATATATATAAATATATATTATAATATAATATAATATTATATTATATTATATATATTAAGATAAAAGACTTGAAAATTCTAGCAAGGTCTTCAAACCGGGAGAAAGGTATGGTTTATCTATGACGCTAAACACTCAAATTAAAGAGTATACTAACAGACTTGCTCCAGCGATTGGATTCAAAATTTTAGTCCAGGAGAAAAACGAGGTTCCACTCACCGACATAAATGGTTTTGCAACGATGACAGGAGTGTCGACGTTTGTTGCAATCCGGAAAAATGCGGTAAACAAAGCACTTTTTTGGAGAACAAATGTAATGCATTTGCATGCGGTTTTTTATTATTTTGATACACTCTATACTCACTATAGTCTATAGAAACAAACATTTATTTTTGCATGTAGGTGAAATCATTACCCTGTGAAAACAGACGAACTTTGGACAAATCATTGTATACAAGAGCAAAGTGCTTTGAAGCTTGCAGAAGAAGATATATTGCTAAAAGATGTAATTGTACTTATCCCTCAGGCATGGGTAAATTCATCACTGTCTTTTACTGGAATGTCTCCATGCCATGCAGATGACTATAATTATAGTCATGAATAGATCATGCATATAAATCAAATTGTATTTTTTGATAAAGGACCTTACCAGTCGTGCACACTCGAAAAGCTGTTCACATGTGTTGTCCGCGAAGACGGTGAGTATATATGTTCAACTACATTTAACTGTAGCTGTTTGAATATTTTTCTTTACAGGCACTGTGAAGCCCCATTTAAACTATACGCACAATTTTAGACTCAGTATCAGTAAATGAAAATTATTATTTATTCAGCTGGGAATTCAAATTTCATCAATGTCAATTCTATCCTACTTTGACTAACATGCATGCAGTTTAGCGGTGTAAAATTTCATCCGGCGTACCATTTTTTCTGTACCGTACCAAAGATTCTGCTTAATGTAAAATGGGGCTTGAAACAGCCGTTTTAGTTATCCTAGACCTAGTTTAATTGAAAGATTTATGGTGGCGCCTCGTGAAATTAAGTGCTTCGCCTTCGTCAAACTATGGTGGCGCCTTGTGGGGAGTTGTGAAATTTGGATCCCATGGCGTAGTAACACGAAAACCCAAAGCCGTGAATTTTTGACGAAATACTGCTTCCCTTCCATCTTTGTTAATGGGATTTCTAGATATCTAAGCACTGGTGCCCAAAGTCAAAACAGTTGGTAAAACACGCCTTACAATTGATTGAACACAATTATAATACAATGGAAGTTTACTATAATATATACAGGCTGTTTCGTAGTTGTTTATATCGAGATTTATATATCTGAGGCAAAATAGTAGCAAAATTTTTCAGTATTTGTCGCAGTGCACGTGCGGCTCAATTAACAACATTGCGTAATTTGTTTTACAAGAACGATTTGCTTCACTCGTAAATATGTGTTCATGTCCACAACCTTGTGAACACGTTTTCTATGGCACAACTTTATCGTATGGCAGCTACGAACCAGAAACTATTTACAGCACCGATCCAACTGAAGCATATTTGGAAAGGTATTGAATTATATAAGATCACTACAGTTAAATACGCAATTCTGTTACTCCCTGTAACGTGTTTTGAAGCCGGTACCTTTCATTTAGAAATAGTTATGTTCAAGTGAAAATATTCTTTGAAGACTTAAGTGTTACCGAAGTTAAAGATATGCGAAAATACAGTTGGTCTGACCTGCTTGGTAAGTATATTGCCATAGAGAACGCGCAGAGTCCACCTTCCATGGGGTTGACTCACCTCGGTGAATATGTTCGCGCGACGCAAAGCAAAAATTTCACAAAAAATAGCATAAAGCATAAACGTTAGGAAATACACAAAATTTTCGACTCTAGGACCATCTGCCATGCGGCTACTTGCAAAATTGCATTTGCGACGGGATTAGGGCAAAAATTAGGCCTAAAATGAAAGTTTTATGTTGGGAAATTTAATTTAGTTCATCAGCAGGGCAGGTTCTTATTGTTGCGGTAGAAGTTACTAAAGTAAAACCTTTCCTCTTTTGGTGTTATACCAAATAGTATTTGAATAGGTTTATTTTCACTGACATTCTGAAACTGACGAGGAGATTTATTTTTTGAGTTATTCAGTTCGCCTAAAATTATTTTCACTTCATGTAGCTGCAGCTGGAGGGATGCTGGGATTATTACTTGGAGCAAGTGTTTTAACCATTGTGGAGTTCCTTGAACTCTTAATAACACTTCTCGGAATAAGGTTCTCAAAAAACAAAGTCAGTGCTATCAACACTCGCTGAAATCCCATCATACATATTCACGACAGAGAGAACGTTTTGGCATTTTAAGCAAGAAAGATACCACCACGAATGTTAGTGATACGGCAAAGCCGGGTTTCACAAAAAAGTGTTTGAACCATTTGAAAAAAAAAACTAAAAATACATTAAAAATTCATACACATTCTGTATCCCTAGATTTACATCGTTCACTAACCGTTAGTCATAAGACTAAAAACTACCGTTTTTATAGTAAACAATTATGTTTTAGTATGTATGTAGTTTCATCTGCATTTTATATCGAACCAATGCCAATTGGATTATCCGGTGTTAAAGGTTTGTTAACACGATCCAATTTTGTTTGATCCAACCATCCAACTCACTTTTGATGGATGTTTTATAGTCTGTTGTGTAATGTATATCAGTATATGAGATGCAAACCCACTGATGCCATGCACTTGCTTCATCAATAAACGACCAACTATATTCCATACGTCAGAAGTGAATTGGATCCAACAAAATTGGATGTTCACTCGTTTTGGTGGAACAAATTCATGGAAAAAAAAAGTGAATTATTCGTGAATCATTTGCGTATGCTAAAGGAACATGTAATATGAGGTCTGTATTTCTAAAGGTTTGGTACTTACATTGATTCACAAGTAAAAACTTTATAACTTAGTCAACCTAGATATAAAGTGACTTTATAACCATCACCATCAGATGGTCCAGTTCAGTTTAGTTTAGAGAATAGTAAATGTCAAACTAATTTAAACAAGATTTCACAAATCTTCTTTCTTTGTATCTGGAATGGTAAATGTAAGAGTGGCTTAAAATCTCAAAGTTAGTGGCCAAGTAGTGGTTATAAAATGCTAATAGTTACTTATAAATCCTTACAAATTACAGACCTTTGTCTGATTGTCTTATCACTACTAAAACAATACAGTAAAGTTGCTTCATTCAGTTTTTGGTGTTTCTCAAATATTAGATGCATATAAATTAAACATAGTTAGAACATCACAGATAGAGATCTGGGGCACCACACCTTTTTCATTATTTTTCTCATCCTGGAAAGTCAAGGATGCAGAGTTCATGCAGTATCTCTTCCCAGTTGGTCGAGGACCATCTTTAAACAAGTGTCCCAAATGAGCTCCACACTATAATAATACAAAATATAATAATGAAAATAAGTTGTGTTGCTGCAACTCAACCAGACAAAGGAGTTATACATTGATTAATCTTTCCTAGTTAAACCATAGTTTTACCTTAGCACAAACAATTTCAGTTCGTCTCATTCCATGAGATGTATCAACAATTTCCTTTACTGATCCATTTTGAATGACTTCATAAAATGATGGCCAACCACTTCCTGACTCAAATTTTGTAGTGGACGAGAAAAGCTCTTGGTTGCAAACAACACAACGATAAATGCCATCCTTGTGGTTGTCCCAATATACCCCAGTAAACGCCCTGTTTATTTACATAAAAATTGTTTATTTAAATAAAATTTAAGTAGACATGAACAGTTATTAAGAGAGTGATTGCAATCTTGCTGCACAGTGTAACTTTAGGGTCAAATAATTGCAGACAGAAATGTTAGCACAAATTCTTATGATCTGCAGCAAGGTGCTAGGTGCTCCACATTTTACCACTGTTAGTATTTTTTTCATTGGTAAATCAATTTCACAAGGCTTCAAATTAGGAGATATAATAATGATGTAATAATAATACTATACAGGCTAATAATAGACTAACTATATAGGTATTTAATAGGCATAAAAGTACCTTTCTGTTCCTGCATTTTGGGTGACATCAAACTGCTGAGGAGAAAGCCTTTCCTTTAATTCTTTAGGGTCAAACTTGATAGGGTAGTCTTCAGATTTTTGTGAACTTGCTTAACAAATATATTTTATGCAATACTCAAAAAATGTGTTCTGTATTTACCTCTATCAATAGATGGACAAGTTATATACTATATACTATAATCATGGCCATAGTTTTGGAAAGATTGAAAAATACATATATACCTGTATCACCCATGATAAAACTACAGCATACAAACAAAATTACAGCAATTTTAATAATTAAATTTCTATTCTCCCCCTTCGCAACAAGACATTTCATAATTTTTATTTTCGTTTATTTTTATATACAATAGAAAAAATAGAAAACAATGGCTTTAAACACGGATCGCAGGCTCGTGCAACAAGATTACCTCACCAAATTAATTGTGGGCCGGGCTGGGCGAGCTGGGATATAGGAAGAATAGAAGATATATGGATATAGGAAGGGGATTATGCTATGAAGCACCACCATGCTTGAGATCACACTAGATTTTCGTAAACGGACGATTTTAAACGCAAATAATCATATTTAGAACTATTCCATATGTATTATATATTTGACGAATTCACTTGAATCTGATTATGTTGACCAATAACAAAGCACATCTCCCCGCACCTCCCAGTCGCTATGCCACTGGCGAGTGACGAAAGGAAGCCAAAGGGGATCTTGAAATGACAAACGAGTACGTGACTCAGAGCATTTCTAGAGAGACATTTACATGAATTAACGCGGAACGAGTGTAAGATGATGACGCAGGTGGCCAGTGAGACGGGGATAGACTATACTCTTGAACTGCCTTGAAGTGATTTTAAGATACAAGTACGAACTTTAACACTCATGAAATTAACTTTTAGATCATTATTATCGACAATCAAATGTTTTTCGCCCATAATCATGAAATTATACAAACTACGAGCTTCCAGGAAACCGGCATTATTGTCTGTTGAAAATACCATTTAAATCTGATTGATGGGAAATAACGAGACAAGAATGAACATACGCACGTTACTGCATATGCTGTCATGCTGATGTTTTAGGCACTATCAGTTAAGATCGACGGTACTGGTTGACAATTTGGATATCGTGGCTGTTGTATAAGGGACCTTTTATTTTATTTTTTGTTCAGTACTAATCGAGTACGGATAATTTCAGAATGCATTTTATAAATCGGGTAGATAATGACGATAATGCACAGCGTTGGAGCATTGATATTCATGATCAATATGAACAACCTACATTTTGCCATTTTTGTACACCCACATTACCACGTTTTAACATTGAAAATCTTCAATATAGCTTGTGACATTTGTAATTACTCAGTTATTGTTATGCATTTCCTAACATTGAATTTCCCGTGGCACGATTTGTGACGCACATTCAATATCGCGGAACCACAAGTATGTGACTTTTCTCTGTCTGTTCACGTGCTAAGAGAATGCTGTCTACATGTTGAGGGAATGCTGCCCACATGATGGCCATGTTCCTGACATATGTTCTCTGCGTGTACAGCACGCGTTGATGACGCCCACCAACACCTGTTTATTCAACCAATCAGAGGCCGGATAGTAAGTGTGCTAACCGGACAGACGCTTTATAACAGTGATTTTTAGTATCAGACAAGTTAGTTTTGCCGGCTTGGTTGTTCTTGTTAGAAACTTTTCAACAATTTTAAAACTGAGTATGGAACTTGCTATCATAAACGTGAATAATGTAAGTATAAAATTGCAAAATAAAGTTATAAATCAAATTAATTTTATATTTTCATTTTACCATTCATAGCGTGTACGCTAAATTTTCTATTCAATTTGTAGGAGGATGACTTTGAATCTCACAAAACTGCAACAGATACCGACAAAGAAAGCAAACCACAACAAACTGGTCTTGAAAACGAAGCAGTTGATCCGTGGGCACTGCCTGACTTTAAAAGAGCAGGCCCGAAATGGCAAGGTACGAATTTTGCGCAATTTTACCTTTGGCGGTTGAAACATTTTATAAATGGCGCCATTTCTTTACCTTTAGAATTGAAGACGGGCGGTAAAATCAAGCTTGTTGTTCGAACTTTCATCAAGATTGTTTGCCTTCTTTGCCTTCTATATTTGTTCATATGCTCCCTAAACTTCCTCAGTTCTGCATTTCGTCTACTTGGTGGCAAGACAGCCGGGAAAGTGTTCGCTGCCGACGGAATTCTTTCCAATCCAGTGGCTGGTTTAATGATAGGACTACTAGCAACTGTCCTATTTCAAAGCTCATCAACTACTACATCGATTGTCGTTGCAATGGTTTCATCAGGAAGTAAGTTTACCACAGCAAAATTTCTAGTTATAGACATCACAAAGTTAAATGTTTGTAAATTTGTGCAAACGAAGTTCCGCTGTATATTTAATGAGAAGTTTGTTCGACACGTGTTTCATAAGTTAGTTGCCAAGGTCAACTTATGACTCTGTCTATGAATTTTACATGATAACTTTTAAAACAATACAAATTTACGTGTAATGGGTTTTTAAAGCGTTTCTAAGCAGCGGCGCGATCGTCAAAAGGTATAGGTAGGAAATACGTCAAAAAACTCAAATTTTTAAAAGGAAACTTGCGAATAATATTAAATTTCGTTTTGATACGTCAGTGACTTGTTAATTTCCGCTAGATTAAATTACGGATATTTCGCAATAGTATTGCCCTTATATGTAAAACATTTTTGGTATCCACTGTCTTCAAATTTTGAACGAATTGGTAGTCTGTAACATGTTTTTTTCAACAAAACTGATTGCTTTATAAGACCAGCCCAAACTGAATGGAATCTTCAACATGACAATATCCCACCCACATACAAAGTATGTCTGTTTTCAGAAATAATTGTGTGGTTTGTTTTTACAGTACTGGATGTTGAGCAAGCAATTCCAATCATCATGGGGGCGAATATTGGTACATCTGTGACCAACACCATAGTTTCCATGGGTCATGTGAAAGAGCGCGATGAATTTCGACGTGCCTTTGCAGGTGCCACAGTACATGATTTGTTTAACTGGTTAACAGTCCTTGTCCTACTACCAACTGAAGTTATCTCAAAGCATTTTTTCGGCTCATCTTATCTCTTCTACGCCTCAAAATCCATCACAGATTCCATGGGGATTGAAAATAAACAAGGAACTAAAGTGGAATTTCTTAAGAAAATAACCAAACCTTTCACTAATGAAATTATTCAGATAGACAAAAAAGTTATCCAACGTATTGCTGAGGGCAAAGATGTTGGAGATGGTGAAAGTCTAATCAAGTACTGGTGTAAGACTGCCAAAGTTTTCAATAGCACCTTGAATAAAACTGTCAAAGTTGGAGTTGAGCCATGCAAATTTCTTTTTCATGATACAGGATTGAAAGATTCATTGGTCGGCATTATCCTATTAGTACTTTCAATTGCATTGCTTTGCTTCTGTTTAATCTGTATAGTTAAATTATTGCATTCAATGCTTCGAGGCAACTTAGCTATGGTTGTTAAGAAGACTATCAATGCTGACTTTCCTGGACCATTTAAATATTTGACAGGATACTTTGCCATCTTGGTTGGCACTGGCATGACTATGTTGGTGCAGTCCAGTTCCATTTTCACATCAGCCCTAACACCGTTGGTTGGAATTGGTATAGTGACAATAGAGCGCATCTTCCCATTGACGCTAGGTGCAAACATTGGTACCACTGGCACAGCTATCCTAGCTTCCCTTGCCAGCTCATCAAACTTTCAAGCAGCATTGCAAATATCATTGTGCCATCTGTTGTTCAATCTGTCTGGAATTGCCATTTGGTATCCAATACCCTTTATGCGGAATGTGCCTATCAAATGTGCAAAAAAACTTGGAGATACTACAGCACAATATCGTTGGTTTGCATTAGTTTATCTTGTCATATGCTTCTTTATCCTACCTGCTGTTGTGTTTGGTTTGTCAGTTGCTGGCACGTATATTCTACTTGGTGTTTTGGTTCCTATTGGTACTTTGTTGCTCCTGGCTCTTATAATAAACCTTATGCAAAACAAGATGCCATCCAGCTTACCAGGTCTACTAAGAACATGGAAATGGCTTCCTGAGTGTCTGCGTTCACTCAAGCCTTATGACAAAGTGTTTGTGAAAATCATGGAGGTTTCCAAAGGTTGTTGTGGTAAGAAGCAGTGTACCATTGATTGTGATGAACCAGAAACTCTTGTTTAAGAATACAAAATATTGAGAAAATTCTATAATATACATGATTAACTCTCTCTCATTCAGTACTAAATAGGCATTTCATAGTTAGCAAAAAAACTACAAATTTATATTCGACTTCAAATCTGAATGAGAAATAGTTATAGAATATCAACTATCAAATGATTGCTAACCTAAAATATGTGAACCTTAGAATTGACATTTTTGAAACTATGCCTATGGTTCCCAAAATTTTAGTATGATCAAAGCATAATTTTCTGTTAGCAAATATAAGATCCAATCTCCCATCCAAAGTTTAAATTAGTTATCTATTATATCATCCTTATTTTTATATTAACTTTATAAAGATATTATACGGTTCCATGCATTTAAAAACGTATTTAACAAGAAATTATTTATAGTTCTATGCTATAAATTTTGTAGGCCTATAGTCAAATTTTAAGAAGTATTTAAGTTTATTTAAGAGATATATATTAATCTTGGTAAAACATTTATATATTATATAATGTTTTCTTGTTGGACCATATGAATTTCAACTTGAACCATGTTTATGGTGAAACCCTTTGTGCTACGTTTATGCTAGCCTAAATTTAGATCAGTATATATAGTGGATTAATATAAGTTGTAATTGAAGTGCTAATAAAGTTTTTATTTGTTCACTTTAAGTTTAATACCAGGAAATCTCAAACATTCTTCAGGTAAGTTTGCTGTATGAATAATTCAGTTTAATCTCACCATTCTCTGGGTGTCTGGTCTAAGTTGTTTCCAGGCTGTAATATGAGTTAGAGTGACATCATTTGAGAAAGCTTAGAAGAAAGGGTAATAAAAAGAAACCTTGTCTTGACTTTATTTCAAACCCCTCTTCCAACACGGACTGCAGTTTCGATATATGCGACGAGTATGTATATTAAAAGTCTTGAAGCCATCTTCTATGTAATCTTACTCTTTCGGGCATCACTAAATTCTGGTGGGATCGCGCGTGTCTTTTTTCGTTTTTTCTGATATAGTTTTTATGAATATGATACTACACGAATGAAATCTTGTAGCATTAATACCGGTTATTTATATTATGGTCACTGATATGTTGGAGCACGGAATAAGTAGTTGCAACTTGCGAACATGACTGTATCAGATACTGTAAGCCACTGCCCAACTCTCTAGTATTTCACATTACATTTGTTGTAGCAAATTCATACTGCTCTTTTATTCATTCTTGACCTATTGGCCTCGTTTTCTTTTTAGATAATTTCGTACACATAGAGGTCGACAGATTACCTGCCCTGCATGTTTTAATTGGTAATATAATGGAATATAAAAGAAATTTGTGCAGGGAACATGACATTCATGTGCACCTCTCAGTCAAAAGTGAATAAACAGTAAGGTCTATTTTTGCAACTCTTTCCTTTTGCGTCTAACATGAACAAGTCAATACTCTAGCTTTCTTTCATTTTATTTCTGTCCTCGTTCGTCATGTCCAACCAAATTTTCATTTTTCCTAACCATTCCAGAAAAACCATATTCGACATTGTATCGATGATTTGTTTTTATGTCGTTATGTGGGTATAATATATTAATATGTTTCTTTGTGCTCCCTTTAGGTTTGCTGAAATTACTCGTCGCTGTCTGTATACTATTGGCTGCGCTCAGTTTTCCGTAATCTCTCGTAATATCAGGAGAATAATTGTAGTTGTGTAAATTGTTATAATGTGCCGCGTCGATGGGCATTAATGTTGTTTTATTTGCAACCATTCAGTGTTTATCATTGTTATGTTGAAACCAAGGTTATCGAATAATATTACGGACGACTTGTCGTGAATGCAAACGTTGTCCGATATTATTGCATGCGCGTTTGTGCAACCTTGACAACTGAAACAACGTTGCTTTGTATATTATACAACTTGCATGGGCGAACACAATGTTCTCTTATCTAATATTGATATATTAGGGCTTAGATATAAAGAAAGTTCCATTATATATTTTGCAATCTTTATAACAAAGGTAGTTATAACACTCAAGTCAAAGTGACCGTGTTGATAGTTGTGATTCCATGCGTGGGAAACACCTGTGTATCTGTGAAGGATAAACAAATCGTGCAGATCACAAATGTAGTTTTAATAATATCAGATTGTGGACGTGCTAGTATGTTAAAGTTGCGCGCCGTTAATTTTCGTAATTATTGTAATACTGAAGACTTAACAGAAAGGTTTAGAAGATAGAAATCCAATATGTCTTACATTTTGTCTTCGTTTTAGGTGTGGTTTGCTGTGTCTCATTTGTCGCTTACAAAGTCGTGGTAAAATAGAGAGATGAGTTTTTTAAAAGCTCCAAAGCTATAAAGCACCGACTAACCAGCACACAAAAGGATGTTAGGGTCTCGCGCATGGTACAGACACCTGTACATGTCTATAGTTTTCATACATGTCTATAGTTTGACACCTGACGGTTATGTCGTTTTTCAACTCATTCTTGTTGTTTTTCAACATTTACTTTATAATAAATTTATTATTTGTACCTTCATGAATAGTGAGTGATCTCTATATATTGACAGTATTGCTTTTTTCTGTCACTTAATTGTACTGCAAACTCTGCCTTATCGATGAGTGAATCATACAGTGGCATAGGATGCAAAAGGGAATAAGATCCCTGTGTTTTTTCAATATACTACAACAGTATAATGTGTATTAAAATCTACCAAAAAGTGTAGAAAATGGCGTTTTCTGTCAGGGCCGTGTACTGTCCCGGCTGTTCAATTTTCAAAGCTTGCGTTCATTGATCGACGAAATGGGCGTAATTGTTGGGTGTTGCCATCAAGTCTGCCAGTGGCGCTATCTATTATTTACCGACTCCGAATATAACCTAGTTTTGCCGACAGAGCTACTCGTTGGGAATGCAGCAAGCAACCTTAACAAAATTACAAAATGCTATAAATCTACTTTATTTAGTTATATTTCGGTAGCTAGTAAAATAATATTTCACGCGCATTCCAAGTCTTATATTATATATCCCACTTAATCTGAGTATATCTGCATGACATTACTCTTTAAGGGAAAAACAAACACAATACGATAAAACAAATTTTGTAAAACTTAACGGAAGATTAAAACATGTTGGCCTGAATGTCAGTTAATCATCAACCAGTCACCTACATAGTTCATTATTTTTATCTGGTCTAAACGGGAAAAAAAAATATTTTGCAACAATTTCTACCACCACGTTTTTACTGTTTAGTTATACATGCAAGTAGCCCAGTAAGTTTTGCTTTTTCCTAAATTGAAACCAGCCCTTTGCACGACTGTTATTAGAAGATGTATTGCGGTCAGTGCATGTGGATCCAAGGACTCGAGTCAATTAGGACTAAATTTCGAAGGGAAGCCACACCATTCACGAACTACACCTCATGTACCTATGCTTGCAGACATTCACCGACACGAACCTGATATAACGCGTATTAACAACTCAGATTTCAACCTCGTACCCAGGGTCTTTCGTGCTCTTTCCGTCACCATAAACACAACATTTCCTGAATTAAAGTATTACGTCCGGTTAATCAATAAATTAAAATGTCTTTTGGACTGTGTCACGAAAATATTACATTTTTGATTTTCTTCGTTCGCCGTGTTAGTTATGCACGACTTCAGCAATATATAGTTTATAAACATATAACTCTATCTATGTCATGTGCTAAATGGTAGATTAAGGGTTATAACCTATGATTAGATGAGATATACTATGAGTTAGAAGTCTACAGAATCATTGTGGCAGAAAATGTAATCTCCTTTTTGGCTTTTTCCGTTTAAACTAAGCACTTTCCGTTTCAACATCTCAAAGCAAGTAAATGATTACCGGTTGGGTATAGTTCTTTAATTGTCAGGGCAGGTTCGAAACTGTAATATATGTACTAAACTTACCATCAGTATCATCATCAGAGGATCTTTATTATCTGAAATTTAGTTGAGGGTAAAATAATCAGCATCTATATTATATAGACAGAATTACATAACAAATGTATGTAATGTTAGCTGGCGATGGAGATAAGGAATGTTAATTTTTTTAATGTAGCAGCGAGATCCTTGTAAAACGGAATATGACTGCCCAAAAATACATCTTTAGCTAATTTTAGTTTGAAATATAAAGAATCTTTGTAATTTGTAGAAAGATTTTCCTGCGTGCATTTCAGTATAAGTATAGGATAATAGGCGGCGGAAGACCACCATCATTCTATCAAGATGGCCTCAACTGATATGTTTGCTCGTATAACTAGAAATTTAACAACTCCATCAATAACAAATGGCGAATCATATAACCATGATGATTATGTACACCCAGAAAATGTCGTCATAATTATAACAGGAATTTTATCAGTTTTCTCAAACTTGTTTTTGTTGTACGTAATGTACAAAGATCCTTTAAAAGCATTCCGCACGAAGATATCTTACTTAGTCGTATGTTTGGCGATTTCTGACTTTCTAACAGCAATCAATGGAGTGCTTTATGGTTTCCTACACCCTCTAAACATGTACCATATTGGATTATGGTACATCTTCTGGGCAACTGTATTAATATCCGTTCTCACAATATTTGGAATGTGTATTGAGAGATGGTTGGCAATTCTCTACCCCTTCACATCTGGTACGATCTGTACGAAACGACTAACCCAATATTTTTGCATTGGAGTTTGGATCTCATCTACTGGTGTTGCTACCTCAATACACTTTCTACCAAGAATCATGCCGTTTGTCATCAGTTGCTTGATGGAGGTTTTTCTGCTTCTTATCGTGGTCCTTTATATCATGTTGCTTCACTATTTTAGACGAACACAACGTCAAACGTGTGCGGTAGAAAAAGTACGTCAATTTAGGCAGAGACCAAACGACGAAGAAGCCAACAATGAAACTTGTAAACAAAAGTCGGCAAAATTTACCAAACCGAAAGCCGCTCTTGAAACACAGTTGTTAATCGCTGTTTCAATTTTAGTTCTGATCCTATTTATAACGTTTATTCCATACAATCTTGGGACTCAAATACACTATGGGTATCTGCTGTTTAGTGATCGACCACATCCAGAAATTAACATTTTTTTGAGATATTTCTTTCCTGTCAAATTTTTAAATTTTTTGGTCAATCCCTTTGTCTATGCCTGGCGTTTAGATCAATACAGGAAGTCATTCATTATGATCCTGTGTAACTGGGGTATAAAACCAATGTCAATGAGAGCATACAATGTTTCTCCCAAACAAACATGTTCTTCTAGTAAAGACGTTGCTACCAAACAGATCTAAGACTAAGATAGTATATAGAAAAGAGCTTGATGTAAAATGTAAAATGAAAAAAAAGTCAAATTATTATCATTTTTGCATCTGCATGTTATTTGCATGGCGTATATACACGCAGGTCGGTAGTTGTATCTACAGCACGTATATATAGGCTCATAGCTATATATATATATAGAGAGAGCCTTATATATGGTTCTATAGTAACGGTTTTAGCTTTCTTTTAGCTTTTTAGACGGGTATTCTCAAGCCATTTTTGCTTTAACCCTGAGCTGTAAACCGGTATAGATCGTGAGAGACTTATGTGTATCATTCCTATAATTGTTTTTATAAGCATTACCTGCAGATATGTTTGACTCAAGCTGCTGTGGCGGTCAATCTAACCACTACAGACCAGCCACAGCGCTTTACTTTTGATGCACTCTTACACGGCTTTTGAGGTGATGCCAAGTTTTTCCTTTACACATGCACTTAGCGTAGGAAGCCTAACAAGGTCATGCATATATATAACTGTTTCCACGGAAACACAACTGAAGAGTGAAGAAGAACGTGGCGATATTCTGTATATACTTCGTCACCTTTTGATTCGTTCAAAGCCGAGATTATGCAAGTCCGGGTATAGCTAAACCCAAACACCTTTGAAGTCCAATCAATTCTGTCATAATCACTTATATTATTTTTAAAGCAGGATTAAAACCTTATCGATTATATACACAATAGTGCATGAATAAGATTAGTACTGACGAGAGCTGTGATGAATTATGAAACTGCATGCATTTGACACTAATTCAACTGAAATGGATCTTGATCCAGGCATATAACAGTTCTTTAATCATATAGCTTTGATTGTACTTTGAAAACCCTGTGTCTTTAGCGTAGCTAAGGTTAAGCAAAACACTGTTAAAGGCATACACTTCTAAAAGAATTTTAAAATCAGTATATAAAATCCTGCAAGCGTGATCTTTGCATGTACGTTTTTTTTATAATCAGTTTGAAAAATATATATACAATGCGTAAACGAATCCCCTCCTTGCTTAAAATTTTATATGGACTGACAGAGACGTTTCTAACAGTGATATTAAAAGAGGTCAGCAAGGAGGACTTCCCTTCTCAACAGACATTTACTACTCCACTGCGGTGAAAATTTCAATATGCCAATTCCAGACAGTTTGGGGCCACCAAACAGAGCGGGCGTACCCGTAGGCGGTTAGCCGTTGAATGGGAAATTTTACTCAAAAACCGCCAGTTTTACAACGGCTATCGTAATTTCGTGCACGCGGATTATGAATAAATGATAAAAAAACATGTACGTTTGCATTACAAACGGCAATTCCACTGCTGGTTGTAATCAAAACGAATTTATTTTATTTTATTTCATTTTATTTCCCCGTTGCTATTTTCATTCAAATTATGCCCTTTTATGGCATTTTTCAGACCAACCACAATCATGAATTGTTAAGCGGCATGAAGGAGTCAGCAAACCTATGAAGAATCTTGCACGCCACTATTAGTAATGCGGGGTTAGTTTCTCCATGGCGAACTCGTGTTTGTGAACAGCATTTAGTGAAAAATTGACCACAAGATGAGACCGAATGTGATGCTAAATTATATAATGTTATAATGTGTTAGGTAGTAACGAAAGGTCAACTCCGCCTCAATTGGTAGAGTGAAAGCCTCTTCAATGTTTGTGGTTTGTGTAAAATAATCCACCAATTCTCCAATTTGTTTTCACTATGACAACCTTGTTGTAAACCGAGCTTTGCTGTTCGCAAAAAATGTTAGGCCAAAGAGACGATTAGAAAACGAATATATTTTCACTTGGATCAGTACTTGTTACATTGGGGTGGGGGCCAAGCTAGACCAAGTATTCATTTTTTCAGTCTAGGGTTTGCGCAAATTTTTGCCAAAAGCGCTGCACGGGCGGTTAACATAATTTGCATTTGCTGACGTGCACAATTTTGCCATCATGCATAATTTATACGAGACGCTATAATTTATATAACGCACACGCCATTCACAAAACTTCAACATTTGTCACATGTTGATCAAGATGGCGGACGATCCGACGAGTGACTTTCCTGTGCAAGGCATTCTCCCCAAGCGGGAAACAGGTGCAGAGAGGTTTTTAACCATGTATCCAAACTATGATGGCAGAGGAGTCCTCGTTGCAATTTTTGATACGGGTGTAGACCCAGGGGCGCCCGGATTGAAGGTTTGTAATTGTACATTATCACCCTGTTCTTGTAATTATATTGCTTCAGCATAATATATGTTAGCTCGTAAAATATGTAACAATTTACACAAATAGCAACTTATAATGTCTAAGTGACAACTACTAACAATTGGTAGCTTGTTAGGCAAAATTAGATCTTATATAAAAGGGTAATGTTTCAGACTGTTAGTTACACCTTCAACAGGTGTCAGATGCTAATTATTTATTCATTGCAATATACCCCTGAATGCTGCGTTTCAGTCTTCTGTTTTTAAAATTGCTTCAGAATAACTATTGTATTTTTTTATTAGGTTGATTGTACCCTTTTTGTAATGTATTACAATACAAAACTTGAATTTTCTTAGAATATAATCTTAGTACTGTAAAAATTAAGGCCTATTTGGAGTTGCAGGTGCAAATTTTATTAGTGTAATTGGTGCTAAAGTTAATGTCATATTTGTAGGCATATTACTTACAAACAAGTGTTTTTCCACACAATTCTGAAAAGAGGGCCTAGTGGAAATTAAACAATAATAACCTAATTGTCTTGTGTGCATGCCTCAACCACAGTATGCTTCTAGCCTCCATCACAGCCACTCTTCGTCTGAAAAAGGATTGCTGCTTACTTGCACAGAACATTCTATCATTTTCAGGCCCAGTTATATAAAACGGTAGTTAACTTTAACTATATATAGTCAGTAAAAGAACTACCCAATCAGAATCATGCCATTCTGAGCTAACTTCGATTTAACTATGCAAAATGTTGTTAAGAGTTTATAATTTTTTACCTGAAGATCCTTAATAGTTATCATAGGATATACAAATGGACACCTGCAAATACCTCGAAGCTAATATTGAAACAACAAGAACAATTGATAAATAATGTTGTTTATTCAATTGTGTGTTGTTATAGACAATTGAAATTTGGATCGTTGCAAAAGATGCATTTGGTCTGTGACATGTACTTGAATATTATTCTTGTTTAACAAATTAGTTGAAATAGTTGTTTTTTATGTCAACAAAAAGCAAAGGGAAAGTAAAAAGTGCCACCTGTTGAATAAATATGTTGTGACTTGTGAATCCAAACATCTACAAAGTTCTGTAGCTCCTTATGAACAGTAAACAAGGCAGTACTTGGGACAAAACCTGTTATTAATGTTAACAGAATTTACAGTTTTCCACCCTTAGAAAGTTGTTATTAGGTTATTTCAGGTAAATTCCTAGACTATATTAACGAGGGTCCTACAAGAGTAGTTTCGTGACGCGTATATCTTCGCGTGACACGTATATCTTCGCGTGACACGTATATCTTCGCGTGACACGTATATCTTCGCGTGACACGTGAGCTAGAAACTGTTATTCGTGTTTTCACCGCTTCTTTCGCGTGATTTTAAATATTTTTGTGGGCAGATATGTGATTTGTTTGTTATAAAAATTCTGATATGATATACAGTTTTCGTAGTTGTTTTTATTCTTCTTTGGCTTGTTCCTTTTTGCTACATATTTTTGTCCTCAAATGCAGAGCTGAAGATTGCCTGGTGGATTTTCTTAAAAATGCTGGGGGAAACGGGGTTTGATATCCGTGACTTGTGATGCATCATGCATGTAGCCTACGCCCCTGATATCACGCAATTATTAATCGTGTAACTTAAAATAAGGATAAGTTCAGGTTTTCTCCAAAGCAACGTTTAATCTAAAATTTGAAATAATCCTGTTCCGTGGATATTCGTCGTGTTGCTTCATATTTTTGGGGGATTAAATAAATTTCCAGGAAAGCAACTCAGCAACTAGGTGAGAATACTTCAGATGGAAATCCAATCGGCTACTTTTAGTTTTCTGGTCCAATATCCTAGTACCTAAATAACTTCAAGATCAGTTGTTTCGAGAACTTGCGTTTTTGGCACAGATTGTGGTTGGACTAGAAAAGCTAAAGTTTCGGTTTGATTCTAAGAGCAGTCGAGAAGTTTTGGCTTGTGCAGTTGCTATCACTCAGAGTGACAGCACACGAATATATTCACCAGAACACCACAACAGTCATGCAGGATAAATGTTTATCTTTATAGACAACGACTGATGGAAAACGAAAGATAGTTGATCTTATTGACTGTACTGGCAGCGGAGATGTTGACACTTCCACAGTCGTCCAAGCGGAAGAGGGATTCATTACTGGACTCACTGGAAGAAAATTAAGGGTATTTTCTGTCGATAACAATGGCAATTTTTTCAATATTTTTAGTACTTTACAATATACTAAGAAGTAATTAAAGTGTTATTACTAGTTAAATTTATGCTTTCTATATAAATTTTATTATGCTATTTAGATTCCAGACGATTGGAACAATCCGTCTAGTGATTATCACGTTGGAGTAAAAAGCGCTTTTAGTTTATTCCCAAAACTGCTAAAAGACAGAATAAAGGTTTTCAATTTTTTCAATTTCTTATAAATCTAAATTCATCGCAATTTAACACGCTGCTTAATTATCAATTTAGCCAGTCGGTTTTAACATTTCACACATTCAAATACATTATTTGTTTAAAAAACAAACTACTGTCTAACTCAAGGAATATGGTTTTTATATAAAGCCAAAATAGTTTAATGTTTTATTTGTTGAAGCAACATCTAAGGAACCTTCTGATATGTGCATGTATCGTACTTTTTTATTGCATGCCACGATAAACCCCCATGACCACTGCGGGTTTTAAAATGAGACGTCTGATCTTTAGAAACAAGAGAAAGAGGAAGTATGGGATCCAGAACATCGAACGTTAATCGCCACTGTTACGGCGACTGTTCCCGCTAATGTTCCAGGAAATCAGAAAGAAAAGGTATTCATAGACATGCATTATGCCATTATATTTTTGCATTTCCTATAAACTCAACTGAGTGTAACTTTTCAGGCTAAGATTTTATAGAAAACTTATATTGGACAATACAGTACAGTACATGACTTAAGGACAATGCAGTTTTAACGCCTTGTGGTAAATGTTATATTAAACGCGCTTTTCCAGGATGAAAAAGAAGAAAGCCTGGCTCGAGTTGAAGTTCTAGATTTGTTAGAAAAGAATTATGAAAGTGTTGGACCTGTATTTGATTGTATTGTTTTTAATGATGGGACAAATTGGCGGTAATGAACTTAAACATTTTTGTGATTAAAGTCATTAAAATACGGGTAAAAAAACCTCGATATATTTACTAATACGTTCCGTTCATTATTCTACTGAAGAGTGTGCATTGACACATCAGAAACCGGAGATTTAGAAAATTGTCAACTACTCAAACCCTTTCGCGTGTCAGGAGAATTTGGGACATTTGGAACAAAAGGTTCAGTACAGTAGCTACGAATGTTGGAAATGTTTCGTCATGACGAATACCCAGACCACATTCTACTAACCAGTATTTGATGTGATTTTTAGATATGATGAACTATTCAGTCAATGTTTATGAGAGCGGAAACATCCTGAGTGTTGTTACTGACTCAGGTTTGTGAGAATTCTTAAATTGGTAAAGACATGAAGATTTCTTTAGATTAAGAAAGTTTATCGTCATTATTTCTTTAGGTTCACATGGTACCCACGTTGCTTGTATTGCTGGAGGATATTTCCCAGATAAACCAGAATGCAATGGGATCGCACCTGGAGCTCAGGTACAGAGCCATTACGAGGCTACATGAAATTAGCCTGTGCTCCAGTCCACTATGCCAACTATGATACTGTTATATTTTAGATTTTATCCATAAAAATTGGGGATACAAGGCTGGGTTCAATGGAAACTGCATCTTCCATGATACGAGGAGTAAGTAAACTTAGACATATCGTATATTATAATTCTCTCATGCAATATGGGATATTTCTCAGGGCTAGTTCTTCTGCAAAGTCGACTGTAATTGTGATAGTTGACTGTATGTGCATTCTCTTATTGTGGTGCATCAGCATAACAATATTACATATACGAACTTTGTCTAGCTCATCGAGGCTGTGAAAAATAGATGCGATTTGATAAACATGAGTTATGGCGAAGCAGCTCATTGGACTGATTCTGGGTAAGCTTTTACTGTTGATATAAATGGACCATTAAAGGCAGTCCATATTTAAAATCCTCGCATTGGTTATATCTGTTGGAATTTCTAGTAAATTATTTAATTAATGTCAAATTTTTATGTTTTTGTAATGCAAGTGTTTGTCCCGCAGTATTAAAATATGAAGAATATTCAATTTTATTGATTGCCTAAACTTGTATTTCCATGCAGCTGTGTGATAAACCGTATGAATGAAATTGTGGATAAACATGGGATAATATTTGTATCCAGTGCTGGCAACAATGGTCCAGCCTTATCCACTGTCAGTGCTCCTGGGGGTGTGGCTTCGTCAGTTATAGGTATGATTAGCTAGCGGGGAATGATTGAGTGTCTGCAGCCTCAAGGCATGACGTCAGAGAAAACTTTAAACGCACAACATTATGGATATGTCAACGATATATTTATTCATTGAATAATGACATAAGCCTAAAGCCTAAATTTTTTTATCCATGTCAAACAATTTCGGTTATTCATGGTTGTGTAGGTGTTGGTGCTTATGTTTCACCTGACATGATGGAAACTGAATATTCATTGCTGCAAAGAATGCCAGGAATGCAGTATACCTGGTCTTCCAGAGGCCCTTCGTAAGTTTCTACATAATTGAGCACCGATAAACCCATTTCCCTAGACCGTGATACAACGAAAATTTTACGTTACTAGTATATAGCAATGCCTACAGGAAATACATGTACTCATGTGTATATATAGTTTGTATATTTGCTAATTCATTCTGTTGTTATGGTACAGGACTGATGGGTCTCTTGGAGTAAGCATAAGTGCCCCTGGAGGAGCAATTGCATCTGTACCAAACTGGACACTAAGTGGTTCTCAACTCATGAATGGAACATCAATGGCATCTCCTAATGCTTGTGGAGCAATTGGTAAGTATGGCGTATTTATCGCATATTATACATAAACATTGTTTCAACAGAATATAAATAAAGTGTATTTTGTTTATTGAAATTTTGTAAAAAGCTATATACCAGTAATTTGAAAATCATAAATTTCATCATGTATGCTACAGACAAAATCATCAGAGTCTGTCTCACCTGAAGTTGAGTGATTTATATTTGTCATATGTTTTTAGCATTGTTGCTGTCTGGGTTAAAACAAAAAACTGTTTCGTACTCACCACACAGGTAATTACTGTACTTATACGTTTTAAAGAATGCGTTAAACCATTTTAATTTGGAGAGACCATCGTCAAACAGTAGTAAGCGGTACGATATGGCTAACAGCTCAAAATATCTTTAGTCGTTTGATTTGAACTGTTGATATGCCATTCTTTAGCATAAGAAGGTGTTTGGAAAATACCGGATCCTTTGTCAATGGTAAGTAACCCAAGCTGCGGCAGAGATGTTGGGTTTCTTTTTTAATATCATGAAAATAGCAAACAATTTTGACTTCTTCATATACCACCATTCAATTTCAATTTAGGAATCGATCGTTTTACGATTGGCCACGGATTAGTGCAAGTATGTGTTTCTAGTCGTCCTATGATCTAGTTATTATTAAGCTAGAAGTAATGAGCTCTGGGGTCTTACCGGTCTTTCACAAAGATTGTAAACAAAAAATGGTGCTAAACTAAGTCCTGAACTACGCTTGGCACCGCTGAGAGCAGGGAAACAGAAAGGGACTGGTGGTGTTCAATCCTAAGCCATCCCTGGAGCGAGATTGTATTTAAAAAAACTTTATTTAAAAAATAGTTTTTCTCTTCAATACAGGTAGACAAGGCATTTGATTTGGCACTCCTAAATAGTAATGTACCAGATAGAGAACTGAGATACAAGGTATATTATTATAATGAGTTTATGGTGTTCATTTCGATAAAGTGTATCGTGTATGTAATCCAACTTCATACGAGGAACAATCAAGAATAATTATTAACCGACCAGAATTATTCTTCATTAAATGATGTGCAATAAAATCATAAGTTTCCCAATTAAATTCCCAAGTTTCTGCATGGTCATGGTTTCTGCATAAGTTTCTGCAAGACTTGTCATTAGCAAATCTGACAAAGAAGGCTTAAAGAACACATAGATTTCATATGAGTCATGAACTTGTTTTTAGTATTTTTTGTATTATAAAAGAAATAAAAACGTGACGTGAAGAAGCTTAAAGTATGTTCCACCTTTTGTTTTGCGTAGGTGGATTGTGGGAATGGTAGTCGCGGCATTTATTTACGTGAATATCATGAATCATTGAAAGCAACCAACAGAAGTGTGTCAATTGAACCAAAGTACATGGATCATGTCGGTAAGACCTCAGTTGGAAGAAGAGAGCAAGTTTTGCTTATTATAATGACCCGCCGTGAGCTAGTCCTTGAAACAATAGGAAACACTGTAACCAAAAGTTGTAGTAAAAGAAACTGTTTCCTACCTTTATATATGAATACCACATGCACGACTAATCCATAGGGAAAAACTCTTGGCCATGGGGGACTATGAAATAAAGATGTATTTTGTTGAAACGATCGAGAGATGCTTGAAACTTGGCATGATTATTGTGACATGCATGCCACGTACCATGTCCATGTGCCGGTTACAACACACGATAACTGCATTTATTATTTATTAGAAAACGAAGTGAGAATAAGCCTGACCTTACGAATAAGTTTGGTTAGTACAGCATCATGGTTGGTATGTCCCACAGCATTGGTTCTTATGAATCAAGGTTGGTTTTTCTAGAATAAACATCTACGTTATGTACTGTAAGTCATTAATCTTTCCTTTTCACTTAATTTTCTATATTGTTTTTCTAGAACGATCATTTACAGTAAATATCAACCCAACAGGACTGGCACCTGGTCACTATTACGCTGAGGTTTGTTCCTTTTTAGTATTTTTTCTCTCGCTGTTTTGAAACAGAACCTATATGATTTCGTAACAGTAAACAATTGTAACCTCGAAGTTCACAAACTGGGAACCAAATATATTTTAATCTTTAGGACTGTAAAATGTCCTTTTAATAATATTGTGGAAATTAAGGTTCTTAACTAATAATATAGGCCAGTTATGTTTCAATGTATGATCCACCGTTTTGATTATTTATCCAGGTTAAGGGTTATGATAGTCAAAGTCTTGAGCGCGAACCATTATTTAAAGTTCCAGTTTCTGTCATTATCCCGACTAAGTAAGTTTATTAATATTCATCTTGTTATTTTTGACCAACCTCTGTTTTAGATATTATATACTATTTCGTATCAATTCGGCTAATGAAAGTAAGGATTTTATTTAGAATGTTAAAAATTTTGTTAAAATTTTCTTACTGAAAACCTGAAGGCCAGTCCATGCACTGACAGTCATTCGTTCACTTGGGTGTGTTTACCACTTTTTTTCCTATCATCAAAGTCACAACAATGTTTTATGCAAAACATGAGTATATATACCTAAACAGCATAATCTTCTGAAAATTATCTGAACAACTAGATTATGAGCTTGAGGGTGATATTTAACAGGGAAGAAGCTTGAATCAGTTATCATATCTTAGAAATCAAGAGCGATTAATCTAATTGTTCCATAGTAAAAACTAGTGACATGATTTTTCATTATTTATGCGTGAAAAACTGGTTATAAATTGTGACTAAATCAGTGTTTGCTAATGAATGAATGTAGAATAGCTGAAGATAGTCAAGTTGCTTGGACTGGTAAAGATATCAGATTCAAACCTGGTGATGTACACAGAACGTTCTTTACTGTACCTGCAGGAGCTACCTGGGCAGGTATTTTAATTCGAAATTATTGTCATTTTGCAAAAATCATGATCGCATACTTATTTTATATATGCGAATCAATTCAGAAAATTTTCACCGATATCATTTTTATTTGCCATTTTAGAACTAACCGTGTCTTCATCGAGCAGCGAGAAAGGTTCAAAATTTAAGATTCATGCTGTTCAAATTCTTCCACTAAAATCTTTCAAATCTCACATGTTCAGTCGTTTCATGGAGCTCAGCGCAAACTCAAATGTCACTCACAAGTTTGCTGTTCAGGTATACATAAACTAACATCATTTCATTTTCATATCTATGTCTGTGGACTTAATGTTAGGCTGCACGAGTCTATTTATATGCATATGTATATTTTTATAGCAATAACATGATAATAACAAAAGTGTATAGTAATGACTATAGTAATAACAATTTTTTGATAAAAATACATGTAGTCTGGAGTGACGTTGGAAGTTTGTATTGCCAACTGGTGGGCCAACAGTCAGGAATCAGTGATCAACGCTTCACTGTCCTTTTATGGACTGGAACCAAGTCTAAAAAATGTCACAATGGTAATTTAGTGGTCGATACTAAACAATATAATGAATTGTGATTTATGCTTCTCCCAAGGATTAGTTTCAACTTCAATTTTTATACTTCTACAGCATAGTTCTCAAGAGATCCAACGTATAGACGTTCGCTGTGCTATGGCAGCTGCAGAAATCTCTCCTGTTGTTAATTTGAATTCCTATTGTCAACCTTTGAGGTAAATTGAAGTCCGTTGCTCTTACGTACGAGTTCTCCACCGATCCTGGAAGCAACACATGTCCATATTCGTCATATATATTTCTATCTATTCTCGATTCAAGTGATCATATGACTGTAATCATGCATGTAATGGGGGATTGGGACCTGACATTTACATGCAGATTAGCTGCATGATCACACAGCTTCAAAAGTAATAAGTATATATTAGTTGTTTCTTTGATATTGGAATCATTTCAAATCTTGAACGAATATTAATTTCTAGGCCCAGTGAAAGTTCAATCAATCCGCTCGGGGAACGTGATGTTTTCCTCAATGGCAGACATATCTATGAACTTCAACTATTATACAACTTTACTTTGGTATGTTGATGTCGATGCCGGTGTGTTAGCAGAATGCTTAATAGTCTTGTTAGTTAAAACACTATGGTTGAAAACAACAGGCTCAACTATTACCTGGTTCTTTCCCAAAAACGAACCTACATTCAAATTCTGGGGCCGGTTATACATGCATGAAAACGCTATTCACTGGATAGTGTTTTTTTTAATCGCTTAAAAACTATTATTAAATCTTAGTATCCCTAAATTGAGGAACCTTTTCAACATTTTATTACACCTCAGTGACCTCACTATCCGGTTGACAGCGCTATTCCTAAACTTTATTGAAGCCATGCATGCATGCAAAGTAGCACGGCGGCGCCTAATATTTATTGTTTTCCTTTCATTTCTCAGAGTAAGTCAGCAGATGTTTTCATCAATGCGTACCTCCTGAGTGATCTACTCTATGAATCAGAATATGAAGGTCAAATGTGGATGTTGTATGATTCAAACAAGATGCTGGTTGGCGTCGGTGATGCTTTCTCTGACAGGGTAGAAATTTATTTTTGCCTCTTGTGTCAAAACGTCTACAACCTATAATGTCTATGTGGCAATTATAACTAACAGCCCGCAATTATATAGAAATTAATGCATCCATGCACTTATAGAGCTTATTCAATTTTAATAGTACAACGTAAAGTTGGACAAGGGAGAATTCATTATCAAGCTTCAGGTAAATCAAAATAATTAATCTGGTCAAGCCTAGTTTTCATTTGATTCCTAAATGAAGGTTATGTCACCTATACTGTATACACATGCAAGTCATAAAACCACATTCGTCTTGGGCTGCAAGTTTTGATGGTCCTATAGGTCCCATAAAGGATCCTGCATGAATCTGAAATGATTTCATAGAAAAACTTTATTCTGCAAGACAGACCATCTTAGGTCCTTCTTTAAGAATACGTTTCCATGCAGTGATTATGGCAACCAGATTAATCTTTCCCTATCCTGGCAGGATGAGGCCCTATATACTTCTAGATTCTGACATCTAGATTTCTACGAAATTTGTAGTTCTACTTGCCTTATCTTATTAATATATCTTTAAGGTTCGCCACGAAGGCAAAGAAAAGTTAGAACGCCTGAAAAACATGGAAGTAATTTTAGAACAAAAGCTTCCATCGCCATTATCTTTGGACATATTTGCTAGTCGTTCATCAGCCATGATCGCCAACAGCAAGTTTTCTGCTAAGACGCTAACCCCAGGAGTTCTCATGCCACTGTTTATCGGACATTTACCACATGAAAAGTGAGTTTTGGTTTCTGCATTTATGACTTGTTGTTTCATTTATTTACAATGGAAAATAAAATTTAACTTTACGAACTTTAAGTTTTACCTTTGAAGATCAACTGTAGCCCCATTCGCTTTTGTTCAGTTTCATTTGAACGAAGTATTTCGTTGATGACTCCTGTAGGTATATGAAAGGGGTAAAGGCTGGTCATTATTTGTCTGGAACTATCACCTATCTTAAATCTACTGATAAAAAGAATGTGGTAAGATAACACAGTTTTAAATATGTTCTATTCATTATTTTGTGTCTAGTAGACGCAACACACTAGCTTGTAGATCATATATTTACCTAATTTCCCGTCAACAATGGGTACAGACAATGAAAGACACTCACTGCTTAATTTTTTTGCAGTCAACCTATCCATTTAAATATATTTTCTCGTCATCGGCGGTGAAAAAAGGCAATCACGAACGCAAAGAAAGTGCTGGAAGTGACAGAACCACAGACGATAATGACCAAGCGTCCGAGGCTAGCAATGTAAGTATCACATGCTAAAGTTTATGAAGCCGCTTTATTTAAACCATGTTAATCATAAATATTGAGTTGAATTATAGGATGGCTCTAATCTTGTAATATCTTGGTACAGGTATCAAAACAACTAGCAGATGCTGTGCGCGATCTTAAAATTTCGTGGCTGTCAAAGTAGGTTTTTACCTCACTGAGATATATTATAATTATAGGTTAAATTATATCTAAGCGGTTTCCTCATCTTGCTGTTTACTGATGATTCATTTCCCGCAGTCTTTCACGCTTCAGTAAGACTTGGGGGGGGGTGGGGTAGGGGGGAGTTAGTTAGATCAAGCCTGAATATTTGATTTCCTTTGTCCCAGGGCTCAAGATTCTAGTTTATATGAAGAATTGAAACAAGCCCACCCTGAACACATGGCACTTGATTTGGCGCAACTGAAAGTGTTGGATGAGAGCAAGGTATAATTATTGATGGACAAACCCTTAGTGAAGGTTGCATAAACAAAAACCTCGTCCTATCTTTGTGTATCTGTGAATACATCCTCTGTTTCCTTCCACTTTAGCAAGCCGCAAATGAAACTTTTCTCTCTTTCAGGACAGAGAGCTGAAGCTGGACGACATTGTCACCCTGGCGGATGCCATTATCAAGGAGGTAATCACCGGAATTGTATAATTTAAGTTTTCTATTAACTATGTTGTTGATTGAGCCAACATTGAACGACTGTTACAACAGAAGTCACTACCGCTACATACAGTGGAAGATGAGTTTATATAACGTTTTCTCTGAGGCACTTCACCACATCCTCTACCTACTTTATTTGCAATTCTGTTATACGTAGACCGATAATTAACCTATTTTTATATCGTTTACATCAGATTGGAGAAAGAGACTTGCTTAGTTACTATGGTATGAAACATGATCCTGAACCAGACGCTGTCAATAAGAGAAAGTAAGAAGATGTTGTAATAATTACTGGCTTCACATTTTCAAAACGAAATGTAAAACTCCTTAATGTATATTGTAGAGAAATGGACAAAATCAAGGCGATACTGGTTGAAGCGTTAATCAGACAGGTCAGTGGAATGCAAGTGCTAATAACTGCTTGTGAGTCTGAGATAAGCTGGTTAAAGGTAAAAGAGAGAGACCGACTTACACTTTTTATTGTTTAGGGGAAAGCATTGGCATCAATTGTGGAAAAACAGGAGGAAGCTGGTCCAATTATTGGAGGCGATGACTCAGGTTATTACTGTGAAGTAGATACTGTCTTGAATATAAATGCATGGCTTACCCAACCCAACCCAACCACAATCTCTTTCTCTAGTGGCCCAACCCATTCATGACCTTTATTTGTTATAGTCTAACCCAGCAACCATAACATAATTCCAATAACCATAACCTCACTCTGATCTTCCTCTGCATGTTAGTGGGCCAACCTAACCATGCATGGCATGTCTGTCATTGCCAAACCCAATTACGATAACCAACGATAAGCGTAGTCAAGCATAACCGTCGATTTCGAATACCATCCCAACTTTTCAATATGACAAGAATCGTGTCTCTAAAAGCCCACCCAAGTCCCCAGCTATCGATTGTTTATTGCTCAGCGTAAGCGGGTGAGCCTTATATTTGTAAATTAATAGCCACAGAAAGAATATTTATAAGACCAACCGATAGAAAATGTTATAGATCTGTATGGGGAAAGAAATTGCCAGGTTTTCCATGCATGCAGAATTTTTTTTAGCTTAGCTCTTAGATTTAATACCCTCAGCAATCCTCAACTTGCAGGTAACCCAGTTTTTTTCAGTTATTGAGTAGGATACTTATACATATATTTACTCTCCAGATGCTGACGCAGAAGGTGTTCTCTTACAGCTGCAGAAGAAAGGTCAGTTTTATTAAATACACATTTAAACTAGAGCAGGCGTAAATTAGTTCCAGTTCCTGCTTAGAAAATGGCTAGCTCGTAAGAAAAATTTCTTTTATTTCCGGTAGAATTATTGAAGAAAACTTTTACAAATCTGCTCAAGTGGATTGAAATAACAGATACAAAGGTATACGTTAGTAAAATGAGGAATTGCGAAATACAAAAACCTGTAATTTGTAAATCTGTAAAATATGAATGGATATGGGAAATATTCACGACAAATCGGATCGCTAGAAAAGTTATAAGCAACTTATTGTTCAGTCTTTTTTCCTCGGTAATGGAATTTATGCACATTGGCGGCATTGTAAAATGTAATTTCTGTAGAACGAGCATTTATCCATTTTGCTTCATAGTCACGTGTTCGGTTACATTATCCTGAAATGTTCCTTGAATTTACCTCCTTTTATGGTTATTATTGTCTTTCGACTTTTCGACAACATCGACTTTCGCAAAAGACAGTGAGATCGCCTATACGTTCTCTCCCATCTATAATCTCTGCAAAATTTGTTTCTTACAGCATTTTTTAATCATCTTAATTTCATGCCACAGGCCTCATCCTTCGTTATACCGTATTATCTTGTGATGGAATTCTATGGTCGAGCTTTGAGACGTCTCTTGAAAGAAGGAGAAGAAAAAACAATGAATTTGGAACAATTTGAAAAAATAATTGAGGTATATATATGATTACAAATTCTGTTATAAACGTAAATTTTTCGGCGGACGCCTCAAAAGCAAAGATGCGGATAAAACGTATTCCTGTTTGGGCAAATGTAGGTGCGTTGGTGTAGGTGCGAGTTTCTCAGCAAACTATACGTCATAATGCAGACTTTTTATAAAGACTAGAAGCGATATATAATCAGTTGCTGGACACATGGTGCCGAAAGTTGGATAGCTCTATTCACCGGATAGTGTTTTTTTCTCAATCACCGTAACATGGCCCATTCTTTGGCTGGTGTTGTTTAATTGGGAATTCTCTAAGACGTAATTTTTATCTCCAAATCTGTTCTTTTCTTTTATTTTATTTTTTATACCAAATCTAAAATTAATAAACAATGCTGTCTGCTAATGCATTCAGCGAACCGGTGCCAACGTTTACACAGAACTGGATGAAACCATGACTGTGCACTAATTCGTTTGGGTTGAGGTGTTCAAAACAAGTGTAAATTTTCACCTGTTCAACGTGTTCACAGGTGAATTAACACGCACAGAAACAAATTCGCCCGGCGCCGTGGGAAGGTACCCTAAATATTTATTTTTTTATTAGTTATTCGATCTTCTTGGCTGGGAGCACTGCAGCAAACACTTCAAAAACTTGAAATTGGTCCGGTATCCGAAGAATTACCAACCTTTCTAAACTTTACTCGTGAACTTTGAGTCTAATTAATCTTATACATCAAGTTTGTAAAATAGATTTCACCATAGCTAAAGTAAGATAGTTGCATTTCACACACTTAAGTAATTATTATAATATTTTACATTTTATTTAATTAATATATTAACATACAATGCTGTAAATATTTGCTAATATACTTATATTATAGTCTAAAGATTTCAAGAACGCGATATAGGGAGTATAAAAGAGAATGGACGAACAGTCTGGTCCCAAAACCGATAGTGTGTCCAAAAATTCATCCTGAATAGCTTTACACAAATTTCTCAGCTTTCATAAAACACACCTTGTAAAGTGTATCATCACTTTCTAGCATTTGCCATTTCTATTAAAGTCATTAAATTGTGAATTCTCCGATTTCATATTCAATAGGGATTTTGTATTTTTCACCTCAAAGAGTATTCTCTTCGTAAATCTTATCGACTATAATTAGAAGAACTTCAAGTCAAATCTGACGGAGCTAACTTCATTTTGCTTTCATCTTGCTAACATTTTGTGAAGAATTGCGCGAATGCAAAGTGCTAGTGAATGAGTTGCGCGGGAAACTCCCTGGGTGCTAGTCCTGGGAATTCTTTGCGCGCGTAAATTTTAGACCAATCAGAATGCGAGTTGTGACCCCACCGCGAAGCTCAGTTGTCGGGGCTTCCACCAAGAACCAGAGGATCGAAAATTTCACAAATACGGTATAGAATTGCTTCGAACACACAAAAGAAAGCTAGTTTTACTTGTGTATCTATTTAATTCTTGAATTTTAATACTTTTTAAATACTGAATGTCTAGAAGTTATACGGTAACGAGATCTGATCTCTATCTCAGCGACTTTTTAAACAAAGCCCGAAATTTAAAGTACAGTAGCGAACGTCCATGCCAAACACGACGTTTACTTGGTTGAAACCTTCCTCGAATCGTTTGAGTCGTTAGGTTCCGAACTGTGGTTAAAGTGTATGCATTATTTGTAGTCTTCTGATGACTACTTCTAGCGAAAGTTTGGCGAATGTCTGGAATACTGGAGGTAAGTTATTATTGCGTGTTTCATGTCTTTTGTGGTTTAGAACTTCACGTGTATTTTGCTCGAATGGTTTTCATTTCATTGTTCCAACCCCAACGGCTTTTAACATACTACGACGTATTCAGTGTCGATTTATTTGTAAAACATAAGTTAGTATATACCCTAAGTATGAACCGCATACTGCGATACATGCTTTAGTTTGCCACGTTTTTTTTACATGATTTTTATGAGCAGTGCTGGAGTTCTTAGGTCCTTGTCTTCTACAGATATTGCCAAGAAGTCTCTGACAAACGGAGCTGTTTCCTCACCAAATATTGCTGGATCTCGTGAAACTATAGCTCAAAGAAGCATCCTAAACGGGTTAAACAAAATCGATTCAGAGAAGCTTCATATGCAGGTATTTTCACTTTTCTAATAACCACGAAACTCTTGAGGTTTATGGTATGAAAACAAGTCCATACTTGTGCTAGCGAATTAAAATGGCTTAGCTAGCATTTTTTAAAGAATGTGATTTAAAACATATCATAGTGGAAAGTAAAAACATTTTGTTCTTAGTCTCAATTTATTTTGACGTATAAGGTTTATTTTGCTTGCAGATCTCTTCAAATATTGCAAGTACACTACCACAAACCAGTGTCACTGCTGTGAGACCCAAAGGTATGTGGTTAATTGTTATTTTATGCCAAGCAATAAAAACCAGCTAAAACACTGGAAATGTTTACTTGATACTTATTATTATATTAGTTCATAGCTAGCTCTTTGTAGTTCTATTTTGCCATTTGTATTAAATAATCATTTGTGTGGCGAAAATTTGTATTCATTGATGTACACAACCACATTGTTCCATGCTTGAAATGGTGAACTCTACCTTTTAAAAAATAGCAAATCTACTTATGGAGTAGGTTCAGTGAGTACCCAAAAATACAAAAGAACATCTTGCCATTTCAACGTAACATATTTTGTTTATAATTATTGACAGTAGTTCTCAGGCCACACACTTGACATTGCTCTTATTTTTAGTTCATGTAAAATAAAAAGCCTGAAGCGATAGCAATGTAATTTGTGTGACCAGAGTGTCATGTTTAACTTTCTTGATGAAGGCCAATAGGTCAAAACATTTAGAATTTTTCTTGCACATTCCAGGCAGTTATTTAAGCAATATTTATAGGAAGATATTTAAAAAAAAGTAGCTGAGATTTTCCTTCCCAGTTTTAATGAAAAGCTTCATGCTTCACTCCTTGATTATCAAGTTTATTTATTGCAACATTGTTACAAATCATGATTCAGTCCAACTGCACTGAGATTGCACATCCAATCAATCTACCAACTATAGTAAGGCATAACCAAAAATGTTGTGTTTCCAATCAACAAACTTCATAAATATCAGGTTTGTAGGTTGAAGGTTTCTTTATTTTTGAAATACGACTACTGAGGGGTTCATGGGCCCATAATAATGTGTTATTTGGCCAACAGGCCAAGCATAATATTCAACAGTGCAGTTAAGCATATTAATTTTTTTTTGTACTTGTAAAAAATGTATTTATTTTTCTATAAATTCCATGTCTCTTTATTCCATTTCATATGATATGCACATAGAAAATATACACATTATTTGGTTCATTATATGCCTGAAATATATTCAACCTTTTCTATTAAACATTCTTTACTTTGAAGAATTTTTCATGTGTCTCGGCCCACGTAAGATTTGGCCCATTATGATATATTAAGATTAGATTTTTGGATTCCGGATTCCACTGCTTGGATTCAACTCCTTAGATTCGTTGGATTCCAGATTCCAATTTATAATTTTTCAAGTTGCAGGCAAATAACCGCTGTTTGTTGCATACCGTTTGCCTATATTTGGCAAATATTTTGTAAAAATATAAACATGCAAAAAAAACGTAAAGTTCATCTTTATCTCAGCCTTTAACAAACAACACAAATTAAAAATAAAATCTTCATAGTTACATCAGTAGATTCTTCTCTCAAAGCGCTGCTGCCAGGGTAAAGCAGTGCATATTTCACTTTAAAACTTCTTAAACAATGGATCCTAGAATAACCAGGATTCTGGATTCCTCAAAAAGTTTGGATTCCGGAATCACTGTCTGGATTCTGGATTCCAAAACGTTAGATTCCGGATTCCAAAGCAAAAAAATGTTGGATTCCGGATTATCTTACATGGGCCGAAATATGCCTGTTATATATTTGGGGAAAAGATCCACTTATTATCAGATAATATCAGATTCCTGAAAGGAGAACTTCTATTAAAGACTCTTTATAATGTAATTAAACGAGTAGCTTCAAACTCTGAAACCTACATGTTCATGCAATTAAGATTATTTAAATCTGTCTTGCAAGTCTTTGTGCACTCATTTGAACAGATCTCAATCATCTGTTTGAAGAACTTCTTCCCTCACTAGTTACCTGACATAAAACTTGTTAACTAAATTATCTAAAACAATGGTTTCTCTTTGTTACTTTTAGTTAATTCTGTTGAACAACAATTCACAAGTCCCACCATAATTCCTGCAAAAATGTCGCCAATGATTTTGCCAAAAACAATGGATCCAGCATCCCCATTGGTAGGTCAAATTCGAGTTTTTGTATGCTTGCAAACCAATCCATGGCCATTTAAAGTTGAGACAGTTTTATGCATACCAGACTTGAATCGCTAACTTGAAAATTTTATACAGGTATTGGGAACGTCATCACCTCATGGTCAGATGAATGTAACCACCCCTCAATACATAGTTGCTTCACCTCATGGTGCCTGGTCCAGGTTAGAAACTTTTTCTGGTAGTAATGTCCAATACGACACAGCAAGTACATAGTATTAAATCAAGTGTAATTCCCATACTGTAGTGGTGAAAGTCTATCCGGAAGTCGAAAGAGAAGACTAGACCTGGATGAATCGCCTGATAGTGCTGAAAGGTATCAACTTGCCATTTTGTAGGAACCTAGAATTTATCCTTTCTCGGATGTCCTTTGTTTGAGTGTATTTATTAATGTTTTTGAGTTTTAAAAAACGAGTTCACGCAAACGATAAAAGTAATTAAAAGTATAAATTAAGATCCGATAAAATCCGATAAAAGTATTAATTCAGTATGATAATTACCAATATAACCAAGGAGCAGCGTGGCAGCGTCTTAAAGTAATTTAGCATCAAATGTGGTATAACAACTGCCAAAATAGACAAAACACTTCTCGACGTTTCGACCTGAGGGCCTTCGTCAGGAGAGTTAATAGTCATACTAACTCTCCTGACGAAGGCCCTCAGGTCGAAACGTCGAGAAGAGTTTTGTCTATCTTGGCAGTTGTTATACCACATTTGATGCTATTAATAATGATAATTATGTAGAAAAAAGCGTGGCAAACGAATCATGAGTGCTCCAAAGACGCCAAATGATAAAGTTGGAAAAGGGCTTCGACATTTTTCAATGAAAGTTTGTGAAAAAGTACAACAAAAAGGAACAACATCGTACAATGAGGTGAGAACTATTTTTCACCCAAACAATAACTGATCTCCCAAGGAACGCCCATGATAACACCAACCTTTTGTAGATGGGGTCCGAGAGCCTTATTTTTTCGTACCTAGTGCCCGTCTAACGTGCGATTTAAAACGTATGAGATTAAAAGTTCCGAGATTTGAATCTATTTGGATAGTTATTACTGTCTTTTAAAAAATATTTTGTGAACAATGGAAACGAAGATCATGTGTTTCACTAGTTATATTGCGTCAGCGTGACTGTCAGAGATGGTTTTTTAGGTTGCAGATGAACTTGTGCAAGAATTTAGTGATCCTGAGAAACATATGAGTCAGGCTGAGCAGGTTGGTTAATGTTAAGTGAAATGCCACGTTGATTCCAATGCTTCTGCAATGATTGAATGATTTTGTCAATGGATGCTTGTTGTTAAGCATTTAGATTACACGTTTGTGATGAGATACTAAGAACACGAAAGTCTAGAGAAAAGACTCTTTGAGTCTGTAGCGGTCCTCGGTCGAAATGCCAGATCTCATCAAACCAAGCTGTTATAAGTAAACTACCAACATTGATAACTACCTCCGTAATCTATAATAGTGCACTTCTTGCACATTTTTCCCTCTTTGGCTGTCTTCGGAGTGATTAAGCTATTTTTCTACGATATTTATGTCCTTCGTTTGTTTAGCAGTACGACCAGAAGAATATCAGGCGTCGGGTTTACGATGCTCTTAATGTTCTTATGGCTATGAATATTATATCGAAGGAGAAGAAAGAAATTAAGTGGATTGGTTTGCCAACAAATTCAGCGCAAGAATGCCAGCACCTTGAGGTAGCTGTTATTACAACCATTTCAGGTTAAGAATTAAGCCCAAATATGTAAAACCATCCTTTTTAAAAAGGATAATTTCCGGTGGGAACTGGTTGTATAAAACGGAAATTAACCATGATTAGTGACAGAATTAACTGCGATTAACTTGCAGAATTTATAGTCGGAAGTTTTATACAACCGGTTAGCGTTTAACCTGTATTTTGCGTATCATGCACCTGCAGGCTTAAGAGAGTGGTTGTATTCATGAATAAAGACCCTGCCAAAATCAAATCGCATCAACGTAGAATTTAATAAATGAACGTGGTTCGTTTATGTATATATTTCATTGTGACGTTGTAGACCGAAAGAGCTGAAAAAGTTGCGAGGATTCAACAAAAGACGGCACAGTTACAGGAACTAATTTTGCAGGTAGGTAATCGATTCCAAGTAAAAATTTTAAGCTTGACACTTGAATTTCACGTTGCTATTCCATACGTGTTCAACTGAAAGGCATATAGAGTAATCTTACCAAAGAATTTTGTATTTTTTTACGTTTAGCAAATAGCGTTTAAGAATCTAGTAAAGAGAAATAAAAAAGTTGAGGAAGAAAAAGGACCACCTCGAGCTAACACAACAATACATCTTCCTTTCATTATTGTCAACACGAGCAAGAAAACTGTCATTGATTGCAGCATTTCGAATGACAAGTAAGTATTGTCAATAATACTTGTGAGATGACAAAGATTTTGAGAGAAGTGCACTTCATGCAGATATGATATTGGGTCTCAATATATATTGACGGTTTGTTCCTGTAAGGGCCTGTTTACATGGAGTGAGTTATCCCGGCTAGGCGAGGTGAAAACTGCATATAATGAAAGACTAATCAGGTTAAGCCTTTGATGTGATGCGCTTTTATCTTGCCTATCTGAGATAACTCGCTCCATGTAAACAGGCCCTAAAGCAAGTGATATATCTGTCCTGTACCTAGGCGCTTTGTGCTTTATTTTCTGTCGCGTGGTTTTCGTCAAACAAAGCGTTTGGGAACGAAGCGGGCGATGATATACCGTGTTCTCCTCAAGTCAGTGTTAAACCATATATAGTATGGCCCCTATAAAAAATGAAAGATGGTATTCCTTTTTAAAAGGATATTAAGAATTTAATTTTCAATCAACCTCGCGAGACACTCACAACTACTGCACTCTTATTCTTTTTAGATTCGAATATCTTTTTAACTTCGACAACAGATTTGAGATCCATGATGATATTGAAGTATTAAAAAGAATGGGAATGGCTTTTGGCTTAGAGAAGAAAGTTTGTAATGACAGTAATATTGAGTTGGCAAAAACCATGGTGCCAAAAGCACTGGAACCCTACGTGACAGGTAAGGTGTTGCAGAATATTTCCTTTGCAAATGAAATGGAGCTTACACGATAGAGGCAAGTAAAGCTCGCTTTTTTTCCTTTTCCTGCCATGTGCTCGATTCTCCACCACATCACTGATGTCAAGTCAAGAGCACTATCGTTTTTCTCTTTCTGTTATGTTTTGGCTATATTCAAAGATGCATACACACGTGTATAAAAAAGAATGTTTCATCTTGAACGATTAATGTAAAATTGAAGCCTGGTTTGTGTATGTACACCTGCTATTTGCCGGAAAAGTTGAATTGAAACTGTACGCAGGAATTTGAGCCCTGTTTCGCAAAGCAATGAAAACATACGTGTAACTATTCAGTTTCCAGATGACAATAGGCCAGTGCCAGTTAAATATTTTAATTAGAAAGTTATAAAAGTTTGAAATAAACCATTTTAAAACTGAAATTCTTAGTTTCATCGTTTGCCGATATCTTTTGTGTTTAGATCTGGCTAAGAACGGCCCTTCAGGTTTAGGATCAACTGGTATCACTCCAGCTACTCCAACGTAAGTCACTTTTATTCCTTTGCCTCGTTGATATATTTTGTTAAATACGGTTTCCGTTTTCTTACGTTGTTTTTCGAAAGGGTTGGAGTTGTATAACAAATGTTTGTTAGCTAATTCCTTTTGCGAAAACCATCACCTCTTCAGGTGTAATAAGCAATCGACACACATAGGCATGTTTGTATTGATGTAATGATATCAAAATTGACTGGAAATCCTAAAGTGATCTTTAACTCAACAGGAAACAAGGCTCCCCGAACTCGCCATGTACTGTACACACTCCCATTAAATCATCGCCGTTAGCAACGCCTTTGACTACCTCATCAGAATCTGTTGCCAACGGAGTTCAAACGCCGTCAGGACATCGTGCAACAACACCGTCGCTAAGCTCATGTCCGTCATCACCCCCAGGAACTCCTCACACCGACTCGGAGTCATCACGTGATGGGTTTGGCGACGGAGAGGCAACGCCGAAATAAGAATGTTAAAAGAGGATATTACACATCACTTGCTCATATAAACATGTCTTGTTCATCCTGCATCTCCGGCGTTTTATGGGGAAAACTTGTTTGCAGATGTTTTGTATTTTATTCTGAAATATTTTCCATACATCAGTTATAGCTTTTGTGGATTTGTAGAATTTAGCAGCGCAAATTCTTGCATGTATTATATTATATTATATTATATATATATAGTCTGCATCAAGGCACTGACACTGGTCTTATGAATGCATTTCTTGCATTGAATTCACTAGGCATGATATCAATTGCGCTTTCTCAACAAGTAGGTAAATTTCTTAACGAATGTATAGTTAATATATGAGTATAAAGATAAAGAAGCATTGCTCCAAACTAATGGTATCATCTGGGGCTTTCGTTTACTATGTAGCCACATAATACTTAGCCTGAGTTACAGCTGCTTGTATTATGGCAGTGACTGGGTAATTGCAGCAACAGAGCTTTTAAATCTTCTGCATGTTATGTGACTAAGTTTGCACTAACACTGAAATAATGGTATAAGAAAAGTAATTAAAAGTTAATAATGGTGTAGGATTGGAAGAATGTTTGAGAACAGTCACAAGGTAGTCGCATAGCCAACACATGATATAGGATATATATTGTTGTAAAATAAAAGAAAATGATGTAGAGAACAATACTGTCTAAAATATGTTACTCTTCAAATGTATATTTCACATCGACAATCAGGTTTTTGATTAAAGAAGACTGATTAACAAAAATTCCTGCCAGTCTCCATATATTTAGACTGCGTGCTGAAGTTCGTCAGGTCAAGACGTATCGTCACGTATGTACCATGTAGTATTTAATAGGTGGCCCCAACACTCAGGTTTTTGATGAAATAAGCTTTGTTTCTTTCTGCACAGTACTGGATTTGGATGGAAAAGGGTTGGAACTTGAAAGTTGGATCTGTATTTTTGCAGTGGGATTGATATTGTAATGTCACTGATATGGTGGTTTTCACTTTTAAGTCAGTGTCTTGCTATACTGCCATGATGATCTTTCATAAGTTAGAAATTATCTCAATACATTATTGTTGTTCATAAACATGAACAATTGAAGATTGATCAGCAACAAAGATAGAATTTGTTTTAAATGAAGAACAAGCTATCCAGTTTATCTTACTACAATGAACTAACTCCTGACATAGCTCGTAATTCATTTTTTGTTCAGTTTGTGTTTCTTTCCAGATATTGATCTTGCCATCATTTCCAGCAGATACCAGAAAACATGCTGTGGTGTCAGGACTAAAAAAATAAACCTGACTAACTTCTGAATTGTGAGCTTTAAATTTATTGGTGCATTCAAATTTCTTCCCTTGGAATTTAAAAAATCCAATCTCTCCATTTCCTATAATAATAAAATAATAATGGTAAAAATTAACTATATCATAAGCTATTGAAACATTAAAACTACACACAATGGTGCAGGGTAGTCCTTCCCTCTTACTTTATGAATTTTTAATATATAATTTGTAATTCATTAAGTAGAAAAGCTTGCAATACATTGTCTCTCAAACTGCATAGAAAAGCTGATAGGAATTGATGAATATAAGTTTTTTAAGGTTTTTAACCTAAGTTTCTGGGTGGTATTACGTTGGTGATAAAGGCTTTCTCATTTATCATTATATATTTTCTTACTTATTTCATACCTAAACCTGTTGCAAATGTCTTTCCATCTTTACGCACAGAAAGTGAATGAACAAATGGAGGATTAATGAATAATGTTTGGTTTTCTTCACTGTTTTTCATTACACAATCATTGATATTAAATAGTTGCTGTGGCTTTCCACTTGAGAAATCCCAATTTATTATATGACAATCAAGCCCTGCACTCAATAGTTGCCAAGACTTCTTATGTCTGAACTGAACAGAGGAACATATATTATCATGATGTCGTGCAAGCGTCTTAAACAGCCGTGATTCCTGAATATCAATAACTTTAATTTCACCGTGATCATCACAAGCTGCTAGATATTGTCCAGTATCATTCACACAAAGTTGGTTAATTTCGTCCACATTAAAATCAAAGTTTACAATACATGATGAACACTTTCTCATGTCATAGGCAAGAACTTGTGTTCCTGATGATATATAGAAATTGTTGCTTTCTGATGGATTGAAAGTGACTGAATTTAATGGACAATCATCTGGGGATGAACCGTGTTCTTTATTTACATTAAGATCTTGAATAATTTGGCCCTCAGGTGTCCACAATAAACATCGTCCATCCTCGCCAACACTAGATAATACACCTTCAGTACTTATATCCAACGCGAGAACAGTCCCACTATGCCCAATTCTCGCTTTCCTCGAGAAGTTCATTTTGCAAAAAAAAAAGAAAACGACCACACTCTTCAATCAATTTTTTTTACCAAAAGGAAAAAGTCCACTATGAGTAATAAAGATGAAGTATTCCCTAATACACATTCATGAAACCGCTGCAAGTTGAGTCGACGCTCATTCAAAAACGTTATTTATTATATTTGCACAAAAATTGTATTTTTCTTGTAGTTGGTTGTTTTACTAAAGTTAACATTACTCGTGGAGTTATTTGTTTCACCGTTATCATGAATCCGTTGACGTATGTATTTATTGTATTATTAATAACATGAATTTGAAATCATGTAATACATTTATATTTCTTCATATTTATATTTACTAGTAACCAGGGTTTACTACCCTGTCAAGACCAGGTCAAGTCAGCGGGAGGGTGACACCGAAGGGTGGGGGATATGCCGGACCTGGGGTACTAAATAGAAACCAGGCATAATTAGCTAGGGATGCGTTTATTTATTGTTGACCAATTGCACTCAAGTTTTTCATTGGGGCCCGTGGTTGGCTATCACAACCCTTGAGGCAGAACTATTGTAATTAAAAGCAACCACCTTCCTGGAATGAAAGGCTGGTCTGATGATATTTGATTATGTCCAGAATCTAAATCATATGAATAAATCAGATAGTCCTCTAACAAAGTCCTTTAATGTCTAACAATACCACTATACCAGATAAGCAAAGTTTGGAGCACAGTGGTGGAAAAGTTAACCATTTAAAAGTGTAGATAGGCCTGATAGGGCTAACCATGGTTAATTTAAAAGTTAACAACAACTAAAAATTAGATTTTTGTCTGTAGCAATGTCAAAAATATTCAGAAGCTGAATGAAAAAGTTTTACAAATGGGTGTCGAAGATAATGCATCATGGCATAAACAGTATAAAGATAGTGCTTATGTTTTTATAGGTGAGAATTGTAAATTATTTTTTCAGGTGTCATTTAGTCACTTCTCTTATACATCATTTGACAAACAAATGTAGACTTTTTTGACCAAGCCAAGCCTAGATAAGATGTAGCATACTTATTTGCACACTATATCCATTTATCCTGCTTTTAGATTAAGTTTATGCAAGCAGGATAATTTAGTGCTGTTTTGAAAACAAGGCTTTAATTAAAAAGCTTAATTCCTTTTGCATATAGGTGGAATGCCTTATGACCTAACTGAAGGAGATATTTTATGTGTATTTTCTCAGTGAGTATTTACATTTGTTGTTTTTCATTATTTAAATGATTTGAATATGAAGTGAGAGTACTGGTTGTATCCAAATTACTGGGTTGTAACTGGAATGTTTTTCCACTCCACTATTTTTATGTCACGACTATTAAAAGGGGTCCTACACAGTTTTTTTGCAACTTTTGTAAGGGGCACTTTTGATACCATTTGATCACCAGTATCTGGCAAGTATTGTATCAACAAAAAAGCTGGTATCAGCCATCATTGATATCAGATACACATATTCTACCTTGGAAGAAATTTCTCATTGACAACAGGACAAGGTGAAATTGTGTAGTGAAAACTGTGTTTAGAGCTAGGGGTTTCTGGTACCCTATTAAGACCCAAATTTTTTTATGCACATTTATCATTTTTATAAAAAAATTTTTTTGTTTGGATGGGTTATTTATAATAATGAATTGTCAAGAAAAGTGAATTCTGAGGACAAGTAATTAGCTTATTAGGACACTCTCTAAAAGCAAGAATCAAGATGCATTTGTATTCTTTTGTGAATTTGGTGGCTCTAAAAAGAGCCGTTTTTTGTTTAAAAGCGTTTAATGAATGATCATTTATGCTCGTTCACCACGGATTCTTCGTGCCAGCTGGATGTCTTTAGGCATGATTGTCACTCGTTTGGCGTGGATGGCACACAAGTTTGTGTCTTCAAACAGACCCACAAGATAAGCTTCGCTTGCTTCTTGTAAAGCCATGACAGCCGAACTTTGGAAACGAAGGTCGGTCTTGAAATCTTGAGCGATCTCACGAACCAAACGTTGGAAAGGCAGCTTACGGATCAAAAGCTCAGTTGACTTCTGATAACGACGGATTTCTCGAAGGGCGACAGTTCCAGGCCTGTATCTGTGAGGTTTCTTCACACCACCTGTAGCTGGGGCACTCTTACGAGCTGCTTTCGTTGCCAAGGTCTTTCTTGGTGCTTTTCCACCAGTTGATTTACGAGCAGTTTGCTTGGTACGAGCCATTTCGTTTTTTCGAAACTTGTTATCTTCTTCGGAATCACAGTGATATTGTATATCGATATTCGATATTTACTGTTTGAAATTAGCGCCGCTTGATCATGATATTACGGTGGCTCACAGGGGCCACCCATATAAATACGTAAATACCAATCCACAAAAATTCAAAACACAATTTAAATATTTCGAAAGGCACTTTACATGTTTTCAGACGCACTTTAAAAATTTTTAAACGCACTTTAAGTTTTCCAACACACTTTAAATTTTCCAACACACTTTAAATTTTCCAACACACTTTAAATTTTCTAACACACTTTAAATTTTCTAACACACTTAAGTTTTCCAACACACTTTAAGTTTCTCAAACGCACTTTAAATATGTTCAAACACACTTTAAGTTTTCCAACACACTTTAAATTTTTGAACGCACTTTAATTACATGCGGGCTCATCGCATAATTACGCGCATGCGCAAGTCAAGGTTACTTTATTTTCTTTTTTATCCCGTCGTGCGCGGTGCGTTTTTTCGCTCAATCTAATTGAACTTAAAAGCTCGAAGGAAAGCAAGGAGTCGAAGATATAAGCAGTACATAATTGATCATTATGAGTTGTGCAGGGTGCGGCAATGCTGCGGCTGATGCAGAAACGTATTGTGAGAATTGTGTATCGAAGAAAGAGACTACGGATCTTATTGTTAATTATTTTAACCGTGGATACCCATATGGAGAAACTGTTGTTCTTCTAAATAGTTCTGGCGTATCGACGTCTTTAAGAACACTAAAACGTCGTTTAAAGTCGTTAGGTTTAAAGGGAAAGGGGCAGGTCATTGATGAGCAACATTTACGAACAGTAATTCAAGAAGAAGTTGAAGGAGCAGGAAGGCTGTCTTGATATAGAAGTATTTGGCATGCTTTGAGGCTTCGCCACCATATTAACGTTAGTCGTCATGTCGTAGCGAAAATAATGTAAGAGATTGATCCAGAGGGTGTCCAAATGCGAAAGGCGAGACGATTACATCGTCGATTATCAGTTATGTTGATACGATTACATCGTCGATTATCAGTTATGTTGATCTTCCCTTCAATTCATTCAATTTTTTTTTTGAAACCTCCATTAAACAGCTATCACCACTACAATATTACCATTTGCAAGCGACCGTTCGGCGCAAACGTTTTCACGCGTTTTCTTACGTTTCAAACGTGCACGTTAGGCAAACCAAACATACATGCTGAAACGTATAAACTAATTAGTTTAGACTGTGAGTTGACATTGTTTGACATGTCACGCCCACATGTCCAACAAACGTAAGCGCGCACATTTCTAAATATACTTGCATGTGTTAGTTCTATATTTCCACACATAATCTTCTGTAGCTTTTACATTATGCATGTCAATAAATTTGGTAGATCATACAGCCTTGGTAAATCACTTGATAGTGATTTAAGGCGTCTAATTATTGATGAATGCCTTAAGTCTGGTGGAGATGCAACTGTTGGTTACTTGCCCGTCACTTACGTAGAAATAGCTAGTCGATTCAGTATCTCTGCAAATACAGTTTCCAAAATATGGAAGAATTTTTGCTACCAAGGACGAAAGGTTGATCCATCACCAAAAGGCGGAGATCATTCAAGCAAATTTTCTGAAGGGGATCTCGAACTTCTTGAGGTTCTTAAGCGAGCTCATGGCACAATTCAGCTGAATGAATTATATGCTATACTTGAGGAATTTGGTGATTGTGGTGAAGTTTCGTTGTCATCGATTTCACGAGCAATAAAATCCAGACTTCTGTCCGGAAAACGATATACTCGGAAGCGTATTACCAGCGTAGCCTTTGAGCGCTTTACTGATGAAAATATGATTTATACTCAGCTTTTCATCAACTACCTATCTTCAAAAGATCCGAGAAGGATTAAGTTCTTTGATGAGGCGGGGGTTAAGACGCCGTGCATCGGTACACGTTTATACGGAAATGCGCCGTCCGGGGAACGCTGCGTGGAAATTGTTCGAAAAACAGAATCTCCAAATTTTACTTTAAATTTACTGATTTCAGTCAATGGCCCTGAATATTACAACATTCTGGATGGCCCAACTGACACTGTAAGGTTCTGGGATTTCTTCTGGGAGGCTTCTCAAGCAGCACATGAGATAACTCGACGTCCTGCTCTCGAAGTAGGGGATATCGTTGTGATGGACAATTTAGCTGTCCACCACTACGAAGGCGGCCAAATTCTCGAAGAAGTTTTAGCTGAGATGGGTATCGAGCTATTGTTCACCCCAACATATTCTCCCGATCTTAACCCTATTGAGCTTTGTTTCAATAAAATAAAAACAGAACTTAACGGACGGTTTTCAGCCGACGTTCATCGTAATCTAAAATTAGCTGTTGCAGAAGCGGTCGAAAGAATATCAGCGTTGGATACGAGGAGGTTTTATCGTCATACAGCTTATCTTTTTCCTTTCGTTGGGTGATGCTTACAAACAGTAATACATTGAAACATTTCACACAAAATACTTGTAACATTTAAGTTTCGTATTTTCGTACATTGATATAACAGAATGATTCAGCAATATCATTGCTTTGGTAAAGTTGAATATATCTGTAAAGTTTGACATTGTGTTAATTGTAAATATTACATTTGACCTCACAAAACTTTGATAACTGCATTTAAAATGGTATTTGAGGATTTTGGGGTAGGGTTTTTTTAAGAAATCGTTAGTGGGTGGGCATGAACAAATTGTATTAACTATAAATTGTACTGAAATTGTTAATTGAAAAATAGGGGAGTTTGTAGGGGTCTGGGGGAACACCCGCAGATAATTTCCTGTATTTTTTAGTCTCCGACTTGATTTCCTGCATTTTCGGCGATACTTACTGTTGCACCATCTCGGCGGAGTGAGGTTTGTTGGGGAAGGAGCTTTCGCCCGCCAGTTAAAAAGGCCCTGTTTTCGGGGAAAAACAGTGTCATATAATCAATTTATCGGCACGGCATGGCTAAAATGGGTACTCGTGCTTATTTCATCCATGCCCCACCTTTGTATTGGTAGTCTGAAAACTAATAAAATAAGGTACGGGTGCCAATTTTTGCCGTGCCGTGCCAATAAATTGAATGTAGTGTAAACAGGGCTATGTCAGTTTTCCGCCGCGGGATAAAGGTCACGCGTGGCACGCAACTGACAGTTAAGTAATAAACCTGACTGTCAGCAATAATTGTCGTTATATTTATTACAAACATGATGATATAATTGATAACAAAATAACGTTTTCTCAAACTTATGGTTCGAACTTGAAGAGTACACAGTCACAGGTTGCTATAAACAAAATGATCTTGCAAAGCAAATCAAACCTCTCAAACTCGGTAAGTTTTGAAGACAATTACAGTAATAATATGCCGAGAATAAAAGTATAGCAATTATCTATAAAGTATGAAAGTATCAAAGATATTTAGCCTATTCTAAATCTATAGCTAGCACTCTCAAAATATAATACGAACTAAATATATATTGTTGATCAATGGATCAATGCATGAGTGCAATACAAACGAAAATCGAAATATAAATTCATCAACCGATGGCTTGGATGACCCTCATGAAATGTAAACAAAATTAAAACAAAATGAAAAAATTTACAAACTTTATACTGGTTAGCTATCTGTTCAAGTTTATATCTAGCCTTCAGTAATACATTTACCCGGTATATTTAGTTAGAATAATATGAAAACTTCTACTTATAGTTGCTTCTAAAACTAAATACTATGATAGAACAGTGTCTATGATATAACACAACATACATGATTGAAAAGCTTTCTTACTTGAGACATTTGTCATTTCCAGACGAGAGAAACATTAAATGTAATGCTGCATCCCTGGTCTCTGACTCTGTCGATGTCAGAACTTCTGATGCACTAGGACGTGAAATAGTGTTGGGCGCAGCAGTGGTTTCGGATAAACTTGCAGCAGTACCAGTGTTTCCAGATGAAATTGCAGGATCACTGCTCGCATAAATTACACGACAGGAATCAGATGGATGAACACTGGCTGTTGAACTGTTGGCTGTATGGATAGAAATATGGGTTCATATTCCCGTAAGAATAATTTGGAAAATCTTGAAATGTATAACTTGGCGCAGTGTTGTTTAATTGATAAGGTGTCGGAATGGGTTCGGGACAAGCATTTGCTACAGTTGTAAAGAGAGATCGCTGCTCCTGCTGAACTAAAGACTCCTGTTGAACTGAAGAGTCTAATAAGCTTTGTTTCAATACCATGTTGAGCTGCTCTGCTTCTTCTTGAACATTTGATGGCGCGCAACGATGAACAGAACTTGAATGCGAGCTGGACGTAGCTTGGTCGCTGGGATTAGGAAATGAAATCCCTTTTTCTTGCAAAAGAGCTTTGGCCGGATTTGTTCTTTTCAGCGCCCTGGTTCTTTTGGTTTTGACTTGCGACATGCTTGAATTGGCATTGTACTCGTCTCCTGAAACATCTTCTCGTTCTAAGGCGACCTCTAAAATATCCGAAAGTTTGTGCTTTGCAGGTATTCTGCCTTCGAAGTGTTCTTTACAGTGTTTCTCGAGAATATAGACGTGTTTACGCAAAAGTGCCCATTTCTTTATTCCCCCGTCAATATACTGGTTTCCGCTCTCTTTCATAAGGGCCTTTTCAATTTTATTTGACAAACTTTCAGACAGTTTATTCGCTTGTTCTTCCTTTAGACTTAGGTCTTTCTCGAGTTTAGCAATTTCGTCTTTGACTTTTTTTATCGAATTACGAGCCCCGCGAGAGTCTATTTCACCAGGGTGCAATTTTTCTTCACCACAAGCAAAAATAGATAAGCATTTTTCATAGTCACAATGACGTGCAGTATGCCCTAAACGCATGTGACAATTTCGGCATAAGTTACCTTCGGTTGGATTTGATTTAACTCGTAATATTTTCCTTTGCACCTCCTGTTCGTTGCTCTCGAGTTTGTAAAGTTCAGACCTTTTTGCGGCTATGCGATCTTTAACTTTTTTCACATACCTTTGAAAAGGTGTTTCAGCAACAACAGACTGAGCTTCGTCGGAAGAATCGGAAGAATACATTGTTTGTTCTTTTTGGTCGTGCTCAAATAATCTTTTCCTTGCATCGCGAGATACAGCAGGCCGTTTCTCTTGAGGTTTCTCCAGTGGTTTGGTTTCTTTCATCCCCAACGGCGTCCTAGGCCATATTCTGTCGGTCAAAAAGTCGCTTAAAAACAAGTTTTGTTCCCCCCTCACGGGGAATACTTTTTGACAAGCAAAGTCTGTAGATTATTATGCGTAAAATTCAAATTCACTTGTTGTAATTTTCACAAACCTGCAGTTTTTTAGTACAACACCGCCAAAGTTTCACGAAATCAACACATTTCGCAATCGTTCGCCGCCATTTTTCATTAAACTTTCGTTAATGTTTAAATGAAGTTTGTCACATTCCGCTGAAAAAAATCCCTGGTACAACGGCTCAGAATGTCAACATGGCGCAGGTTTTAAGGGCGATACTGTACAATTTTAGTTACTTTTCATCAATTTATGGCTGGTTTCGTCAATTTATACGTTTTTAAAGTTTTTGGATTAAAGATAGATGTATGCCTAATCGTTTACTTACTTGGTGGAGACTGGAGAATATTTTGAAACTTCCTTTCAATGATTACATACTTAGTAACTCGTCATCATCACTGACATCATCATTGTCATCAAAGAGATCGCAATCATCTTCTGATGTGCTTCTATCCTCATCCACTTCTACCGTATTGCTACAGCTTTCACAAGAACACAAGTCACTGCATTTCAGTTGAGCTTTAAAGCAAGAACATCTTTGGCTTGTACATCCTTTCTTACATGTGCACTTCACAATTTCAAGGAGGGAATCTGGTGCGGCAGGAAGTGTCATCCACAAGATCTTATATTCGCCATCTAATATCCACCCATTCCCATCAGGAGATGGAATATTCATATGAGATGACAGAGACTGATTCCACACAGCTGTTTGATAATTAGCTCTCTCAATGTGTTTCAAGAGACAATCAGAATTTGGTGGTAACACATCATCTGAATATTTCCCTGATTTGAAGAGGTTATATCTGCATTCATCAGTATTAACAGCAATCTTATCGCCATACATCAAACACACAAACCGGTGGAGTTGGCTGACTATGAGGTCAGATGGTGGAAACATGTTGCCCAGCATGCCAAAAGTTTCTGTAAATTCTGGATTTTCAGATAACGTTTTCCAAACTTTAACTTTTCCCTTTCCATGAAATGAGCTTGTGGAATCACAGCCTATACAGTTATTTAAATATTTTAAATCTGTTAAACATTAATTGCTTGAAATTCACTTCGTTTTTTAAAAAAGCATGCTGTCAACAATGTTGCACAATACCTGAAAATGCATGAAAACCTAGCAGACATTTGCATGTGTCTTCACCAAGTTTTTCGCAAATTGTGTTTATATGAATACAGCGAAATTTATTTCCTGAGCCCGTCATCATGTAAATATCCTTCTCAATCACATGTTGCATGGCAGTGCAAAGAACGAGAACGTCAGTGTCAGGACTTCTGATTATTACTGTGTCATACGTGCTTGCGGCATGCTTGGCATGCAACAATAGGCGAGTATCTGCCTCCTCATGGTTGCTATCAAGTGGTGGAAACGAGGCTGTTCTAACAGGGTCATCTCCATTTCGACCGGGACGGTATATGTAACATTTATCCTTAGATGTTGCGTACAGAACAGAGACAGAAGCAAGCTTGGATGACTTATATGATTTCCAATGTTTGATGAAGAATTCGAGCAACGCTTCTTTGTTTTCTCCAGAGCTCAGAAATTTTTTCCACTGCTTAGGAATGTTCTGCTCTTGGCTATATATGTGTACTCGTTGAACTCCTTCTGTAGCGCGTCTTACTCGCTCAGTGTTCTTGATACTTAGAGCAAGATACCTGTCAGCGACAAAATCTAGTCTTAATGCACGACAATCGTGAGCTAATTTTATGAGGAAACGGAAAACTGAATCCGCAAAATCCCCAAATGTTTTCCAGTTTCCTTTCAAGCACTGCACAACAGCCATGGCGTCTACAATGAGTGCGTTATCATGAGGGATGTCTGTTTGATCCACATGTGGGTTTTCGCCTTCTCGTTCCAGTATCTCCGCCAATTTTGATTTTGCTGTCTTTAAAAAACTACCACTTACGGAGGCAAGTGACAAGGGATATGCACCAAGGCAATAAGACAAGATATTTTGCATATCAACGTCCCGGCTTTTTGCAACAAGTAAAAGCTTTGCAAACAAGTTTCTACTCATTTTGAGTCCAGTTTCTTTTCCGCCACTGTTTTTTATCCCTGTTTTAGTTTTCTGGATAGAGGGAAGCTTGTTCTTCTTAATTGTTTGGAAAATATCTGGCGTTTCAATAGCGAGATTGTTTTAACAAAATCTTGAAATTGATCTTCTCCACTCTGTTCTGCTCCAAGTAAACTTTTGGCAACATTGTCATCAATGACAAATCCACTTGCTAACGATACTAAGCTCTCCTGCTCTGCATCAAACGGTTGTAACATATTTGAAACGGTGGTTATCACACTTTCTACCGACTTCTCGTAGCGATCGCATTTAGTGGGATCGAGGTCTTTACGTTTTCTAAAAGAAACAGTTGAATTCGCAACCATTTAAGTACTAAAAATATTCGTTTATTCGCGAATATTGTTTGGTCATACCTTGGTTTGTACTCCATTCCTGCTAAGCTCTTGCATTGGCTGGTTATTGCTGCTCTCTGTGATTGTGAAAGAAGCCATCGATGCACTGCACCACGATTCAATGTGAAACCAATCAAGCCTCCCTTAGTTTTTGCATCACGGTTTACTGTCTGCTCTATAGTTTGATCGCATGCAACTGCGGCGAAGCCATGATGACTTTGACGCTGAATGGCAAAATTTTTTGACATTTCAAGTCGAATTCCTGAAAATTCAGATGAACGGTATTAATTGTATGCATAGTTACATTTACACATACCTTGCCTGAATGCGGGAAGCGACAAGCAATCAACAGAAAATATGTGAGTGGACAAGAAAGTATTAAGTGGTTTTATTGTATATGTTTACATACTAGTTCTACATAAATGTTCCGCATAAAAAAGCTTGATGTACACTATATACCTGGATGTTTTTCATGCAAAGACGTCATTTCCAACCAGTAAGCTGTTCCATATCTTGCATAATTAGTCTTATTACACACAAAAAACCAAGGAAGCATTTGTCTGAATGTAGATAAATGGAGCTCCCAATCGATCTTTCGCGTTGCACGGACGAACATCAGCAATATACCTACAGTAAAAAGTTTTATTTACTTTGGTGCAAACGAAGCAAAGAGAATGAAAGAGGCCCTTAAGATATTGACCAAAGGTCGTTTCTTGTGCAGTTCGTTGTTTAATTTATGGAGCAACTCGAGTGTTCAGGGAACGTACAAATACGCTACGTTTTCATATGGTACGGCTGAAGTAAAAAACAGCTTTAGCCAAAGAATCATGAGTATGTTAACTCTAGCCTGCTGATCACAATCTTATAAACTTTGATTCTAAACGGAATGGCGAGTTGTATTAATGCTCCAGTTCGTCAATTCGCTGTAATTTTAACTTGCAACTTTTGTATTATTAAGAGTTTCACATATACCTGTCATTTTAAGATAAATGCTCCAAAATGCAAACGTCTTTGATTTTTGCGAAGTTTCTGCCACAAATGAATCGTATTTATCACATATCGTCTCAAACTCCTGACTCAAAAGCTCCTCTTTGTATCGTTGCGTCGGAAAGCCGTCTGCCATGACTCCTACACATGTCCGAATTTTTTCCTGTTCTGTGATATCCAAGCTATCCAGAAAGGCATCAAATCGAAGACGCTGTAATGCTTCATGCATGATTTTGTGGCAAAACACCGACCTATTGTAGTGTTTACCAGATAGCCACGCCTTTAATTGATCCCTCATTCACTATCCCCGATTCATCAGTATATCCTGCATATAGAAGAAATTTTGCATGCGTCGTTATATTATATACTATTTATTTTTGGTATTGTAAATTTTCCAAAGTAGTTTTTAACATGCATTACCTTCAGCCCTGCATCTTCAAACAGCTTCGATATTGCCGACAGAAAGGACATAATTGTATGAAACTCTCCTAATCGCACGACCAGTTTGTTGTAAAACATCTCGTTTTTCCACCTCACTTGTTGCACCTTCGCGTATACAGCTTCGTCAAATACCATTACGATATGATCTAGTTGCAAGGCATTTGCAATGTCAACACCACTTTCGAGGATTGCGTTTATAGTTGAGTATTCAGTGGGCGAATTGTCAATGACAGGGAGATAACCGATTCTTGATTCGTTTGGTATTTCTGTTTCATTAAGCATCGTATTGAATCCAGTCCATCCGGGAAAGGGACTTTCTTGGGAGTGATGAAACATTTTTACAAGTACGTATGCTAGATCCGATTTAAGTGAAATATTTGTTTTCTCATTTTCACCGTAATCTCTGATGTCATCAGGAATGTTAAATGCAGCAGTCTTTTTCACTCCAATGCTGTAAGGTTTTAGAGTAACGTCAGGCATCTTTAGCGATCGTTGGGTTTTCTTTATCACTGTTGTCTCTATATTGTCGTCGTCGTTGTTTTCTGAGGTAACCTGTTGGATAATGATGCCATTCGTGACGTGGGTTTGTTTTTTAGCTTCTTCCCCAAAATCGATATTGTCATAAACAACATTAACATGACGCTCTGCAACAAAGCCTTTAGGAATAATATTTGATCTATTCAATGACAGCTGTGCTAATGCGGTGTCATATGCCATGGTTGATGAGAGGGATACACAATGACCAAAGCCGTTTAAGAGAGTTACTAAGTTGGAACAACCCGATATTTGTCTTACAGCCATGGCTAAAGCTAGTGATTTTGGTGTTTGTGCTCTACCGCCACTGGAAATGTATAACAGATCCTGACAAAGGGAAAACAACTTGAAAGAGCGATCGCCCTCTAAGGTTACATACTCTGCTACTTCAGGATCATCAGAAAACCCGACTACCCAAGCAAAAAAATTGAATATAACTGGAGGAACTAACTTTTTCACATTAGTAAAGTTGATATCAGCTGCAACTGGTGGCCACGTATTGTACCAATCTTGTGCTGCGGATTCACGAAAGGTTTCTCTTAGAGATAATGCAGCGAAATACATTTCTTTCAACGACGATCTTTCATTAGTACGGACTGCTGTTCGTTCGGTTTTATGATTATCTAGTATTTCCTCTTCACTATCCGATGACTGTTCTTGCGACACAAATGTCTCTGCAATCCTTCCTCTATCTAAACATGCTGCGAACACAATGTCACTCCGACGTCGCGCTTTGGGACTATGGAACACAAGCTGGGGAAAAGTATTTTTCAATCTTCTTTTCAAGCGAAACGTTTTGTAGCTTGATGCGTCTAAATTTTCAACCCGTGCGACGGTTTTATCGAACTCGTCTTTCACTCTCGTCATATCATAAATCTCTTGACCTTTGATAATTTTTGTCATGATAAACTCCTCGCTGAAGATGTTAAACGAACGTTCGAATAGTTTATTGTCAGTTTGTCCGTCTCTCTCGCTTTTTTCATGGTTTGCCACACATCTGGTATATTTTTGTAACAATGAGTGTGATACTTTACTTCGAGTGCAATACAGTCCTTTCCTTCGATGTGTAGCAGGATATGTTGGTCCGCTTTCTTCTTCGCAGCTTCCCTCAATTTCCCCCCATCAATTGTTTCAGAAGAGATAAGCTTGTCCAATTTGCGTTTTTTACTAATCTGTTGAAGAATAGAAATAATCTATTAATTAAGTGCCAATCTTACAAAATTTCGTAAATTAAAATAGAAGCTGATACTGTAACATTTAAAATTTCTTACTGAATCAGTGATGTACAAACTTTCTCTGCCACATATAATACAAGTAGGTGGTAGCACATGAGCATTTCTGGGTTTCACGCGCACAGTTTCATCAGTGGACGATCTAAGAAACTTTGCAGGCACCTGTGTCTCATCATCGGTGGAAAGCAAGATCTCGTCTACATTAGACTTTCTTTCAATTTCATCTATCTTTTCACATCGCCGTTTCGCGTGTGCAACTAAAGTTTTGTTGGTAAATTTTGAATAGCATTCCCTGTGGTAATAAAGGTTTTCAGGACCTGTTGCTGTATCCCGTCGGCTACCACGCCGAATGATTTTTCCGCCACTTGTCTTTGCTCACCAATCGAGCGATACCCATTTTTCCCGAAAAAGTAAAAACTTTTTAAAAGAAACTTCGGTAAAAGCAGTGAGAGGGCCACAATGCCCGTCAAAATGAATCAAACAGCGCGATTTAATTGTTTGTTCTGTCATAAACAATATACGTAGTGTATAATTAAAGATGTTCAAAACATTCAACAGAGTTGCAGATATTTAAAAAAAATACAAAAAAAAATTATATTCCCGCGAAAAGGCGCGCGAATTTATTACATATAATCAGCGGAAAGTTGTAAGAACGTTATGTTAGACAAAACAATAATGAGTAAAAGAGGATCATTTCGTAAATATTACATGAAGTTTTCTCAGATAAAATGGCGGCGAACGATTGCGAAATGTGTTGATTTCGTGAAACTTTGGCGGTGTTGTACTAAAAAACTGCAGGTTTGTGAAAATTACAACAAGTGAATTTGAATTTTACACATAATAATCTACAGATTTTGCTTGTCAAAAAGTATTCCCCGTGAGGGGGGAACAAAACTAAACGAAAATCCAGTCGAGAATACGGCCTATCCAGGCGTCATCAACACGCAAACACAATCGGACCGTTTCGTAGTCTCCCTGAAGCACTGACTTACATGAACGAACAGCATCCTGTACATCATTTTCTCCAGTAATGGTAACAAATGTACCCTCATCGTCACGATATTGGATTCTCAAGGACTTTGGATCCCGTCCATCTCGATAATAGCTGCCCACCGTGTCCCAAACAATTTCAGACAGCATCGCTAAATCCAAATCTTTCAGACTATTAGATGAGATTGAACTCGTTTTACAACGATCGTAATCACGACCATATATAATTTTTACTTGTACTGACATTTGATTCTGTAAAATCGCAAACGCCTCAATACGAATGTTATGTCTGAAATCTTGCTGGAATGACGCCCTTACGTTTGTTGGACATGTGGGCGTGACATGTCAAACAATGTCAACTCACAGTCTAAACTAATTAGTTTATACGTTTCAGCATGTATGTTTGGTCCGCCTAACGTGCACGTTTGAAACGTAAGAAAACGCGTGAAAACGTTTGCGCCGAACGGTCGCTTGCAAATGGTAATAGTTGGGAAGGAAATACAGCACATCAGGAATTCCAGACACTGTTTCATTCTGGGGCTTGCGTATATAATGGATATTCCAGTGCTCTTTCACTTTAGTTAAATCATCCTGAAGTATCTTGTTGAAACAATACCATAATGCTTCCATGTGATATGTGTTGCCAATTTCCAATATTCCTTGTTCTATCATGTCTTGGAAGAAGTCAATCCACCAGCCTGACCTGTTTCGTCGTAAATATGACCACCAAGCCTCTATTCTCTGGTTTGCTGGAGATGAACCATATGCATGAGCTTTTTCCCCAGCCCATTCATCATTACCATCTGACCTTAGATAGCACTGCATAGCACACATAAGAACGTTTTCAGTTCCACAGTCTGTACGGAATGCGCATAGGGATAGGCATACCGATACACAATTCTCACAGTACGTTTTTGCATCAGCCGCAGCATTGCCGCACCCTGCACAACTCATAATGATCAATTATGTACAGCTTATATCTTCGACTCCTTGCTTTCCTGTGAGCTTTTAAGTTCAATTAGATTGAGCGAAAAAACGCACCGCGCACGACAGGATAAAAAAGAAAATAAAGTAACCTTGACTTGCGCATGCGCGTAATTATGCGATGAGCCCGCATGTAATTAAAGTGCGTTCAAAAATTTAAAGTGTGTTAGAAAACTTAAAGTGTGTTTGAACATATTTAAAGTGTGTTTGAGAAACTTAAAGTGTGTTGGAAAACTTAAAGTGTGTTAGAAAATTTAAAGTGTGTTTAAAAATTTAAAGTGTGTTGGAAAACCTAAAGTGCGTTTAAAAATTTTTAAAGTGTGTTGGCACATATTCAAAGTGCGTTTGAAAACATGTAAAGTGCCTTTCGAAATATTTAAATTGTGTTTTGAATTTTTGTGGATTGGTATTTACGTATTTATATGGGGTGGCCCCTGTGAGCCACCGTATGATATATACTCAGCAAACTCTAATTTCATTGGCTGAAAAAATACAATCATGGTTTTCCACCATTGGCTCAATATGCAAAATTCCCATTGGCTAGGCATACCATGCATGATTGGTTCACAAGCTAAAATTGTGATCCTCTTGGCATTGTAAGGTCAGTATGATATGAGGTTGTACTGTGATGGCAGTTTTTTCATCAGCAGCAATACAAGTTATACAACTATGTCTATATAAGTACTACGCGAAAATTGGACGACGATGTTACTCTATAAATTTTAGCTAATTGCAATTCTTCAACACGAGGCGAAATTTTCATTTTCCCGATATAAACTAATAAACTTGCATGGCACTCATCGATGCTAAATTGCCCTGGTAATGTGCCTAAAACCAAGCAACCAATCAGAGGTTAGGGAAGTGGTGTCTTCGTAGACGTCCGATCCCATTATGTAGCTATATATTACCTCGCGACAAGATGGGAGCTATTCTAGAAGCACTCAAGCAGCATTCGAAGTTAGCGATTCACAGGATTCAGAAACAAGATGTCTGGTCGTGGTAAAGGAGGCAAAGGTCTTGGAAAGGGAGGTGCAAAACGTCATCGTAAAATCTTACGAGACAACATCCAGGGAATCACGAAGCCCGCTATTCGTCGTCTAGCTCGTCGTGGTCCAGGGTGCATTCGGTGTATATCACACGCCGAAGATACGCCAAAGCAATCTTAACATTACGCCAACTTCCCACCCTGGGCCATACTCACGACAATCACCCACTCCAGGACGTTACGCCAATCGCAGACTCGCCAGGACGTTCGACTCGTGAGTCAAAAAATGCTACACGTTTAGAGGACCATTTTTAAGAAGTTAAATGCCTTTGTTGTCGTTAAAATACTTGAACGCATGCAGTTGAAGTCGGTGTGTATGTGGACCTTTGAATTACAAAGTTTATGTGTTTATCCGGTATTTATGCGCCGACAAGTTAAAAACAGTGTACGCCACTACGCCAAGGAAAGTTGATTTTACGCCAGTACGCCAAGGATACCCTAACTCTACGCCGAAGATATTCCGATTTGTCTACACCGAATGCACCCTGGGTCGTGGTGGTGTCAAGCGTATTTCAGGTTTGATTTACGAAGAAACTCGCGGAGTCCTCAAAGTTTTCCTTGAGAACGTGATCCGTGATGCTGTCACATACACCGAGCACGCCAAGAGGAAGACTGTCACTGCTATGGATGTTGTCTATGCCTTGAAACGACAAGGAAGAACTCTCTATGGTTTCGGCGGTTAAACTTCGTGCTGAAAGACAAAACAAAAAACCGGCTCTTCTAAGAGCCAACAAATCTCTCGAAAGAATACATGAACTCGATGATGTAGTGAACCCTAAACCCAAAACGATAATTTCTCAATATCGTTCGATAATAGTTCGTGTGTACGGCTAAACATTAACCAATGCAGTTGTGTGCGAATATTCGTGCTCATTGACACAACATTGGGCTATGTTGAAACCCGATATGTAACTCTATAGTTGTATATCTGAAATATGTGCTCCTCCATTATTAAAAGCGCTCACTGAGTGTAGTGAGACTGGCATAAGTGACTGATTAAGTCTGCATTTTAAACCCCCGTTCATCGCCTCAAAATTAGGTCTGCTTTCCACAATCAACTCGTAGAAGCACAATAGTCCATATAGAAGCACAGTAGCCAGACATGAATATGAAACAATATAAATATAATATATACTACGCCCACGGCGTGCGCGCCTGTTAGCGTGCTATTACAGCAGATGTACGTAGGCATTTTTTTTGCGAGTCGTGACTGCAAATGGCCACCGTGATTGGTAGACCAACTACAGGTTTTCTTACTCGACCTCATCTTTAAACGTGACGAGAAAATAGTGCAAATAATTTCGTTAAACCTATATAAAAACGTTTCCTAAGCCGAGCCTCTCAAAAATTCTATATTATTTTATAGATACGGCGAAATTGTAGATATTAATTTAGTTCGGGATAAATCATCTGGAAAATCAAAGGGTTATGGATTTTTATGTTACGAAGATCAAAGAAGTACAATACTTGCTGTAGATAATCTTAATGGCATCAAGGTATTCGTTAACTTGAGTGGAATAATGCCTTTCTTATTCGCGAGGTAGTTTTATATTGTATTTATCTATACGGTTCTCTTATTTCAGCTTGGAGGTCGAACAATCCGAGTTGATCACGTAGCAAACTACAAACGACCAAAAGGTGATGAGCGAGATGAAAAAGGTGAAAGAAAAGAATTACCTCTTGTTGGATGTGCGCCCACAACACCACCTGGTTCAGACGAAGATCAGGAAGAGGGAAACGATATGACATTGGATCCTAGGAAGAAGAAAAAGAAGAAGGAAAAAACACAGAAACGACCAAAAGAAAACAAGAAAAATATAGAGATGGCAGGAAAAGAGCGAAAACAAGGATTATCGTCTGGTCAAGAGAGTATATTATCAAAGATTGCGAAATTAGACCAAAATTTCGAGGGTAATAGTAGAAAGAGATGTAGTGATGAGCGTGGTGACCAGGATAGATCACACTTAGAAAAGCATAGGAAATCAGACTATAAAGACAGTGACAGAGAAACAAACCGCAGAAGAGAGCGAAGAGAAAGAGATAACGAGAGACAACGTGGAGATAACGAAAGAGGAAAAGATAGAGACAGAAAACGATATGAAGACACAAGAAGGTAAGTTTAGTGCCAAACAATAGACCTCATCTCGTCTCATTAAAGTCTCGGGTATCATGAAACAATAATTTGGAAACTTTTTCTAAACAAAGAATATCAGACGAAAATATACTTTTACGATAGGCATTTCCAACGGAGGCTAACAATGCAAAACTTGCAGTGATTTAGTACCAAAAGCAGTGAATTCAATTTATAATTATATTGTCTGGTCACAATTCCATTATTTATTGTATATTTCTATATTTCAGTAAATTTATGCATATATAAAATATCCTATAAAGCGGACCATTAATTTAATTTGTTATTTTTAATTATTAATTATTTTGTTAAGTATGAAATCGCGCTCTTTTAAGTTTAGTGCCTTATTTTGAATATTGTGCAAGTACATTGTTCAACTCCCCTTGAACTTTTGAAATACGTGTACATTAGTTATTGATAGTTTTCAACTAATTTAAGTCCGGTTAAACAGAATAAGAAATTTCAATTTGTAATCGCCACGCTTCACACGTTATTAAAATATATCGGTAGAAAGCGCAAGTCACCGTCGTGACTTTGTTGAAACTTCTCATTCAATATTAACCTGGCTGTTTATTTGAAATCACTGGTCTTAGTTTTTTAACCACGCGGTTCCATGTCTGATAACATGCACTGTATTATTGAATTATTCGTGTGTGCGTGCACAGATTCCTGCAGTAAAACTTCATCACTATAAGTACAGGAAAATATCAAGATAATGAACAAGACGTTGAAAACTGGTCCTTTAACCTCTGCATGATGTATATATGAGAATCAACAATTCCTGTTTCGAATCTGTTTTGATAACCAATCCAGCCCTTCGTATATTCCTGTGCCTTTCGTAGCGCAGGTCGCCTGTATATACCATTTCCTCCCGCACAGAGTATGTAAACCCAGTTTCTCTCCTAATTGTGTAGTACCCATTGCTAGTGGAAGATCTTGTTTATTTGCAAATACTAGTAGAACTGCTCTACGTAGCTCTTCTTCTTTAAGCAAACAAAACAATTCTGATTTAGCTTCCTGAATTCTATCAGTGTCATTACTATCTACGACGAATATAAGTCCTTCAGTCTGTTGGAAATACAATCTCCATAAAGCTCGGATTTTGTCCTGTCCGCCGATGTCCCATACTGTAAAATTAATATTTTTGTACTCCACACTCTCCACGTTAAAGCCGATTGTTGGCATCGTGTTTGATATAGGTTCCTTTAGTTTAAGTTGATATAATATTGTAGTTTTCCCCGCTGCATCGAGGCCCACCATTAAAATACGAATATCTTGTTTTCCAAACCAACGTTTGAATAGACTTAGAAGGGTATTACCCATAATGATGCGCTCCTTGATGGAAGGTCTTGAGAAGCTATTTTGTTTTGCAATATCGTTTAAATTTTGCCGATGAAAAAAATTATGAATTAAGCGAAGAAGTTAAAATATGTTCTCAGCAATTGATAAGAACTGAAATTTGAAGCACAAAAACCAACCAAGCTAACAACCTGTTGAATGACTGGTGGAAACCAATCGAGCGTAAATGGCATGTATATTATCCATTTTTGAAGTTTGATCTTCCGAGCAAAGACAAAAAGAAGAGGGGTAAAGAATCTCGTTCCCTGGCGGCCTGGCCCCGCACAAGTTGAATAGAAGGCGACACTGGTATTTCCACTAGGTACAGCGAACGTACTGAGATGCTAAATATTGCACTTATATATGACGTATTGGGGTGAATTGCCATCGGCGATGGGAAGCTGGAGCGCAGTGCATTTGCTGATTTACCAGGCCAGTTGTACACGTCTTCTCGAAAAAGAATTGCATGATAATAGGCTTAAGAAAATTAAATCACTCAACTTCATAAAGGTAGAGTCCGCCCTTCACGGCTTCACCTTCGTCAAAACGTGATGAAGTGATGATGCCCAGCATCCAGAAAGCGAAGCGACAGTGAAGTTAATGTCATGTGCTAAACATCGCCCCTCATGCATGTAGAGCGATTTTACTTGTGACCTTGTGCGAAAAAGATTAAAAACGTTATTTTATGGGGTGTGCCGATAGGAATTCGTTCATTTTTCAAAAATCCACACTAATGACTAAGATTACAGTATTGACTGGAAAAAGAATTATTTTTCATTTTTTTTCTATTCTTAATTCAGTACAATTTGAAATTTATGGAATTAAATCAGCTCAAGTTTTCTTAATTCTTCCCGAACACTTTCTTCGGAGTTAATTTTATCTTCCTAAAATGAGAAAATATTTAATGAGCGTTTCCATTTTTCATTATAAGTTTAAAACCGAATAAGAAAAATATAATTACTTGATTCTTTTCTAATTTTTTTCCAGCTTTTTTCTGCCCTTTTAAATCTTCAATTTGTTTTAATTTCTGCAGGAAAATATAATGAGACTTGAATAGTTGTAACAACCAATGACCCTTTCTGTACATGGGTTATTTTTTTCCAGTACGTAGGTCACACTTAACCAAACATTGTTTATTACTGTCAATAAAGGGGTTCGTATTTGTAACGGACAAAAACCTTTCTCAGATTTCTTAATTTCTTATCATTCTCAGTGGCAGGGACAGGAGCGGCGGCAGGTGGGGTTTCGACAACCATGTTCGAGCCAGTTTCTTTACTCTATACACAGTAGGAAAAAAGTCGTCAAAAGTTATATTTACGGAGTAAACCTGCACCTAGAATAATTATAATATAACCATGAAACTTCAACAACCTCATTTTCCTTTTTACTCCGAGCTTTTGCTTCGCGTTTCTTTTTATTCTTCAACGCACTCGCAGATAACTCCCGAGATTTCTGATTTTCTGGAGGTTCTATTTCATGCTTAAATACACAACCGTGCAAGTATTCAAGTGAAATAAATGAAAATGTTACGGATCAATGTCATGCGAAATCGAAGGACAATGAATCAATGCCATGCGCAAAATCGCATTAACTTTTTTCAATATATTAGATATTTTATTGACAAAAATTACCAATTTTGTAGTTGTAACGGGGGTTCCCCTTGCTGAAGGAGGGCGATAGGCCTCGACTTTTGCTAAACGTTAAACAAGAATAATTTCGTTAGTTCTCTCATGGCACGCATGCGTGGCTCTTTGAACACACTTTTAAACTTTCCCCAGGTCAGCATATTAACATTGTGCAAACATGAAGCAAACTTGTCGACAAGCTGTTTCATTGTAATACAAGGTTGTCCCTTAAAGCACACGTTCAAAAACCGTTGACTAGCTTTAGATTATATACCTTTGGGTTTTTGGGCATTTTTTGGCGTTGTGATTGGGACTTCAGGAAAGACTCCCTCTGCACGTGGTTGCCATGATACCTTCACAAAATCAAAACAAAAATAGAGCATGATCTATAATAATCATGCAACATCGCGATTGCTGCAGAAAATTCAGCATTATTACACTGATATTACAATTCATAGTCATCATTAAAATTTGCAAACCTCAAACAACCGTGCATACATGCAGTTAATAAAAGAGAAACTAACTTGCCAAAGTTCGTAAACTGATTCTTCATGAACGCAATTTCCATTGTAATGCCATATCTTATATCTTTAAAAGGGAAAATTATCTCTAACAAAACCTGTATAAGACACGATATATGATGGACAGTACAATTTAGCCTCAAATTTTCCTGAGTACTGACCCATTGCCCTCTCGCAATCGCGGAGACGTTGTTGCAGTCATAAAATGTTGACCATCAGGACACCATTCAAATACTGTGGCATCACTAGCCTGTAGAAAAACAATAAACGTTACCAAACACATGCATATTTTGTCTTCAGCTGTTCTGTTGTATTCACATGCAATTGACGTTAGAGCTTGGTATAGGAAAGACGGAAAACGTGGCTCAGCAGTAGTTGAAACCTTCATTTACCAATTCATCAAAGAAATTTTTTATTTAGCAATAATAAATAAGCACGCGCTATTGATTAGCGTTGCTGATATCATAGCTCTTGATTAGTGGAAAAGTAGAAACGTGATGAGATGTGATTACTCGATACAATTATAGGCTATATTTCCTGTGTACCTGTAGTTTATTAATCTCTTTAAATCGCTTAACATCCCAAAATTCCTGTCAATATAAAACACGAAAATCGCTGTATAAATAAGCCCGCATTTCATGCGTGCATGCCAAGAGGTTGTAACGCTCTACCTCTCTTAAGACTCTTTTAATTGGGGATAGGAGAGGATGCAAGGGATAAACGAGGGTTTTGTAAATCTCGGTCCAAGATGATAGCTGCATGCATGTATTAATTCTTATAAACAATTTACATCATTACATGGAAAGACTTCTAAATATACCGCGCTGACCATGCAAACCTACCATGTTACCTCGCAAGTTACCAAAACCGGCTAAACAAAGAACTGTTGATGTATTAATTTAGGAAAATATAGTTAATATATTGTAAATAATATCCATTCAGGCATATATAAAATACATGTAGTGGTTGTTTGAACCAGAAATAACGGCCATATTCATATAACGATCAACTGAGATACAACATTCATTATAAAATTGGACATATTTTTCAAAGCTTCAGTCCTGACTATTTCCATTTACGGAATGTCATATACCAGTTAAGGATACTGCTTCCATGAGCATTAAAATATGCAGCATTTCTTGGTCCGGTTCCGAAATCAAACACAGACTCGCATTTCAGGTTGAAAATTGTAGCTTTAGCCGGCATATCTTGTTAGCATGTTAAGAACATTTATAGAACAGTGAAGTTGTGACAGATAAATCGTAGCTAGAATATCGGTAATGTCTCCATGGCTATGAAAAAAATATTTACACCAAAACGTATGTTATGAATGGTAACTATATCGTTTACAATCGTTACTGTAAAGATACATCCGTAAACAACACAAAACTGGGATGAGTTTGGATTCCAATCAATTGCATAAATAGGGCCTTTCTTTGCTATAGATATTCAAAAAACAACATCACATAGAACTGATTAGTTTTTGAACATGGACAGAAGTCTTGGGAACTGCATGCGAACGATATACTTACGTAAAATGACAACATTACTATCGCCATTGGTAGAAATATATTGCAGACTTTGTTCTCCATAATAAGAGCCTCCAGTATGGTCTACTTCTGTGCTGGTTAAAATCAATGCGGCGGTGCCTTCATATATATCAAGAAATTTATATTATTAAATTCAAAATACTCAAAGACGGTTATTGCAGTTATCTTAAGGATATTAGATAAAATGTACGATCAAAATTACCTTTTTTATTCCAAAGTATATTCGCCTTCTCGGCTTTAAAAAAACTTTTATTGGCGAGAGGTATATCAAAGTTAGGATATTGATATAATCTTACATAACTTGGAGCAGCCTATAAAATAATTAAGCTTACTTGCAGATCATTTATACATGCATGTGTGATGTATCTGTTTCGTTGCATCATATCTTTACACATGTGTGATGTATCTGTTTCGTTGCATCATATCTTTACACCTTCCTTACCTTCGTACCACGGACATAGGCTGCAATTTTATATGGAGAGGGTCCCGGGGCGATCTCGATGCAGCTTACCCCTTGTAATCGTAGTTTATTCACAAAACTTGCTGAAAATATTTTTAAATTTTGTTTGCTGATGATATGCATGTAACTAGTAAAGCTTAACGTTTTGTCGCTGAAACTGATAATTGGTTATTTCAAGGAAGTCACAATACCAAAATTTCCATCCTCATAGAAATGAACTTCATTTGTTACACATTTAGCACATATCATTTCATCCTCGGACCATTTCAACGAGCTAAAATAATAAAATTATGACGTGTGGTAGTTATTTAGAAATAAACCACACAGTATGCATGCGTTCAGCGGGAGCATTTCATCGTTCATTCTTCCAGCAGTTTATTCATGAGCAATATGTGTTGATATTTCCAGAAATATTTTCTAGTACAATCAAGAAGTTAGTAACAATGAGACATATTCCAGCGCTATATCACTATACCTGTTTTCCCGTTTTTTAATGCAAAATCCTTTAACACAATTCCCAGTTTCTACCTCCCAAATCTCTAAGGTGTCTTTCTCTTTTGGTCCATCTCTCTTAACTAAAGCAAAATAAATGTTACATTATGTTGTGAAACAGAAATTTATTATTTAAAACTTTGCATAAGGGATAATTTTACTTTTGTACTCACATGCAATCACTTCAATGTAATACTTACCAATAAGAGGTTCCCACGTCACCAGATATTTATTTTGTGGTGAAAAAGAAAGTAGGTTTGTCTTCTCCCTTGGTATGCTGGGTAGTCTCCGGCCAGAATCAAAATCAAATACGTTTATGCTGCATCACATAAGAATTATCCAGATAAATATTCAAGCGGGACAAAATTACTCTACCTCGATTTCACAGATGATAATAAAAGAATATTAACCACAGATAATCTTATTTGGTAAAGTTAAATGAAGTGCAACTTATTATCACCAGAAAGACTAAAGCTATATGTAATAAAGCAACATAAAACGTGTCAACACATTATTATTATAATCACCTTTCTGAATTACACCATGCCATCATCTTACCATCTGAACTAAATTCCAAAATTCTAGATGGCTTTGAATCATCCCTGCAGAAAAAAGCGAAGTTAACGAGTAAGAAATTTAAAACTCTATCTATATATTGGCAGGTTTGCATTGTCACTTTGTATTCCATGGTATACAAAATCGTTTCATAATATAAAAAGTTTTATAGTGCAATGTAGATCAAAATGCATATTTAGTTAATACCAAAGAATTACGAACTAACGCAACCCTTTGTAACTGTCCCAAATTCCTGACCAGGAATAGGAATAAATTTTTTATACCAAAAGGCACCCTATATGAAATTACCAAACTATCAAAATAAAGAGGGTTCACGCTCAGTATTGTTCTAGGGGTACGTCGCGGAATAATTAACCTCTCTCACAATGACGTCAAACGCAGAAAGCTTGATATGTTACACAAAGTTTGATTGGCTCGTTAGTTATGTGGAGCAAATGAATCAAACTTCTTGTAACATCAGGCTTTCCGCGTTTGACGTCATTATAAGAAAACTAGGTCTATTAAACGAAGGTTGTTTGTACAGGTAGTTAATTATTTTCTAACTATAGTTAGTTGCTGCAATCATAATCGTGTATCTTGCAGTTCACTGCGATTTAAAAAATTAAAAATGTAGTTAAGAGTTTTATCGGGGCTTTGGGCAATGCTCCCGGAGGAGTATATATTCGTTTTCTACAAGAAAGACCTATATAGCTTAGTAGCAAAAGAACACAGCTACAAAAGACATAGGTATGATTCTTGCCCGAGATCTTCACAACGTTTCTAGTTCCGGCCAGTCGCACCGTATTTTTTTCCTTGAAAAAATTCTACGACTGATGATAAAATTAGAACATAGTATTTTCAAGATATCATCAGCCACATCAACTGCCTTCCATTGTTTAACAGGGAGTTTAACCTTATGTTTAACCTTATGTTTACACAGCTTCATACTTTTTAAAGTTAGGAACATCACATAAACTGGTGTTGACCAACTTCTTAACGCTGACTCCATCTGAGGCACGAACTATTAAAACAAACACAGATTCGTTGAGAAACAAGACATTTGCCATATATTGAAAATACTGTAATTTTGGTACAGGTTGCTATAGAAACATGGCAAGACAGGCCAGTTCCATATTATTAGTGCATCAGCTTGTAACATGCTGTGTTTTTTCTCAACTTCTCTTTTAAACTTTTCAAAATGTTGCCACTATATACTTGGTTTGGCACTTGCTAGGGATGTCAATTGCTGCATTTTTTGCTGCAGGCAATTTGAAAATGGTTATTAGCCAAACTATTTCTTTATCAAATTCAGGAGTGTGCAAGGAAGACATATGAAATTAACACAAATGCATGACAAAAACAGATGGCTAAGTGATATTTTTCAGAGAGTATAGTTTTGGTTGAAATATATTGCATGGATGGTTTGAATCTTATACAATTTGTGTAGATGATGTTTTTGGAATTAAGTTGATTAATGTGTCCTGGTGCTTTTGAGGTTCTGAATCTTAACATTTTCTATGGATGTTTTCAGTTTGGTCATTCTGTATATACTGGCCAGACTGGAGAATTAGGCACTTTTTGCTGAGATGCTATGCATACTGTCTTGGTTTAACCAGTTACAAAGTGAACCAGACAGTGAGCATTGCCACAACTCAGATGAAACCAGTCACAGAGTCTCAGCGCACCATAGGCGGCCCATTAAATGTTGTAAATATTTTCAAAAAATTATTAAATGTAGTGAATTCACATTATAAATTGTTACAAGGAAAGCCAGAACGTTTCAAGCTAGCGAATTGTAGCTGATTTATTTACGCACGACTTGACACTGATATGACGTATATACTATATAGTTAATTTCATTAACTATATAGTATATACGTCATATCAGTGTCAAGTCGTGCGTAAATAAATCAGCTACAATTCGCTAGCTTGAAACGTTCTGGCTTTCCTTGTAACAATTTATAATGTGAATTCACTACATTTAATAATTTTTTGAAAATATTTACAACATTTAATGGGCCGCCTATGAGCGCACCTTTGTAGCAGCAATGCCCACTATCGGGTTATTATTAGGTAGTAGATGGCTATAGGTGGCAAGTACATCTGGTTTACTTTTGAAAAGTGAACTGCGTAACTCAAGTGTGCTGGGACTTTGTAACTGGTTTAATTATAGGTTGCACCAATGTTCAGTAATTCAGGTTCAGGTTTCATAAACCAGACAGTGGGTATTGCAGAAAGACTGCAACTGACATGAAACCAGTTACAAAGTCTAAACGCACCTGAGTTATATATATATAAGTTATAATATACTTTTCACAAGTATGCCCGATGCACTTACCACCCATAGGCTATAGCTATCTGCTATGCATATATGCATTTAAAATAATTTATATGTATATACGCGGGACAGGAGGGCAGTGAAAACTTTTTACTTTTAACATCAACTTTAAACTCGATTGTAGCTACGGCAATAATTTATTTCAATGCGCCAAAAAATGAAGATACTTCACTTACTTGCTAAATGTGGAGGAGCAGGTAAATTCTGGATTTCCACGTTGGCGGCCATATTGGATTTCAGCGCGACATGAAGCAAGGTGCGGTTACTAAGGAAGAAGAAGAATGTCGAGTTGTTATTTAGATGGTTGGAATTTATTATTTTGTTGTTCTAGAAAGAAACCTGCACATAATCAAGTACCTTGTCAAGAGGAAACACAGGATGTTGTGTTAGATAAGCAATTTATCGGTTAGCCATTTTTGTGCGTTAATATACAACTCACTGTGTGTATCAATCTGTTTCTGTGTTCTTAATATAATATACACAATGATACAATCGTGACTCATCAATCATGTCAGTATATCACAATGTTTAGAAAGACTGTTTTCTCAAATTGTAGTGTCACTGCTGGAATTTTTGTCAGCCAGTGTGATAATAATGTGTCAGTAATTTCCTTAAGATCATGATTGAAGGCCCGTTTTTGACAAATCTTTATCTATTTATGAAGGTGATGAAGTTGTGATTGTAAAATCAGATTTAAGAATTTGTGGTTGTGGTGCTGCTCTTGCTACAGGTCCTCTAGTTCAAAATAAAGCCTATTTTGAAGTTAAGGTACAATGTGGAGGTAAGACGTAACAGGAGTACCAGCACCGAATAAGCTGATTCGCATACCTTGTAAGCACCAAATCCAACTGCGGATTGCCAAAATTGGGCAGGGTGTAACTTGTTTAATTGAAAATTTTGTTTGTGAAGGTGTTTGGGGTGTAGGCTTGGCCTCCAGAAAATGTGATCTGAATTGTTTACCTTTGGGTAATAATGATGAAAGTTGGGTATTAAGATCTGATGGTGGTATATGTCAAAGTGGTAAAGTGGTTCATCAACTAAATGTTATTCCTGATGACGGTGATATTATTGTAAGTTATTGAGTTATCTCAAAATGTTTGTTCAAAAAAATCCCATAAATGCACTAAAGCAGACATGGGAAATAATTCTTGCTACCATTTGCAGTGTTACTACATGAGTGATATGAGGTTAGCATTACATAACTGATTGTCCTTGTGAATTTAGGCTTGCACCTACAACCATGCAGAGTTATATTTTTATATTAATGGATGTCAGGTTGAATTTCCTCTCACTGGAATAAGAGGAACAGTTTATCCTGCTGTTTATGGTGAGTGATTGCACATCATTGCTGTTTCACATCATTGTCTAAAGTGGATTTAGGCCCCAAGTCAAAATGAACTTCTCTATATCCCTGTTTTGGGGTCATCAGGTTCCAGGTCAGCTCATCTTACTAGGAATTCAAACAATGTAAAAGTGATCTCAGACATATGTTCATTACTTATGCCTAAAAAACTACTTGTTTTTCAATGTTAACTACTTGTTTTTCAATGTTCCAGTGGTAGACCTGAAGTTTGAATTCCTGAAGTATTTTAATTTCATAGCACCAACCTCCCTGTTTAATTCACATTTGGGAAGTCTTTTGATTTAAGAGCACAAACCTTCATGGTTATGATTCCATTCCACCGCATAGAGCAAACCGATTTTGCCCGTAATTTCGGTTTTTTTCACCTTTAGGCTGTCTCATTTATGCATAAATTTTTATTTGTTTTAGTTGACGAGGGTGCAATCCTGGACGTTATTTTTAAAAACTTTTGTTATCCACCACCTGATGGATACAGCAGAATTTTGTTTGAAAAATCTCTTCTCTAAACTATCTAAATGTATTTATCACTTTCATCATAATTGGGTTAGAGGCAGGATGACAAGAAGATAGGGGAGTGACCCTGCTTAAAGTAAAGAACACATCCGAAGAAAGGCTTAATAAATGGACCTTATATTATAGGTTGAAATACGAAGTCCTATGTAAAAAAATATGTAGCCTGCTATGCATTCTGCATTTCTAAAAATTATACATAGTAAAACGTAAATATAAGGACAAGAAACACACGTTTTATTCTCACCCAGACCAATAGAAATTTACTCGACTCGAGTCCCTTTAAATTGGCAATTCTACTGTGAAATGTTAAATTGTCTTTTGTGAGAAAAAGTGAATACTGTGTTTGGTTGTCCAAAGAACGTCTCTATGGGCGCTGAAAAGCGGCTAAAATGGTCAACTGGTCATATTTTGAATTTAATAAAGTTTGTATTTCGTTAGGAAGTGTAGCGGTAAAACTGCATCTCAATTCCGTTCCACAAATGAAAATAACGATATACTTGAATTCAAGTAAACTTCCACGTACATGATCCGAAACGTACATGATTCAAAAAATCGTTTTAGACAATATCTTGGAGATCACTCTTACCACGTAGTTGTACATACTCGAAACATTCCAAAAAAATTCATATAGATAAAAGATATAAAACACTTTACTCGACCTATTAATTTATTCTACCTATTAACGCTAATTAAAGGATTTAAAGGCAATATTAATTGTTAACAAGCGTAGGGAGCCAGAGGCAGAGAATCTCCTGCTGGTAAGAGATAAAAGAAGGACACGAGAAACATATTTATGTTAATTTGGAAGAAAACAAATAGTTTCTCTGTAGGAGTAATTTATTTTGATGACGATCCACAAACATCAACACGAAGAGTAAAACACGAACATGTCTTTTTTAGTTGTTTTCCTGTTATCAGGAATTTTAGCTAGCTGTTAGTATGTACAGCTACATAAAGAAGCGAAAATGGTATACGATAGAGCTGCCGAGCGGTCGAAAGAGACCACTGATGATACGCAGTTAGACACAACTCGAGGCGGTGCAGTGAAGCTAAAACGATTTGAAGAAGTCCTTATAAAGAGTAAATTAGGTAAGTTAATCGCTTAAAACCAGGCCGCTTATATATAAGCGTTTAATGTTTTTATAATGTTTTTAGCAGGGCGCTTATATTAATTACATGACAAATGATTCAATAATCAACCATTCCAGCGGGTCACGTCCCAATGATCAGTATAGGATTCACCGCTGAGCCCGGTTGCCCAAAATTTAAAATGTGAAAAGATTTTGAAGCGCTAAAATGAGCCATTGAAAAGCAAACAAGCATAAGCTATTGTCGCATGACTACACCACTGCCAGGATCAGTTACACACACTGACGCTGACGTGTTTCAATACATAAAAGTCACTTCACGCTTCGTTAAATCTTGCCCCACTGCATGGGCTCTTGTGAAAAGCTCGTAAAATAATTTACCCTTCTCTTCTGTCTTTCTTCGTCTTTTGGAAATTGCCTTAAATGTGGAAACCCTGGATCTGCACTATAATCTATACATGCACGAAAAATCAATAATATAGGCAATAATATAATAAAGGCATGCAATATATGAGTGGTATAGGAAAGGAATCACCAGAAATGTAGAATACACTCTTCAGTACAAATTGCCGACGGGTGACCTATTCCTGTCAAATTGGGAAGGCTGCAGCTGGGCTCCTCTCAGCCTGGTACGCCTGTTCTGACGCAGACAATTCTTTCCTCCTTCTCAGGAACATCCCGCCATAATGAACCGCTTCAAGCAGTGGTCAAGAACCAACTCAATGACATAGCCTTGGGTGAAGAAAATAACAGTATCTTGGAGAGAAACCGAGCATTACTTCAATATATTGCAACTTTAGCTAACTCTAATGATAATCAAGATCAGTTTAATTACGAGTTTGTCGAGTCTTTGCTTAACGGAGGTGCAGATGTGAACATTGCTGACCAGTATGGACAGTCAATATTCCACGAGGTTGCGAGATCTTGGAATGTGGACGTCGCAAAATTCCTATTAAAACGCGGTATGTTGAATTAGATCGGAACAGTAGAATAAAAACTCAAATGTCATTGATCTGTGTGTTGTACTTTCGTACTTCTAATTCATCATCCCTCTGGCTTTCAACAGGTTGTGATATCAACAAACAAGACAGTTTTGGTCGCACACCACTTCATGTATCAGCCGCAGTTAATCATTCAAAGATGACAGAATTCCTGCTGGAGAAAAAAGCAAATACTGACGCAAGAACATTTGGAGAGAAGCAGGCTGCGATACATTACGCTGCGAAAAACGGAGCCGTCCAATCTTTAAAAGTATTACTCGGATATAACGTGAACATCGATTCCCTTGATGCGAAACAAAAAACACCTCTTCAGGTTAGATCATATATAACGGTTATTAATATGACATGCAAGATAGCATTTGTTCTCTTGCCGTAAGGATTCGTATAGCCCATGCAAAATATAGCGTCTTAAATTAATTCCCCGAGGAAAAAGTTTGTGTGATTTTGCATATTCTCACGCTTTTTCTAATTTATTAGCTCGCTGCAGAATGGACTCGTGCGGGAACCGCTAAAATTTTAATCAACGAAGGAGCCTCTTCCTGTTCTCTGGATTCAACCGGTTATTCAGCACTTTGTGTCCTAATCGATCGCTTACCAAACCTCGCTCTTGAAGCGCTTGGTCAGTTACACAAACGGGACGTAATCAGTATGAAAGATTATTATTACCTGCAACATTTGGAAGCATCACGACAAAATGTTGAAACGAAGTCAACTAGAACAGCGCTTGAAACTGCCGTTGCGACAAGAAAATACGAAGTGGTAACACACCCAGTTATGCAAAAGCTCATTTCCAACAAATGGATCCAATATGGCCGAATGTCAACAATATATGATATCTTATTTCATACATTATTTGGAATTATGTGGACATCGGTTAGTCTAGGTACACCAAAAATGGGACAAGACCTGTACCTTCCTTTGGAAGATAACACTTGGAGAGTAGTTATCGGTTTGATCGTTATACTTCTGACAGTTTATGACATTGGAAAACATGCCCATGGTAAGCTGTGTGAGTGTGTGACTAAATGCTAGGGACTGTCTATTTATTTCATTTCGTGAAAACGCGTTCACTTTTCTCCCGATATATCTGTCTAAAAATGCTTGCGGTTAGCGTACCATAATATTATGAAAAGCTAAAATTTATAAAGGCTACTTATACATCAATTTCCAAGGTATCCCGTCCTAGCGATCGTGCTCAAAATGCCAGTGTATCAAACAGTATAAAAAACAGGAACTGAAAAGTTCAAATTGACAATAAGTAACAAGAAAACGTTTAACTGAGTTTGACATCAATTGAAAATTGAACAGTAGACTATATATCGGAGTATATCAGCTGACGTATCTATGTTCATACAAAAGCAAGGCTTAGAACTAATGATCTTTAAACAAACAGCGACTCAACTCTCATGTTTCGCCTTGATGCGGGTAAAATGGATAATGGGATGAAGTCAGTTTGTTTATAAACAGTCCTCGTCCCATGCAGTTTTCGGTATAAGGCTATGATATTCGCTAGATATCGTGAGTACCATGGTAAATGATATATATCCAAGGCATAAATATCACTATTGCATTTAATTTTAGCAACCAAAAAGCTTCAAAAATCCAAAAGAAACTGGACAAATTGGAGAATAAATCAACTAGAAGATGACATAAAATACTGTCATCCACGATGGCCGCAAGAAAAGAAATATATTGAATACGAAATCACCCGAGTTAAAGCCTTACCCCAATACAATGAACTTGGCCCTTGGTTCTACCTGGATTGGATAATCTTGATTTTAATCATCGCAAGCATTGCCGCACATTTCGTATTCTTGTATGCCGATTCGGTTGTTTCCCGACAGGTTTACATTCGTATCCTAGGAATCATGAATTTGCTAGTCTGGCTGCGTTTACTAAAATACGTCCGTCCCTTTCCTGGCTTGGGAACTCTTGTTATTATCCTGGGCGAAACGAGTGGTGATTTTCTTAACTGGGCTTTTCTATTCTTTTTACTCCTAATTCCATTCTCTGCTGCCTTCTGGATAAATTTTGGAGCCATATCCATCCATCCAGTTCATGGCTATCATCATGTGGCCGAGCTCTTGTACACCGTTTTCCAAATAGCTGTAGGAGATGAGTTTAATCTTAAAGGCATTGTTGAAGCGGATGCGGTGATGGCAAGGATCCTTGTAGCACTCTACGTCACTGCGGTTACCATCGTTACGTTGAACCTATTGATTGCCTTACTAACCGACACCTTTTCAAGAGTTTATGCTAACGCTGTTGCAAATACAATCATGCAGAGAGCAATTAAGGTAGTTGAGGCAGAACGAATGCTTTCGGCAAAAAATAAACGAAAATACAAAGAGTATATGAAGACCAATTGCAGTCCAGAAGTTGTGAAGATGTCCCTAGACAAAGATATCGAGTCGTCCTCCGAGAAAGCAGGCGTGGATATGATTTCGGATGTGCGTGTCATGAAAGAAGTTATTGATGATCGTTTTTTTAAACGTTATGGGCAAACCACATCAGATTTCGATAGTGTCATTGAAAGTGTCAAAACAATTCGAAATAAACAAAATGACGTAACAAATGACATCTTGGAAATCAAGAAATTAGTTAACAAATTAACAGGTAATAATAATAATGAGTCACTGTATTTGCGTCATGGGAACGGCCAATGCCAGTAACATTGACAATTTAGCCAGCATTCCATTCCAGCATTTAGCCCAAAAGATTAAGGTAGCATTGAAGGGTATCGTATCCTCCCCCCCCAACATTTTTGAAATACACACAATAATGCCTAATATATCTCTCACAATAATAATCTTTTTCCGGGGAAAAGGCAATGTTTTTCGTAAATGCGTCGTTCATCATATATTATTATATTAACAGCCCCTTTTAAACGCAAACGATAAATGATGTATTTATTTGATAACAGGAAGTCAGGAAAGTCGTCTTTCAACTAGTGAATCCAGGAGAAGACCAGAAGGAAGCAGAGCTAACTCTTTCTTTAAATTGCTCTCGCCTAAAAAGGAAGTTGATGGGCAAAAATCATCCAAGACACGAGAAAGAAAACGGTCCGAAAAGAGTGAAAGAGATAATAAAAGAAAATCCAGGTACCAATCAAAAAGTAAACGAAACGAGCGACATAAGAGGAAGAAGCAAGAGGAACAGAGTGATACTGAACAAAGAAATATCTCTTTAGTGTTGGACAACAAAGGTTATACAAAAGACCGTGAGACACGGTCTGATGACGACGAAATAAGTTTGTAAATTTCTATTGATAAAAATATTTAGCACATTTATCATAGTAACGGTTTATCCGGTTTGTTTCTCATCGTTGCAAAATCATTAGGTTCGTTGCATTCAGTTTTGGGTGCGAAAGCCGAAATGGTTGGTAGTCTCAACTTAATGTCTTATATATGAACAAACGATATGTAGAATACTAACAATATACTATTTTTAATAATGTAGGTAGCTACAATTCTTTTAGTATCGTATGATTGTTATATGTTTTATATAAATTGCATTAAACCATGGATAATAAAATCTTTTGACTGACCATGCAGCAAGTGACAGTACTGTCAACCAAGCTGAGAATCCTTTCAATTATTGCAATTTACTTGTATTATTGCAATAATTTTACGTAATCGTTGAAAACCAAAATGATTTCGAAAATTTCGAAATTTTAAAAAGAACACACTTGCTTTATGGCTGAGTTTAGGTATCACACCACAGTCACACTAGGTAAAATCTTTCGTTAAATATAACATGACGTATTCCAGGAACGGATAAAACCGATTCTTACCGAGGAATGACGAATATGCTACGAAGTGATCTCGAAGTTTATCGATTGATCGATCGAATGTGCGTATACCACAATGCATTTCATGATTAGTTCTCTTCTCCTTCGTTCGCCATTATGGGTAAGTTTATTTGTTACACGTGGGATAGTTTTTTGTCTATATACCGCTTTAAACTGTCTTTCTATCGTATGTTTTTGTACGTAGTGTGTGACCATCATAGTAAATAAGGTTATGATTATTTTTTTGCGATTAAAGGAAAGCCCAGAGGACTTCGAACAGCTCGTAAACTTCGCAACCACCGTCGTGACCAGAGGTGGCACGATAAGTCCTATAAAAAGAGTCATTTAGGAACTGCTTTAAAAGCTAACCCATTTGGTGGCGCTTCACACGCTAAAGGAATTGTTTTAGAAAAAGTGTAAGTAACAAATTATTACCTTATACATACTACCTATTGACTAACTTGACGTGTCTATATACATAGTATAAACGCCAAACGGACGTGTTTAATAGATTCTAATACATAGAAATTATATTTTCAACCATAAACGCTTTTAGGACACCAATTATTGTTGACAAAAGTATAATTCATCACTTCAGGCACAGTGTGGGGAGTAAACTGTAGAACCACCCAGGCCTACAGGCCAGGGGCTAGGGTAATATCCACTCTTTTTGAGGGGATATATTTATTTCCCTTACCATTCCCTCACAGTGTCTTCACAGTTCCTCTGCTCTCTTGCATATTTATTGAGTTGAAGTCAATGTCTAGTTGTAATGTAAATGAATGCTTTATTTTTACAGTTTGCATTTGAAATAAGACATTTTGTCAAGGTTTCTAACATAGAATTGGTTTGTAATGATTTAAAATGGATTTGAACAAGAGTCTGTGCCCCAAAAAAATCAGAAATATGCGATCTCACTTAGGGCAATTTTCATATTTTCAGGCCCCGCATTTTTGTTAGCAGAACTGATGCGCAAACCAGACTAGGTACTGCCTTAATGCTTTTATCTATTAAGCTCAAGTGACAGGTTGCTACAACACATTGCTGTCAAAGATCACATTGTGTACAGTCCTATAACTAGTCACATGTGATGTTTGCAGCAGTTTTGGTCATATTGACTGATTTCTTTATCAGTGCATTTGAATATTTCGCACTTTTCAGTCCGCACTTTCCATAAACTGAATTTTTTTTTGACAGAAGAAAAACCTACCTTCTGGTTGAGGATAGAGTCACATGTTAAAATATCAGTTTTTAGGGTGTGCTATTTTCCTCAAAAATTAAACATTGGTTTTCAAATTCGCTGGGACTAACTTTTGTGTTATTTCTAGTCACCAGAATAACCAACATACTACAGTATAGATCATGAATATTTTTTATATTTGCCTTGCAATATTAATCTTGGGGGAAGCAGTTTATCTACCAATGTATTAGTTCATTTGCTTTTCTAATATTGGGTTAAAATTATTGCAAGCTTACTGTCCATACTATTGTTTCAAACTTAGTGTCCATGAACCAGAATGTACAGGTATTGCTAGAAAATGACAAGGGTTTTGCTTTAAAGATTTTGCTCTGGCTGCCATTTCTTATTATGATTTAGCTCTTTTGTACTCCTGTTTTTCTTGTTATTTATAAAACCAGACATTCCTTTTTTCAGGGGTGTTGAAGCTAAACAGCCAAACTCCGCTATTCGTAAGTGTGTAAGAGTACAGCTGATCAAAAACGGCAAGAAAATCACTGCTTTTGTCCCCAACGATGGTTGTCTAAACTACATTGAAGAAAATGATGAAGTTTTAGTTTCTGGGTTTGGTCGTAGTGGTCATGCTGTTGGTGATATCCCTGGTGTACGTTTCAAAGTAGTGAAAGTGGCCAACGTTTCCCTGCTTGCTTTGTTCAAGGAAAAAAAAGAACGTCCACGATCATAAAAATTGAAAAACTTTAAAAATAAAAGCTTTTTGTCAATAAAATTTGCTTTGAAAATGCTCTTGAGTTTGTTCATTGTCTCTAATGGTTGAGCTAACAATTTGTTGTGTTTGTTACGGATTGTTTTTTTTTTGCTCGCATTGGCTGTTAAAGTTCGTAACTTAAAAATGTTAAAAGGAGTAAAATTAAGTTTTTTTGGAGATTGTTCCAAAGACGTTTCAAAGGAACCGACGCATGAAGACACTTGGAGGAAGACATTAGTTTCCATGGAAAGAAAGCAATCGAGGACGTTCAGCAAGTGAAGTCAGTTCATATTTTTTAGTTAAGAGTAATATGGCCATTGACGAAAAAATTTGTAGAAAATTGAAGTTCTTAATGTGGCTCGATCCAACCGAGTGGTTCCATGGTAAGGTCTGTGGACGAGGCATCCCCTCCATGTTGGATGTGCGAGAAGAGCTCTGATTCCATATGCGCTGATGGTTTATCCTCGTTTAATCTAAGGGTGAAATGGACATAGAGCGCTACTGGTCAATCTCCTTCGTGAGACAGCTACGAAAGCTAAAACTTTTCGATAGCTTAATGCTTGGGAATACGCCATCTGATCATGTCCGACAAGCATTGATAACTAAGACAACTTTTTACATTTTGCAATATATTTTTCCATATGTACAGTCTCGCAAAACGGCTAATGAAACTGCAATGGAAGAGAAATCAAATTTCCAGAGAGTGTTAACAATAATTTTTCGCAAGCTGGTTTGTTTTCCTAAAGCAACTGACATTCATACGGGTTTATTCTGCTTTGAAAAAATTAAAATACGTCTCGGTAATACATACAATAATCATGTTATATAACAGAATAGCAGTCGTATGACAAAAAGTCCTCCATACAAACTGCCCGATATATCCTTTGTGCAAAGTTATGTGCTTTATTTCAAAAACTGATTACAGCATCTTAAAAAGTTATGAAATTATAATTTTACAAAATAATTACAGAAAAAGTCGATATAAAGACGGTTTGAAAACTTAGCAAACCTGAATGCGTCTATGAAGAGCTAAGGTTTTGGTGGAGAAAACTGTCACACCACAATTTCTATACAATGCAGTAGCGAGTAATAGTATATGAGGCTATTTATAAAACAATAAATGCATGAGGTTTATTGATTACATAATTATAAGAGTGTCTATACACCAGACCGGTAAATAATGAAGAAGATTATAGGTGCAGTTGGAATTAGGACCATCAAGGCACATAAGAATTGCCCCCATCCAGGATATTCCAGACCTGTCGTCCATGCTTTGCTTCCAGGATATTTGTCGCTGAAAGGATCCTAAAGTAAATAAAGATATCAGAAATTACTTTTGGTTGACATGATTTTACTTATTCCTGAGTCATGGTTTTATAAAAGATCAGATCGAATTATAATTTGTTAGAGCCATTCTCGAATTAACGTGCTTTGTGACACATGTTCAAAACGTAGCTGTTAAATCGACCTTCACATACAAATTGCAATAACTGTAAAATACTTGGGTTTTTAGAGGAAATATCAAAGTTGAAGCACTTGTTTTACAACACCGATTGTACCTGTTCGCATCCTACAAATGCCTGATACTTTGCTGTGCCTTCAGCCAGATCGTAAACAGTAGCCACTAAGACAAGGAACAACGCAAGGGGAGAAATATATTTCCAACAAATTCTCCATCCGATCCATGGTCTACTTCCTGTCATTTCCTCGATATCGTCAGCAAATCTGAATAATATAATAATTTATTGAAACGTGCATCGTTGATAAGGGACGAGTTATGATAGAGTTGGGGTGAGGTAAAGTTGGAAATAAACCAAGGAAGGAGGATGATTATACCTTTCGTTTCCGTATATCCACGCTATACCAATACACTGGAATAAGGCAATGACCAGCAGAGCAATTCCAGCTCCGTAGTCGTCAAAAATCTGGAAGACGTAAAAGCCGTTCGCAGTGACCATGCCCAAGCCAATAATCAAGAGAACAATAGCGACAATAGCTAGAGAATGACGAAATAGGATAATGAGACATGGATTAATGTGAGGAGCCACATGAAGACAGAGCTCTGGGGTGGTTCACAGTTGAAACATTAGAGATCCTGCTTCGGAAATGCAAAGGGTCAATGGTTAGAGTACCAGCAGGTTGGACTATGCAGAGACCTTAGATTCAAACACACAGAAAATTCATTTTCAGTTGATGACTTGACAAGATTTGGAGCGTTATATTTATCATTCCTATACACATTGCTGAAGACATTCGAAGTATAATATTAAGTTTCCCAATTCGTTGTGATAATTAAGTTCTCCGTTGAAGTTTACGTTCCACTTACCAGTAGCTACTTCTTTCCTCATTTTCTTAGGAAAAGCTCCCAGCTCTATAAGAGGTCCCATTACTGCCTCAAGTGTGCCAAATTCACTATCGATACCAAGTAAAATCAACATAATAAAGAATAATATTGCCCACAAGGGGGACACGTCCAACTGTAAAAGGGCGTCGGAAAATGCCATGAAGGCCAAGCCAGGTCCACTACCAACCTAGAAAAAACAAAGAAATGAGCAACCAATTATTTGTTTTCATTATAATCAACTATAGTCTTGCATTGCAATTGCGTCGTTATCTAACTAAAACCTCACTATAACCATATATAGCCTTGCTATAACCATCAGGGGCCGGTTGTTTAAAACTCTTAACTACAGTTTGCATAGCTAAATCCTAGTTCGCTATAGTTCGGTGAAGTAAATTGCCATAAATCGTATAAAGAAAGTTGGTTCGAAGTAGCATGAAAAAACATTACAATTATCTTGTGTTATATGGAGGAAAGATTTTCCCCTGGCATTTGTCTCTAAATCACTCTATCTATATAATCACACATCTTTCATGCCTTTAACAGACAACGCGTAATAATGCATTTCAGCGACAAATTTCAATATTATATATTAGCCACAATTATAGTATACATCGCAAAACGATAAGATAAAGAGTTGAGAAAAAAATATTTCCTTACATCTTTAGCTGAAATGTTGGTTTTTACTTCTCTGTAACCGAGAATGGAGAACACAACAACACCAGCGAATATTGAAGTAGAACAATTAATAAGTACCACTGCATAACCATCATGGATACAATGATTTTTGTATGGCATATAACTCGCAAACGCGATCAGAGCGCCAAAGGCCAAACTCAATGTGAAGAACATTTGAGTGGCTGCATCTTTCCAAACCTTGACATCTTTCAGTCTTTCCCACTTTATTCAAAATAATAAATAATTATTTCAGTGTCTAAACATACAAAAAGCTCTGTAATGAAGTGGACATGAAAGTAAAAAAGTATTTTCCGAACGGTATGTTGAACGGCTACCACATTAGAGTTCGTTCGTTAACTTTCAAATTTTCAAACTCGGGCAACAAGCTTCTAAAGAGTTTTTACAGCTATACAAGACGTCGTAGATTATGATTGAAAGAAATGATTGCAATTGTTTGGGTTACTGTATATGGACCCAATTTCTATGCATAGAAAAGGGCGGTGGCTCGTTTGAACACCAGTTAACAGAGCCGACTTTCTGAAGAATAGAAAGAAAATACAACTTAACGACTACAATTATTAGATTATATAGTTGCATAAGGATTCTTGTCATAGATTCTTGGGATCTCTGTTTAGGTACATAGTTTAGAATTAAGGTTCAATACGCTCTTTATATTTTCCGCCCTCGTCTGATAAATTACTTACATCCGGTGTAATGAACGTCTCCAGTCCCTTTTCAGCTCCTTCCAATGTCACACCACGGATAAGTAGCACGATCAGAATGATATAAGGAAATGTTGCTGTGAAATAAACAACCTAGAAAAATATGGTGAACTGTCAGAACTCGTCGATTATACGCTGTTGAACGTTGGTCTTGGATCGTGTGGTTTTTTGTGTCGTGACAACACCAGAATTTAAACATCGTGTTATTTCATAAGATATTTTAACATCAGTTTGAAATATTAGCAAGCTTGATATATTGAACATCTTTTAGTGTCACAGGATTGGTCGTTATGCCATGATGAATACGAATTGAATGCGGGTGAATGCAACTGACTTACCTTTCCACTGGATTTTATTCCTTTGACAATGCAGAGATAAACAATAACCCATGCCAATATCAAACAACCAACCAGCTTCCCGTTCAGGCCATCGCCATAATCTTCGATTTCAGTCGAGATGTCCAAAACTTCAGTGTAAAAATACCACTGAGGTGGATCGATGACACAACAATCGTTAAATTGGTTAACTTTCTGCTTTGCTAGATCGAACATATCTTCAGAGTGGCTCCTGTATGAATCGTTCAAAGGTAAAGAAGTATAGTTCCGTTCCCAGTTATCACGAATATCTTTCAATACATTGTATTCCGAGTTTCTGGAACAAACTTCCTCAGAAGCCCATGGCAAATTTTTGGTCATCGAAATGAAAAGATATAACAAGCACCATGCAATGACAATCACGTAGTACAAACACAGCAAAAGAGAGACCATCAAACTGCCAATACCAACTCCAAACAACGCTGGGTGGATATCTTTCCATATTCGAACTGCCGTGCTTCGCATTTTTTGGCCTATGGCGAACTCAAGTAACATCAAGGGAATGCCTTCGATGAACATGAAAATGAAATACGGGATAAGAAATGCACCTACAAAGGAAGATAAACCGAATGCAATCAAACAACATCGAATTTGAAGCTGATTTCATCCTTCCTGTTTCTTTAAACGCACCTCCTCCGTTTCTCTGACAAAGGTAAGGAAACCGCCAGACATTTCCTAAGCCCACTGCCAGTCCGATGGACGCCAAGAGAAACTCTGCCTTGTTTCCCCACGTATCACGCTTTTCACCTTCCTCACTTGGTGTTTCTCCTTCGTGTTTTGTTTCAACAACAACAGAGTGATCATTACCGCGGTTCACGCTGTTTTCTGGTTCCACATATTCTCCTAAGTCATTATCTTCGCTGTTATCTACCTTCGTATTGGAATTATAATTTGTCAACTGTATGCCTGAAAATTCAACATTTTAAGTTATTACTGTCTATTTATTACACTATCTATTATAATAATTTTATAACAAAGTAATGTTTTTCCAGGTAGAGACATACGTAACGAAGGCCGTGGTCTAGAAACTGATATATGATGGGAAGAACGTTAGGTGTTGCAGGGAAAAATATTAGTGAAACGTTACAGAAGTATGCATGCTAGTTGACTATAATCAATACAGTGTTTCATCCTTTATTTTTTTTAAGAATAATGATGATATGATTACTTCAAAGCGATCATCGGGTAGCCACTCCCATTAGGCCTGCAGCCACTCTCATTAAGCCTGCTGCAGGCTTTACCAGCTTCTCTAAAGCTAGCTAAAGCCGGTTTTCCACCAGGCGAAATTTTTCGATCGTTTTTCTTTTCAATTGTGACCGATGAAGGGAATCCGCTACGGTTGAACTCTCGCAATTGAAAAGAATATCAGACGAGAAATTTCGTTCGATTAAGAAGCTATCATTACTTAGCCGAGATCAAACAAAGCGTGAGAAGATTTTGAGGTATTGAAATAAGCCATTAGTTAATGTCCGCCCCCCCTGGCGCCTGGTCTAAGGCCTAGCTATACATAAATTCAAAATAGGCAATTGTTTTGAATATCACAATATTAAAGTTTGAAGAATATTAATGGTATCGCCATGCAGTCTCAGAATATGCCAACCTGTATAATTCTAGCTGTCATACTGATGACTATATAATTTTATATATTCCAGGCTCCATTGATTACGGAAGCGGTGGCGGGCAAAATCTTTAAATAAATGATTAGTTACGTTGGAATTTAAAAATCAAAATAGAACTTGTCAGTGTTTCTGAATCATACCGATAGGTTTGTTTCAGAACTCTTTGAGACTTGCCGAACTATTTCGTTTTATTTTACAATCAGTGTTTGGCCTGTGACAACATAATAATCTGTCGTTTGGGTTCAGTAGTCAGTGAACCCGTTATCCTTAGTTTTAAACTTTAATCCTAAGTTTTAAACTTGAAAATCTTAAACTTGAAAATTACTTTTGAAATTCACATATCCAACTTTTCTGGAAAGTCTTTTTCAGGTTTTCGCGGCGAACAAATGACTGTAAAACGTCCGAATTAACTGCAACAATTTTGACACTTGCCTTGTTCCTGATTACCAGCAGGGTACATATCAGGAGTATAGCCTTTGTTTGTCTCCATATCAGCAGAGAATGTGCTCAATCTAGTTAACGTTTGGTCGTGATCACCTTCCAACGCTATCCGTACAGCTAGAAGCAAATAACAGTTTAAAAGACTTTGTTAGTTGAAGAAGTAAAGCGCTTTACAATATTGACAATCTACACAATATTCAATAGTTAATAACTTAATTTGGCTTTAAAATAAGGCATTGTCCTTATGCTTAATTTCCGTAGTTAAAATGGCGTTCTTAAGGCTCCACCCACGTGATTTAACTCTCCATTAAAGGAATTTTGTCACACCGCGGTTTGGCAGAAATCTTTGTGCAAAGCTTTCATACTGGTATTGTCTTATACTGGAACTGACTTATTGATAATGCAAACAGCAGAAATAGCCGAATCGACAACAATTTTACAAACGCGTGTCTTCCTTAAAAGAGAAAATGAACACTGACAACATCAAATTAGCCATGCAATCATGCGACAACTGTAGATGCCGCAATAATAGATACCATGCATGCCAAGTAATACTAGAAGAAATAACTAGCAAGACTTGATTGATATCCATGCAGTAAAATGTATCATCACAGACAATTACGTTGTATTCAAGGGTAGTTATAACATTTAACGACAGTTAATGACAGTCCGGGATTGGCCAATCGCAATCCTGGCTATTTCTCGGTTAACCAGAAAATGTATTTAAGCTGGCAATTCATTCAACCGGGCCCACAAGTATGTCTGGTAATTCTGATAACACTCGAAATTTATTTCAAAATTCATGTAATGGAAACAGAATGGATGCTAGTTGGAAATAGTATGGAAGTTGACAATATCCAAACTAATTACCATTTTCATACTATGGATATACAATGACTATACTAATTGAAATGTCCATAGTAGGCATTTTAAAAAAAAAATTCCATTATAATCCTAGTGATAGATGATAAAAAGCTAGTGTACAGCTAGCTAGCTTTAATACAGGCTTGACATAACAAGAGGTCATTCAAAGAAACGGGAAATAATTAATTCACCTAAAGCATCAACTCCCACAACTTGCATATTTCTGATGGCGCCTTTTTACCTGGCAACAGATTAACAAGCTCACCAACAAACAGACACTTGTAGTGCAAAACAAGATTTTTCTCAGTCCATATAGTATAGATACATAGTCGACCTGACTTATATATATATAGCTTAGCAAAAGAGGAAAAAAGGAGCAGAGGCATGCAAAAACTGTTCACACTGTAACTGGAGCATGTTTTACTTATCTTTTATGTGCCGAAAGCGTAATAACAATACATATAAGTTATAATAATGCGTTCGGTATACTGAGGCACATAAAATAGGCGACGTATGGATCAATCCAATAAGGTAGTATGGGTTATTTCAGCTTCCCCATTTTTTGGAGATGCATCGTTATCATGAAATTTCAACACATATCAAAACGAATCAAAACATATTATCATATGCCTGCATGCATGCCTGCCTGCATGTATATGTCGACTTAAGATGAAACTAAACGGCTTGAATATATATTTAATGTCACAGCACGGACCCCACTCAATAAACGCAGTCCTCAGCATGTCTCCATTCCGTTCTGCCACAGCACTCCACCAACACAAATACCTCAGACTCAGTCATGATGGATTCGGTATTACAAATCATATATCAAAATGAACAGCGCTTTTTGCAACAGCAAATTCTAGTCAATAGTGAAAATACGATAAAGCTTTGGTCTATTGCCACGTATATAGAGATTGAAATTATATAATATTATATAAAACACAAAATTCCATGCATTTTTAAATTAATAGAACTTCTATCACCTAAACATAACGTTTCCCTTCTCGACAGTGAGAAAAATTAGTACGCATGCAGGACCTTGCAATCGGTACGACGAACAGGAATATCGTTTCTTTCAACTTCATTATAACGCATAATAAGAAAATTCTAATATCTTTTCTTTTTTAAAATTTTTGTGTAACTTTTTAAGTTTTAACAAAGGCAATAAATTCGAGTTTTAGCTGTTGAATTATGATGATATATATGCTTATTGTAAAATTCATCTCTTTAGAGTTTAGGTCGACACGTAAATAGTCGATCAAAAAACCCTCTATAATCTAGAAGAGTTTCATGTTCTGTGAAGAGGATATAGATACGAAAATTAAAACTAGTACATAGTAAACTGGCAACCCCAGACTCCATTCGATATATATTGTTTTCAACCCACGTCGTTAACTATATGAGTATTATAATAATATATTATATTATATGAATCTTATACTAATACTGGGATAAATTATTTTGGTTACGGCTTCAATATATCAATGGTAATATCACCAATTTTTCTGCCTATAATTTCAATACCTACTCGGTTGTTCCTCCGATAACTCTTTGTAACCTGCGTTCTCTGCCGCCATATGGCTGATCTTTCAAAGAGGTTGCCGAAAGCGATAACTTTGTATTTGCAACGTTAATTAAATGAATTCACAGTAAATTCGTAGCTTGGATATTGTTGCCGCGTTTACGTCGGTTATAAAAACATTTCGATTTTAATTAACCTGATTCACAATACCTGAACGGATTATTCCTGCGTTCATTGTGATAAATATACATACCTGAATAAAATTTCCATACCATGCAGGTGGCATCATCATAATTTTTAACACTTTTACAGCTCGGTCCTGTAACTAAATTATTCTACGATGTTTTTGCTTCGCTCATCTTTATTATCTAATTTTGGAAGTTTGCCTTTTCTCACGCAGTCTAACTTATAAATGAACCATGGTCGAGAGAAAAAAATTTTTATCAGAAAAGGGGTGTCAATACCTTCACGAGCTTTCATGTAAATATCAAAGTTGCTTTCAGTTTTCACTATACGTGTGTCACAAACATTTAAGCCTCGTACGGTCTGCTTGTCTACCTCAGTCATCAGAAACCATGCATATTCCACGATAACAACGGTGATCAATGAAAAAAAAGACATTTCTTTCAAACTATTTAACACGCAAGACAAAGAACAACCATGCATGCATGTAATAGTTGATTGCCTGTGAGTGAATTAACATTTGTATTTGGCTGAAATAACTCTAACTGGTATAACTGGAAAGGATCGATCACCCAAATGAACCAAACATCAGCTGGAATGCGGTGAAACAATCTCAGATAAACTATACTGAAACTACCTCTGCATATGCACCCGACTGCATTGTCTTTTCATATCCATGTGAACGAGCAAAGATTTATGAATGCTCTGACGTGTAAAGTCTATAAAGCCTCATGTTTGCAACTTATTCATTCGTTCGTATCTTTGAAACAAAGAAAATCGCGCAAAAAGTCGACTGAGAGAAAATGAGTTTAAAATGCATGCCAGTCCTTTATCTCGTCTTAACAGCAAAACATAATGTAACCCCCCGAGGCCTTCGATATTTGCTATTGAGCCGGCGAACATATATGAATATTAAGTGTTGCAATTTTTTACACACCCTGCATGTACATATTCTCATATGGGGTTCAGTGGGTGTATGGTGAAAATAGAAAAACGTAGTATATAATTAAAAAATGTATAATTTATGACCCCTCCCCCCTTAGTGGAGCTCTTTCCTAAGAAAATTTCTCTAGATTAAACATCCTGGGGGCAAAACTCTTTAACTGCATTTTGCATGGTTAAATCTATAGCCTCCAATGCAGGCATCTCTACATATTCTTGACGACATATTCTTGTTAGTTTAAAGAGGTTCTCAAATGTCTTCGGCAAAAGTAAAATACGTGAATCACGATGATGATTCTTCTCAAAATGGACCGCCTAGCTATTCAGGTAAACACAACTATGTGCATGTAGTCGGTTTATTTATAGTATATTTATAGTTCCCTATATATACGACCTGTCATGTTATAATCTCTCACCGTACCGTTATTCGTGCATACATAGCAAGCATACAGCCCTTACCGTAGTGGCGAGTTATATCACTTATATGTCTTCAAAGCGAGCGTCGTTGATACGTTCGCCGTCCTTTTATGGATGGATTAAATTTAAAAACTCCTTGACAATGATACTGCCTTTTCAGGTAAAATTTCTCGCCGTTATATTGTTGTACAGCCTAATACAACGAACCTATGCTTAAGATATACATAAATGTTGTCCTTACAGTATCAGGACACGCTGAATGATATTCAAATATTACAGCTTTTTTTTTTTATAACGTGATATGGTTGAGAAATTTAAACATAAGCCGTGTTAACCGTGTTTATATATACTTGGCCTGCTGTATCACATGCAATGTCAGTTCCGTTATTCATCAGTATCACGGAATATCTTAATACCTACAGACGTACATCCAAAAGTATTCATTTTCTTCATATATAGTCTGCATGCTTTATAGATACAATGAATTTAAATTAATGGGTAATGCCATTGACTATGGCTGTAATTTAGCAAAATTATTACGAAGGGAAAAAAAAGCCTGAAAACCGCGCTAGTGAAATTACATTAATTTTAGTGATAAAGTCATAACCGTTCCCGAGCCCAAGCACATGAAAATATAAATGAGTTTAGCCATGTAAATGTTTGCTTAGTGTACCGTATGCATGGGATTTATGTTTGGAATCTGTGTATTATTTCATGAATAAGCCAAATATTTCGGAACACAACAGATATGCTAGCTTGAATGCAAATTTTCTCTTCGCTTTGTTCCGTTGCCATGGTTAAACAACATCCCACTGAGCAGACCGGAAGCTAATTCAATTTACTGTGAGAGAGTAAAACGGCTTCGGAACTCCGACTCCGTGTTATCCATGTTACCTATGTTCATCACAAATCATGCTACAATTTTTGCCACGTAATTTCAACGTGCAGTTTGATGGCTCTTTGACCATGCAGCAGGTGCACACGTTTAGATCTAAGATCTGCTTATCTGGAAATTTTCCGATTACAAAAGGAATGTCGACGTAAGATCTTTTAACATGCATTTTACCCGCTGAAAAAGTAAAAAAAAATTAAAGTTTAGGTACGCATTATTTATACTTGCACGGTAAGACAAAAAACGTTTTCGTATAAAGCGTCTCCCACATTGCCATCTCTTTGCGAATTTTTTAAATCAGCAACTTGATCTTTGTGATCTTATTTTGCGGTTGGAGCATTATCTCAACGGAATGGTGAAAATTTTCAAATACGCAGTGCAACGCAAGTAACGAGTCATCATTCATCACAAGTCATTGCAGAAGGATCAAGCAATGACAAGCATAATCTATTATACTATCACGACTATCACGATTGAAAATTTAATGACCAGGTTCTTATCGGGTGTTTTTGAGTAAAAAAACTTCAGTCCCTCTTTCAATCGATTTTCGACAGAAAAGTATTGTAGGAATTAGGAAATGTGCATTATCTTTATGAGATTTAATGAATATTTTATATGTATAATAACGCCAATGAAAAGACAACCATAAGTACCCTAATTTTCGTTATGATCGATGTTATCTGATTATTTTAAAATCGGTATAAAAGCAACACTTCATAGAAAATAATCGCTTCTCCACTAACATGCAGAGTTCAGTGCATGTGCTAACACCTGAAGGCGCCAGTGTAGGAATTAAACTGAACTGTATATTATATTCTGTGAAGTTACATTAATCCAATCGGATTACTTTTTAAGATCTTAAAAAATAGTTGACATTAGGTACAAGAAATATTTCCTGTAATCTGATTATAAACACACACCCTTCCTGAAAATCGTTGTGTTTATTTTGTATCTGTATATGCAGAGTCCGATCGCGAACGCTTTGAAACGCAAACCCCGGCTGACAGAACAAGAAATAAAGTCCAACTTCCAAGGGGAATGGAAAATACATTTACTAGAGGAAGTTATACTCCATCAGGTAACGTTTCCATAAGAATAATAAATCAATATTCTGAATTCACGTCCAGTGAATTCTTGATATTCGATATTTGATATTTAATTTCATATTCTTCTGGAAAAGCCAAATTAAAGACGTCCATGCATGCAGGTTTGTCTTTCTATCTCTGAAATGATTGAACCATTTGAACGTAAATCATTTCAGAGAGATAAAAAGAACATTGCTCTCGAAAAGTGAAGCCAAATATGACTCAAGGGATTGGCATAATTACTGTGTATACTGTATAATTATAAGCAAGGTCAAGGATTGGGCCGAAATTCGGTAACAATTGGAGAAAAATGCATGGTATAAAATGGGTTTCGATAACGACTGATTCATGTACACGACAAACGACAACCTAATTTGCTTCTCTTTTGAATGCTTCAGTGTGGAGTCACGGTGATGATGTAAATGCAATGCATGTATAGGCACGGCCACGGGATCAGAAAAAAAAGTAGAAAGCAAGGATTTTTTTTGTGTTGGAATTTTCGTGGATATGCCATTTTACGCTGTTGGAAGTCGCTATTATCTTCATAATAATGAGATCGCCTTTTGGAAGACAATTAAAAACTTTAAAAATGTGCACGAGGTCACTTACCAGGTAGAAATTTGCTAAAAAGCAAAATGATTGACACTGATTGAATTTCACGTTAAAATGGGCTTAGGTCATAAGGTTACTAGCACGACCAGAAAATAAATATTAATTAGATATATTTGTCTTTATACAGATACAGATATAGATATAACTTTACTGTTCGAGTGCGTCAATAAATAAACTATTCTGTATTCGTAGAGGCATCCTCAACGAGAGGCCCGGTTAGTCCAACCAGAAGTCTTCCCCGTGGTTTTGACAACATTCATGGAAGACACACTCCTTCGGGTTTGTTCACTTCTGTCTGTATTCTTCTGTCTGTATTCTTCTGTCTGTATTCTTCTGTCTGTATTCTTCTGTCTGTATTCTTCTGTCTGTATTCTTCTGTCTGTATTCTTCTGTCTGTATTCTTCTGTCTGTATTCTTCTGTCTGTATTCTGTCTGTATTCTTCTGTCTGTATTCTGTCTGTATTCTGTCTGTATTCTGTCTGTATTCTTCTCTCTGTATTCTTCATGCTCAGATAAGGCTGAATATTGCATTTAAGTGTTTGTTTGTTTGAGTCGCATGATGCATCACGAGTCAATCTGAGAACTTTGGCATTGACTTCCCCCACTTTCTAAATGGCTCCCGATCCTTGATTTAAACCTAGCATCTTATTGTGTATCTCTAGTATCAGGCAGTATGTCAAATAAACCAAAACCTGCAGCAAAAATCAACTTCCCCAAAGGGATGGAAAATATTATGACGTCACGGCCCTCTCGCTATGCAGTGGATCGTTCCGTGGACCCTGATCGTTCTCCTCCACCCTACAAGTCACCACGATTAAACCAAACAGATGCACCATACTCTTCAGAGAATATCGTTCAACCTCGACATTCTGCATCCTATAACACAGGTTAGTTTCATAATGCAACATTATAGAACTAGATATATACATATATATAAAGGGACGCTTCAATTTAACAAATGTTAAAGCTAAGATCAGTTTTGGAACTTTACCATGGAGCTGCGATGCACCTTTTTATTTTCTAAAATCAATACTTGATGCATCTTGTAACTTATATATTCTTGTAACGTACAGCATTGAGAAGAAAGACAATTATTTGTATTTACATTATATGGTCAGCCATTTTATTTGATATGTCATAGGTACATTGCCTTGGCAACAAGATGTGACCACTGTAATGACTAGAGATGAAGAATATCCTTTAACAGATGGAAAAAACAATGACGAACCTATTGCTATAACTAGTAAGAAGACTAAAGCAATAACCCAGTATATTATAGAGTAACTACAAGCATAAATATTTTCTGTGATGAAAGCATGTTTGTGTAGTTAATTGTTAAAACGGATTTAGACCATTCAGCTCTGAAGGCTAATTTCAAAATATCTTAGGACCAACTTCCAGAAATATTGATCCCAACGCGGGCAGGTCAACAGATCGTCTAGACGAGAGTGTTGAGGAAGAGCGCGATGCCTGGGGTAGTAAATGGGAATTCATTCTTGCATCCATTGGTCTGGCTGTGGGTTTAGGAAATGTCTGGAGATTTCCATATTTGTGTCAAAAAAATGGAGGAGGTAAGTTTATATATAAACATTATGAAATTTCCTGCGACACATTTTTGCAACAAAGATTAATTCCATGTTCACGTTCCTAGCTCATGACGTGAAACATACATTTGAGCCTATATAGTTTTGCTTTAGTGCACGTGAATAGAGAATATCATTTATGAAAGTATGAATTATGAAACTTCTAAAACACAACTTATATATACGCATGCATTGCATTTACTACCAGCTGCAAGATTTCATATTTTTTATAGGTGTTTTCCTTATTCCGTACATTATCTTCATGTTTATCGAAGGAATTCCTTTGATGTTACTTGAATTCGCTATTGGACAGAAATTTCGGATGACAGCGGTTAGCCTATGGAAGACCATACATCCGGCATTATTTGGAGTCGGACTGGCATCATTAGCCGTCTCCTTATTTCTTTGCGTATATTACATCGTTGTCATTGCATGGTGCTTCCTCTATTTCTTTATCTCAATGCAAAAAGATTTACCTTGGAAAATTGACAAATTATGTGATAATTATACAGACTACAAATTTGTTCTGGATGAAAAGGAAAAATGGTCTGCTAACAAATCATTTTATTCTAAACCTCCTTATCTAAATAATTCATTGTATTATAATGTGTCGCAATACGCTGAAAGAAAGTACAATGAAAGCATCGAGAAGATAAACAATTTTCCAGATTGCTGCGTCATTGATCCTCCTCAATGGTATTTTTATACCGAAGTTCTAGATGTTTCAACGGACATCGATGATTACAGTAAAGGTGTCAACTTAAAATTATTTGGATGTTTGGTTCTCGCATGGATTGTTGTATTTCTTTGTGTTGTAAAAGGAATCAAGTCAAGCGGAAAGGTAAGATATGCATATTGATATTACATTAACACCAGTTCATTTACTGACTACAGAATAACCGATTGGAAATGGCATGAATCTATATAAATTATAAGATGTGGCAACATGGTAACATTTTATCACTCTTTAGGTGGTCTATTTCACTGCGGTATTTCCTTACGTCATTCTAATCATTCTGTTCTTCCGGGGGGTGACGCTAGAAGGAGCTGGAATTGGACTAGAGGCATTTTTCAGTCCTGAGGTATCGAATCTATATTACGTAAACAACTCTAATGCATACAGTGTGTAAAAAAGTATTTTACTTTTTTACTGTACACGCGTTATAAAAGTTCTTGAATTTTTCCTTGCAGGGAGCCTGGGAAAGACTAGGCGATGTACAAGTTTGGAAAGATGCGGCGACTCAGATGTTTTTCACTCTTAGTTTAGCATTTGGAGCGCTGATAGCCTTCGCTAGCTACATGCCAAAGAATAACCAGTGTATGAATGATGCTTATACTGTGGTGTTTATTAACTGTGGCACCTCATTGTTTGCTGGTGTGGTAGTTTACTCCATACTTGGCTATCGACAAGTAAAGACTGGCATTCCAGCTAATAAGGTGGGTAACTTGTTGATTACCAAAAAAGCCGTGACTTATGCATCTAACTTTAGCGAAATCGTTTTGTCGGAATTGAAGTATGTCACTTTATTATATAGGTTGGTAGTGGACCTGGTTTAGCTTTCATGGCATTCTCCGACGCTCTTCTTCAGCTCGACCTATCGCCCTTTTGGGCTGTGCTGTTTTTCTTTATGCTCATTTTACTGGGTATTGATAGTGAGTTTGGAACTCTTGAGGCAGCTATAACTCCGATGATGGAGATTGGGATTTTACCCAAGAAATGGAGAAAAGAAGTGAACACAGGTATAATATATAACTGTATTTTCACACACTTTTTGTCAATGAAAGGCCGCGAAAACGCGACTTCACATGTCAAGTGTTGTTTGTTTCGTATAGAACTCATCATTTTATTGAGTCTAATCTAGCTAGGGTAACATGACACACCTTGTGACGATGATTATGTCACTTTCATTTTTGCTAGAAAAGATGGGTAGTCATTTAAAAAATTCTCATTTCCGTAGCAATTGTTGTTGTTGTGATGTTGCTAATTGGAATAGCATTTATTGCTGGGAATGGATTTTATGTATTTCAAATATTTGATGGATACGCTGCATCACTTCCTTTATTGATTGTTGCTTTCTTCCAATGTATCGCTGTTGCTTGGATCTACGGAAATGACAGGTAAACTGCTATATTAACGTCGGATAAGGTGTAACAAGAAATCCCTATACGTTGTTTAAAATAAATCAAGCGAGTGAGACAGTAGACACAGATTGATGAGACATAGGTATACTCAATGGCAGAAAGATAAACGAAGGAAATGATTGGTTGAACTGTACAAAAGTACAAAACTTCTCTCACCGTGACCTCTGCATGTTTAACCGCAGGCGTAGTGTCACTATCGTTTCATCTTCCTAGATTTTCCGACGACATCGAAGAAATGACCGGAAAACGACCATGGATTGGGTGGATGATCTGTTGGAAATATATTTCACCATTAGCCTTATTGATCGTTGTCATTGCAACTGTTTATGATCTCGGTAAAGAAAGCGCAAAATACGACATTTTTGTCGGTTGTGTTCAGGTATATTATATATTTAGTAAATATAGGCAGTTCAACTTATATTAGCCCAAAGATCTTTAGTTTTTCGCAGCAACCGCGGTAGTGTTAGGATTGATTTGGCATTCTTGACTGAAGAAGGTATTTTTTGGAATCAATCTATTTCTATTTTTCTCAGGCACCAGTAAGTAACTCGTACAGCGGAACTAAAGAATGGACTTCAAAAGTTACATATCCTGGTTGGGGCCAGTTTATAGTTGCTCTTGTTATTTTGGTACCAACAGTAGCAATCATCTTCTATATCATTTACAAATGGCCTAAAAATTGGAAAGAAAGTTTCCATAAAATGTTCTGTACCGGAATCAATAATTACCTTCCCGATCCTGATAAAGATGAATGATAAGCTTTGGAAGATTTTCAATCAATAGCCTTAGGTCGATATAGAAAGGTCTCTCATGACTGCATGAATATAGTATGTTTATGAATTTACAATACGTACTAATACTATATAATTGTTATATATGTACAGTCTATGACCACTTTTGTACACTCTGCATTCATTTGCATTTCATTTTAATCGGCTATAATATTCCTATTTTAACCTAAAGCGTACTCAATTTTTGCGCGGCCGATTCCATTCTTTCGCCATTTTTTGGAAATTTTCTGAATTTTTGTGGAAATATCATAGTCCGATGGCAGAATAACGCAAGATTAACGCCAGGAATGTTAATTTTTACAATATCAGTCGCAAGTAGTTGCGAGAGAAAAAGAAAAGTGGAACGTCGTTGTAAAGAAAGGTGACTGGTCAACCAACGGGCTTGTATAAGTAAATTAGCTTGTAGGTACACCACGTAAGTATTTAATACTGCAGCTTTTGGTCCGTTAACCCGGGCCTTCATCAGTGAAAGGAATAGTGTATTCATTTGTATAGTGTATTAAATACTTACGTGGTGTACCTACAAGCTAATTTACTTATTGATGTCACCATGCAGACATACAAGAATATTATGGCTTGTTTTTTGTCGATACCAAGACCAAGAAATACTTAATTACCTGCTTAAATAAACGAAAGCGTTCATGGTATATCAAATGCCTGTACTGCCGTTAAAAGACTTTGACTGATACCATAGGCGCTTTCTTTGGTGGGAAACCATAAAATGAATTTGAGCATTCAGCGTGTCAGTCATATCATATGCCAAACTGATCCAATGATTAACTTCTAAGAACTCGAAGTTGCAGTAGAGAGCAATATAGTGGATTGGTGATAACAATGCTGACCATTGGTACTGTTTTAAAGACGTCAACAAAAATTGCGTTTCATAAAAACTGGTCCATCATGCACTGCCAATAATAAAGCGTCCCACGTGGACACTTGCATCGGGTATCGCAATATATTGAGATTCTTTTTTTTAATGTTTTGATTTTGTCTCAAGGGCTAGACTCAGTCTCCTTGGCAACCATCTACATACAGTTCAAATTTATGAAATAGAAGAAAGTCTACAATTGATAAACTTAACTGAGAACCACATCACGCGGGCAAACATCATTACAAACTGACTACTATAGGTTTAAGCCTGGTTTCCATATGTCACCGACAGTCAGTGATCTATTGTTGTTGTCGGTGACGAAGAAAATTTATTCAAATGCCAACAAACAACTTTTTTTTTCACTGAAGCCTGTTTCTCATTTATCATCGACAGTCAGCGATATATTGTTAGTGGCCAGTGAAAAAAATTTATGCAAAATAACAAGGCAATTCATTTCCCAGTGCTCACCAACAATAGTTTTTGCCGACAATTGATGATATATAAGAACCAGACTTAGATTGAACCAACTATATCACCTTTCTTTTCGAGAACTTCTACTGCATATTCGCCAAACCAGTAGGCCCTTAATTAAATTATTTTATTCCGCTTAGTCTTAGAGAATATAAACTTGGACTAATTTCTAAATCTTTTAGTTCTTTGCCTGAACGACTTACTTTTTTACTTCACCTTTTTCTTGTCAATATGTTTCCAGTCACAGTTATAGTATATCTTGGAACTCTTTCTTTTCTCCTCTTCTTCCGGGGTTGAAACTATAGAGCTATAATTGGGAGACGGATTTCCGACGGATTTCTTTTTAAAACGCAGATCAGGCAGATTATATAGATATCATGTACATTTTTTTATCGTTGTGTGTGATAAAGGTATTCAGTAAATTGAAAAACGTTCTAAGGAAAGTTTCGTACGTATATTGGATTAAGATTATTGCCATGTAATTACCATAGAGGAGAGACATTCTAAGGATGTTTACAAGCACTTTTCCTATAACTTGAGCTAAATATGTGAATGTCTAGCCGAAGAGGAAGGTTATCAAGACCATTTAATAGCTCTTTCTTTTTTTGCTTCGAGCAGCTGACACGTCGTCCTTCAGTATTACGATCTCAATTCGAATTTTAACAAAGAATTTAAGTATTTAATCAATATAACAATACAAGCAATATATTTAAGCCATATAAATCCATATACAAACACGATTAGTCACACGGAACTTATTATCGAGTTTTGATCAATTTCTTTTTAAAATATCACTTAGTACCTCTCCGCAGTCCGTGCATGCAGACCGCGAGGGGAAGATTTCACGAAATGCAGAATTTTTCCTCTAGCCTGAGTGTCTCTGGGCTAAGGGGCGGAAGGCGGGGAAAAAACGTTAGCACTCCACTTTAATGAGTTCCTGGTGGCTGCTTTTCCACGAATGAAACTTAATCTGTTTTCCACGCCTACTTATTTATGTCTGTTCAGTTTTTGAAACGTGATATCTACATCTTAACGGCCAAAACAACTCAGACACGCTTTGAGAACAGACGATTGTGTCGCATGCACGAGAAGAAATTACCTAAAATCTCAATATGGCTCAAACAAACTACGCTCTTGATGCTGATGAAAAACTGTCAGACACCAGTGGTAAGTATAGTCTACTATGTTCGATCGTAAACACAATAACGGTGGAATTAAGGTGTTGGCTAATAACTTACTACAGTACTACTCGTAAAGTTTCCGTGTTCAAATACGAAGTCGATGTACTCGGTGCAATTTGTATGAAGCCATAAAGGTAACTAGTCTAGTCAGTACTTTGTTTTACTGAAACAATATTTGGAACAGAACATTGTTTAACAATTAACGTGATGAACAGCATAAACTTTGCGTCTCACGTGCATACATATGTATAATCCAATAAGACTATATATAAACCCTAGCTATATATCCACATATATATATGTAAAATGTTAGTAAATTTTGGAATTTTTTCTCTCAAGTAAATTTCAACTCTTGAAAAATATCCACCGTTAACCGGATCGGTGCCAGTAGTCCGAATTAAATGCTAAAAAAATCGGAATTCATGTCAGTCTCGATAGTATTCCATCTGCTGAAGCTGAGATGCTGTGACGCAGTTGTTATTTGTCTTGTCTTGTGATTGCTGATGCAAGAGTAGCACTGAATAATGTATATGTTATACGCCATATGCGGTTAATTGGCATCAGTAAAACAACTTTGTTTCCATTAGCCGGTATTTTTTTTAGATAAATACGCCAAGAAGGCATTAAGGAAGTAAGTGTCGCTGGTTGGTGAATCTATTGAGAAAATCCGCGCAAATTTACTACAGATCTGACCCGGTCTGACCCTTTAACACAGTTGTGTTGTTCTGCTATTTTAGTGTCGAAAAGTTTCTTATCGAATCGAAATAGTAACTTGTTGTGTAGGAGCTTGTTGAAATACTATATTGAGTATTAGTATAAACTGACTAATAGGCTATCACTTTTCCTGCGTTCTGATTGGCTACGCTACTGGTAGGCTATTAGTGATAGCCTACTAGTAGCAAAATTCAAAACAATGGCGGAAAATTCGCGTTTCGCCGAAGTATCTGAAGATTTTTTGGACGACTTGTTGGACAATTCCGTACCAGAAAAAACAAAAAAAGCAACAAAATACGGAATTGCAATTTTTAAGGGTAAGAAAATACATAAAAATAACGTATACTCAATTGAATTTTTATATTTAAACTGAATTTTAAAACATTTTACGCGAACAACAATTAAAATATTTTCTTCCTTTAATATACGAAATAAATTTCAGAATGGTTTGCAAGCCAACAAGAATTTTATATTGTGTTTCCTAGTTGTAAATTAATGTTATAGTTTATACTAAAACAATTAGACAACTCGGCCTCGTTGTCTATGAGCAAATAGTCAACTCGGCTTCGCCTCGTTGACTATTCGCTCATAGACAACTCGGACTCGTTGTCTAATTGTTAAATACATGCACGCACGCGGTCTATAACGTCGTATAGCAAAGTATAATTACATTATAACAGCATGGCTGATCGATTAGCATGGCTCGAGGACATTCCAAAATCTAAATGCTTTAGAAAGCTTGTTTTTATTTAATAACAAGATTCGAACTTTACAAAAAGGAGCGTTTTCTAGCTTGTCTTCCAAACTAAAAAGATTACATTTTGAACGAATGCAATCGAACTGGTCAATGTCATAATTATTGACGTCATATAGTTAAACATCCTTTCTTGTGAATTGCGAATATTTGCTTTTGAACAATTCTTGAACAATTCAATACTGAGTCTGAAAGGTTGTAAACGTTCTTTTTAGTGGAAAGTTTCAGTAACCAGTGGTATACATAAAATTGAACAGATCAATAAAACGCATTAGCGCAGGCACCGTTGAAATGTAACTGAAATACACATAACACATGCATGACAAAAATGCTTCAACATTGCTACGCATGAGTATGTTGAGTAACTACTGCAACGCATTTTTTATAATTATATTATATATTGTATTAGATAGTTAAAAAATTGCAGGATAGGGATCGTTTTAACTGATTTCCAGCCACCAACCATGCAGTAGAATACTGAGGCCGATTGTATAAAACTCTTAACTACACGTTGCATAGTTAATCCTAGTTAACTCAGAAATACCCAACTCTGATTGGCCAATTCTGTCCTTAACTACAGTTAAAAGTTAACTAGCCTTTTATACAACTGGCCCCTGAGAACCCGGAATTTTTCATTATGGCCCCGTTACTATGTAGTCGGATACTAAATGAGTAAATAAACTGGTAACTTTAGCTAGGGATATTTTTTTAAACATCTAGCTGTAGCAAAGATTATTTTCAATACGTTGAAAGAAAAGGCCCTAACAACTAAAAAATTGATTGGATACACTTGTATCCGGCAAAGTTTGAAACGGCGGCGCCAAGTAATAGGCATCATATTTGCTAAGCAGATCCACTACTATCAAGTCTATCCTAACAATTCATTTACTGACACACCAGATGACGAAACAGAGCGTGATTCTTGGGGAAACAAGGCTGAGTTTCTTCTTGCCTCGATTGGTCTGGCTGTGGGATTAGGAAATGTCTGGCGATTTCCATATTTATGTCAAAAAAATGGAGGAGGTAAGTCAATTAGATGCAAATCTACCAGTGGAGGCACACTGCGCACTAGTACACAAGAGATGAAGGAAGTCTTGTATTGTCTTTATAATAACAACAGTAATTTAGTAATATGACCCTACGAGGAAGTAACCTGGTGGCTTTTCGTCTGTTTTCAATTTTTTATTTTTTCTATTCCCATCGATCATTGCATGTTGACTGAACACACGTATGTTTATTCTGACTACAGTGTGTCCAAAAAGAAAAGTTATATGCATGCATGCACTTTAGAAATTATCCTATCCTATTACATATTTACAATAAAAGTTCACTTCAAATGAAATCATGGTTCAACTGTATTAGTATAACACAGTAAATACGCGCGTTGAAGTGCGGTTTATTCAGAGAGATTCAGAGAGATGAGATAATTTCTATAGTGTCATATTCCTGGGACACACTGACTGTATAACATCAATCACCTTGACATGTTCACCACATGCAATTACGGAAAGCATAAATTCGCTTAGACGCTTCCAACGCCCTTTTACTCTGCTAAAAGCTAATAATGTTACTACTACTTTGACTCTGGGACTTGTAGAAAATGTAGACAGGGTACTCGACATAACCTCTGCTGACACTACTACAAGCGTGCTAGTAGGATATCAAAGATTCCTTTGTGGGCTTCCTTCGCAAAATGAAATCTATACGCATAGAGAACCGTAATGAATATGCTGGTAGTGTGAGTGTTTTTGGCATTATTCAGTAAATAGTGTACGATTTTTAAAGGAGAATATCAAAGATTGACTATATGCACGCTAGACAAGCTCATATAGATATTCCCTTATAAAGTGGTAACGATACACAGGCATATATGTGAACTACGTATAGGAATGCCATTTATGCATTCCTCAAAGCAGACTCTTAGCAAAAATATCTTATCAATAATACTTTTCTCTACCACGCCCATGCACCTTGTTTAATTGTGTTTTTTCAAACAAACTTGCTAGCTTTATCGAATTTTTTGTACAAATCTTTCGGTATATTATGATATTTATATTCAGTAAGTAGCCATAACTGACCTGCACTTATAAGGTGTTTCGTAAGTACTTGGATCAGTCAACCTATTCTAAAATATCTCAATAGCCATTGAATAAAGAATGCGAACTATGAATATCCTGTAGTTTTTAAATCAATATTGTTCGTAACCAAGGAACTTGAGCTGTACGTATGTAAGCTTGTTTCGTCAGAAATATGGAAATTTATATTCCGACTGCATAACATCAACCACCTTGACATGTTTTTATGCAATTACGGAAAGCAAAAATGAAGACGCTTCCAACCCCCTATAATATGATCCTATTACTCCACTGAAAGTAAAAGCTAAGGTTACTATACTACTTTGACTCTGGGACTTGTAGAACATGTGGCCACTCGACGTAACCTCTGCTGACACTGCTACAAGTGTGTTAGTAGGATATCAAAGCTTCCATTGTGACCTTACGAAATCCTCGCAAAATTGAATCTATACGTAGAGAACCGTAATGAATATGCTGATTGTGTGAGTGTTTGGCAAATATCATTATTCAGTAAATAGTGTACGTTTTTTAAAAAGCCCGTTGTATGGAAATTAATTACTGGCTTCATGTATTAAAAAAATTACCGATTTTGAGTAACAAAGTGAAGAATAATTTGCAGAAAAAAATTTTAAAAAATTAAATTTTACAGGTGTCCTTAAGACTCTTGCTCTCATCCCTAGTGGACGATTCGTCGATCATGTTTCAGTTATTATAAATGATTTTCTTCCAGGTGCATTTCTTATACCTTACATCATCTTCATGTTCATCGAAGGCGTACCTTTGATGCTATTAGAGTTTGCAATCGGACAAAAGATGAGATGTACAGCGGTGAAATTGTGGAAAAATATTCACCCAGCACTGTTGGGTATCGGAGTATGCTGTATCTCTGTTTCAATGTTCCTCTGTGTTTACTACGTTGTTGTAATCGCATGGTGCATTTTGTACTTCTTTTCTTCCATGCGATCTTCACTACCTTGGCAAGGAGATGAAGTCTGTGGTGAAAAAATATACGGCGGTTATAATGCATTAAAAGACAAGGCCAATGCATTAGCGAGAAACATTTCTCTTTTCGCAAATATTCCAAACGAAACTGCAGCTTTGAACGAAACCAGACGCATGTTAAACACCACCCAACATAAAATAGATACTTTTAAGGATTGCTGTGTGATTGACCCCCAGCAGTGGTATTTCTATACTCACACATTGGAAATTTCGACCGACATCGAGGACTATAGTAAAGGTTTGAACGGAAAATTGGTGGGATGTTTTATTTTGGCCTGGGTCATAGTCTACATCTGTGTTGTTAAAGGGATAAAAACCACTGGAAAGGTTGGTGAATAATTATCTAAAAAAATGTTTAAATAAATGTAGAAACGCTTAAGGCGTAGTAATTGGCCATGGCACGCTTGTGCGACGTGCGTGCAGCCCATAGAAATAGTCAATTAGTAGACATCTATTGCCAAAATGCTAGAGATCTATCTTCAAAAATGAATAAATGACTTAATTCATACTGTATTACACTGGGTCAATTTCACCATTTCATTTCACCAATCATAATAATCTATTAATTCTTAAATAGCCCTAAAGGTCTTCTCAAGATCTTCTCAAGACCTCCTTCTCCTGCAAAATAGTACACACCTTTGCCAGGCAAACACTACCAAAACTTTTTTTAATGTCTTTAAACTGTTTTTGCTTTCAGGCGGTTTACTTCACAGCAACATTTCCATACGTTATCCTCATCATCCTCTTTTTCCGTGGTGTGACCCTAGAAGGAGCTGGCAACGGATTAAAAACGTTCTTCACGCCTGAGGTGGGACATATCGCAGTGAAGTAAACAACACCTATAGGTGTATGCTTCGTGCCTTAGAAACAATGTACTTGATAATGTTTAAAAACCTGTTTTGCTAAACGAAAAATTAAATTTAAAGATGTTTTAATTAATGTTCAATGTTGAATGTCATTCTTATTTCAGTGGAGTAGATTGAATGACGCAAAGATTTGGAAAGACGCTGCAACACAAATGTTCTTCACTCTCAGTCTCGGATTTGGTGCGCTAAGTTCATTTGCCAGTTTTATGCCTTACAAGAACCAGTGCATGAGAGATGCCTATACGGTCGTGTTTGTAAATTGCGGGACATCTATTTTTGCTGGAATTGTGGTATTCTCTATTTTGGGATATCGAGAGATACAAACTGGCATCGACGCAGCACAGGTAAAAGAAAAGTTCAGTATGTTAGATTACAATATTATGACACAAGTGGATTGTAAAAAATATAATTAGAAAAAATTCGCGAGACTATGAGGCTGTCTGCACACGAGCGTCGTTTTCGAAAACGTTTTTGTCTATTTTATCGTTTAACCGCATTGTCCACTCGATTCAAGGAAAATATACTCAATATGTTAAATTAGCTTCAACTTCTATTGTAAATTGACGGTGTTTGAAACTGTTTTGGCTGATAAAAACGAAAATTAAGTCGTTGAAGAGAAATGAAAACGCTATACCGTGTGCACATGCATAGCCTGAATGATCCTCTTTATTTTGGAAGAGACTGACTGATTCTAGAATCTCGTTAGTCGGCCAGGATCCAATGATTTTTCAATGCCTCGTTATATCGATTCATCCAGTGATGGTTTGTTGGCTTTACATTTAAGGTTGGAAGCGGACCTGGGCTGGCTTTCATGACATTTTCAGATGCTCTTTTGCAATTGGATGTTCCTCAACTTTGGTCGATTCTGTTTTTCTTTATGTTGATATTGCTTGGCATTGACAGTGAATTTGGGACTCTGGAGGCGTCCGTTGGGCCACTAATTGATCTAGGACTGTTTCCAAAGACATGGCGTAGAGAAATCTGTGCAGGTATATATGCAGCAGAGAAATAGATATTAAATCTTACTATAGGGTATCGTTGACTTAGGCATATTCTATATCTATAGATTTGAAATACATGAATGAAAGTAAAGTATATATCAATGACCTTGGAAACCTTATAGCATAACTGAAGTAATATAATGTGGATACATTCCTGGCACAAGCAACTATGTTCTGTCATATAGGCGCCGCATTTTCTATGGTTTACTGTCAATAAAGAAATTTACTCGTGATGTAACTTAAATCGTGCAACTATATTATTTTCTGCTCTAAAAAATCAGGTTTATGTAATTGGTATCTTTGGCAATTTATCTATTATATTATTCTATAGCTGTTGTTGTTGTATTTCTGCTGCTTGTTGGACTCTGCATGGTTGCTGGGAACGGTTTTTATGTCTTCCAAATATTTGATGATAACTGCGCCACTATTCCGCTATTGGTGATAGCCTTGTTTGAATGTATTGCTGTCGCCTGGGTTTATGGAAATCATAAGTAAGTGGATGGTAAAAGTTGAAGTTAAATAAGTCGCGATAACTGATTTAACAGAAAATCTTTAAAGAAATAAATTGCATGAGGACGATTGAGAAGTAGCTATATTTTCTTTCTCGTTTCCAGTTTCTCATCGCTACATCAATATGCATGTTTAAAGAATAAAATGATCATTTTATTATTATACAATAATAGGTAAGATATTTTTATGTCATATTATATGTGGTAAGATATTTTTGCAATATTACCAGGTTCGCGGACGACATTGAAGATATGACAGGAAAACGACCATGGATTGGGTGGATGATCTGCTGGAAATACATTTCACCATTAGCGTTATTCATTGTGCTTATTGCAACTTTTGTTGATTTGTCAAAATCTCGCGCTAATTATGCGGTATTCGTTGGCTGCGAACAGGTATTTCAAATTTCAAATGTTTAACCTTATTGACGGAAATAAACTGAAAAGGATGTTTAATAGGAATTAACGTTTATCTGACCTATAAATAAGTCAATGGAATCCGGGCAGCTATTTTTTGTCAATCGCCATTCTATTTGCAATTTTTTCAAAGTACGTGTTGGAGAAGATTGTCTAAACCTTTGTTATGCAGTATTCTCGCGTCAGTTAAGAGTCGACTAAGAGACTGTCTTCTAATAGAAAAACGTTATGATTTCAGGATCCGTTCAGTTCAAAATATCCTGGAGACAAGAAATGGGTGGTGCCAATGGAATACCCGGGATGGGGACAGTTCTTGGTGGCAGTTGTTATCCTATGTTCGACCTTGCCTATAATCATTTTTTTGGTGTGGAAGTGGCCAAAGAATTGGAAAACTTCGTTTTATAACACCTTCTGCTCTGGCATAAACAACTATCTTCCAGATCCAAAACCCGTTCACGATTAGTTCGCTTTCCCGCTGTTCCAATATAGTGTCTTGATGTTTTTGAGTCCTTAAGGTCTGTTCATGTTGGAAGCTAAATGCCATGATCGCCATCTTGCCTATATCATGGAGTTTACGATTCACGCTGCTCGGCCAGCTCGCTTGCAAAACAAAGTAACGCCACCACATGAGACAAAAATCAAACAATAGGTATATGCATAACTTGTCGTCCCACGACAGCGTTAACATTCTTACGACGCTTTCAAATGAGGTATTTTCACAGCTTTTTTCATAGCTGTTTGATAGCTTATATATATATATATATATATATATATATATATATATATATATATATATATATATATATATATATATATATATATATAAATATATATATATATATATGGATCGAACTGCAATGTCAGCCAGACATCGGAGGTTCTTAGCGCAATTGAAGCGTTCGTATATCTGATTATTTCAAAGTCCTGGCAGCATAATTAAGTTGCCGTAGCTTAATTCAAGCAAAATATTTGACTATCGACGTCGAGCTAAACGCGTCGTAGATCGTAAACTCCCTATCGTATTGAGATATCTTGCGAACCATTCGGTAGAACTTAGAAATATAAACTAAGCCTAATGAGAGAGAACGAGATATCCGTATATCACTCAATCTCTCTGCACAAAAGCTTTAACATGAACACACCGTACTATGATTTTTCATTCAAGGTTGTATATATACTGTATTGATGAATGTAAGTTTCATCATAGTGTTTCTTCTACTTTAGCTAGGTATATTGTAGTAAGTCTGTACTGTAGTAAAGTCCTAAATATTGTTTGTATTAGCATATAGCTTCGATCGGTGCATCTAATGCATGTAATGTATCAATCAATTGTGTCCCAATTTTTACTATCAATAAATATAACCAACCATATACAGTGTGACTATTCAACAATATAAAGTCATTTGTAAAAGTACGATGATGACAAAAGCGTGAAAAAGCAAGCAATCTAATCCGACATTTTCAACTACTACACTGAGTCTCACATCATTCCAACTGTCCAAGTCACGCGGAACTGCTTTTGTACAGACAACATTCTAGAGAGTGTTTTAGCTTCAATAGCGTAAACATTGTGCGCACATACTGCATGGTAAAAGTGTCACGGTTCGATATCTTGGAAATGAATATTATAGTTCAGTATGTTTTTATGTTCAGACGGAAGGGCAATATCCTTAGCTATCATTTTTACTCCTCCTTAAATTTATTTTGCCCCTAAGCTGCCTGTATATTGATACAGGAAATGAAAGCGTATTAAAACACAAACACATTCAAATATACTCTGTACTCTGTATCTTTCTAGAAGTAATTTTTCCTGCGTTTTTGACATGCCAGACTACTGCCAGCATATAGTCGCCGCGTACAGGCAGGCTAAGAAAATAAAAATTGCCAAAGTACTTTGCAGCCGGGAAACTGAGGAACAGGAATGTATAGTAGGAGTTCAGGAACTGATTTGGTTGACTGAAATACACTTTTTGAGACCACGTTTAAACGATTTTGAAACGCCATGTGAATATTACACCCCCATGAACACCCACCCCTTATGCACACACTGCCTGTTTAAATTTTGTCGTGTACGAAATATGTAAATGCTCGGGTTGAAATAAACTTGGGTATTTAATAAACGTATACACACAGAATTGAAAAGTTCTTATAGTTATTTCCTAAACGGCCCAAGAACAACCGATCCATACATGTTGGTCATTTATAATTAATATTATTCTTCTTTGGCTCTGGAGACGTTGTATTGGCCAAATATTTGGCTATTAATTGCTACGCAACTGTACAGATGGAAAGTAAATTCCACGGGATCATATTTCTACTCATCAAGCATGCTATTTGGTTTCGTTGACGGTGAAGAGCGCTTTACAGGTTTCACGTTTGTTCTTTGCGACACCTAAATATATATTTATTTGGTATTCTAAGAAAAATTAATAAAAAATGAGAACGAATCTTGGAGCAAGTTTTGAAGGAGATACGAATGAAAATGGTAAGATTTGCTGAAGAATTAAGAACAGTGAATGTGATTGTTATGAATTATAGTATCCCCCATGGCCATACTGGCGTACATACAGCTGTCTGCTTCAAACCTCGGATGAGCTTCACTTTAAGCGACGAATTTATTTTGGACAAATAATGAAATTAATTTAAATCAAAACTTCACGTAAACTGGAGGGGTGACTATAACCACAGAGTTTGTACATTTCGGGTACAATGTCACGTATATCATATATGAAAGATTTATGATTACATAAATAATTTCATTTTCGCAGGCTGCGTTTCACATATAGCGATGATTATGAGTCATTTTCATTTTTACAGACATACATACCTTATGCCGGTCAGATCGTAAATTCAATATGTCGAAAATCGACAGGTTTTGAAATGCAGTTTGACCGTAAATACATAATCTCGCTTCCTGGCCTCTAAGCCCTTAACTATAAGCCGGAAAATCAAGAGGTCCTGCGGCTGCTAGCATTTGAAAGTCAAAGATGGATAGTGTCATAGTGATTCTTTGATTCAAATTCATCATGTTCATGATGATCATGTTCATAACTTAATACAGATCTATAAGATGCGTCAGAGAAGATAAACTTTCCATGCATTCTGCAAGCGTCTGAATATTTCAACAATGCACGTTAATGTCTTTAAAAAACACACTCCTTAAATATATAAGTCTTTTGTTTCGATTAAATTGATTCTTTTAGCTTTTTTTTCTTACTTTTGATTCACTTGTGGTACATGCTTGTGGTACAGAGTTGCGTCGGATTTGCAAATTTTAAAATATTCCCCTATTCGGCTAATTTTGGTTTCAAATGCTTTTCAAATCACGCTTCTATTTATTGGACATTTAATGGAATAAAATGGTAGAATTTAGTTTTCAGGGTACAGACCTCGTTGAATATCTATGTCGTGGTGGAACTTGAAATTGTTTGACAACCAGCTCCTTCGCACGAATTGCGCACTGCACGAGCAACCTGATAGTTTATGTACGCCGGGTCATTTTCGAAATTATATTTTGTTTTTATTCCCTGATCTGTGTGCTCACTTATAAAAATGTAAAATTTCCATCTCGCTATTTTTCATGTTGTTTCAAGTCCTCCTTATAGCTATACCACACATGCACCACTGAGATACCATTCTTAATAAAAATTCAATGCAAATACGTCATAACTGACGACATATTCAACTGAAAATATTCGCCATGATGTCATAAACATTCGAAAAAACTAATATCGGCTCGAAAGTCGCTTTAAATAGTAGGAATGTAAACATATACTTGATTCTACATGTCAAAGAAAAGGCAATGGGTTTTGTGGAATATAAAAGCATGTGTTCCTAAATGGATTTTGGTGAGTAATCGCTTTCCGTACAAACTCGACATAGTGAAGCGCATTAAGAAAGTATTTGCCATTGTTTCAACTTTACTAATGCTATGCAGAGAACAACTAATCATGCACAAGTATGCAAGTGCCTTCGTCGTTTTTTTAGCCAGCGTTTTTTCTTCGCTTTTTAAAAATGAACAACCTGCTGACTATAGTCTATTATAGTATGGTTCAGCAAGGGTGGATACAGCATGTTGGCTGACTGATGCGATGTTTTGAACCATACTTCAACAATCAACACCTCTGTGGGGTCTATATTTCGGTTTATTCGACCATGCAAAGTGGAAAAACGGTATATTCGAAAAACGGTATACTCGACCATGGTCGAGTCAAGGTCGGATATACTGGAATATCGTATAAAAATGGTATACTCGACCATGGTGGAATATGCTGGAATATGATATGTACCATACCAGGGTATATAGAATTCCGGTATATTCGACCATGCCAAAGTTGAATATACCATATTCAGGTATATTAAACTAGTTAATTTTTTGTGTTTGGTGAGATTTTGACGAATGCAATCGCATGAGTCGCATCAGCCTGCATGGACCGCACCTTTGGGTCAGTGGAACAACCTAAAGCGTATTCTAGACCACCTAGCTATATGACGGAATTCCCACTCGAAAGAGTTTTGAATGCATGTGTTACATTGATTCTTGCCATGTTTGGGAAAGGACACTCTTATCACACAATTTCTGTGGCACACTCAAGTAGTGCATGTGAGTGCAACGATTAGAAGAGAAAATATCTGTTAATAATTTCAATAAAGGCATGTTACTAATGTATATGATAAACGAAATTCCGCGAGGTGGAGTAATAGATTTAGTCAATATTTATGCATTGTTACAGTCATTGCAAGCAATGCCAACGGCGTTGAAGAAGATTTCGTTGGAGATAAGTTGCAGGTCGAGCTAGAGGAGCCAAGAGATAGTTGGGGGAGTAAAGCCGAGTATCTTTTAGCGTCCATTGGTTTTGCTGTTGGATTGGGTAATCTGTGGCGATTCCCATACCTGTGTCAAAAGAATGGAGGATGTGAGTACGTTAGCATACCATCGTTGGCTAGCTTTTTATCGATATATATGAGCAACCGAAAGTTTTTCCCTAATAATAATTATGATATTATAGAATCTATCCCACTTAACCTAATGCTCGACCCTGGATTAAACCAGTTCTTAGATTACTTCATGTTTTTTATGAGTGTTCGAAAGAATAGGATTTTTATGCCTCACAATTTACCTTTTTAGTTGCATTTCTTATCCCATACTTCATCTTTATGGTGATCGAAGGGATTCCAATAATGATGCTGGAGTTCGCAATTGGTCAGAAAATGCGAATGTCGTCTTGGCGCGTTTGGTCCAATGTTAGTCCAGCGTTACGCGGCCTCGGTTTGGCATCGGTCATTGTTTCATTGACTGTTTGTTGTTACTACATGGTGGTCATCGCCTGGTGTTTTTATTATTTCTTTATTTCCTTCCAAAAAAACCTACCTTGGCAGGTTGAGCTGTGCGCAAACTACGGAGCTTACGAAAAACTACAGGATCAGGTGGAAATCTGGGAAAAAAACTACACTCACTATAAACAACTCAATCAAACTATTTATGGCCATAAGACAAATCAGACAAAAACAACATACGAGAATACAAAATTAGCACTTGAGCGTAACTTCAGCTCTTGCTGTGTTATTGACTCCCCCCAGTGGTACTTCTATTCTAGTGTATTAAATATATCAATTGACATTGAAGATTATAGTCTTGGTTTAAATGGAAAGTTGGTCGGATGTCTGATTGTTGCTTGGGTGGTTGTTTATTTTTGTGTGATCAATGGAATCAAATCAAGTGGCAAGGTATGTTATCGGTCTTGTATAGCCTCTGGTCGGTCTCCGTGCATTTAACGATGCATGGGCGCTCTTTCGCAGATAAAAGGGTGAAGTCGTGACGAAACAATGTTGTGTTGCAGCTAGAACATAGTTGTTAACAAGTAAAAAGTTACAACAATTTGTTGCTTCAACATTACTGAGATTCGGCATTATAGATTTAACAGAAAAATTAAGATTTTGACACTAGTTATTTTTTCTCATTTCTTAGGTAGTTTATTTTACTGCTACTTTTCCGTACGTGATCTTGCTGATTCTTTTTTTCCGTGGTGTGACATTAGATGGAGCTGGCTCGGGCATTGAGACGTTTTTTTCACCTGAGGTTAGTATTAAATGCACCACAGTTTAATTAGCGGACATTACAGAGTGAGTGCTGTTTTGTCAGGCGACCCTATAGTATGTATACAACTCAGAATTTCTAACATGCTTATGGGCTCGAAAGCACGATCCAATTTGCACAGTCTGCATGAATATATCTGTCAGATTTGATTAGTGTTGTAATTAATTTAGTAATAAAACCAATGTACCATGCTCATGGTTTCATATTTTTAACACTTTCTTATAGTGGTCTAAATTGAATGATCCGAAGATTTGGAAAGATGCGGCCGCTCAAATGTTCTTTACTCTTGGTATAAGCTTCGGTACTTTGATCACGTTTGCAAGTTACATGCCTAAAAATAATCAATGTATACGAGACAGTTATACCGTGGTATTTGTCAACTGTGGTACATCTATTTTCTCGGGATTGGTGGTTTTTACTATACTGGGGTATCGAGAATTAAAGACTGGAATAAAGGCGGCTGACGTGAGTATTTTTACGACTTGAATCTGTGAGTTTTTTTATTGGAAAGTTCGGATCATTGACATACATGCTTCAATCTTTTTTAATGCTCAAATTATTTGAGCTCATTCCAAAATTTCCCGACTTTATTCAAAGATGAAAACCGTAGGGACAGCATTGTTTTTTTCAGTTTACAAATTCATTATCAACTGTTTAGGTCGGCAGTGGACCTGGACTAGCTTTTATGGCGTTTTCTGATGCTATTACTCAACTTGATGCGTCGCCATTTTGGGCGGTCCTATTTTTCTTCATGTTGATCCTCTTGGGAATTGACTCGGCATTTGGACTGTTGGAAGGAGCTGTCAATCCTCTTTATGAATTGGGATTATTTCCAAAGAAATTAAACAAATCAATTGGAACAGGTATATTATATTACTCATCATTGGCGTACGAGGTAGGGGGAGCCGGGGAGGGAAACAAAGGAAGGACCCCGAGAAGATTAAGCAGAATTGGTGGGGCAGTTTGTACTCAAGAGCCAATTTTTATCTAAAGTAGCCGGTTCTACAGAAAAAAAATAATCCAAGCAGCTATGTGATGTGGAAGAGACGAAATAATTTAACATTTACACACAGGTATCGTTGCTGTTGTTTTGTTTCTGATTGGTTTATCAATGGTGGCTGGAAACGGATTTTACATATTTCAAATATTTGATGATCACTCCGCTACAATTCCACTCTTACTGATTGGTGTGTTCCAATGCATTGGTGTTTCCTGGGTGTATGGAAATGATAGGTAAGAGTTAGTATGTGACCATAATATCGTCTGGCGTAATTGGCACAATTGCATGCCTTAAAAAAATGAAGGGACCAACTTGATAATCTGATAAATTATGTTCATTAAATGTGGCAACGTAGTGAACGTACCAGGTGTATTGTGAGATAACTCTGTCAGATTAACCAATCACGAGCGCAATAGGTCAACCAAAGAAGCAGTTGAAGACTTGAAAGTAAATCTGAGCCTCGCTAATTGTGAGTCAAGACAAATCAAGAGATGCGTGAGGGCTCATGCGTCTTTGTTGACAAAATGTGGTATTGTCTTGGGATTATCGAGTGTATACGAACGCATTTTTTAAGCACTAAAAATATTCATCTGCATACCAAACAATTGATGAAAATACAATGTCAACCTTCTTGGCCTTTGCATGCAGCCGACGTCTTCAATCAACACATATATTTTTTAACGTAGCATACTTGCACAATTGTTTTTTGGTAAATTTTCCTTATTTTATCTTATTCATTATTATTTTATATCGTAACTCATTATTTTTTAAACTGAACTGAACTGTGTGTTTTTGTGTGTCGAAATTCGTGTCGTAAGTGCTATTCGCAACTCGTTTAAAATAAATTCGTAATTATACCCGCAATCATCGGGTATAATGGAAATAAGGCCGCAATCTGATGATATGAAAACCTGAAAACCACATTACGAATTATACGACGTATTTGAAAAACGATTCCTTTAGGTATTATTGCATGTTTACGAATTCTGTCTAAATATTCCATCCACACGAAGCTCCTCACTATAAGATACTTGCGTGTACAATAAGCACTCGTGTTGTACCTAATATATAGATTTGCCGACGACATTGAAGGGATGACAGGAAAACGACCGTGGATTGGTTGGATGATCTGCTGGAAATATATCTCTCCTCTTGCTTTAATTATTCTCATCATCGCCACTTTATATGATATGGGTGACAAAGGAGTTGGTTATTACACTTTTGTTGCTTGTCTACAGGTATGAGACGAAATGTGTCGCTTTTCATGCAGCAAACTTCAGTTAACTGTAAAAGACTCTACTTTTGCGTTTATTTTAACGAATTCTTTTTCGGCAATTACATTAAATCATTCTTTTTCGGTAAGCTAGAACACTTTCAAAATCGTGCAATGCATAACAAATGCACAGGGGGCTAAGGTTATAGGCGGGGTGCAAAGTTGATATTTTGTCTGGCCTTATAATTATTTTCGTGGGCGTGGAATTTGTGTAATGCATATAATAATTTTTGCAGGATCCCTTCAGCAACAAGTATCCAGGAGTTGAGGCCTGGTTATCGCCACTAAAGTATCCAGGCTGGGCAAGATTCCTGGTGGCTTTGGTAATTATGATTTCGACAGTTCCCATACTGATCTTTATGATCATAGGATGGCCGAAAGATTGGAGAGCGAAGTTTCACAACACTTTGTTTTCTTCCATCAAAAATTATTATCCGGATCCACCAAAAAAGAAAGATGATAACCTTGGCTATTGAGGAATTGCGTGAATATGCGTGATCTAAGAAATGCCTATGCATGGGTGTTTTAATTTTATTTATTTGATACATTGATGACTTTCGAAAGCATAGATTAACCAAAATAACTTTAAATCTGCGCCGGCGTGCTCTTCTAGCAATTGGCATTTGATTTCATTCTGGAGCGTACCAATGTTTTATTATTTGTGTGGGTTGCGTGTTCCAGAATTCTCCGGTGAAATTCATTAAAGAATCCCTTTCGACGTGGGGTAAGACCTCTCGTTTGTGGAAATCAGGATACATCAATCAACTTCTAGAATTAACGTGCCATTGTTTCTAAAATTATCGACCACATGAGGATTTCTTTTTTCAAACCAAATCAATTCTGTATCTCTTCAGCAGCCACAAACCCTGGTTAGGCACGCCAATGATTTCTTATAAAGTTTTAAAACGAACGTGGCTGCAGCCTGCCAACCTCGTACCTAGGGCAGCCTGCATGCAGAAATATACAATATCAAGAAAGGTTATAATTTAAATTTACGGGCGTTATTTGATACGCAGGATCATAACTGATACTGATAGATAGAATAAATAGAATAGGGTAGAAAGAAAAGCTGTCAGCCTATATAAATGACTGGATGTGATTTAATACTAGCATGCGAACACTTAGATTTTAAGCCTATAGGCAAGTCGTTAAACGGCTACATTTTAGTTGATTATTTAATTCACAGCAAATGAGAGCTAACAAATCGATGACATTTCACATCTATGTAGGTTAGGCGCCATCAGTAGATTGAACTGGTTCGGGGATTAATTCCTTTATTATTTCACCGCATGTAATTAAACCGTCTATATTAACTATGGAAATAGCCTAAGTAACGATTAAAGAAATACCATACGCATAGCTGCACAATGTACATTGAGCAAATTTCTGAATTTTAAACTTCGCTTTTGCTTCGCTTACAGACAGAATAACGAAGAAGCATTCTGTAAGAAATTGTTTGAAATAATAGTACAAGGATTGAAGGAGATTTCTCTTGTGCTCCAGTTTAATTGATAATTTGATAATCTTGCAGTTGCAGACACTATGATGAGAAACTCGTCTTAATTTCGAATGTAGGCGATAACTGAATCAGGTTGGTTTCTCAAATACAAATATGGTCAAAGAAGGAACTGGGCTAAGGAAAATAAAAGAGGTGGTTGATGCGTAATAATAGTCGACACATTTTTTAGCACTGCCTATCCAGTCATACGTCCAACCTCGCCGAACCTCGGCGTACCCAGGAATCAGGATTCTAAATTTATCCATCCCTATTCATATTCAGACGGGTTTTTACGGTCAACTTTTCCGTCTAAAAACCAGCCGACAATTTAAAAAAGTGCAGTAAAAAACAAATTCCGAATAAACAAGACATCCGCTGAGAGTCAAAATATGAATCAAGTAAGACACAGGTTGAAACTGTAAATTTAAGACTTTATTTCCAAGTCATCTTCACTCTTCGGACAGATTCAATCTTACAGGATTGAATCTGGCAGGAAAGTTTCTTTTATGATTTATCCGTCGTGTGTTCTCAACCAAAACTAATTGTTTTTCCGGCTACACAAAAGGAACCATACTATTCGATTCGGTCCGGAGGATAATTTTCCTGAGTGGAAAAAGATGAGTTTCCCATCTCTAATAGTCTGATATAATATGAATTCAGCTAATATAAATAATATAACTCCCGGCCTGCATGAGTCAACCATGACTCAGCTTTAGTGCAGTTCCCACTCTAATTACAAGGATGAATTGCTGACTCCTAGCCACGGACTAGTCCATTCTCTGTGTTGTGATTGAGTGGGGGGGTGTTGACCGACTGCATGGTGATATATTAAATATTTACACTTTTATTTCGGCTGACTGTCGGTGTTCTGGACAATTATATCCAGGCGCCAGGCGATCAATACAATTTATGCAAAGCCAAAGGCTTAACTTCAGCTGGTATTCATTGTACTGTCTAATTAATCAATCTATGATACCAAATTTTCAATAGTTACCCTGTCGTTTAGTTGTTCTTGAGGTTTTATGCTTCAAACAAGCCGCTTAAGCCAAGTTAAAATGCGTATCAAATTTCACACGGTAAATTGTGTAAATATATGTGGCGCTAAACGGCGGCTTAAACACAGGGTATTTTATATATTGGACATACATCTTCCTCGATTAAATTCTAGTGTTAAAATGACTTCGAACGAAGGTATGTCTTTACATGGAGAAAACGATTTAGGTAAGTGGGAGAGGAATTCCTGTCGAATTATTTCTAATTTAGTATGCGATTTCGTAATTCTTACTCTTAGATATGCCGGGCAATATTTAAAAGCCTATACAACTTAAATTATACAATCATAGGAACCATAATTCGCAGGGCACATTGGCTTCAGTTTAAATTTGAAAAGTAGTTTATCTTTTATCCATGATCACTTGCGAGACTCACATATGCATGACTGTGTGATGTAGTCTACTGCATGCATTCTAATCTCAGATCTCTGTCGTAACTATATCTGTCTATAGCTAATAGGAATGAGAAGACGGTTTGTTTTAAATCAAATTTTCCTTTACCCAGCAGTTTTCTGAACATGATTGTTGAACATGATTGTCAAAACAAGTTTGGATAAGCTCAGTGTAATGAGTTATTCTCATATTACTCTTCCAGTAATTTCTCTGTTGATGTTTCTGATGTCGGTCACCTTGACCCTACCTTGTCTCAACACTGATGTTTACACATACTGACTGTAATCAAAATTTGAAAAACATGATAAGCTGTAATCGACACGATTTCTAGACACAAACTTTATAAGTACATCAGGTTGTACAGTACGATAAAATACCCTGTGATAAAATACCATGCAGGATCTCTGCTAGGGTGCATGTGTTAAGTAGGATTTCCGACATCACGAAAGTTTAGACTCGCGACATTTGATTTTATCACAGAAAGTATATAATTGCCCTGCGGCCTCGGCCACGATATTTTACCATCTTGAAATTTAAATAATATTGTATTTAAAAAGAGCCATCAAATGAACCCAGGCCTCAGTTCACATCTGAGAAAAGGGCTCTGCTCTTAACATCCTAAAGTCAAGAAGGCCTTTTCCGGCTCTAAAATATAAATGTCGAGTTTCTTGAATATTTTAGGACGTCTATACTCTATTCTTATCAAGGATTGAAACAGCATAAGCAGGATTTGGGCTTAGAACTACAAAAACTGAATTAGAATGAAATTTTTTTTTTAAATAAAAGCCACAAATTGCGAAATTTATATATCAGTCAAATCCGAGGTCAAATCAACCTTAATTGCATGAATCCTACAAAAGCTGACCTATTAAGCTGCGTCTTTTCGTTATTTGTTATTTGTCTACCCCCTGAAAATTCCTACAAGGATGAAACATGCAGACTGTAGTGAACGATTTTTGGTAAGCAATACGTTTATACATATATTAGCCAGGCAGTTGTGGATGACAATTTTAGGCAGTTGTAGATCACATCAATGAAAACTGAAAAGTTATTCGAAAACCATGCCTTACGAAACTCAGAAACTGCATCACTGAATGATCACTCTTCCTAGTTTCCACAAATGTCTATCTTGTTCCATGCCCGTTGGCGTTGCCATGAATATGTATGTATCTGCCACATCACACATATGACATGCATACTCACATTTGCTTATCTAATCATTTAATAGCTAAATTGCAATGGCTTTACCATGCAATAAAGTTTTATTTGAAGTGGTTCACACTTGTCATGACTATATAAAGCATTAGCAACTTCATTCCCTAAACTCAGGTTTGAATATACACCGCATATATCCACAGAAGAGAAACATTTCAACACATAGTCAAACATGTCAAACATTTCAAGTCAAAGTCATAACCCAGTATGCCCGTGCCCGTGGTTTCCGACTGTGTAGTTTTCCCAAAAAGGTATAAGGGTATTCAACTGTAACTTGATCCTGTTTTTAACCACATTATTTTCGCATATAATCATTGATCAAATTTCACAAAACAGACGTATTTTCTAAATCAACAGTAACGTTTGATGACGGTCTGCGACTTGTAACAAATTTAATTTGCGTGTATTGGGAGGCTTCCTTTGGTTTTAAAAAAATGAAAAATAACAAAGTTAGTACAGGGCACCAAGATCCAGAGTATAACCTGGGTGAGTAGCCAATTTACTGTATATGATCAGTATCCAGTGTGTTGAAGAAAATGATGCGGAAGACCTCAATCTAATTAGGGAATGATCAAGTTATTGAATAGTGATACTCAAATACTACATGGATACGCTCATGAATTGGTTTATATATTATACCTACTTAGACTTTAGCTATATATAGTGATGAGTATGTATATTCCCTTTGTATTTCATTATTCGCGAGGTTTTCCTGACACGACTTGAACTTCAGTTGAAAAAACGTGTTCACAGTTCAGTCAGTGTACATATAAATAATTATCGAAATGGAAGCCACGCAACTCTCTCTTTGCTTTTCCCCACAAGTTTTCTCCTGTGCCTGCATCATAGCCTGGAAGCATTCCAGAATTATAATGCCAGGCCGCTAGCAGATACTAGAAACTGGGCTATTTATCCCCTAGCGGTTGTGCGTCTCAACTATCACATTTCAATGTTCCCAGACCAGCCAGACGTTATTCAACCGAAGAATACCTATAAATTAGTTACTTTGGACTACAAATAATCTCATGCCCATGTGGGCATTAATGAGACATGGTCATAGATCTAGAAAGATCATTCTGCGTAAACTATAGTCCTATGGGCTATGCTTTCCCTTGTTCTATTCACTATTTAACCTGCTTTTGATAAATGTGGGTGTTTCCGTGTTTGGTGTTATATTTCCTCTAACTCAAATAACTCAACAATTCAAATTTTCAGAGATTCGAAATCTCTTTGCCGAAGTTCAGACTAGAAATCTATAATGGACATATTGATGTTATTAGGCGCCATATGTGACTTTAAGTCACTACACGTGTTGATGATAATATGAAAGGGCTGGCTGGTATACAATTCTCTCTGACATTCCGCCCTCAGCAATTTCCTGTTATTTCAGTAATATCTAGACTGAAGAAGTCATATTTTTCTCCAAAGAAAGTCATGCAGTTTCTGCAAATTTTCCAGACTAGGTGTTTCGGCCAATTAAATAACTCCAAAATACATTTTTCGAATGCGCCATATATTCAAGAAGAATGGCTTTTATGGACGTCATGAAAAGAAACTGAATAATTCTATATTTTACTGCGAGCAACGTAGTATACTTTCATATTCACATCTGAATGTGAATGTGAATGTGAATGTGAATGTGAAATATGAAACCGTAGAGCCGACGGTAACACCGAGGACAATTATAACCGGGATGGGCAGCTTTATACTAATCTCCAGTTAATAGGGAGAATAATTAACTGAGTAAACTGAAGACGTATTGATACTAGTAGCCCAGCCTCCTAACCAGGCGCTTAAAAAACCCGCCGCTTCGTAGACGTAGAAAGGCTTATGATGCAGAAGCTCGATGGAAAAATATGAAGCGAAAATGGCATATACTGACTTTCAGGCAAAAGTATGAAATGTTGCGAAACATGCAATATCTCATATATTTCAGATATTTCTTTTATTTCTTCCCTGTTCATTATCAGCGTATTAGACCTATATCTTCAAGTATCAAGTATCGCTGTTTTCGATTTTCCTGTTTAGGAAATAATCGAACCAAAATGTAAATAATAAAAATGATATTTTGCTGACAACACTCATACTTGCAATAACCGATTCCTGTGCACACAATTATTAATTAAAGTTAACTTCTTGTCGCAGTAATTGCACGATGATAAATTAGGGCACCATCGTATTTATAATTATAAAACACGGCTAAAAAAATGCCAGGTAGTCATGTTATCTGACAATTAATTTTATGCCACTTTAACTAGATATGATGAATAAGAATACTGACAATGGGAAACCTGTCCCAGAGAAGGGAATTGAAAACACAGGATGTAACGATGAAAATCTTACAGATGCTAAAAATAATGGTGAGTGAAAGCAAGGTTCAAAATTACTCTTCAAAAAATATGAACTTTTTTGACCTTTAGTAATTTGAAGTTAAGTTATTTGAATAAAAAAAGTGTCGTATAAATGTGGAGTCACCATAGTTACAATCACCAGACAAACTCAATGATTGAGAATGAACGACTTTTATAAACACGGTAACCAACCAGCTTCGTACCCAGGCGCTAGTAAAATTATAATGTTGCATTCATTTATTGTATCGAGGTCAGCTGAAAAAAGGTGAGCGCGCGGGCGTGCTTGGGGTGGTTTCACACCATGATCGATTATTGTAGTGATTGTTTTTTTGATAGTATAGAAGTCTTATATTTATAGCCTGTCAAACTTTTATTATTGCAAACAGTCTCATTTGTTCAAGGTTCAGCTTCTAGACAAAAATATTTACAACTAAACAAAAGCAATTCAATCGTTGCGGCGTTAAAACCTGGTTTGTTATCGTTTTTATAAAAATGTCCATTTTCCATCATTGGGTGTGTCTGGTGTTCGTAACTATGGTGACTGCACATTCATACAATTTTTTTTTTACTCAGAACAACTTGCTTATTGTCTCATTTAAAATTATCAATGAAATCTTGTTATAGGATTTCCATATTTACTTTGTTCTTGTAATATTTTGATTAAAGCAACGAATTTTCGAAAATTGTCGGTCATCTTGAATTAATCCCTCTAGATCCTCAACTTATTAACTTTCGTTGTAATAATGTCGGTTGTGGCTTTAAAAAATTACGTTTAAATTGCCGAGTAAGTGTCGTAAGTAAGAATCATAAACATAAAGGTCTGTTCACACGATCCAATTTTGTTGGATCCAGTTCACTTCTGATGGATGTTTTACAGTCTGTTATCTTGTAATGTATACGAGTTGCACGAGCTGCACAAATCCACTAAAGCCAATGCAGTACTACTTTATCAATAACCGACTATATTTCATACGTCAGAAGTGAATTGGATCCAACAAAATTGGATCGTGTGAACAGGCCTTAACATCCCCTCACTCCTTGTATAAACACTTTCTCGAATACCCTATCTCACTTTCAAAGCATCCGGCACGTATTTTGTGGAACGGCCCCTAATTCAAAATAGCAGACAAGTAACAAATATTACAAGGACCGAGCTGTAAAAATATGCAACAAGATTTTAGAATTATAATCGTTCTTCAAGTTGAGACGTGAACCATGACGAAATTGCTTAGTTTATCCGTTAGGCAGAGGCTAATAAGCATAATTTTAGGTAATAAAAACAGGTGAACCATATTCGAACAAGGCTTAATTTCGTGGGTGTTTATGATCAGAGGTTAGCCGTAAATACTAAACCGCACACCTAAAATTATTATCACAGATTGCCGAAAATATTACTTAAAAAGGATAGAATCTCTCCTCAATACTGCGTTTTTCTTCCAAAACCTACCGCAGACGTAAAGTGCCAGCTAAGCTATCAGCACGCGTGGCATCCAATTGCTCAGGTATGCGACAAACTATTGTCTTAGAAATTCGAGACCGTCTGTCAAATAGTTTTAGTCTTGGGCTTCTTCGAATTTGCAAGGCTATTCCTTTTTATACACAATGTATGTTACCATTGTTATTATGGATTTTTAAAAGTTCTGTTCGACTATGTATTCAGCATATATTTTAACAGACTAGACAAAGAGTGGCTTCTAGGAGACTGTAGCAGACAATACTATTTACAAGAATTGCAATTTACCACAATTGCTGGGGTCTCATGGAATTACTGATTTTCAATAATCTTTTAGACAGCGAGAAGTGTCAGGTTTAAATTTTTAATCGCAAATTAGAATGCTCTGGAACTACAGCAAACTGGGAAAATATGTCCTCCAGAATAGACAAAATAATAATAAAACAAATTATATGGAATCCTAAATCCTAAGTCGACGTTTGCACAACAGCGCCTACTAGCTTGTTTATGGGCATTGTCGAGCTACAGTGTCGAGCATATAGCCTGATATTCGAATTTTTTCAAGCTCAAAATAAGGCAGCTGGTTGATGATATATATTGTCAGTTCATGAATAATAATGAGATATTTCAAGAAAGAACGATTATTTACGTACATAAATTAGTAGCACGCCATCCATAGAGCGCGTGGTCATTGTTGGGGCAGTACATTATTGAAAAGATTCTCATTTAAGTCATTTTTGTAGCAATAAAGGTACGGCTTTTGAGTATGTTTTCGGACAAGATTATCTGTGATATGACAATATGTACAGACACAAGACTACTTTCATCGCCGTGTAGATTGTTAATGTTTACTGATAGTTTTCTTCTATTGACAGACTTGCAAAGTTCGACCGACAGACAACAAACGAAAATGCCTTCTTCCAAGGAGTCGATAAAGCAATCAGAATCTCATGGTTTAATAGGTAAACATTTCAAATTCAACTGTATTTTGAATTGTTGTGTTAGCCAAAGAAAATGATATCAAATATGCCTAGAAGTGTTGAGTTTTGATGTAGGCGTGGGTCCTCGTTTCATTTATTATTTACGAGTGTTTATAGCGGGAATTCGTTAATAGATTGCCAGTAAACCACGATTAAAATTTTAAGCTTTGCAGGAATCACATCTTGAATTTTCTTAAATACATTTGGACTTGGAAAAATACGGTTGGATATAGACGGACTTTGCCGGCTGAACATTATACATGTTTGTTTAAATATTGGTTCAATGCTAATTTCTTTCTGCTTGCGGAAATTTTCAAATCGTTTTATGTAGCAGCAGTTCAAGTTGAAACTTGAAAGTTAAACTTAGTTGTTGTTGCCGTTATTAAATAGAAAAATGATTTTAAATTCAATACATGTCAAAGCAGATTTTTCTGTTCGAAATAAAAGTATAATTTATGCTATGCATGATTGATTCCACCTGTGCTCTGAGCCAAGCTTGGGTAACTTTCCTAAACATTTTCCTTGTACAACTTCATCGAACTTTATCTTTTCCTTAATAAAGAATATTTAGCAATTATTTACTAAAAAATAAGGTTTACTGTATGTACTTGTTTGAAAACTCAACCTCATTTATACTGGGTAAATGGGTCATAACTAATAACAAAAAAGCTTTGTGCTATTGGGGGAGGGAGGCTGTTACAGCCTGCTTGTTACATATCAATTTTAAATATCCTGTTCGGTTAGAGATCGATTTAAGGCTGTGTAAAGATGAGAGTAGGTGGTTTGGGGATTGCTTTGTTTTGAAGACTTTACACTTGGCTTGAAATCTTGTAGAGTATGGCTCTGCCTTCAGCAGCAAAGACAAAGACATTCAAAATGTCAACATGGCTTATGTTGGCTTGAGTTGCTGCTAAGGGTAGTTAAGCCATCTATATCAGTGGTAATACATTGCAATTTAACAGACGTTTAGTTTATAGTCTATATATATATACAGTATATATGTATATATATCTGATAAAAATATGTGTGTACCATCAATGCTTATTATCATATAGGATTATAGACATTGCTCCCTATGGTAAATTTCTGCTTAAAAATTCCATTTCTTTTCGAGGGTTGTTTGTACATAATTTTTCATCTGCTCCAATCTTAGTTGAATCCACCAAGTTTACTTCTGCTTTCCAAGAGACTATGTTAAATTGAATTCCTTCTTAAGTATGTAATGGCATTATTGGCATACCATCTCATTGCATTGTTAGCTGTTTATTAAAATACAACAGCAACAAGAAACTTTATTAAAATTAAAAAAGGATGTGCTCATTCTCTGCCCTCTGGTATTGCTTACATTGCAAAAGCTAGTGAAAGAAGTTTAGCATGTGGGTTATTATAAGTTCAGAGCATGATAGTTCCTTGCATTTTTCTTTACTGATTTATTAAGTATCCGATTGTTTTGTGTAGTTGAAAATAGGCATGATGATAAATTTTCACTTGTTTGATTCCAAATTGGTTCAATATTTGCCATAGATGTAATTCTAATTGTGTCTTGGGCTGATTAATTTTTGGATACTTCAGCACTTTATTGTCTAGTATTGTATGTGAATGAGTATGTCGCATATAAGTTGATATAACAAGTTCTAGAAGCTTGTAGCGTATGGTTTCAGCATCTCCCAGCAGTGTTTTTGGGATTGTAAGTTTCTATTGATGCAATACAGGATGCAAATTTGGAATATTGGATGCTGCATTAATAGAATAGACAATGCTCATTCCTTCAATATACTAACATTCCTGTCCACCCTTGCTTCTGTGATTGACAAGGTGACTGTTATCAAACCATCTTGTCAAAAATGATTAAATTTAAAAATATTTTCCGGTCTTTGACTTCATGGAATGCAGGGAGACAAAAATGAGATATTTATGAACAGAAAAAGGCGTATACGAAATGCTATTTAAAAAACGTTTCAAAATTACCAGTATGTAGAGGTCAAGATCGTTTCATATGTAAGCCAGTGAAATGAATATAATTGACCAGCTTTGTCGGTATGACCAGAGCCAGTATGTGATTAGGAAACATTTTGATCGTGGATGCATAATCTGTCTTTCCCTCATTTACATATTTAAAAAAATTCATTTTCTATCAGGTATTGCTGTATTTCAATAGCTTTTGTAAAATGAACGTGGTGAATAGGTACAAAATGAAAGTAAATCGACTCGGGACATTCTTGAGAAGCACAAGTAAGCTTGGAGCTCTGGAATCAACCAAAAGCTTTCCGCGCGATATTAACAGAGCGTGAAATATTTTCGGGTATTGAAATAAGACTTTGTAAAGCCAGCCAATCAGGCATTATTGGAACAATGCTATCAATACCTGAAAGTCATTCACGCTTCATTTCAATATCGACTGTAGCTATATCAGATTAAGGATCATGAACCAATTCCTTTGTTTGAAACAAAGAAATCAAAAACAGCTTTGAAAGATATAATCAGAAGCTCGTCTAAAATATCTTCCATAATTATTCATATTATTATTAACTTGTCGTTTTGCAGTGTTATACGCGCGAAGCGAATTTAATATTATGTCTTTGGCTTTGCAAGAAATATCAGTTCGCACGGAAAATATCACAACTAAATTAATTCAGTATACATTAATCCCCGTTCAATCAATCTTTTCCGACCACGGTGAGAAGGCGTGGATATAAATATGTAGACACTTTAAACTTGGTTTCCCCAGTTTCTAGATAAAAACCGCGCCGGTTAACCAGAGTTTACTTAAAGCAACTGTTATAGCAGTGTGTATAGGAATAGTGAATGTGCGGTGTTCAAAGGAGATTAAGGTAATCCGCGTTAATCATTTATAATGACGCTATATTTTTCATTTTCGAACTCTTCTATAAGCTATACTGAGAAAATTGCCGATTCCGACATTGTTGCAAAATTGCGTGTGGTAAATTAAAATCCTGCATGTTATTTGTGGAAGCCAGATTTCGATATTGTGCCTGTGACTATATATAGTACTAGTTTATCGTTATTATAAATATCAATATTTTTGGCGTCTCGTTCGATATTAAAGTTGGTGTTTGGGTTTGTCGGGACAATGCATTTCCATGCATCAACAAAAACGTCCATTCCATCAAATAAGAGCGTCATCTTTTCCTTTATACTGAGTAAAGAATCTTGTAACTACTGTATTTTCTTTAGTTCATGTTTTCAAGACCAACCACTGAGTTTAACGGAAGCCCACAGGCAGGCATATAGGAGAAGTTACTGGAACTGTTTATAGAATGAGAGATTAAAATAACATAAGAATATTACATTCGGTAATTTTTGAGCTAATTTTTCAACCGTGTTTACAGGATTTAAACATAACGTATACGTATACATATATGTAACACTAAACCTGCGGAAACTGGTTAAAGTTTTATTAAAATATTTCGTAGCATATGTTGATTACGATCTTAAACAAACCAGTAAAAAACTTAAATATGCTTTTCATTTGGTATTTTAATAGTCTAGTTAATTGCGTGAACATCTATTTTTACATATACCTTTGCGACATCAGTATGTGTGTAAAATGAAGTTTTGTCCAGCTGCTTGTGTTCGTTACTATAACTCCTGATCATGCATCATCACTGAGATGCAAAGTCGATCCAAAATGGCGTTGTAATCAAAATGGCGTTACTTCTTTGCGTACAAAATAAAAAGTGTTTTCCGTATGCATGGTATTCATTACGAATGGTCAAACGAGCGACGGATATAATTTTGTGCTATGTTTGAATTGCAACAATCACATGGTTTGTATTCTCGTATGATTTTCATGATTTTATTTATTCCACGCTCGTTCACAGAATATGTATCAGTTTATTTTATATAAGAGAAAATGTTAAATTGAATGTAAAATTGTTGGATTAGTAAAGGTTTAAAGGACATGAAACGAGTGTATAGTTTCTACCTTGTATATTTGGAGGAATCTCCCTTCATTCTTCTTTCTACCACTGCTCCTAAACTGGGTTGTGGTCGTGACGAAACATGATAATTATAAATGTAAAAGAAGGAAAGAGATGTAGTTTATTGTAATCCTGTCTTTTCATTTGCAGGTGTTTATTATTAATAACATAGTACACGTGTATTTTGATGGTGTATAATTTGTTGACAAACTGAAAATTTCTTTATAGTTGTAGCTACTAAATTACAATTCAATATTGTGTAAGGTAAATAGCATTTAGAAACGAACCTGAGTGATTCCCGTGGCCGTTAACAATTATTGTGTTTGTCATGGTGATGTTCACATGTTGACTAATAGTTTGTCTTCTACCTCCCCTAAGCTTGGAACTCAAGGAATATTTGCCCTAAGTTAATACGGGCTGCTGTGTTTGCAATCCTGCAGCATCAGTGGTTGTCAAGCGTTGTTTCTTGCGAAACATTTGCTCTTTTTGGATATTCACAGAAGATAAGGTAAGCTATACTTCATATGCGTCTAATTCGTGTGCTAGTTGAAGTCATGGACGTCCCGACCAGTTAGCCGTTTTTCCCATATCCGTCGATGTATTTTGATGTCTATCTGGATCAAGACGCGCGTCAACATCGCGACGGTTTACCGAAACGTTTTGCTAAAGAATAATTAGAAAGAAATGCGAACGCAGATATGTATTGTTGGTTGAGAAAAAAAGATGATAATGAAACGGACCCGAACCTGGGCTATAGTTAGATGCACGATTTCTTGGATTTGAGGACGTTTGGAGAACAGAAGGAATTAAGATACGAGGGATAGAAGACACGAGGAATTGAAGTCACGATGTAAAGTAGCATTGGCGAGAGGAAAGAAATCAAAAGAATAAAGTTATGCCATTCTGTTCACAACGATAAAAAAGATGGCCAGACTGGCAAAAAGATTATCCGACGAATCCAAGCCCAAAGATGATCTCGATTGCCATGCCAAGCATTCAACACTGACGGAAACCACTTGTGAAGTTCACCCTGGTCGGCAAATACCAAGCTTCGGGCATCAACATGGTCGTCTATAAGAGCATGCTAAAATTCCAACAAGAATTTGTTATCATGTAGATCCTCACAAGATGCGATAGACATCATACTCAAATGAAAATATCCCCCAAACCCGAAATCTTTATAATCATAACTCCTGGGCCCGTTCCTAAACATGTTTAAGATGAAGATAAAAGACTATGCTAAAAGGAAAAAGTCAGACAAGATTGGAGAACAAAAGAAGACACATCAACTTCACTTGAAATCTGTACACCACATCGACCAATATCTCTAGAAGTGTACATAATTTGGCATCCAATAAACTGCTGCCCTAGAATTGACAACGATGCAGAAAAGCAAAGAATACAGAAGAGGAAGCCGAGGCGTTAGACTAAAAGGCCGCTCTGTGTTAAATTTGGTAATTATTTATTTCGGTCCAAGTTATTCAATGATAAAGATGTATTCGTCTAAAATTCTCGTTGAGGCCAATTTCCGCAAAATGAACAAAGGTTTCTAACATTCGCATTAATAAATATCGCTTAAAGTAAATAAAAAATATTTAAAAGAATTTTTAGTTCAAAACCTTGTCACATCCATCCAAAATTGGTAAAGTATAACTTAAACGTATTGCAAATCGAATGCCTCGAAATAATAATTTCATACTTTGTATGTTTAACGTCTTTTTGATACCGAACCGTTTACTTACTCAGTCGTACCTGTTTCCTAACAATTTCAACCTGAATTATTTCTTTTTTATCGGCAAAATACTAGAAGTAAGTATTATATTTGTGCCACGTAATGGGATAACTGTTACCATATGATACGTCTGTTATTCAGCAGTCCAGTTAATCTGATCTATTTGAAATGTCTACCTTGACATGCGGGAAAGGTCATCCTTCGGTTCATGTAGTTTAGCTCATATCTGCGCTCTGCTGAAATGATAAACATCGAATTCAAAGGCTATTGATAGACATTAATAGGAATTAGAATATTATATTTTGTAATATATGTACCTTAATATATATTTTCATTCGTGATGTATTTTAATATTTAGATTCAACTGATTTTCCGTCAGTTATTTATTACGACTGTTATATTTTTCAGAGCTTAACAAATTAAATGGAGAAGCAAACGGTACAGTCGCAGGGGAGGTTCCAAACGATGGAGAACCGCCTAATAAACGAGATTCCTGGGGTGGTAAACTTGAATTTGTACTTGCCTCTCTGGGTTTAGCAGTTGGCGGCGGAAACGTGTGGCGTTTCCCGTACCTTTGTCAAAGAAATGGCGGAGGTAATTATTGCGTTTGTTCTTGGGACAAGGGAGAACGTATACCGTAGTTTGCAACGTCGACATTTAGTGGATGTGAAATAAGCTAAATTTATGTTTCTGGTGAATACAAATCAGTCATTGCGATTTCCCAAATTTGCTCACAATCTCTTTGAGTCCTTAACTAGGGAGGAGCAAGAAGCGACTAAACTACTGTAAGCTTAATGGCAAACGCTTAACGGTTAAACCAAATGTAATAATATTTTTTTCCTATTCAGGTGCATTCTTGATTCCGTTCTTCACCTGCATGATTCTCGAGGGATTTCCACTCATGATTTTGGAATACACAATTGGCCAAAGATTCCGAACAACTGCTGTAAGCAGTTTCAAGCAAATGCATCCAGCTTTAATGGGAGTTGGTATTGGTTGTATGATTGTCTCCATTTATTTCTGCCTTTATTACATCGTGATAATAACTTGGTGTGTGTATTACTTCTTCATTTCACTCACCAAAGATCTGCCGTGGATTCGTGATGAACTATGCCCGAAAGCTGCAAATTATACTGGCCTTCAGAGCAACTACACATACTATAAGGACCTTGTTTCAAACGCAACTGTCAATTCGAGCGAGTATTTCGATTTTAAGCACCAAAGAGATTCATATAAACAACAGGTTGAAAATTTCACTGATTGCTGTGTGCGTGATCCTTCAATGTGGTATTTCTACTCGTCGACACTGCAGGTGTCCACTGATATAGATGATTACGGTGAAGGGGTGAATGCCAAGTTATTTGGTTGTTTAATTCTTGCTTGGTTTCTTACCTACATTTGTATTGCAAAAGGAATTAAGACCAGCGGCAAGGTTTGTACACTCTTCTACAACAATTTACTGTTGAAATTTTCAAATTTCATTAAGATTCTTTGCTATAGATAGCGTTTTTAGGCATTTTTAACCTATTTTTGGATGGGAATAATTATCTGGGAATTTTTTTAGTGTACGGATTTTCGATCAAAATTGTGTACATTTTTTTTGTACGTTTATTAACCTAACTAATCTCTGGTACTATTTGTGTTCCTACGATTCCCTATCAATGCAGCACTGTTGCTCTTTTACATATGTTGGAAAATATGAAAATGTATATAAAAGTTATTTCTACTGCAATATTATCTAAAATACTCTTCCGTGTTAGTTCTGACAAGTTCACAACAGTTCATAACAACGTGTGTGTGCATTCAGGGAAACGTGTTCAACGTAGCTAGGTTACTGGGAGATAGGGAGCTTCGGGTATTTATTCTTAGTTGTTATTTATCCAGGCTGTTTACTTCACCGCAACGTTTCCTTACGTCATCTTGTTTATCTTTTTCTTCCGTGGAATAACTTTGGAAGGAGCTGCTGATGGTATTCGAGTATTTTTTGAACCAGATGTATGTAAATATACAATAATTTTCATATTTATTGTTCGTGACACGCCATATCCATAGTTTTACCGCCAACCTTGCAAGCCAAGTGTTCACTCACCCCGCGTGAATTGCTATCGAGTGAAGACTATAGCCTGTGGGGTCGTAGCGTTGCAAGATATTCATGGCACTTGCGGTGTTTAATTTTGGTGAAGATTAAATCACTAAGCTCTCTATGCTACAAAATTATGCAGAACTGTTTAAGTTGGATTGTGTTTTTCATTTGTCAAAAATTTTCTCAGGCGCCACCTCATTTGCCTTTGTAGTTCTCAAAGTTGTCTGAACCAACAGTATGGAAAGACGCTGCCACTCAGATGTTTTATAGTATCAGCGTGGGATTTGGTGCGATGATCACGTTTGCGAGTTACAATAATTTCCACAACAATGTTGTCCGCGATGCTCTCATCGTTGTAACTCTTGATGCCGCCACATGTGTGTTTGCTGGGGTGACGGTCTTTTCCATCTTAGGATATAGACAACACATTACTGGTATACCCGTAACTGAGGTGCGTTTCTGCTCTAGATTATATTATCTCATCTTATAGCTTAAGCCAGTGGCATTGTGGGAGCGTGAAGTACATAAAATTGTGCATTCCACTGTAAAATATTTATACATTTTCAAATATGGTATATCTCACCTGCGATCTTTCCTTTACGTCAATGAATACGTGTGTCCCCCATGCATTTTATATGTTTTCAAAGCATAGATATGCAGCGTATTGCCGCAAGGATTGATAATGGAAATACTCGACAAAATCCTTAGAAAATATTTCGTGTTCAGTGAAGCCAAATTAATACATTAATTTAGGTTGGCGGTGGTCCTGGTTTAGCTTTTATAACATTCTCAGATGCTTTTCTACGTCTGGACGCCTCTCCGTTTTGGGCCGCAATGCTCTTCCTCATGTTGTTTTTGCTGGGTATCGACAGCGAATTTGGAACGATGGAAGCTGCGATTACTCCTATTTTTGATGCCAATATCCTCCCAAAATGGATGAAAAAATGGATGTTCACAGGTAAAGGACATTGCGTTTATATCAAAAAAAGATCGAATTCGTCCAGGGCGGTTTCGTGCGTGGGATGAAGACCAGTTGTCAGGGTGGGGTGAAGACCAGTTGCCAGGGTGGGGTGAAGACCAGTTGCCAGGGTGGGGTGAAGACCAGCTGCCAGGGTGGGCTGAAGACCAGTTGCCAGGGTGGGGTGAAGATCAGTTGTCAGGGTGGGGTGAAGACCAGTTGCCAGGGTGGGCTGAAGACCAGTTGCCAGGGTGGGCTGAAGACCAGTTGCCAGGGTGGGGTGAAGACCATCTGCCGGGCAAGGATTGGTGTACAATCACCAGCTGTCAGGGCTATTAAAATGTAGCTACTGGATTTGTTCTATATATAAGACGAGGTGTCACCTGATTGCTCGAGTCCCAGAAAAGACTCTAAATACACAAAAACACTGATATTTGGGTATCGATTTTCGTACATTACTCCCCCAAATTGCGATTGATTTCCAAGTTTCACTCCCCCTACACCCCCTCTGGCTAGTCTGAAATTCCATCCTACTTTTATATTTTACCTTTTTTTTCCATGCTATAACGACATCACGTCTTCATTTCAATTTTTCGCCAGGTATCGTGGCCATTGCGTTGATGCTCTGTGCTTTGCCGTTTTTAACCGGGAAAGGATACTACATCTTCCAGACGTTTGATGATTGGTCCGGATCTCTTCCTCTTGTCGTTATTGCTTTATTCCAGTGCATTGCTGTGGCCTGGGTGTATGGAAATGATAAGTACGTCCTAATATTCACAGCGTTTTTTGATCGTGCGAGAAGAAAGAATCTGGATTCATAAACAAAACATACATGCGATGTGGTGATCAATACGAGGCTTGAAGATCGTGTGAAAACATAATAAAAGTAAATATTTGTGAATCTTATTATTTAGGTTTGCTGAGGACATCAAACTTATGACAGGAAAACGTCCATGGATTGGTTGGATGGTTTGTTGGAAGTATATATCTCCAATACTATTGTTCCTCGTCCTCATTGGCGTTTTGTACACAAGTTCGTCTGAAACCGCCCAATACTCCGCTTTTGTTGGCTGTGCTCAGGTAATGCGAGAAAGGCGATGTGTTTTAGGATATTTAGACTGCTATATCGAAGTAAGCTACGGTCCAAAGTTGTATAACATTTCGTTTTGTCCCTTATATTATCTTATAGTTATTACGTAATAGCACATCTATCTATTATATAAGCGTAGTTTGGGCATATAGCCATGTTTAGTAAAACGTAGCGATAAATAGTTTTTAAAGTTACATATTCATACATTTAATTCATATACTTCAACTAAAGAACTGTCACTGGAAAATGAAATGGTGTAACGCGTCTGAGCGTCTCTATAGTCAATAATTTACATAGGTATCATAAGCTGCACTGTCTGTTACACGTTGTCTTTCCGTGTGATCACGTAGTTTTGCTCAGTGATGTGCAAGCATAATTACTAACTCGTGTGGTTTCAGGATCCATACAGTCATAAATTTCCTGGAAGCGATTCCTGGACAACGAGATTGGACTACCCAGCCTGGGCGCAGGGTTTCATTGCAATCATGGTGATGTTGCCTATTCTGCCAATATTCATTTGCATCATCTATTACTGGCCTTCAAATTGGCGTTCTGCTTTCTATAACAAGTTTTGTACTGGAGTGACGAATTACTTGCCCGACCCGAGCAGAGGTGGCACACAGGAATACTCAATGACACATCCTCCTGGGGAAAACGTGAACCAATCAACCGTTCCTGTGGCCTGATTGCAACTATTTATTCTTCTTGTTTGATTAGTAGAATATATGTGATGTGCATTAATAGCTCAATAGTGAAGTCTTAGTTACGATAGAATAGAATATTTTAGTGTAGTTTGTAAACCAACTTGTCATTGTTTTAATTTGTGTACTCTACCTGTTTTATGTTCATGTTTTGAATCCTGTGTAAACTACTAGAAATGTTCCATGTATAAGTTGTTCGTTATTAACAAGAAATTTTAGATTAACCATTTTTACAAATAAGATAATGTCTTAACCTAGGTTGAGTACAGCTATATACATCTTTAGTTTATTAAAATGTATTTATGTCTCTTGCATGTTGGATTACAGAGTAAATGTAAGTGTATATAATGCCATTTAAATTATAATGCATAAATGTAATTATGTCATGTTCGCATGAGCATTTCGTTATATTTCTTGCAATAGTCAATACATGTTGAGTTTTGTGAAAGTATTTAATGATATATAGAATTAAATAAATTAATTCATGTGAAGAAAGCTTTATTTCTTTTGGCCTATTTGCTATGACATTTCAGTTATCTCCAAAGCTTTCAGCGATTAAAGATTTGTTGGCGCATTCACAAACAAAATTTAAAAATTGGGGCTTTAGAGTAATTTTTCTAATTTAGGCAACCCCATTTGCGAATATTTTTTTAATATCCATGCATTGCTATTGCCCTATGTTTTTGCTGGCAATTATTCCTACATTGCTTTTGGCTTCGTATTCAACCTTCGGCCTAAAACAGACCCATCCTTGTAGCTACAAGGTTTTTTCTCGACAAAGATACAAACCCCCAAATTCTTGGGCCGAGGATTATAGCAGGGGTATAGTGACTGAATATCTTCTCTTATGGCTATGACTGATATACTGGAAAACTAACATCTATTCTACACTCCTGGGAATTGACGATTCCTAGGCCTTGTTCTCTGTAATCGATGCCTCGATGGTCGATCTAATTTCTAATTTTAATTTCTATCCTTGATGGTCGATCAAGGAGTCTCACGAGGCTACCAACTGATTGATTACTTAATCAAATTACAATCGTTGATTCAAGAAGAAAGTAGAGCGTTCTAGAGCGTGAGATGACTAAATCCATTCTTGTTCTATATTACGTACTGCATGGGTTTTCCAAATTAATATTTAGTATGGTTTTTCAAAATTCCGATGCATTTTGGAGTTGGAAATTTTTTTACGCGCGTGCACATAATTAAGTCAGTAAAAACCTTGACCTTCAACGCGGTGCTTGACTTGAGAGACATGAATTCCGAGCTACAAATGTTTTTAATTGTCAGTCAGCTGATCTCCGAGACTCCAACTGCGTTTAGCATCAATTATAGTATGGGTTTAGATTTAGATAACATGTTCGGAATACAAGGTTGAATTACTCCATATTATCTATTATATATATGTCTGAAAATCCCGCACTGCAATGTGCGCTTTCGGCGTCTGGCGGCAGCACAGTAAGTACACCGACTTTGTTGACGGGGCAAAAGATTCCGGAGGATGGGGAAGACGAAATAATTGTCGAATCTATTGCTGGATCAACCAGGTCACTTAATTCCGAGGGAACGCCGTCGCCAAGGTTTTAACTGAATTTTGTGTTTAGCTAAAGTAGTTCAAATTCTTGATCCAGTTGATCATTGATATAATATGATACATGCCTTTCGGCCTTTCGCTGTGATTAAACCATAACTTAGAGAGAACCATAACTTAGAGTCTTGGTAAAATTGAGCACCCTAAAAGTACAAAACTTTGAGGGTTAAGGTTCTTTGAGCTTGCCAAAACGCGTCAGGAAATTCTTTAACATCAGCTATTGTTGATATCGTTTTAAAAACTATTGCTCAACATTCTTGTAGTTTGTGTTAGTGTGTTGCTGAGGCGACTGACATTCTGTTTAAACAAGTGGTTGTTTGTTCAATGTATAAATGTCAATAATCCAAGTTAAGCGGCTGACATGAATAGTCCAAATGTGAAAATAATGTACATATATAGTTTATGTACATGCATGCAATCATCCAAACTAGTATATATATATATATATATATATATATATATATATATATATATATATATATATATATATATATATATATATATGTATAGTACCTAAAAGAATTGTGGATGTGCACTAGGATAAAGGTGGCTCTCCCTCTGCATGGTATTAGGCCTATCGTTTTAATGCCAGAAAACGTTTAATTCAGTTGTTATTTTCTAGCCAGTCTTTGGCATTGCGGCAGAGTGTTTGGGCTCAATCTATACGTAGCTATATAGTATATCATATTACTTGTCGTCTTTATAAAATAGCCGGCCCTAAAGTAATGTGTAACGAAAAAGCTATTCCTGATATCATGAAAGTGTTTCATAATTACGTTCGTCTCGAGTCATTATTGTTGCACATTATTCAGTAGTTCTCATATGTCCTATGTTCTCATCTGGTTCTCATCTGTCACGGATAACTAAAACGCAATTCCATGAAACATGCAACCTCATCAATCTCATGCATTGTATTATATTTCAAGCAACCTGTTAATCATTCTCACAGGCCAAGCTATGTCGTATATAGTATAGACATGGGAACTACATCACATCATTCCCTGCAAGTTTACAACCTTTTATTACTGCATCGTTCATCAGCATGCATGGTCTCTTATTTATTTACTTCTGTTTGTCCTTCCGTAGGTATGCGAGCTTTATTGTGAAACACCCATACATTCTTCTTATCTTGACCACAGTTCTGGTGACACTGTCTGGATGCTTCAGTCTTATTCCACAGCTTGGAGCACAGTCACTACCAGACTTCACGGATCCCATCAAGGTATGTTCGACGAAAGCTAATAACAAATAGCTAATGAAAAGGGCAAGTTGACCAAGCGTGCTAGTTTGTATTATAGAACGACTTTTGCGAAATAAGGAAAGAGCTTTTTTAAAGTATGAAACGATCTTTATAGAATTTTTTTTATGTTATCACATGATTTTCTATCAGGCCAAGGAGTTCAGCATCTTTCATGACTAACACAACAAAAGGACTTTCATGACCCTAAATAATTGTGGCAGTGGTTGTGGTAACGTCGTGCACGAGATGATTACCATGTGTAACTTGATTTAACTTCTTGCCTTTGCATGGTTTCCGTGCATTCCATTGACAAAGTAGGATCAAAAGTTTAACCTATGTGTCTAACTATTTCAACAGCGAAATATTATAGGACTGAAACGCACATTTTACATAGAAACAGGATTGGCAAGTACTAATTTTAGCCAGCGTTGGCTTAGGGAGAAAGACAACTTTGGATTTTGTAGCTGTTGTGCAAGTAAAACTGATTGTGTGATCTACTGTATCATTGCTTTTGCTCCCTTTACCAGGGTTTCGAAGCACGAGGTACAACAATCAGCGATCGTTGGAGAAGTCAATTCAATTTGTTATATGATGAGTATAAAGGCAAGATCTCGAGAGTTCCTCCTAGATGTCAGAAAAAAAAGCCAACAAATGGACACAAGATTAAAGACAATAGAGAAGATAATCCTGCGATATGTTATTCATTCAGCCATTATCAACTCACAACTAAACTTGCGTTCACCACTAAGAATGGGCAGAACTTAATGACAGCGGAAAACCTGAAGTCCATTTGCCGTTTAGAAGACAAAATTATCCGCAAATTTTATGGCTTTGACGACCATTGTCACAAAGCCAATGGCACCAAAAACTGCTGTCCAAGTTGGTCTGTGGGGTATTTTATCGCACTTTTAAATGGGGACGCCTCGTGTTTAAGTATAGACGAAACTAAAGTGAAAACAACTGGTAGATTGTTGAAGATGTGCTCCGAATTTTATCACAACGAAACGTTAAAATCTGACTGTTGGGATTTTATGAAGAATCAAAAAAGATCAGGAAGATGCAATCACGTTCCGAATGATTGCACGACGTTCAATGCTGTTTACAATATACTTCATTATCTAACAGATAAGAATTTCTTGTCTAGTGGTAATAACGTATTTCTTCGCTACAGTCTTGTGCTCGTGCCTGTTAAGGAAAACAAAGACTTCCAAGTGAACATTTACAAATCTCGTCTAAAAGATGGTGTCTTTAACGATGGTAATGTTGAAGTAACCGGATATGACATGAGTCAACTAAAGTTTGAGATATTCAATGAACGTATGTTATTTGACCTATATCTCGCTGCCATTGCAATGCTTTTTGTAATGATCATTCTTTGGCTGTACACTCGTTCCTTTCTTCTCACGACTTTGGTTGGACTTATTGTTGTGTCAAGTTTGGTCATTGCATACTTCTTGTATACTAAAGTGTTTCATATGGAGTTTTTCCCATTTCTAAACATTGTAACTTCCGTAATCTTAGTCGGTATCGCGGCAGACGATGCCTTTGTTTACATAGATATTTGGAACCAGTCCATTCGTGAACATAGAGAACACGGACCACCTCCATCGAATGAAGAACAGCGTGAAAAGGAATTAATATGGGTTACAAACACCACAATGAAACACGCATCCTTGTCAATGTTTGTTACGAGTTTTACAACATCCTCGGCATTTTTTGCCAGTCTAACTTCAGAGATTACATCCATTCGCTTGTTTGGCCTATATTCCGGTCTTTCCATTCTATGTATGTTTCTTCTTATGGTCACATGGTTTCCTGCTGCTGTTATAATTGAACAAACGGTTTTGGCACGCTTCAGTTGCTGTTCGATATTCTGTGAAAAATTACAAGACACTCGAACTTGCCGAATAAGGACAGTTGTTGGGAAATTAGTTGAATGGCATGCGAAATTTTTTATCGATTTTCTACCTCATATTGTTATAAAATTAAGATTTCTATCATTATTGTTTTTGGTCCTTCTTGCTGCTGGGGGTATATTTGTTTCGACCGTTAAACCAGGACTACAATTACCTTCGTCTCAGGACTTTCAAATGTTCCACGAATCACATGATCTTGAGAAATACTCATTGAAGCTAAAGAAATACTTTTATTTCGAGACAACGAAAAAGTCGAGTTTTCCGATCAACTTAATCTGGGGTATTAAAGCCACTGATACAGGAGACTACTTTAATCCATACGACATGGGAAGCCTTAAGTGGGATGATAACTTTGACATTACCAGTAAAGAGAGTCAGCGATGGATCGTTAGCTTTTTACCCCGATTGAAAAATAGAACATTTTTTGCTAAAGATCAAGATATGGACTTCATGGAAGAATTTCTCGTTTATATGAGCAGGAATTGTACGAGAAACAATAAAATATGTTGTAAAGCTTCAACCTTCCCATACGATTCAAATATATTTTCTGAATGCATTCAACTAATGCAATGCCAAAAACTGAAGGAAATTCAGTTAGGCAATCAACCTATAACAGATGGTGGTCCGCTCTTTGATGCCAAAAGTCGGTTACGAGCCATGGTAATGAAGTTCGACAGCACGGTGCCATTCACGTGGTCATATGACCCAGTGGACAGATTTTGGACCGAAACAGAGAAATGGGCTGTCGAAGAATTTAACAAAGCGCCTGCGTCCGTAAATGGGTGGTTTATTAGCGAGTTACAATTTTATGATTTACAGAGAAGTTTATCCAAAGGAACATTGTTGTCCATGAGTATTTCTCTTGCGATTGCTTTTGTTGTGATGATGCTGACAACAGGAAATATTTATATCAGCCTGACTGCAATTATTACCATTGCTGGAGCCTTGGTTGTTACTGTTGGGACGATAGTGCTCATGGGATGGAAGCTGAATATTTTAGAATCTATTACATTGTCAATATCTGTGGGTTTATCGGTCGACTTTACACTACATTATGGAGTTGCATACGTGTTGGCAGCGGACAGAACTAACAGAAAGTTAAGAGTGTCCTTTTCCATGACATGTATGAGTTCGGCTATAAGTATGGCAGCATTTACTACCTTTATTGCAGGTTGGTATTTTCATGTACAGATTTAACAACAGGTAGCATGCAGGCAACTTTGTCTAGGCCGCCGGGCATCAATCATCTTATTCTCTTTCTGAGGCGAAATGAGGTATTCGTACCAGGAAAGTTTTGAAAATTGAGTTCCCTAAATTTCGATCGTTTCAACTCTAGAAGCTACTGGTCAGCCAGTTGATCTTATAACTTCCTTTCTATACTACAATTTACTTTTTTTTCCGTAGGCGCCATCGCTTCACAGTCCAGAGTGTTATCTTACATTCAGATGGGCCAGTTTCTGATGATAATCATGTCCGTAAGTTGGGTATATGCAACTTTCTTTTTTCAAGCGTTATGCAGTATCATCGGACCAGAGAACAACTCTGGTCAAATAACACTGGCCATGTTAAAAGCAGGATTTCTGAGGCTCAAAGCACGCATGTGTGCAACAGAAGAAAACGACACAAATAACAAAAAGTCTGTTAGGATTTTATACTTAAAAAGAAGAATTGGATCGGTAAACGAGTAGAAGTTCAGGACACATCTTTGCGCTTCGTATATATAATTGGTTGATATTGGTTGGCTGATAAACAACGTGTATAGTATGAAAAAAATTTGATTCATATAAATTATTTTATTTCGCAGTTTCATTCTTGAAATTGTTAAATGATCTACGACATGATCTTTGGCATGCTCCACCCACGGCTTGCCGCGTGGTGACCTGGTCACTAGGAGAGAAAGAAATTGCAATGACACATAAAGATTATATCTTCTTTTTGCAGTGAACTATAAATGATAGATTTGGGCATCTAGCATGAATATGATTGAAGCATGAGCATTGAAAGAAAATATTTCGTTTTTCGACATGTCCTGAACTCCATTACATGCCCTAGCTAGTTTAGTTATATTTAAAATATTATAAAGAAATCATTAGACTTATTTTTATTTCTTTATTTTATTTTCTAAATATCATACACGGTAATCAACATCATTGGAAAATTAGTTTCATCAGTTTCCTAATAGTTTTTGCACATTAACAGCGAACTCGCAATTCTTATCTGAATGAAATCCGGCAAGTTGCACGTCGGTAAAAGCAAAAGTCGAGCATTGTTCTGGTAGGACTGGAGCGATGGGGCAAAATATGTTGTTGAGGGATAACCAAACAAGATCTGGTTCCAATTTCATTAATATTCTTATTGCATGGATAGCCGCCTGTAAAAAAATTCAAATATGATTAAATCAATATTAAATGTTCCGAAATTCTTGGACACTGGATCATGCAATGAGAGTAATTTGCTGGGCAATAATATCTAATTCAAGTAAACATACTTGTTGTAAAATCTGAGGCTGTCTTTGACTTAAATAAGGTATGATGGAAGATAATACTTTATCACACTCGACGTCCATAATTTCAAGATCATAACATATAGTCCCAAGTACATTCAAAATGGCCAACTGGTACTTAAACCCCAACGTGTGGGTGTATATCGCACCAGCTTTCAGACTGACTGACTGCTGCATTACAAGATACGAAATAAGAGTTGGGAATGCATCTTTGATAACGCGACGTCGCATAAACTGACCAGACGTGTTCACCATTGTATCGAGGACTGACACTGACTTTGTTCTGACAACCTAAAAAATAACGACTAGTACATGAAAATAAAAGACAATATATAATTTGACAAATGAGTTATTTTTTCATCGGTAAATGCGATGTTTTCTGTTGCACGAGTACCATTGTACCAATCCTAAGTACCAACTCGGGAAGTAAAAATAAACCGAATAGTATCTCCTTCTCATGTTAGAACTTTCATTCAAGCGAAGTCCTTCTCAAGTTACAATCCAGCCAATGGGTGGGCTGCGTTTAAATAATATGCAATAATTACTTTTTCTTACCAACTCATCATCAGAGAAACATTTAGTCATAGGTTGCCATAATTTATGTATCATAGGTAGCAGATGATCTTCTGTGTTTGACAACACTAGGACGCCATGTTGGGTTGTGTCAAGCATAACTAGTCGGATTCTTACAAACTTTGACGTCAAAAAATAAGTGCATTTCTCTAGCACCTAAAACACAAAATGCTTCATTTTTTAGCATGATCATATAGCACAAGATATTAGTAATATACCAGTCAGTTCATTCTATGTTAATACCATCATTTTATTTCACATTCCGGATCAGTCCAAGGTATCTGCATGTTTTAAGGTTTCATCATCAAAAGTTCAAAACCTCTACTGTCATATCGATATACCTTTATTGTGAACTTCACGTGCAAAGCCACATCTTTAACCTCAATTTTATCTTCATCAACTATTTCTTGTTCGTCTTCACCCACAGGCATTTCAATGCCATTGTCTGACACTTCACCTAACGATTCTTTCTTTAATTTCAATTGGGCAATAAAGAAATCCCTCAGGTCAGTATCCTAATGTGAGATATGAAAAAAACGAATTCTTGATCATATTAATTCGTAAGTCCGAAGTATGGGCTATTTTGAATTGGTCGATATAACGATTTAAAAACTAATCTGTCAAAAATAACTCAGACTAATGCCACTATACCTTGGAGAATTTTTCTGATTCCTTTTTGCAAATTCTTTTGCTTTTGCTCACTTCAACTGGAAACCACTTGTTGAGAGCAAGAATCAAAGAGTGTAACACCTTCAGCAATGACAGTAACAAATTATCATCACAATAATCAATCAGACTTAACATCTCATCTAAAGTATCTTCCAAGTATGGAATCAGGCCCTTGTCACCATATTGCAACATAGCATTGAGGACCGCTGGTGTGTGCGGATTTAGGTGTATGTGACGTAAGTTCAGAGAGATTGAATTAATAAGATAGTCAACATTCCTTGCAATAAGTTCTTCAGTGGAGTTATATTTACAGCACACAGCTATGCTACTCAGACTCCAGTATGCCACTTGACTAACGGTTGCATTATGACTGCCCAGTTTTTCCATCAGTGGATACAAGACTTCCAGCAACATGCTGCAATGGTAGAGCGGTGTTAAATAGGTTTCATATGATACATTGGGTTACATGTTCTTTTTTGTTCAGTTAAGCTGAACTGCATGTAGTTAATTGGGGAGCATACTGTAGGACTAAATGTTATTATCGAGGGGAAAATCAACCATGATCATACTGCACCTTTCAAAATATTCGCGTAATACACTCGCAAAGATTCCAATACCTTCCAACACCAAACACAGCAGTTGGATATTACTATTGAGTTGATAAAATGAAACAGGTTTACGAGACATTGCTTGAAGACTGGGTATGGCGAACAGATCTTCCTTCTGCAGGTTTTCTTTTAAATCTTCGTTTTCATCATTAGATATCCTTACATTCCAGATATCTTTGGACAAATACTCGCTCAGCACAAGTTTCACACATGCGCGCACGTTATCCACACTTTCCTTAGGTAAATCTACGGAAAGATGCAGAGTTATATGCTGTGGTAGAAGATAAGTAGAAATTATGGTGATCAAACAACAATAAAGTTGCTAATTTGGATTCCCACACATTCATGGCCATTCATAGGCGACTGACTGTATAGCAGAAAACTAAGTTCTTCGTGCACTGTACGAAAAATTGTAAAATGAACATACTTTCCTGTGGTGGGATATCATGATCCAAATTTCGTACAGAACCACGAACAATTTCGTTGATTAACACTACGACTTGCTTTCTGTTCACGGATGAAGATCTGAACTGATCCAATAGATTATCCACAAGTACAAGAATATTACCATAGCGACCCAAGTACCAACAGATTTTGACAATAAAAGAAAGTAACCTCTCGTCTCTAAAGTGCTTGAATTTTTTCTTGTAGATAAACTGACAGGAATTGAGCTCGTCCATACAATTTAGTGCCACATCAAAATTACTTGCAGAATCTTGCTGAGTTTTCTGCTCCACAATGCGTATATCCGATAAGTCAAACTCTAACACCTAAATGTTTTAATAGGTCGATATGGGTTCGTATGATCGTATTCTTTAGGGATGTAATCTATTAAAGTGTAGCTAAATAGCTATAATAAAATTAAACAGCAAAAGCGCAGAACTCTGAAGTGAATCAGGTCGTTGCAATAATGTACATTTCGGCATACTGTGGGCAAGTTAGCATGCTTTTATTTTTTCAACAGAAGAGGAATGTTTGGAAGAAAGAACGTTTTGATTTTACCGTTTGAGAATAATTACAATAATGCACACAGCCTTAGCCCACAGTAGCTGTCTAAAAGGTATATTGTTATCAACCCACCTGAATCAAAGCTTGGAACATTCTTTTTAAAAGATGATCTGTATTAAAAGTAGCTTTGATACAGTTTCCCAGTACTCGCAAGTATCCCACAATGATACGCAAGCTTCTCAACTTCATTCCTTCGTTTGTGCCTCGGATTTGACGAGGAAGAGAGGTGAAATAAGCGTGGAGATTTTCTTCAATGATTTCAATAATTGGCGTCTGGTCTGGACAATAGAAAAAATTGAGGCAACTGATTAGAGTTTGTTTTTTTGACGTCATATTCCGATGAAAAACCTGGCCTTTAAATGTCGGAATTAAGCGATAAGACCGAAGCTTACCTGGCAAAAGTTTATTGAGTTCCAAAATGATCGTTTTGCTCTTTTGCGACACCTCAACATACTCATCAGATGAAAGACCAATCACAATCTCAAACAAACATGGTACGCACGTCGCCAGCGACTTTGAACAGTTTTTTAGAAGTAGATCAGCAAATTCAAGCATGGTCAGGCGAACTTTCCAACTGGAATGGCTCGTCAAATTCGATACCCGTTCAACCAGAATTTTCAACTTTGCATCAGTTTTAGAATACCATTCTTTATCCTTTTTAACTTCTAAACTTTTCTTTTCATTTTGTTCTATTCCATCTGTCATAGTGCCAGGCTTCTTTAATGGCATAAGAGTTGACATAATCTGAGTTAGTTCATCCACTGAATCAGTTAATGTGGCAATAGGATAGAATTTGTCATTCATAACAACCTGCATATGAGCTGCCCAAGCCTTAATAGCTGCAATTATGACAGTTTGGCCTTGTTTAATATCACTTGTGACTGCTTTACTCAGAGAAATTGAAATACCAGGCAAGAAAGATGCTAGTTTTATTGATAACAGCTTGTGATATGTTATATTTTGATCATTTCCCCTTCCTTCTTCTGGATTTGAAATAAATGCAAATTTTTTTATGCATTCTATGGCTTTGACAGCCAAATGCTTAGCTCGTTCTTTTACAGCAACATTGAGTAGAAGAGAGATACAGTGACCAAGTGAAGGCATAAAATCATCTTTATAAATACACTTCAATACATCACTGGAGGATGAATCCAGTAAAATAAGAGTGCAATCTAAAAGAACTTGTTTTGAGTCTTCAGATAATTCTTGGGATACCTTTAAAATAAGCCAATAGTTAAAAAGGCTTTTTTTATTTATGGTAAGCTTATAGCTATATATATTGATGATATAGCTACTTGCAGGTATTAGCTGTTATGCATCATGATTGGTTGCGCTTCTCACTGTATATCAGCCAATATGATTGGTTGAGGTCAACAAATTAAGGTTAAAAAAATTTACCATTACAGTACCATAATTTTGTCAGTCTAGGGATCTGGGTGGGTTAGTTTATTTGTGCCAGGTAACAATAGGGTGCTAAGGGAATGATACCCTTACTTAGCTGCAAACGTGATTGGTAGGATACTCAATGACAATCTCAATGACGTACCTCTCCTGGCTCTTTTGAGCTCAAAAAGAAACACACATGCTTAAAAATCTGTTGAAAGATGTCAAATCTAGCCAGACTTATCCTGGGCAATACCACACACATACAGCCTATGGCCTGTATTTTTAGCTTCATAGATGTGTTCTTTCGTGCAACAGTTGCTTGTAATGGAAATAAAATGTATTCAGTAAGCATGGAAAAGTCTGTTGAGCCATTTGATTTCATGTAATTTTTCAGCATATCAATTTTACACGATGTCGGTTCACGAGCGATCTCGATGCAGATAGGACGTAGTTTTTCAAATAATTCTGATGCATGAGTCGTGGAAGACATCATTAAGAACAAAATATAAATAAAATTTGGTTGGTTAAATAACTTGGAAAAGATGTGTTCTTCAGAATATGCATTAACCTTATACTTCATGTAATTAGATTCATAAACCGAAAACCGGCGAAACGTTAGTAAAAAGTGGTAAATTTGTAAAAAGTGGTTGTAACTAAAATCAGATTGATCAGTCCTAAAATAATTGTGGTGATTTTATTTAATGCATATATTTTAGTTACAAAAAAACAATAAATCTATTATTAAATCTGAGAGTCTCCCCCCCCGGAAACGAACGTAAAAATCGCGCCAAATCATATTCAGCGGCCATGTTTGATGTTTATTTGAATTTTGGATAAAAACATCTCTTATCATCTGTAGTTATAGTGTGCTGTCTGTTTTTTTTTAAAGCTAAACGCAAGTAAGTATATTTTGAACATCGTAATATGATAATGTTATCTTTTTTATATGACGAACCTATATTACTATATTAGATTAATATGCATTTTACTGTGAAATAACAGTGTCATGCAGTATGATGGATAATTTACTAAATATCTAAGATTAGTCACTCAGTTCTTGGAATTAACAGAAATCATGGACAGTTAGTTCTAACCAAAAACTATCTGCTCACGAAAGCATTTGTCTCTTAATAGTACAAAATCTACCCTAAATGCTGGATAAACGTTTGAGCCCTGTTAATGCAGTTAAATATTGGTTTTTGGTTTTTATTTTTAAAACAGAACCAATTTCAAAAATAAATTTCAAAAATTTAAAAAACTGATAAAATGAGCCTACATGTGAAGGGTTAATTTTAAATAGCTTAAACTGCTTTGGAAGGGCCACTAAATATCCAATTGAGGAATTGATTGGTTAAAAATTGATTTTGTTTTTCACATGTAGTTTGACAAAGTTCTTTTTACCATGGGTGATTCTGACAGGTATTCCAAATACACTAGGACTAATATTTTTTATTGCACCATGAATATAATTGATTTTGCTTGTTTGTCATTGTATATGGTGAGAGGTTCTAATGAATAGTCTTGAAAACTAACATGGTTTGCATTTTATTATATGAAAATATATGTGAACAAAATCAATGTGTTTGTTGGAGAGTTAGTGCATACATATGGTTTAGAGTATTTCTTTCTTTTTCTTTAGTGAAAATATCCATAGCATGGGATTTTTGGACAGACTAGAAATAGAGAATTTCAAGTCTTACAAAGGAAAACATGTAATAGGGCCATTTAAAAAGTTTACTGCTATCATTGGACCAAATGGTTGTGGTAAGTTCAGCTCCCATGGGCCAATTTGTGTTAAGAAATATGATAAACATGAATGATTTCAGTTATATCATTGATTCCCTGTAACAAAGTATGAATATAAAGCAAAAATAAAAAAAGTAAATATATGTGTCAAAGCAATTGGATTTGCAAAAGTAAATAGTGTTTGTGGCAAGCTAATATATTCCTCTATGTATATACAGAACTTTCCCCTATTAAATTTTGATATCTTAATTGCTTAGTTTAATTAAATGTTATCAAAATTTTATAGGAAAATCTAATTTAATGGATGCTATAAGTTTTGTGTTTGGTGAGAAAACATCCAGTCTTCGTGTTAGGACTGTTAAGGTGTGTGAATATATGATCTTATTTCATAATTTACTCTGTTATTAAACAATATTTACAGTGTTTTACAGAGCTGTTAATGTTTTTTTGTTGCCTTTATAAAGGATCTAATTCATGGTGCACCAATCAATAAACCAGTTTCAAGCACTGCATCAGTAAAAGCTGTTTATTGTGAAAATGATGGATCTGAAATTTCCTTTACTCGAAGGCATGTCACTTCATTTCATTTCATTCCATCCACAGAATACATAATCTAATCATAAACCTAGCCATGTTTCTCATATTTACTGATTATGTCATTTGTGCCAATACATACATGTGTACCATAATGATCAGATCAATTTTCTTAGAATTATTGGTAGTGGGACAGAATATCGAATTGACAAGAATGTGGTGCCTCCTGCTGAGTACAACAAAAAGCTTAAATCCATTGGAATCTTTGTAAAAGCTAAAAATTTTTTAGTTTTTCAGGTAAATATAATGTCCACTTTGTTTCTAATTTCAAATTTTCAGGCTAATGCTGAATGTTGCATCAAGATTTTCAAGTTGATTACATGTTGCTTCCAAGGATATTAAGTTTATTTCTTTTAAAACTCTGTATGAAATCTGTTTCAATTTATTGATTTAGGGAGCTGTGGAATCCATTGCTATGAAGAACCCAAAAGAACGAACACAGATGTTTGAAAAGATCAGCGGGTTTGTATGCATTTCTTAGTATATGCCACCAAAGCATTGTAATATTACAAAATTAATAATCCTTAAGGTGATTTTCATCCAATTTGTTTTGCATAAACCCCAATTCTGGAGAGATTTCCCATCCTTGACAAACCTTACATTGCATGAGAAAATGCCTGTAAAAGGCTTTCCATCAAACTTTGGTTAACAAGGTAAATTATTATACAGATCAGGAGAACTTGTCTCTCAATATGAGACCAAGAAACAAGAGATGCAGCAAGCAGAAGAAGATACGACTTTCAATTATCAAAAAAAGAAGGTATGTACAACGCAGTAAGCCACTGTCTTAGATACTTGATAGTTGATACTGTCTTAGACGCTTGATAATATCTCAGACACTTTATACTGTCTTAGACAGATGACATCTGATATACACAAGTTTGTTTGTAGGGAATCATGGCTGAAAGAAAAGAAGCCAAGGCAGAAAAAGATGAGGCTGAAAAATATCAGAAGTTGGTCAAAGAATATGTATGTATTGTGCAGGTTTTAACTTTGGTCACGAAATGAAAGAGTATCTGAAAAGGCATTTAGTTCTTAATTGTAGATATTCTAATGGTCTAAATGAAAAAGTAAACCATTCATAAACCATGATGGTGACTTGTTCCAACAGTACGAATATGCTGAATTAAAGCAATGCAAGAATCTTAGTTTGCCATTTTTTATCTAACTAGAGAGTGTCCCTGTTCAAACATCTTTCCAAGTTAATATTTCTACTGAGTTTGTGGGGCTAAGTCAAACCTTAAAAAAAACAAACTAATTCAGGAAATACAATGTAAAACATTATTCGAAATATGAACATGTTGTATTCTGGAGACATAATTTACCTCTATTTTCCTTTCTAAATTAATAGAATGACAATAAACTAGAGGCTCATCTGTTCAAACTGTATCACAATAAGAAGGATATTGAAGCTTTAAATACAAGTTTAGATAACAGTAACAACGCCCTGTCAACCTTGGTAAGTGTATAAACTGATTACAGCTGCTCCCGATTAATCGATTCTTTTTTTACATGCTATTTTGCCGTTAAGAGTTATCGGATAATCGGATAATTTATCCACAACACGCAGTGCGTATTGTTGCGGAGATGTTTAATTTCAGTGACAATTGTTACACCTTAGCGACTATAAAAGCGAATATGGTTCCAACTGCAAAGGAATTTAATGTCGATTTTCATGAGAATGCCCACAGGAGACTAACTGTCATTGTGTTTAATACAGTTAGAAAAACGCAGGCGAGTTGAAAATGAGTTGAAAGGCAAAAAGAAAGAGCAAGGGGAGATATCAAGAAAACATGCTGTGTTAGACAGAAAGATCAAAGATAAGGTAGCTACGTAGCTAATATAATAATAAGGTATCAAAGATAAAGTGCTACTTAAGTGCATCTCTTTCCGTTATTTTCTAGTATATTATGTATTATTTTGAATATTTGCAACTGTAGGTGCTTTAAACCATTAAAAATTTCTGCAAAAAAGCGCACTTTTATTTTGACAACATGTACTGTAAAACCTCAGGATACAATGTCTTGCTTGTGTTTTCTAGGAAAATGAACTTGGAGAATTAAGACCGATTTATATTAAAGCAAAGGAAAATACAACACACGTTACCCAGAGACTTGAAACAAAACGGTAAGAAGATGAAACAACTAGCTCATGACGTATTAAACTAGAATCAGTCGAGTAATATTCAAAAGTATAACGTTGGTTTTACAGGAAAGCACTGGCAAAAGCTCAGAACGTTCACAAGAGACACAAAGATGAGGTATGAATATGCATCTTGTTAGAATATTCTTTGGGTGGACTATGCAATATCCGGACTGCCTTCATATATATTGTGCTATGGAGACGTATTACCTTAATATTCAACCATCACTCTTATGAATTCTTATCTTCTCATCATAATTGACTTCCCGTCATTTTTTGACCTCATCACGAGCTCTTGTCAATGTCAACCATGCGCTGGGTTATTTTTATTTCCCAGATCAAGCATCTACAGAATGAGCTGCAAGAAGTCAGCGATCGTGCTCAGCAATATGAAGAAGAAATTGCTGAGGAAAGTCAGAAAGAGGATATGGAGCTAATGTCTTCTCAAGTAAGTTGCTGTATAATTTATTTTCTGTAGAAATTGTCAGAAGGAGGAGGAGGTATTTCTTTTAGTGGAATCTCAATTAAGCTGTCTATTAGAATATTTGAGACCATTATATGCTTTACCTTGCATTTGTAGCCAACTCTAAAGCCAGTCGCATAGCACATTGTACATCAAGTCATCTTTTACTTTCAATTAAATTAAAGAACTCGAAACACAATTTTTAGCTTGAAGAGTACAATAGTTTGCGTGAAAGAGTTGGAATACAATCTTCTATTCTTCGTGAAGACTTGAATAAGGTGAGAAACTGATCGCAAGAATGTTTACTTACTATTGTACTTGAAATCCAGACTATGCATACAGCTGATTGCTATGTATATATACAGTAGTAATTACCTTGGGAAAAGGGTTTTTTATCAAAAGCTGAAGCCATTTGTTTAAAAGATGGTAGTATTTGTTCTGTTTGTGTTTTTTGTAGATCAATCGTGATCAAAAATCAGAGGAAGAAGATCTTGAACAAGCAAGACAACAACAGGCTGATTTAACAGCGGAGGAAAATAGATTAAATGATGAAATGTAAGCATGAAATGTAGGGGAAATGATTCATTCGTTTCTTTCTGCATTGACGCACGTCCTTTTAGCAATTGTGTGGTTTATATTTTTTACCACCGTGATTCGTAGAGTATACTGTACTGTAGTCTATTATACTTAATTGTATTTGGGCGTATTCTGTGGATTAATGTTCTTATGATTTGAAAATATATTTTCTGCATGTTTACAGCCACCAACTGGTCGAACGAAAGCAAAAGCTTCTGGATTATATCAGGTTCGTATATGATTCCCTTGGAATAAATTACCTAAACTAAATGGTAATTGAATAAACTTGCTGTGCGTGAACTCGCCTCAACATGTTTGCCTAGGTTTAACATTTGCTTTCGTCGATAGGTTACTTATATAATTTGCATGGAATTACCTAGAAATAGCATCACATGGAGATATAGTACAGGGGCCGGTTGTATCAAGCCCGTTTAGCTTAAACGGCGGATAAGTCAAAATTAAATAACACTCTTACAACTCCCTTGAGTCAACTTTGAATATTATGCACTGAATTTGTAGTTGTAAACAGTATCTTTGTTTTTAGGTCAAAAATATTTTGTTTGCTTCTTGAATATAACGGCAGGCTTGCTTTCTATTTTGAACTTATCCACCGTTTAACCTAAACGGGCTTGATACAACCGGCCCCTGGATTAGAACGATCGATTCAGTAGTTAATCATGATGTTATAATAATATCCCCTTTTGTTCATGTAGAACAAATGAAGAAAGACTGAGAAAAGATGAAGGTGAAGCGGAAACACTTGAGCAGCTTATCAGGTAAGGCTCGAAGACAATAAAAAAACCATTGCATGGTAAAAATATGAAAGCATTTCGAGGGGGACAGGTTTATTGCATGCTCCAAGCGATCATTTCTTACAATTTTTTGTCGTTGTGTTTATACACTAGCGGTGCTGAGCAGAGGTATCAAGAACTTAATGACAAAGCAAACGAATATCAATCGAAAATTAACGAGTCCAAGGTTGACAAGAACGAGAATATAAGATACCAAAAAAAACAAGAATTGTTGGACAGTCTGAAACGATTGTTTCCTGGTGTTTATGGTTGCCTTATTGATCTTTGCGAACCCGTTCACAAGAGGTAGTTTTAATATTATATAAAGACGTCCTGTGCAGTATCTCATCTCATGTTCGTTAGCGTGTAGTTTATTGTAATGCAACATGTTGTTTAATAGCATTGTATCTGGAAGAACGTCATCTCGTCTTTTTATCAATTTCATATTATTTTAAGTTCAAAAACGTGTCCAAATGCCAGATTTGATCGTATGTTTATATGCAGGTATAATATTGCTATCACCAAAGTACTTGGTAAAAACATGGATGCTGTTGTTGTTGATACTGAGAAGACTGGTAAAGAATGCATTCAGTACATTAAATCCAAGGTAATGAACGCCATTTTACATTGTTTTATATTTTATAAAGAACGCGTATGTTTTGGCTAGAAAAAATGTATTCCTACCATGGTTCAACATCTACTTGGTTTTTTTTTGTGGTGAAAATTTGAAGTAATTTATATTGTTTTAGAATGGTGATCCAATTACATTTCTTCCTTTGGACACTATTCAAGTGAAAGCATTGGATGAAAAATTGCGTCAAATAGGCGGAACTGCAAAGCTTGTTATGGATGTTATCCGCTGTGAACAACCTCCAGTGAAGGTGTGTATTTAATCCCTCGCTTAGCGAGAGCTAGGGTTCATAGTTATGATACGTCTTTAGGATGATAATTTTCGTGCTAAAATTTCAAATTTCATCGTCACCTTTTGTTATTCGTCAGCCAACTTGTACGCAAGAATTGGGCGACTACGACTTTTGTTCACTTATGTAATGATCTGCATTCTCATTTTTTCTGTAATTTCTGTATTTATCTTAACAGCGGGCACTCCTTTTTGCATGTGGTAATGCTCTTGTGTGTGACAGTGTTGGGGAAGCTAGAAAGTTTGCGTTTAGTGGTCAGGAGAGAAGAAAAACCATTTCTCTTGATGGCACCATGTTCCAGAAATCCGGAGTCATTTCAGGAGGAGCGAGGTAAGAAGAACGAAGTTGTTTAAAAATAGTTTTGAGAAAATGTCCGAAATATGCAGGCGATTCCTCAGCATTTATAGCATGCAGTCATTTCCTGTTCAAATAATATCGCGAATTTTCATGGTCCAACTTTTGATTTATTTACTTAACTTTCTTGTTACAGTGATTTACGTTCTAAAGCCAAGAGATGGGATGAGAAGAATGTCGAAGCGATGAAAAAGAAACGGAACGATTGTTTATCTCAGTTGAAAGAAGTTGCAGCTGACAGACGAAAGAGACCAACTTTGGATAATATCAAGTCCCAAGTTGTAGGTTTACGAACAAGATTGCAATATACTCAACGTGAAGTGGAGTCAAATGTACGTGGCAAAATGTTATTTCTTCTCTGGCTGTTTTGAATTCATTTCTAAAGGGAAATATAGTTTCTCTGGCGCCACATGAAGTGATGTCTTAGTATAGATATCATATCAATGCAATTGAGTCGATTCCTATTTTTTCCCATTTTTAAATCAACAGGAAAAACGACAACGTGATGCGACAATGCAAGTTGATCTTGGAAGACAAAACGTGCAATCTCTCAAGGTTTGTATGTTGTGCTATATGAGTGATTCTCGGTTGCAAGTCTTCCTTTATTTAACCCAGTTTTCACGTTTCTTCTTTGGATCGCTTGGGGAAAAGCAAAGCATAATAATTATATTTCCATACTAATACAGTAGTTCCTTTATGTGGTCATTATCTTTATTTTCTCTTTTGTTGATAGCCTCTTGCTTTGTCATGAATTATAATTCAGTCTGCGGCTAAGGCTAATCCACACCAAGCCTTAATGAAACTTTTTTTTTTTTCAGCCCAAAATAGAGAAATATGAGCAATCGCTCAGCGACAGAAAGAAGTCGATTGAGAAAGTTCAGGAGAGAATAAAAAATATGGAAGATGAGGTATACAATATCTTTGAAGGAAATTTCATTGTGTTTGTTGATCGCCGCCTTGCCTTACAAAGAAAATGCCAAAACGCATCGAAGACGAAGGCTTGAACCATAAACATCCTTGCATGATTGTCCTCCTACGATTCTCATAACAACTCTCACCCATTTACACTAAAGTTTCACCTCAAAAATCACGCATGCACAACTAATTCGTTCATTCGGTTGAAAGGAATAAAATCTCGCCTGAAGTCGTTCCTAAAGTAGATACCATTATAGTTAGCTCTTCTAATAATAACGGTTCTTTTAAAGATTTTCCAAGATTTTTGTCAGTCAATTGGCGTTGATAATATAAGGTTTGTTTCCAACAGTTTGTTAAATACAACTTTTGATCGATCAGTATGAAAATTTTATGAATGCATTTTATGAACTTAGATTTTATAAACTGTATAGCCCAACCCCTATAGACCTTTATATAAGATCAGAGCTCTGGGCTTCCACGTAGTTGGCGATTGGCAAATCAGAAACCTGCTTTCGTCTATAATATTCACTCCAGTTAGGAAACTGTATTCAAAAGTGAGAACGTTTGGTTGCATATATTCACCCTAGATAATATTTATGTGTATACCTATTTATTTTTCCACGCATGCAGACAATATGAGGAGAAGCAACTGAAGACCCAAAAAGAAAGGTCAGAGCGACGATTGCAGTTTTCAAATCAAAAATCCAAGTTAAGAAGTCAGGTATGATTACAGATTGACCAAATTCTTGCTTAAGTTTTGCTGGGAGCAAGGTGTACTAATTAAGTTGACCAACTACTTTTTTTTCTAGCTTCAGTACGAGCAGGGTCGTGACACTAAAGGTCTGCTGTTTTTCTCTATATTGAAGTAGATGTGTCATAAACATATAATGTATATTATATTATGTAAAGTTGTCCATACACTTCCGATGCCAATTAAATAATATCGGGGGATCAAAGCTACCTTAAGTTTCTAAATTTTCAGCACCCGTGAAAAAACTTCTAAAGGATATCGAAGCTGATGAGAACAACATTGTAAAACTAAAACAAAATGAAAAGAACGAACTGGAGGCAAGTTATTATTTAATTTATTGTGTCTGGTGAATCAATAATTGTTTATCCTAACTATTTGTTATCCTAACTAATAGAGAACGGAATAATATCGGTCCAAAACTAACTAGCCAATGGCAATGGAAATTCTTGTAACATGAGACTTTTAGCGCTTGATGTAGTTATGAGATATCTCTATTTGTATCTAGTGGAGATAACACGTTCAATGACAACACGCTTTATGGCAATGCATTCTCTACATGACTACCAGCGAATTATGTGATGATTGTTCCCGCCATGATTCTCCATATTTAACTTACCATGATATTTTTTGGCCCAATTAATGCTCCTTTGAACATTTCTAGGCTATAAACAAAGAAACAGATGCTGTTAATAAGTTACGCCTGGAACAGCAAGCAATGAAGTCACAACTGGATGAAAAGGTTTGCATACACTGTACAACAGATTAATATCGTACCCAGAGGGTTTCGTCGCAACGAAAGACCCTGGGCACGAGGTTGAAAAGGGCTCTTTTGAAGAAATCGAAAAAATAAAAATGATAAAAATATTTTTAAAAGCACTCGAAATCGACGCCACATCACGCCGAGGACTGTAAGGACGAGTATTTCAGTCCATATTATTTCACCTTATTTTTCTTAGGAACTTCAAGTGAAAGATGTGAGAAAAACATTGAATAATCAAGCAAAAGACGTAGGAAACAAACAGAAAGAAATTACATCAATTGTATGTTTTCAAAATATGTATTTGGGTTATTCTCTCGTGCTCATATCATCTGATTTTCAGTAATATGGATTTCACTTGCGACTAATTGCGTATTTTTCATATGACGTTCAATAACGTAGCTGATATATTTTTTTATTTCTGTAGGAAGCAGAATTGGAACAGAAGAGAAGTGAACGACATGGCACCCTAAAGACCTGCAAGGTAATTTTATACATCATACGGCTCAGAACATTTCTGGTGCGATGTTTTATTTTGTTCAATTTCATTTCCAAAGACAAGGAATTTCACCAAAATCTATCTTCCAGACGAAACTGAGAAATTTGAATTGAATTTTTACCCTTTGCCCGGTAGAAATGTACAGTCATGAACTAATCTACTATTTTAAAACGTTTATTATACTGTAGCTCGATAATATTCCGCTACCCTTTCGCCGAGGAAGCATGGAAGACATAGAACTGGTAAGGAATCTGTCTTGTTTGAAAGACGTGGATTGTTTTCTGATCACTTACCGTTTACACTGTAGTCTGGTTCAGGATCAAGTCAAACCGATACAACAGACCAAACAGACTCTATGGATACTGAGCAAGATGTCAGTGAGGTATTTTATAATCTACGATATATTGTGGTCACGTACACTGTACATACATTCTGTTTAGTACCATCTTCGCATGTAGGGTATTTCTTTGCCACGATAATGACCACAGATGGTTGGTGAGAGTTGTTTGCATCAGTACTTTATCTTTTCATTTAGGGAACCCGTGCATTACTTCGAGAATTAGATAATATTCAGTTAGACTACCATAGTTTGAGAAGAGATCTTAAAAATGTAAGTATAAAATCTATGAAGGCCATAATTATTTTACGCACACTTTCCTGTGATTTATTATCCCCTGCGTTTCTTCCCAGAAGTCTCAAAACACAGTCTGCAAATATATAGAATTTCTGCGATTTTCTGGACATTTTTTACTGTAAGACGGTCCAAAAAATCACAGTATATAACAATGTGACAATTGAGAACTAGATGAATATACTTATCTGAGCATTTCTAAAACAAGTAAATATTAAATTATAAACAATAATTTCAGATCAAGGGTGCATCAGACGTTCGAAATATGGAGAAAGACATTTTTGATAAACTAAGCAAGTTAGAGACAACATTGCAAAGAATCCAAGCTCCTAATATGAAGTCAAGGGAAAAGTAAGCCTTACCACTGATTTCATAAGAGTAAAATCTCGTGAAAGGTACCAAGTACATGCAGTATTATGTGTTAAAACTTGGTTTGATTTCGCGGCATTAGATTCGAAGGTGCAACGAGTCGATTACAAGAAACAAGCGAACTTTGTGATAGATCAAGAGAGAGATCAAGACAGTCAAAAATGGATTTCGAAAAAGTTCGACGCAACAGGTGAGTTGTGTATGAGTAAGTCCAGGTTTAATGCTTCCTATTAAGGGAAACTATGTACTGTGATGACCACATGTGTATAATGCTGTTTTGGTTTAGGTACGAAAGGTTTATGTTAGCATTTGATCATGTTGCGAATAACATCGACGAGAACTACAAGGTATAATATAACAGTAACAATTAATTACAACATACCTCGTTATTTTCTCCTTTCTCCTTGCTGTGCGATGATCAGAGTAACTCTTGCGTAGCGTAACTACGTCAAACTTAGTTTCCAGTCTAATCTTGGGACTAACACAAATCTCGTTGGCGATTATGCATCGCTCTGTGTCCTCGTAAGAATCGGGGAGCTCGAGAGAAATGAAATCTCGCACTTTCCTCTTACACGAAACGAAATGCATTATTGTAATACCAAACGTTGTTACTAATTCTATAGCTCTTGTTTTTTAGAAACTTTCGAATAATCCCAGTGCACAGGCATTTCTAAGTCCAGAAAACGCAGAAGAACCTTATTTAGAGGGTATAAACTACAGCTGTGTTGCACCTGGGAAAAGGTAAGTCCTCTTGCTTTTAAACCGACCTGGGGAAGCCTTGCAGCTTACATAGATTTGTAAGAGAGCTTGCCTATGTTTCTATCGAAACTGCCTTATGTTGAAGACTTTTTTGTTCATTTTATAGTTCCTTAGCCACATAATAATAGCATAATACCGTTTTTAAAATAGTTTTGTAATTATAAGTGACTTACAATGAATATAATTGCTTAAATTACAGTCTGGTAAAAATAAAAGTTAGTAAATTCGAAATGCTCGATATTTTGCAATTTCGTTATATTTTATTAGATTCCGACCTATGGACAATCTATCAGGTGGCGAAAAGACCGTTGCTGCACTTGCTTTGCTTTTCTCAATACGGAGGTTGGTCCATTTGTTTCCTTTTTTCCAACCTTGTTTCCAAGATTGTGATGAATGCACAGTTGAATTCTGTCATTCAGCTATTTTCCATATTTACAGGCGTGTTCATAATCTTATGGACTCTGGTCTAGCGTGTTTTTACAGTTCATGAAATTAACATACACTTTGTTATTTTGTTATTTCTTTAGTTGTCAACCAGCACCTTTCTTTGTCCTGGATGAGATAGATGCTGCCTTGGATAACACAAATATCAATAATGTAATTACTACTCTTAATTTTTGCTAATGCAAAATTGCTGATGTGCGAAATGTCCCTGTATAAATGTATCCAAATACCCTAAATCATTCGTATTTCTTTTCATCCTTATCTTTATCCTTAAATGCTTAATCCAGGTTTCCTCATATATCGAGAAACAAACTGAAAACAAGTTCCAATGTATCGTTATCTCGTTAAAAGAAGAATTCTATTCCAGAGCACAGGCATTAATTGGAATTACATGTGAAGTAAGTCATGGAAAATAAACATGATTGTGTCTATCTATACTTGGCGGAATTCTTAAAAAATAAAAAGTCATTTTTCGTGATAAATATTTTTTGGCTCGACAGAACTTGTTTACATTTTACATTTTATTGTAAGAAAACGTTTTATGATATATAAAATGGGTGTTAGCGAACTTGTTTTCGAGTGAAATACGTGAATAGGTAAAATGTCTTATTGAATCGCCATTGTTACCATAACAACGGTAATGACGTCATATTTATGGACAATTTCTGACTGTTACAATGTTGGTTAATATATCTGGGAAATTCCTTTTCCTTTAGCAAGAAGTCGTCTTCCAAAATGTTTATATCTAAATCACGAGTTTTCCATAATTTTCAAATTGTAGGGAGCCACCTTAATACTCAAATATTTATTATTACGAACAACGAAAATTATTCTTATAACTCCTGTGAATTTTAATTGACATTGAATTTTCTTTGTTTTTAGCCTGACCAAGAATGCACAGTCAGCCGGGTGTTTAGTTTGGACTTGACTAAATATTCTGATAGTTAATATTGAAGGTGGTTGTTATGAATTAAACACCTAGTTCTTGTTTATCGAATGTTAACTTGTTTTCAAAGTATGATTGAACATCGCAATGGACAAATAAAGACTATGCAAAGGCAATTTACATTGTAAGCAATGCATGTAGTTCAGATTTTCGTAATTTTTAAGAGATATTTAGCTCGCAAATGTGCAAGCAATAAATTTACATACGCTATCTGGTCATTTCCAGATCTCGGCTTTTGTAAGATTTCTGTAACGAGAAAAACTTCATTTTCAAATACTTCTGTCTCATCGTTACATACAGTCAGTCATACTTTGAAAAGCAAATAGTCTTATGTAAAAACAATGTAGTTTGGTTGTAAAAGTTAATATGTTTTATTCATATACTTGTGGTATTGAAAATTGTGGCTACTAATCGATTGGTCGACCGACTTACGATTATTATGAACAACTAACTGAGCGTAAGGTCTAATGGTAAAATATCAAACCGCCTGGTGATACCAACCATCTCCCCTTATGGATGTTATAACGCGGACAATTCGGGAGAGTTCTTCGGATAGAAACTGGCTTTCATACTTCTAAGGCAGCTTGAAATTCGTGTATATCGCACCTGGTACGCCAGCCTTCGCATGCTTCGAACAAAGCATTGTTGTTTTAATTTTCTTTTTGTTCATCTTTTTCATATTAATTGTCCCTTAGGCCTGGGTTATACGTCGCATTTTGGTCGCGTCGAATGCAATTCAAACAATCGATAATGAGATGATAAACCTACCATATCTCATTAAAAAGCCACGCATGCATGTCAGGGTTGACAGATTACTGAAAAAAGAAGCCAAACATTCTTATAGTCGGGCTTTTGATTCCTTTGTTTCAAGCAAAGAAACAACGATTATGGTAATAATATTTGGCCAATTTATTCACTCTGATGCATGCATTACAAATTTCAATAGACACGTGGTGCAGGTAAAATGAAATATTTAGCTCTCATTCAAATTTGAGGCATCATTTGAGTACTGCTCTTAGAAGCAAGAAGACAAGTCACTTTTATGCGCGTATGTTGCCACTAATATGTTATCAATTCCCGTCTTTTTATCGGCGATACGTATGCAGTATCTCTGGTTCCATGCAGTCGGTGTAAAACAGGTAATATGTCTTTTGCTTTACCATTATGTGTTTGCTTTAACGAGAGATTTGATCGAATGTTGCCGTCATTTGATTTAGTCCAACTCGTCACTCGTGTATTGAGGTGTGTCCACCTTCTAGAATCTATTATATGACGCGTTTTTTATCTGTTTCACGCAGAGTTCTGACGACTTGAAGCTGTAAGCTAGACAACAAAACTCGTGAACAAGAGATTGATGACCGTTGAATTGTGCCTGACACTACGCAAGATAACTCGCCTTTTAAGAGAGAGCACGACTAGCTTTTTCTCGAAGCAATATTGGTAAATTGAAAAAGGTACAAATATACGATTTATGTGAAAATACAAGTGTGTGGATGTCGCGCAATCCATAGCGGTTATGCCGCTAACCTTAGCAAACAAATTATATCTTTGAATTGAATTAAAGACCGTAACTGGAAACTAACGTTGCCTTGTATTCTTTTTAGGCAGAGTTTATAAAAGATTAACAGTTAGACTGATCTGATCTAGAGGAAGCCTAAATGTAGCCGCCACCGAAAAATATAGTTTGGTTGAAATTGCCCGAGATGGCTCGCGGTTTGAAGAGACAGCAAGTCCAAAGCTGCTCTTCAACTCTTGATGATGAAGTGAACAGGTAAATTATGTCTATTTTGTTGTCTATATTTAATTCACAATAGGCTGGAAAAATTCCAAGCGCTTTAACTATCGGACTACGTTCTTCGCGGATGAAATTACTTCTCATATTCAAGCTTGTTTTATTATTGAAGAGAACTTTTTGAAATCACCGTCAATAACAAACATTACCTTCTTTTCTATTCCAGGTTGTGATTTAGCGAGCAATTTGAAACCACGATGAAACCTGTTCATAATAAAATGTAAGTATATATATTATAAGCAATTGAATATTAAATATAGAAAAGCCGAACATGCAAAATAAAGAGCTAAAGATTTAGGGCGGGAAGACGACGGTTGATAATACAATAAAATTAAAAATTCATAAAAGACAAAAAAGAAAGAATTAAAATCCCACAGGCATTTTATACATGTCGCTATATAATTTATGGATTATTCACAGCGAGCCAAGTGCATGTAAAATCGCGCATTCTGTGTTTGCGAAGGCTGCTAGAAGCTGTGCTGGAAGTGATGGCCTATCTAGCATTGTCACATTCTAAAGTATAGACCTTTTCCTAACGTCGTCATGAATTTATAAATTTCACTAAACCAGTTAATACGAAAACAATGGGCCAGAAGTTTGCTTGCATTTGCGTTACGCTGCGGTCCTCGTGCAGAATAACAGTGACTATATAAGATTCCAGCATAACCCAGCTTACCTGCATGCATCAATTCACGTGTCTTATTGTTTTCCCCCATCTATTATACATAGTTTTCTTATTTCTATCCTAAATTCTATTTCAGGTTGATGAAATATTAAAAACCACAGCACCTTTGAGCTAAAACCGATGAGCAAAAACAACGCAAAATCGATAGCTACGACGTTCAACATGCAGCAGCGTCCGACATCGCCCGACATCGCGTCCGACATCGCCCGACATCGTTACAGGTTAGAGTAGCCTGGTGGTCAAAAAATGTGCATGCAAGGGGTAGGATGTAATTTAACACAAAAAATTGAAGTTTGTTCATTCAACTACAGTTAGATGAACAATTTTTCTGCAAAGCAGAACTTCATTCTGTTGTGTTATGTGGAAACGCGATAAACTTAAGCATTAATTCAGTTAACGTAGTTCTGGCCACCAGGAACATAAATTAATGCATGTTGCATGTGCGATTAAATTTGCATGCGAGGGAATGAGTTTTTATAACAATTCGGTTCTATAGGATTCGGCTTTGCGCTTAAGACTGCTCGCTTGCGCTTAGGGCTGCTTTGGTTTAGGACTTTAGGTTGATAAAATAAGACGTTAAAACTAAGCTTATATATGTTACAACTGTTATTAAGAAATGGTAATAGCTAATTCGCACTTAAACAAACCTCGACATAAACCACAGCCTCATATGGCAGACATGCATAATCCCATAGGTTCTTTCTTGGTTCTTCCACACTTGTTCGGTCACTTGTGACTCTGAATACCACATGCAGCCTTATATGGCAACATAATCCCATTGGTTCTTTCTTAATTCCATCTTTCTTCTCTTAATTGCAATAAAGTCCGGTCACTTGCGGCTTCGAATATATTTGTATGGTAAAATAATGATAAACCGTAGCCACTCATATATCCTAATCTCCGTGAAAATTAGACTGTGAAGCTAATTTTGATTTGTGTCTTACACTCTTACTATTTTGTAACGTTCAATAAAATATTGTATGTGTATTATGAAAATATATATTTAAGACTGACATGTAAATAGTGAAAATTACCATGCATAATCATGTATATATGTAGCTACACTGTAATTCATATAAATGAAGAGACAAAACATGAGCATATATATACACACACACATTGAAGCAAACCATCTATAGCCTTTCATTGCAGACGTATTCCACTAATTCCAGTAGGTTTCTACAGGCTCTGCCTCTGTTTCCCTTCCAAAAAAGTTGGGAAACATTAATTTAAAATGTAATTATTTTACTGTCAAATACAAACAGTTTGATCTATGTATACCATCTGATTCATGCACACATCATACTGAACAACATGCATAAATGAAGGGGGGAAATAAAACATACTCTTAGCTTAATTCATGAATGTCAGTTTACTTGAAAAGTAGAGGGAGGGGTTTAAGTGAACTTGCACTGAAATTTTGTAAGAAAAGTAGGTCTCGTATACTGTATAACCCACGGCGATATATGCGTCGTTCTTACTGTAGTTATAGAAACTGATCAGACGAACATGGGCAGTGGCATTGTAACTTTATTATTTTTCCAAGGTCCCCGTGAGACTTCCAATCGTTTAGCTTCGTCGAGCAGTGCTTATGAAAAGAAAGGCGCCACTTTTTGTCTGTACTGTTTGACCTTGCTTAGTGGTTCGAAGTGTTAGCAGGTATCTTGGGATATCTAATAACGTTGCAGTGTTATTTTCATTGCTGTTTCTATAAGGGCAGGTTGCTTTGGCTATATGCCTTGGTTCTAAAATGCGAGGTGAATTTCTCAGAAAAATATTTTCCAATGCTGTTTCTATAAGGACAGCTTGTTTCGGCTAAAAGCCTTAGCTCTAAAAGGGTTCAGTGAGAAAAAAAATCGTTTCAGCAGCCTATTGCTTCGGCTATATGTAAAAAATATGATCGATTCATCGACATCGGATTTTTCCAAATGCTGTTTTTATAAAAGTAGGCTTGCTATATGGCTATATGCCTTAGCTTAAAAAATGTGCAGTAAACGTTTCAAGGAAAATGATTTTCCTTCGTGCTGTTTCTATAAAGGCAGCTCGCCTAAGTTTAAGAAATGTTCATGAAATATCCTGATCTAATCATTGAAATATAGTTGCACATTTGACAACCATAAAACAACTTTAAGAACACTGCCTATGATTTGTCAGTAGAATTGTGTTTTTTTGACGAACATAAAGCTTAAAATAATATTTTCGAACTCGGTATAATGAATATGAGGCAATATTCTTTTGTAGGCACGTTGCATGTGATATAGGCTTATATATATTTTCCAAAGTTACTGGATTCAACGTTAAGACGGGACTAAGTTTTATGAATTAAAACTACAAGGTCAATTTGCATACACATACACATATACATGCGTGTACAGTTAATTGGTTTATATATGTTACTGTACGAAACATGCACATGCACATGCATATAATACAACTACAAGTGATACGTTTTTAGAGGGTGGTATTATTATAAGGGTGTAGGCTGATGATTTAAAAGATTAAACATGCATACATAGGTCCAAAACATTTTACATATAATAGCGTAATTGCACACTAGTCTTGCACACTTCGTAAAACAGGCTATAATACTTGTATTTCTAGTATTTCTATAATACTAATATTTCAGTTAATGTTTCTTACATTACAAATGTACTAATGTAACATGTAAAGAACCACACAACATCCTTTGTAACACATGCAGTGAAGTAGTAATAAAAGTACGAGACAAAATTATCCGTTTCCCTGCCTCTTGATTTCAATAGCTAAAAACAAAAACGCTTTGTAATTTATGCACAAAGAAGTATTAATAAAAAGTAGAAGAAAAATCGTCCGTCTCCTTGTCTCTTGATTTCAATAGCTATAAAAAACACGCACGCTTTGTAACACATGAAAAACACACACGCTTTGTAATACATGACATTGTGTTAATAAAAGAACTAACTTTATTGTGTATTTTGTTTGACTTCCGGCTTTCGAGTTTCGGTGAGGGTTTTCCTCCAGGCTCTCTGGTTTCCCTCGTAATCAAAATCAGTGTCCGTGTGTTCGGGACCGCGTTTATGGTTGGTTTTCCATTTAGAAATTTAACTTTTTGCGAATGAAAATTATTTTACATCCGTTTATATCTGGGTAACTTGGTAAGCCATTTCAAGTACAAGCTCTTCTCGATACGACGATAGAGAGTTGCGATTCCATACTGAGAATGTTTTCACAGCCCAGCAGACAAAAATCAAAATACAAATTGAATAGAATGGAATCTGACTGTACACACGGTTACTGGGTTAAATTCCCGGTACACTGTATACAATAATAGACTTTGCTCATTTCGAACTGCATTATAAAATTAAAGTATCCAATTTTGCCGTAGTGTAGTTGCTCTCAATTCAACGTAACTTAGTCGACTGAGTATTCTTATTGAAGACTTGACAACAGCCACTGCATGGAAGTGCAATACATACCCTGCATGTCCATCTTCGTGCATGCTTAAAAGGACGACCACTATATAATGCCTGTATGCTCCACCACCGCAAAGAAACTACCCTCGTGTCGTTTTGGATGGCTCGGAATACCTCCTAATCCTTCAACCTCTTCAGGATTTTTTTTCTGTCGTGGCAGCGAATGGATTTGGTTATTTTAACACTTGAGACGACACGGCTGATCAGGACAGTACATCAAGAACGAAGAAAAAATTGACCGAAAATAACAAAGAAATTTATCAAATGACCAGCGCGCGTGCGAAAAGCGATGTTGAGCCGTCGAGGACATTCTGAAAGGAGTTTTCTTGGCACCTGTTTTTCGCTAGCCCCAAGCCTCCGCATTGTTAAACAGCTCTAAAAAGTTAACTTCGTGAAAAGTACTCATGCAGCGGTGCTTTACGTACATACCTGTGTAAAAATTGCAAAAATTATAAAATATGGAAGAGAGTAATCATCATCACTAATGTAGATACCGTAAACCTCCGACTATAAGCCCTGGGCTTATATAAGTTCGTAAGCGTTTTTTGATGGGCTTATACACGGGAGGGCTTATATACGGGGGAGCTTATACATGGACAACATTTCGGGTTTATATAAACCAAGTGCCGTATTTATTGTTAAGGTATAAACACGAAAATAAACAAGAATTACAGATAAACAAATATTAACATGTTAAGCTGCACAAAAGATTCGTCGGTGCCGCTTTGAAACATCACCAGGACGAACATGTTTTGTAAAATTAAAACATTAAAACACACACTGCTTGAATGTTTTTGCTTAGTTACTGCTATAGAGAATTGTTTTAGTGCAAGAGTATTTAATATATACCTGTATCTCGACCTGTATAATGGGCTTATATTCGGGGGGGCTTATATTTGGAATGACGGGATTGTTAATAATGTGATGGGCTTATAGATGGGAGGGCTTATATTTGGGGGGGCTTATAGTCGGAGGTTTACGGTATAGGATGCCAGACGGATATAGTTTCGGTTATAATTTCATGTCCGAATCTGGCATAATAATGTGTTAAATGGCTATATATACTG